TGCAGCGACCCATCGGACCGCGCTCGCAGCTAGAGAGCGTGGAGACTGAAAAGAAGCGTATACACAGAGGCCAGATATATTGAACGCGTCTCGTTCCGGCTCTCTGGTCGGCCAGCATAGGACACAGTCCCTGAGCATGCCCGGCTTGTAAAGTTCTGCAAAAGGATACTGGGAAGACTGGACACCAGAAATGCCTTGACGCGTTTCAGCATTGGCATGAGCACTCTGTCACTCCGTTTGACTATGATATCCCAAGTCGCAGTCTCGCCATACGCGTTTTAACCAGATTCGCAAGGGATCTCACCTGTCGAGGTTATCGATGAGCATCGCGCGACCGCGCGGTCCAGATATCGCCCATCAGGATATTCAGTGTGCTTTCTTGGAGTTGTGGGATCGAAACATGGAGCTCCCATCCTTCATGGTTTCCACGTCCAAGAGAAGGGAGCCTAGGTGCCGCAAAACTTCAAGCGCTTGTGGATCGCCACTACCGCCTTCGCCTGGCCCTTGCTGGTCCGCGCACATCTGATCGACATATGGACTTTGTATCAGCTATGACGCTCCGCCAGTATGCCGGTATCCTACAACGCATACGTGCCCTGCCATCTTACTCTTGCTCTACGTCATTCTCGGCCTGTATCCCAGCAGTGCCTAGATAAAGCAGCGTTGGGTGTTGCGTACGATCGGCTTGCCGCTTTCGACTCCTAAGAAAGCGGCTCCACGGAAAGGCGAGTATACACGCCACAAGTGCCCAAGCACGTGGAGACGCAATCTTGTGTAGACGTGACTTCCTGCTGGGACGAGAATCGCTGCTCGATATGTGGGTCTTGTCTACTCGGCAGCGCTCAGCCAAGACAGTGGAGCCGCCTGAGGTATACGTCTTCCACCATTCAGCTCTCGCTCTGCGACGTGCTCAGCGAGTGTTCCAGTGGTTGGCCGCATACACGCTTGGTCTTCATTGGGTTCCAGCTTGATGTTCGAAGGCACCGGTGTCCTCTCCTCTGCCCGCCTCTGGCTCTCTCTGCGCTCTGGCTTCCGAGACGTATCAGTTGTCCTTGCGGCCGCCAGTCTTCCTCGGTGGAAACATTGGCAGACAGCGCGCCTCGGCGCTCGACAAAGCTGCGCTGGCTGTTTGTCTGGTGCCGCTGATGGCGGGTCCAAGTTGCATCGTGTTGCAATGAGCCAGTGCCACGCTCCGCAGACTGTCCTCCTGCTCGACTGCTGTCATGTTCACGGATAGTGCCACCTCTTTCAGCTGCCCGTGCTCCTACCGCGCTGGCGGCGGAGTGCCTGTTCGTCCGTCTCGTACTGTCTCAGCTATATCAGGTTGCTCGGTCGAACGATCGCTCTCGTCCTGGACAACGGCGCTCGGCGGGGAAATCGGAAGTGTTTTGGTCTCGTAGGCCGATGGGTCGAGACACGTCCGATAGAGCTGTGAAACCCCGTGGCATGTAAGGGAGATTGCGGCGCGCATCTGCGAACGTGTCAGTGTCGACTGCATCTAATACCACGCGTCCTCGAGGATAGATGATGGAGCTGTAGTCCACCGCTTTCGTTGAAGTCTGCCATCGTCGCTGGCGCTGCTGGTCTCGCGGATCCTGACGATGCCACGTCCGCCAGGTCTCAGCATGGCCGTCTCTTTGTTCTTTACCATCTTGACCTCCACGTGCAGCGCATAGCTAGGCCATGGGACTCTGCTCACGGCGAGAATGCCTGAAGGCTGGCCGTCCGCCTCTGCTGCCGCCATCAGGGCTCAGGAAGGATCACATCGTTGGCGATGGCCGCCGGGAGTCTGCCCGGCTGCGGAGGTCATCAGTGAGCCGAGGGCCTTCGCGACAGGGTGAACGGCACGGTGAACATGACAGCGGCGACCACAGATACCTCCTGTAGACGTCTGCTCGCAACCAGCCGCGGGCGCGGTTCTACGGTCGGGCGCGCTGCTGTGCGCTCACGAGACATGTGGCTATTAAAGGCAGGACAAACCTCAATGGCACAGCGCATTGCAGCAGATATCAACACGAGCATTGGCTTCATCATGACTACGAGGGCGAGCCGGTGCTTCGCCTCAGCGCTGTCGAGCGTGCTGGCGCCCACCGACACGGCCGCGACAGACGACGCGATGGAGGCATCGCAACAGGTTGTCACCACTCAGGCAGCAAGGCGCAGAGACAGATACAGTCAGTGAGGGCAGACAGAGGACGAGCATCTTCTCCGAGCCATGGCCATCGGCCACAGCGACGATGAAAAAGTTTGACGCCAACCACGAGGGTTGACTGTCGAGAAACATCAAAAATTATGCCCAGTGACTTGCCGAAGGCCACAGAGTACAGCGTCGCGTTGTGCAATGCATCGCTGGACCCGAGGTGCCCGCCACGTGAAAAGGCCCTCAAAGCTACTGCCGTTGCCTCCCACCGGACGGAAGGTCGTGCAGGTATGAAGAAGAAAAGAAAAGAAAGGAAGAAAGAGAGAGGCAGAAGGAACTTATAGTAAGGGAGGGGCACGCGCAATCAACACGGCGCTAGCGGCAATACCTGGCAACCACCTGACCCGGCCAATGATGGCTTGTTGCTGCAAAATCACCACGGCGACAGCTATCTGGCAGACCTTTCCGTCATCGTTCGCCGGGGTGACGGCGGTGATGCGAGGCTTGGCGGCCGTCGCTCTCCCTACGGTGGTCTTGCCACGAGACACGCGTTGGCAGCTGCTGAAGAAATGCCATCAGCATGCTGTAGACGTGGATCTCCGCCTTCGCATTTGTTTGTCATGTCTGTATCTTCAGTGGTGGTCGTCAATTGCACGATGTGGGCTGCTGGCTGCCGCGCTGCCTGGACCCAAATTTGCGCGGTATCAGACCGTGAGATGACCGCTGCGGAGGTCTCGTGCAGCCGCTCAAAACAGTTCGCACGAGCTACACGTGTGATGGCGTCCGGTCACCTTGCGGAAACTCCAGTGAGAAGCTCGAATAAGGGGCTTCCCACCGCGTTGTGCTGCTATCTGTACCTGAAGGAGTCATGACCGCGAGCTTTGCGCTGTGCCGCTGAATGTCAGTCTCGCGAGTTGCCGCCATGCACTCTCATTGCCCTTGACGCAGTCGGGACACCAAGCGAACAAGCACTTCCACAGTTTGCGCATGCTCCGTCACTCAAAAGATAATTGTGAATGGCAGTTGCTCGGCAGGGCAGCAGGTGCATCGCGCCTCGCTGTCTCACGCCAGATCCATGCGTGCGGCCAATGTCTGCCTCCGCCTGGTCAGGAAGGCTGAAGGCTGGCGGCTGTGCTGATAATGTCACTGTGCCGCTGAAGTCGAGCTCTTGGAGCCGCTGCAATACTCACTCAGTGGACTCGAGTTTTTCAATACGTACGCTGGGCCCCTGAGTCGCACGCAAACCTTCGCACACTTCTCGTGCTTCTTCTCCTATGCCATATGAGTGGAAGCTGGCCAGCAGGCGTGACTGCTGTCGCTGTGTGCCGGCTCGTAGCCCTCTTGCGGCTTTGCGGTAGCCACAGCTGGCTGGCGTCTCGGCCGAGCGTACTCCGCCGCTCTCGTTCACTGCACGCTGCCAACACATTGAAACACGAACATGCAGCGCCCTGCAAATGTATCTGATGGTCTGATGAAGATACCCATCCAGCTCCCTCCCTCCTCCAACTCAGGGAGAGCGTGTTCAGCCGTCAGATCGCCGTGGAGACCGGTTTCTTCGCAAAGGCGGATGGACCCTGTCTGACTTAAGAGTTATAAGCCACAAAACTTCGGTCACTCTCGCCCCGTCTCCGATAATGGCGGATTGGCATAGCGGTGGAATTCGTAGTCACGGTAAGTCTTGGGTCCCGTGCTCCCTGTGACATGTAACAAAAAATCCTCTCGCCATGATCTAGTAGAACGGCCGGCACCGCACTCTCTAGTAGCATTGGATTTCCCTCGAGTCCTTGGGAAAGACTTAGAGTTTTGCTGTTCGAACACACATTTTTTGCACCAGCTGGTGATATCAGCTGGGTGCCACGCTTTTGCTGATCACCTTTTTGCTGCAGTCAGCCGAATGTCCATTTTGCTAGCGAGAATGGCACGGGAATCTATGGAACCCACTGTTTTTGTGACGGCCATGAGCACTGCACAAGTCAGTCCTTTTGCAGCGGATGTTGTTGCTAAGTACGACATTTTGCTGCGCCGCCTTCTGCTGCAGATCAGCAGATGGCCTTTTGGCTGGCGAGCATTTACACAGAGATGCTTGGACGGCGCTGTCTTTGTGACGGCCACGGGCGCTGCACAAGCAAGTTATTTTGCACCGAGCGCTCATGCGCGATCTTTCACTGAGCCACCTTCTGCTACAGTCCAACGGAGGGCGGTATGGCTGGCGAAGTTCACACAAAGATTCGTTGACGGCACGGTCTTTGTGACGATCATGAGCGCTGCACAAGCAAGTGCTTTTGCACCGGGCGCTGATGCCGACCGCGATCGTTTTGCTGGCTCGCTTTCTGCTGCAATCCAGCCAGTGTCTATATTGCTGGCGGCATTGGCACAGGCAAACATGGTGACCGCCGTGTTTATGCAGCTGCGAGCACCGCATAAGCACGTCCTTCTGCACCAGCCCCTGATGCTGAGCGCGACCGATTTACTACTCTGCCTTCTGCTGCAGCAGGTGATGGCTGTACCGCCAGCGGACATGGCACAAAGAAATAGGGATGCCGCCTTGTTTATGACAGTCTCAAGCACTGCACGAGCAAGCAGGCATGTTTTCACGGGCCACGCAAGGACAGAAAGGGCCTGTGAAAGGGAAGTGAGTAGTAAACAGGTGGGTGTTTCCTTTCCCGCGCGTTCAAGCTTCATTTGCGCCACTCAGTCACAAACTTCCGCCGCGCTGCCTGATTTTCTTATTCACCCTTCACCGCCCACCCTCTGCCTTTTCTTCTTCTTCCACGACAACCACCACTTCCATCACAACACCAACCCACACATCTTCTTACACACCCTCTCACCCACCGCGCATCCCCGACCGACCACCGCCATGGACCAGCCAGACCCAACAGGCCAGTCCTTCCCCCAGTTCGCCGACGGCGATGTGCGCATCTCGCTCTCCGGCAGTCGCCAGTACCAGCTGCACAGCGGCGTCCTCAAGAACTCGTCGTCCGTCATGCGCGAGCTTCTCAGTGAGGACTACGCCGCTCAGCTGAACAACGCAGCGCACAGGAGGGGAGTCTTGATCCGCCACAAACTCGTGCTGGCTGAGAACCCATACATCGACGAGGAGGATCAGAACTTGACCTACGTCCTTCAGGCGGTGCCTCTCGATCCCAATGGACGCCCTGTACCAGGCGCACCCACTGGCCTCGGACTCGAGTTGGAGAACGGCCGTGAACCTAACCCGATTGTGCTGGCGCACGACCTTGTGCTGGGCGCCTTCTACAATCAGCCCATTGATCTTGGTGACTCTCAGTAAGCTCTTGTCATCCAGCTCCAGCTGCTATATATCTCAGCCGCAGACCCGCTGACTCGTGCTTTTAGGGAAGATGGCCTCGCCAAACTCCTCGCCACCGCATTTCAAGCGACCATCGTGGCAGAGAACCTCGACTGTGTCCGCATCGTCAGCAAGCCGATCGAGGCTACCTTACTGGGCGCCGGACAGACCGTCTACAAGGCCATTGCTGATAACCCGACTGCCTGGCTCGGGTTTGCCTCTCGCGTCAAGTCCCGCGCTATCTTCAAGGAAGCCCTCATTCACTCCGCCGGTCAATACAACACCGATCACGTGCAAGCTGCTTTGGTCAACGGATCTCTTCCAGATGAGGTAGTTGAGCTGCTCAGAAAGAAGGGCGAGTGGGTCAAGAAGACAGTGAGCGACTCCTCGAGATACCTGGCCTCATACTACCCCTCCATGCTCCTGCGCGAGTTCAAGCCCGGCGACAAGGACAACGTGTCTCGTGCCTCATATGGCAACGACATCATGATGTGGATCGCAGTGACCATCTTCCGTCACTGGGTCTGCGACTTGATGGCCTCCGATCGCACTCACCACGCCAAGGACGGTGGATGGGCCTTCTGCAACGCTATCTGCAAGGGCGGCGACACGTATCTCGACCGCAAGATGCTGCAGCTGAGCTTCCACGCTCGCTTCCCGATGACTGGCAAGGGCATGGCTTGTGTTGAGCATCGTCTGTCGGAGATCAAGGAGGACGTCAAGCAGTGGATCCTGGTAAGTACAACCTTCACTTTAATTAATCACGCATTCACTTCTAACATATAATATAGCCACTCAAGAAGAGCAACTCGGCCCTCGACCTCAACCAGTACCCAGTCACCCACTTCTTGCACGTCCACGTCTACAGCGAAGACTACCCATGGGACAGCGTCACCCTCGAGCCAAAAGACGCCTACTACGAGGCCCGCCGTGCAGCCGCAATGGCTGAGAGTGCAATGGAGGAAGCAGAGGAAGCGCGCTCGGAGGTACCGGAGGAGCTGAGAGGTGTACACCCAGCCTTGAGACCAACGGTGCTCAAGAAGGCTGGCCCCTTCCAGTACGAGTCGGAGGAGAGCGAGGGGGAGGACGAGGACGATGCCGGCAGAGGCACGTCGGAGTACCGCTCGGAGTCTCCAATCTTCAAGACGCGCGGAGCCGGCGAGGGTGACGGCGACGAATTCGATTTCGAGGAGGGCGAGATGGAGAATGCTTGAGTGAGTGTTTTTTGGGGTGGTTTTGCTGCTTGTTTCTGCTGAAAATGCCAGTTCCGCGCCCTCGCGGGCACGACTGGCCGGCAATTGACGTTTGTATTTGCGATAGAAAGGTGTCTTGAAATGGAACTTGGAGAAAATATATTGTCCTGGTGGCCTCAGCCCACCTGTTCTACCTTGTAAAAGTATTGAAATTTGGTCTTTGAAGTGGTCTTTTGCCAATGTTTCCCTGGCACTGCAGGCTTGGAGGCTGCCGTGTATGCCCTCAATGTGCGATTCAGAATCAAAAGAAATCTGGAGAGCAGGAGAAATTCGGCATTGTAGGAACAAGTCACACGAAAATTTGGGGCGAATATGGCAGAAAACCCGCTGACTCCAATCTAGATTGAGTCTCAGAGCGCAGCAAGATGGAAATCCTAGGCGATTCACTGCAAGCAGAGCAGCGGAGTGTAGTCTACGCTTCTCGATCCTGGCACATCTGGAAGCTGCCATGCATGCCCTCAATTTGCGATGGAGGATCAGAAAATTTTCGGAGAGCAGGAGAGATTCTGCATTGGAGGAACAAATCACACGAAATCTGAGGTGAGTATAGTAGAAAGTCTGCTGACTCCAATATTAGGATTCATCTCAGAGCCTACGCACCGGAAAATCTCCAGCTGTCATCCACAAGGATAGAATAGGAAGCCTGCTTGTGCTTCTCGGATCCGGCGCATCTGGAAGCTCCCTTGCATGCTATCAGTGTCTGATTTGAGATCAGAAGTCATTTTGAGAACGAGAATGAAATAGGGAATCACATGAGATTTGAGGTGAATATGGTATCTATTCTATTGACTCCAAGAACAAATCTCAACTGCGAGCGAAGCAATAAGAAGATCCCAAACTGTCTGCCGCAAGCATAAACATGGAAGCCTAGCGGTGCTTCTCGAAACTGGCACATTTGAAAGCTCCCGTGCATGCAATTGGTGTCTGATCCAGAATAGCAATCGATTCAGAGGGTGGCACAGATGCTAAATTGGAAGAACCAGTCACATGGAATTTGGGGTAACTTTGGCAACAATTTCGTTGACTCCAATGTCGAGTTGATTTGAGAGCCCAGTCATTGGAAAACCCCAGCTGTTACTCAGAAGCATGAAGATGGAAGCTTGATCATGCCTCTGACGACCCATAGGCTTGGAAGCTGCTATACAGGCCGCCCGTGTTTGGAAAGGAATGGAAATTGATTCAGAGAACAAGAACGAATCCGAATTGGAAGGATAGCCCACACGATAATTCAGGTGAATTTGACGAAACTCCCACTCTCTCGGATTTCGAACTGACCTCAAAGCTAAGCAACCAGAACATACCCATCCGTCTCCCAGAAGCATTGAGATGGAAACTATTTCATGCTTCTGAATATTGAAATAGTTGGAAGCTGCTATATAGGCCGTCAATATTCGGATCGAAATGAGACTTGGTCTGGAGTCAGAGATTGATTCTCGATTGGAAGGATAATTCTCTCAAGATTCTGGGTGAACCCGGCAAAATCTCTGTTCGCTCCGGTTTCAAATTCATCTCAAAGCTCAGCAATCAGGAAATCCCCATCTGTCTCCCATTGCCGAAAGATGGAAGTCTCCGTATCTCAAAGAGCGCATCGCAGAAAATTCTGAACCGGCTGCAATCAAGGAGGCAGTGAAGTCTTTATTGATCCGGAGAGAAGTATTCGTGGCGAGGGTGATTGCATTGCATTAGCCGTTTCATCATGCCTTTCTCTGAGAAAATTGATGGCTCCCCAGCTCTCAATGGTAACGATGACCAAAAATTTGCTGTCAGGAGCTGTCAGAGATTCGACTCCTTCTATCGAATTCACCGTGAAAATCAGCTCGCTCTATGGAAAATCGAGGAACTCTGTGCTGCTTAATGTAAAGAAGAGGCGCAAGAGCCACGCAGAGAGCTGCCGGAGACTCGGCTACATGGGTATATTCTGCCTAAAAAAGCACTCTAAATCGTATACATGAATCTTGGATTCTCATCGCCCATAGCAAGAATCTCCTCCTCAGTCTTGCCTTCCATCTTGTGGTCGCGCTTGCCTGCCTTTCTCTGCTTGTTCTCCCAAGAGAAGTAAAGGTGAAGTGACGCGAAGACTATCACACCAAGAGCGACCAAAGATAAGTTGATGGAGTGGCCCTTGATGAAGCGTGGCTTGTCCTGAGTTGGGTACAAGAAAGGAGCTACAGTTCCCGCGATATTTCCCAGCATGATTTGTGTGCCGGATGCGGTTGTACGCTTGCCATAGCGAGGGTTGTTGGTGTTGAGCCAGGCGATGTTGAGACCGAGAGCGACGTAGATACCGGTTGCTACGAGGAAGCAGCCGAAGTAAAGGACGCCTGGGGCGCCGTTGCTGAGAAGAACTCCGTAGCCGATGACTGAGACGGCGCCAGCGGAGGCTGCGATGGGACCACGAAGTTGCAGCTTGTCGGACAGCCAGGCCAGGCACACGTATGTCAGGGCTCCTGCGAAGTAGCAAGGCATTGTGAGGAGCTGCGTGATTGCGCGGCCGGCATCTGGCATGATTTGAAGGATAATGGTGGGCAAGAAGGTGCTGTATGAGTAAAGCATGCAGGCATTCACGAACTGAGGGAGTCAGCGTAGGAACTCGAACATGTCTTTCAGCTATTAGACTTACTTGTGAAACAGAGAATGCGTAGGTCTTCCAGTCCATGAGAGCCTTCCGGGAATCTGCCCAGTCGAAGTGTTCCGTGACGCCGGTCTGAGCCTTCTGGCGAAGACCAACCAGTTCGCGCTCCTCCGCGTTCAAGAAGTAGGCATTGTTGGCGTCATCGGCGAGATAGAACCAGCAGACAACGGCGAGGATGATCGTTGGGATACCTTCGATGATCAAGATCCATCTCCAGCCAGAGTATCCAGCTGTTCATTCATTAGTTTTGCAATGCCAGCAAAAGACAGGGTGGTACGTACCCAGCCCATCCATGAAACCGATTCCGTAAGCGAGAAGACCTCCGATGGAACCAGCAATGGCTGCTGAGACGAAGAGGTATGCTGTTCGGAGCGCGAGTTCGTTCTTGGTGTAGAAGAAGGTCAAGTACACCACCATGCCGGGGAACAGACCTGCAAAGGATTAGCTTAAGTAGCGACTGTGCTAGCGTAATTGTTACTCACCAGCTTCTGTGGCTCCGAGAAGAAGTCTGCAGACAAGAAGTCCCGCGTACGACTGAGTGAAGCCAGAGAATGTGGCAACCAGACCCCAACCCATTGTGATAGCTATGCCCTCGTTCAGTATTCGATTATCCACACTGATTTCCATCGTCACTCACAAGCAATCCATCTCGATGGACGAACGTATTTCTTCATGACCAAGTTGCTAGGAAGTTCGAAGATAACATATGTCTGCAGAGAGTCGCGTCTCGGTCAGTGACTGCTTTACCTCTGGGCGCTTGCAGGCGTAGGCTGTACTTACGACGAAGAGGATCGACACGGCGATCTGGAACTGGTTGCCTTGCATACCAAGATCCGCTTCAAGGCCGTAGAGACGAGCATTACCAATGTTGACTCTGCTCATCATCAGCATTATCCATCATCTCGGGACACTGGCAAGTCGTACCGATCGATGAAGGAGTTGAGGTAGAGCAGCATGACCAGGGGCAAGACATGCCAGTCGATCTTGCGAACCAGCTTTCGCTGCTTCTCAGGATCGATATATGGAATGTCGTTGCTAACGGCATCAACCTCAGCCTTCTCGATGTATGCGATATCAGTCTTCTCGCGGATAGGTGTCACATCGCCGGAGCTGGAGTGACCCATGTCTTGGTTGACAATGGTGGTGGCCATGATTGGTTGAATGGGAGAAGAGTTCTGAGAAGAGCGACCTTGATCGAGTGACAAGGGGGACGATCATGATGGGCTTTTATATCAGTGATACGGCAGCATGCTGCCCTACCTGCTCCATTGGCAGCGCCATCTGGGGGCGTTATACGTGCAGCAAGAATAGTCCTGGCCGCCACCGTTCGCTAGATGCTCTCGAACCAGAGGCAACAGTTTCCGAGCGAACTAAGCATTCTAGCATGCCTCCCAGCCCCGCGGCTAGGACATTGGCCTAGAGCATACGAGGCATAGAAGAGATCACTTCGTGTCTTCTAGCGTGGTTCTGATGCCATTTGATCCCATGCAAGCGGAGAAAATCCACGTGTGCAGACTTCCGGCCGTGCGTCTGGCCTTCCAATGGCTCGCATATCGCTAAAGCTGGTCGAACATCGCATTAGTTCAACTCAAAAGTCCGGGGCCCCATATTCATCGACGCGTCCAGGCGTGGCCAAGATGGACTATAGCTGTCGGTGTAACTTGGCAGACATCGAACATAACTCCTCGTCGGGACCGGAAGCGACTTCTCTGGCTGTCGGTGCAGCATGGGAGGATGTTGTGGCGTGGTACCGATATGTGGCTGCTGAGAGGCTGCAGATGTGGACGTTCGCAGAGGGCTAGGAGGACATTCCTCCGCTGAAGCAAGCCTTGTTTTCATCAATGCAGATTCAGGCAAATACTTCATCCGGACTTGGAACAAGAACAGATCGTACTCCGTGCCGTGGCAACACGCTCTCGAAGCATACTGAGAGAAAGAGAGCCAGCAGTAGCTGTTCTCATGTTTTCGCACGTTCTTAACAGTGGAATGATTCGTGTAGATTCCTTGAACCAAGGATTTGTCGCCACTTCTTCGAGAGCATATACCACTCGGCCGTAGCAGCTCGATCCTGCCTTTGCATAAGCGCCGACTCGATGATGATGAGTAAACGCTCTATCAGGTCGTCGATGTGACATTGTGGCTGCGGTCAGATGGAAGAGCATGCACTCCATCGACATCCTGTGGAAGCTGTGATGAGCACAAAGTCAGTACGATGTGTGGTAGGTAAGCTTTCGGAACCTCCGAGACGCAATCATCGGATCCGTGCCCAGCCCACCATAGAGGGGAGCGGGCGCTGCCAACCTCCGCCACCAAGCCGACCTCCTCTGTTGAGATTAGCCTAGGATAGCCTCGAAGCAAACATTGCACCGCGTAGGCATATCGCGGCTGGATGTACTCGTTTTGCTCGTTTCCAGGCAGTGTCCGTTCGTGGAAGTAGAAGGTGGACTCAAAAATACATTTCCCACGCGCCCTTTGCATGCCCATTTCGACTGGCGAAGATCAGCCATGAGGCTTGGCAGCCGAGGAAGTGCGCGTCCGCTTGCACCTCGCGTCGTCCCTCCAATGCACCAAGATACGCATTGAACCAGCAAAATGGACACCCAAGTTCCCACTCTCATCAGCACGACGACAGTGCTGTCTCTAGGAGCGACTGTCGCTATTCTGGCAGCAGCATACGCCGCGTCTCTTGCCCTCCTCCAAAGAAATGCATCTGCCAAGATACGCGTCCTCTTCGTGTGGCATGCCTTCGACGCCTTGATTCACTTCATTCTGGAAGGCTCCTACCTGTACAATTGCTTCTTCAGTTACGCGAATGTTGCCGACCTCGTCGACAAGATTTCTCCCAGTGGCGGGTCGATATTCGCAAGTCCGTACCTTCCGCCTGGTAAGCTGCACTGTTTTTGCCTCTCGAAGCCAAGACTCACCCCTGTGCGATCGTCTCATGCTCATGACTTGTACCTCAGACATATTCTTCTTGGGACGTAGTGATCGCGTTTACGGCTCAGACTACGGCACCAACCCTTTCGCTGCCTTGTGGAGGGAGTATGCAAAGGCAGACAAGCGATGGGGCGGAAGTGATCTCACGGTCATCAGCCTGGAAATGCTGACTGTCTTCCTTGCTGGACCAATCGCTGTCATGATATGCAACAAACTACGCAAGCAGTCAGCAGATGCTTGGTTCTGGATGACGGTCCTGGCTACTGGAGAGCTGTACGGAGGCTTCATGACTTTCGCGCCAGAATGGTTGACTGGGTCGCCGAATCTGGTCACGGACAACTTCATGTACAAGTGGATCTATCTGGTCTTCTTCAACGCTGCGCTGTGGGTGGTTATTCCGTTCTGGATCTTGTTTGAGTCGTATAGCAGAATTGCCGCGGGATTGAAGCTGCAACAGCAGGCCGAGGTTGGCAAGAAAGGAAATTGAGCAATCACGCTGCAGATCAAGTGCTCGCCTGATACAGAAGGCAACACGCTCTTCGAGTGAGCGGCCCCTTCCGCAAGCAACCACAGGCTGCATCGACTGCGAAGGCGCGATGACGAAGAAGGGTTAGATTGTTGAGACAGCACTCCTCTCCTGTGGCAAGTGCAGCTTGTCAATGTTTCGCACAACATCTTTGGCATGAGCTCGGATGAAATTGGCAGAGCCATTGCCAAGCTCAGTCTTCCTGTCCTTCGCACATGTCGCACCCAAACAGACTCCAACAATATGCCTTCTCGGGTTCGATCGCAACCGTTGTCGACACGGCCCAATAGAACTCTCGCATCTGAACTCTCATGGAGTATCTCGTTACGAGCATACGAGCGTCCGGGTCATGGAGTGCAAGCTCTATTCGGATGAGACTGTTTGACTCCGCATCCTGGTCCCCTGTGCCACGTCCCCTTGATCGAATGTCAGCGAATGCCCGCTCGCATGCCTATCGCTCCGCATCTCCGTGGCAGAGGTCACTCACTCAATCGCTCTGCTCGAGGCCTCCAACAACTTCACGGTAGGGAGCTTATAGCTGGTATCGCGTTGGGTCCATTCTTATCGCTCTCGAGCTTCCTGATTGGACTAAGCAATTACTACAATCAGTGAGCGTCATGCTTTCTGTAGTAATTGCATGTGCAACGAGGCCCTCGCTGACCAGCATCTCGATAAAGGTGCCAGTTGCGGTTGGGCCAAATGTAAAGCGTTCAACGACCTCCAGGATGCACGGACGATTTTTGGTCCGAATCATACTGCTCGGCGCCATATACTGTTCCAAGCACGTCTTGCCGGCCTGTCCCTTGCGTTTCTCCCGATTTGCGTTGTCCTCAGCGAGAGTGATGAAGGTCAACAAAGGCATGACGTCCATGGATACGGTTCCTTGAACGCCATGAGCCCAAGGGCATCTTACGCAAACGTCCCTATAGGAAAAGGCCTTTCGGACTGACCAATAGCATTTCGCACAAAGCCACCAGACACTCGGGCCGGCGACATTATATGCTACATCTCCGTACTTGCGTTCGTGCCCTAACAAGGCTGGCCCTGAGCATGCAATTCGGACTTCTGTCCGACCAGGATAGTCAGCCTTAGTTGGACATAGCTCGACTCATGAAGCTTTCACCGATTGAACCGGCCATAGACCCTCGGCGATCTACGGTATAACAACACGCAAATGCGAAATGATATGAGATGACTTTGTCAACCCCTCTTCAGCATCGCAGGGAATGGTTAGCTACACGACAGTTCACTTTCCTTATATTGCCGGTCAAAAGAGGGGAAGGTCGCGGTCGTGAGGGACAAGTCGTTGACGACGAGGCAAAGATATGCATATAAAGGGACTCTGCGATGACGATCAAAGTGGCTCACAAGCTCTTTCGATATCTCAACTCTGCAAGCACAACACGATATCCACCTAGCGAATCGCCTACAAGATGACTATCGATTTCTCCCTTTCGCCAGAGCAGGCTGCTCTCAAGGCCTCTGCACGCAAGTTCGCCGAACAGGTGATTGCACCATGTCGTGCACAGTACCTTCAATTGCCCAATCAGTACGAGCGCTTCCGTGCTACTCGAGATGCCTATCGCCAAATGGTCGAGGGCGGATGGATCAAGATGCAAATCCCGGAAGAGTACGGCGGTACTCGTAAGAGTCTTGTCGATGTTGCCTTGGCATGCGAGGAGTTCTTCGCGCAGGACTCTAGCCTGCCAATCACTTGGTTGGTGGTTGGCCTTGGACTGGCTCCCATCTTCATGTAGTAAGTTGCACTGAACGCTGTTGTTGTGGCGACTTGAAGTCGACCACTGACAGACTGCAGTGGCACCGAGCAGCAGAAGAAGGAGTTCATCACACCCTTTCTGACTTGCAAGGGAACACCTCTGGCTGCGCTCGGCTTCTCCGAACCCACTGGTTCGGCCAATTGGCTGCAGAACGAAGGCGGTCGAGGTGTGCAGACCCTTGCACGCATTGAAGGAGGAGATGTGATCATCAACGGAGGAAAGATCTGGGCTTCCAACAGTGGAGGCGTAAGTGCAGAATCACTTATCCCTTGGCTCTACAGCTGACTTGATCCTTCAGTGGGACTTCAAAGGCCCCGAGCTTCTCTGCCTCGTGTGTCGCTTTGGGACTCGAGGTGCTCCAGCAGACACTATTGGAATTGTGGTCATCACTCGCGAAGAATTCGACGACCCAAGGAACGCCAATGCCTTCCGTGTTGGAGATGATATTGAAACTCATGGTAATTTCAATCTCACTTACGAGCCTGTCGTTTCGGCAAGTACTGACGAGCGGGCGTAGGATTCAAGGCCCATTCCGGACCACGCACACACTTCACCAACTTCCGTGTCCCAGTCAAAAACATCCTTGCCACTCCTGGCAAAGGTGCTATCGTCAACGTCGCTGCTTTCACCGAGTCTGCAGCGTTGGTTGGTGCCGGTGCAGCCGGACTGGTCAGTAACTCTGCCCCAATGGGTCCTGAGGAACACACGCTGACGCAGCAAGCCAGATGAGATCCTGCTTCGAACACACCCTCAAAATCGTCACGACCGAAAAGCGCGGCGGCTCCCGCCCTACAATCGAATATCAAAGCGTCGCAGACCTCCTCATCAGCATGAAAATGCGCCTCGAAACAACCCGCTATTTGACCTGGAAAGCTTGCGACTACCTCGACAAAACAGGCGAGGCTGAGTTAGCCTATCAAGCCAAAGTCTATGGCTCCGAGACGGCGATCCAATGTGTCTTGGAAGCCATGCAAGCAGTTGGAGTTACGGCCTACGATGTCGATCAACCATATGGTTTGATGATGGATGATGCGCTGTGCTTGCCACTGTTCGAAGGATCGAATGTGGGTATTCGAAAGCGTCAGATTCAGAAGATTTTGGCTACTGCTGGGTATGATCCTGACTCGACCGCGAGCAATACGAGCTGGAGCGAGGTGAGACAGGGATTCCCAAAGGGATTCTTGAAGTGTCATCTTTGATATCGTGGGCTTTAGTTTTGTGCGCTGTCATGCTTGTTTGATCCGAAAAGTCACCATTTGGTAAATCAACGACACTTTCTGTTATCGACCACCTTCATCGATATCCTATCAACCCTCACAAATCCCCTGAAACTTATCCCCTGCCACTAGAACAGCCTCTGTCGTCCCCTCCCTCCCCAACTCCACCAAAGTCTCCTCACTAGGCACATACCTCGGCCACCCATACTCCAGCAACCCCCTCTCAGGATCCCTCGCAAAAGCCGCCCAAGCACCCTGATAATACTCACTAACCCCCCTCTCCGCCTCCGTATCCTCACCTAACAAATCACTCGTCCCAAAAATCATCGGGATATCACTCGAATGATATGCTCCCAACCAAGGCAAAGGGTTCAGATTTAGCCATTCACCGAAATATCTCGTTCGCCAAACTGGAACTCCTAATGAAGATTTCGCCGCGGCGGCTTGGTCACCTGGACAGCTGAAACCAGAAGCGGAACGGAGATCGACTTCTGTTTGGTTGACGCCGCTGGGACCGGTGTAGGTTACGAGGGTGACGGCTTCGTTGTTTGTGGTGCTGTAGAGTGTTGGAATTTGGGCGAAGAGGCCGCGAGATTGCAGGTCTGTGTAGTTGGTGAAACGGGTTTGATTATCGGCTGCTGTGCTGAATGAGAGAGAGCGGCCTTTGTTGAGGGTGGAATTATATTCGTTGTAGACTTTGATGATGGCTTCGGCGTTGACTTTTTGCATGCATTGGAGTTCGGCTTCTGGGGAGGTTGTGTTGCCGCAGCCGACGAGGTTGGCGACGTAGGTGAAGTTGGAGCCGGTGGGGACGGGTCCGTTGGAGGCGACGCCGGATTGTGCGATGAAACCTTTGACGAGGGGGTCGAATGGGTAGGCGTATGAGTACATGTCGACGGAGCTACCTCCGGCTGATTGGCCGAAGAGGATCATCTGCTCAGGGTTTCCGCCAAAAGCATGGATGTTGGCATATGTCCACTCAACAGCTTTGCGCTGGTCCATCAGGCCGGGATTGAGGTTGCGGCCGTCAAGAGCTGCAGCACCAGGATATCCAAAGATGTTAACGCGGTAGCTATGACTTTCATTAGCGCGAGCAGAACTGACAAGAATGAAGAGTTCTCTTACTTCATCGCAACAACAATCACATTCTGATCAGCAGCCAACCGATCTCCATACTTATAAGGACTCGCCGCCCCACCAGAAGTATGCCCACCTCCGTGAATCCAAATCATGACTGGCAGATCATCGCCAGCCTTCGCATCTTTCGGAGCCCACACATTCACTGTCAAGCAATCTTCACTTTGGTTCTGACCCGGCGACAGCAGAAATCCAGTCAAGTACTCCGAGTATACCGTTGGCTGGCCATTGTTGTACTGTATGCAGCTAGGACCAAACCAAGTTCCGTTCTTGACCTCCGAGCTTGGGGCCTTGGTCACTGGAGGTCGAAAGCGCAAGTTACCAATAGGACGTTCCGCGTATGGTATGTTGCCAAAGAAATGCACAGCGGAATTGTTTGGCCAGACTGTTCCTTGCACAGCAAAGACATCTGTTTTGATCAGAAGCTCGTCATGAGGACTGTGGACTGGAGAGGAAGTGGCTGAGCTTAGCAAAGCAAGCAATGCCAACAGCGGTCGACTCAGTAGCTTCATATTGGGCAAAGGGAAGGCAGTAGTCCATCCATAGTATTCCCACCTCACGGCACGCTTTTATACAAACGCTTCCCCTCATCTCGCAAGTCATGCAATTTTGTCGCCGGTGCAATAGTCACCGGGCTTCCGAGGTTGAGGCGATTGTCAATGGTAAAGGTGCATTGTAGGGGTAAAGACTCTTCCATAGCTGTAACGAAATCTTGACAAGATGTGCAGATCCCCAGATTTGCTCCACATCCGCCGCCACACCATCGGTGGGGCGCATGGAGACCACTTAAGACAGTTTCGCTTGAATTTAGTCACACGTGCTATCGCAACAATGGCTGCTGGATACTTACCATGCACCTTGATCAGTGCATCAAAATTGGTCGTTCGCAACTGCATTTGCTCATAGCCATTGATGTTGAGGCGACTGCGCTCGATCGGGACCGATCAGGCCGTAGATTGATGTGCGGGGAACGTGACAGCAGTGAGATCTTGGAGGAAGAGGAATCATACGAACTGTTCATTGTCAGCCGAAGCCGGAATATGCAAACATCATGCTGATTAGAATTTTGTTAGATCGACGTTTGTCCCCACCCGGAGCCCATATATGATGCCGCTGAAATGTCAAACTCCATCCCGATGCTAATCTTGATGTTTCGTGTACAAAGCAAGACCGTATCTCTTCATGGTCACTGGCCGTTCGCTTACAATTGCGCAAAATAATTTGGAGGAAGGCGTCGGCAGCATCTACGCCGGTGCAATATTCTGTCTCCATCGCTCAATGGATGATGCTTGTGCCGGATTTGTGAATGCTGTACCATTCATGTTGGCAGTCATCGCAGGTTGACTGGGGAAGGCTTGTTGTTGTTGAGGTTGGTGGTACCCATACCCGCCGGTAAGTGCGTAGTACGCAGATGGGTTCACCGCCTGTTGCTGGTACTGTGGCATTGCAGGATATCCCATCATACTAGGTGGAGCACCGTAGCCGCTATAAGCCATGCCGGCTGTAGGGGAGGCAAAGTAGCCTTGGCCGCCAACATTCATGCCATACATGGGCATCGAGCCAGATGTTGGCAATCCTCCGCCCATGGCGTTGTGAGATTGTGGCTGGAAAAGTCCGTTAGCAGGCCGGCTCGGCTGCTGACCGAGAAGTCCACCAAAGCTCGTGGACCGGTTCATGGCAGCCGGCGAGAAGGTTGTATTTACGCCGCCCGTCGGCTTTGCGCCAACAAAGAGACCATTAGCAGGCCTGCTAGCCTCGTTGCCAATGAGCCCGTTCGACACATCGGCCGTTGCGCGTGGCCGAGAATCGACAAGTGGTTGGTTGAGATCGTAACTGGTTGTCCGAAGATTGCCAGCGATCAAATCTTGCTTCTGTTTCATTTGATGTTGCTGACTTGCATGCAACAGAGTGCCTTGCGCGGCCTCACTCTCGCGACTGACTTGACGAGATCCGACAGGGTTTCGAGACAGCAAGTTCGCCATGCTTGAGGAGGTGTGCAGAGTAGGTCGACTCTCGTTTCCTGGCGCCTGGCCAGATGCCTCACGCTCTTTCCTCAAACGCGCAGCGCGCTGCCCAAGCGTCTCGTTCTCCTCAACAGGAGGTTGTTCAGCTTGGTTGGCTTGCTCCTTCACTGTGGATTTATCAGAGGCAGTAGCGTCCGGGTTCGTGACTTGGAGGCCACCAAATTGTCCCAGTAGGTCATCGCTGAAGGTGCTGACTGGTCGTTTGCCGCCCTCCTGCACGTCCGAAATCGCAGCATCAAGTGCGAGCCTCCGTCGTCTCTGCCCCAAAGTTTCGCCCCCCTCGGCTTCGTCTTCGCTTGGCATGTCTAATTGACCAGCCAGGTGCAAGCGCGATGCCGATTGTCCTCTGTTGAGCGCGGGCGCATTTGGATTGAGCCGCTTTCTCCTATGCCCTAGCGGTTCATTCTCTTCCATTTCGCGCCGTTCCATGAGTCCCATCGGTCGGTCCCAGTCGCCCTCATTGCCCATCTTACGATGTGCGTTTCCACTCTTTGAAGGGAAGAGCATTCCTAATGGAACATCGTCTCGATCCTCATCACTGTCCTCGGGATTGCCCTGATGATCTTCCCATGCCAGCGCGATCTTCTTCTTTTTGCGCTTCTTTGCTTCAATGGCCTCGACCGCATCAAGTTGGAGCAGAGTACTATGCATGCCGTTCGGAAATGCGGTCGCGGCGGTTCGATTCCGCGACTTGAGCTGTGCTTTGCGTACTTGCAATTCTGCCAGTAGAGTGGTAGGCTGCGCAAACACAGGCTCTTCAATATCCCAATCTTCTCGTTCCTGTTGATCTCGGAAATCTTGATCGATTTGATCGCCCTCATCCAGTGCCTGTGCTGTCCGATGCAGGCTATCCGGGTCGTGACGATCAGTGTCATCTCCCACAGGGTGATCCACGTTGACCGCTTGATCAATAAGACCTGATTGCCTTCTGGAAGAGTTGCCAAGATCCTGCCGCGATGTACGCCTGGCGCGCTCTGCATCGTCCAGATCATCACCAGCGCTCATCTGGCCCATGCTCATTTGGCTTCGCCTCTTCCGTAGCTTATTGCCTCCCTCGTTGAAATCTAGCATACTGCCGCGACTGTGTGGACGAGCTCGATCATTTGTCTCGCCGTCCAAGTTCGTGCTGCTCCTCTTGAAAAAGTTTCCAATGCTGCTCTTCCGCCTCGCTTTCTTGTCACTCTTGGGAGATTCTTGCTTAATTTGATTCAACGTGGTGCTTGTGCTGCGTCGATTGTGCATCGGCTTCTCGGGAGCGTAGACAGTGCTGCGAACATCCCCGGCATACGGATGGTCTGTGAAGGCAGTCACAGGTGCATTGGCTGACGAGGCGAGGATGGCGTCCAAGGTTGCGACTGCTGACCCGTTCTGAACCTGGACATCGTGTGGCACTGATGAATGCTGGAAGAACATGGAAGCGCGCAGTTGGGGCGGCAGACTCTGTTGATTGACTGTGCTCATTCTCTGGTTGAGCATGCCTCTTGGATTTGCATCTTCATATGTAGTCGAGTGTGAACCCGAGCGAGCGCTTTTGGGTTCTCCCTGCTCTTCCTCGCCAATGCCCAAGGGAGGGATCCAAGGTGCCGACTCTCTGTTGGCCCGTGGCATGGCCTGTAGCATCTCCGAACGTCTCTTCGCCTGCACATGCGGGGGCGGTTGCTGTGACAGTCTCTTGGGCATATTCAGCATCCGCGGCACAGGTGCTGGGTAGTACACCATGTCTTCGCCTGGCGGCGGCGCTCCAAGGGCCATGGACATGGGTCGTCCGGAGGACATTGGCCTGCCCTGTCGTGGTGTTCGTAGCATTGACGCCATGTCTCCCAACGTGCCAGACGACGTCCGCGCAGAGACGCGCCTAATCTCGTGCCCCTCCTCATCGAGCTCGACATACTCCTCTGTATCAGGGTTGTAGTGCACGCCGTCGAAGTCTCGAAAAGCCAGCTCGGCCTCTTGGAAGGTGTCGGCCGAGTGCGGTCGTTCGATGGGATCGTGGTGATCCATGTTGGCTCGCTCTTGCTCTTGCACTTCGATGGGCGGACTGGGCGGGATGGTGGCGAGGGCTTCCTCGATCTGCCCCGCAATCAGGTCGTAGCGGCGGGCGAAGGAGGAGTGTGAGGTTTGGCGCGAGATGGCGTGTTCCTGCGAGTACAGCGAGGCGCTGCTGGGGGCCAGCGGACTGTCCAGCGGTCGTCCCTCTTGCAGAGGCTCAACGACGATGTGACCACGGCGCGACGACTTGGAGCCCGAGGCAGCGCGTTGGAGAGAGGCCTGAGTCCAGCTCGAGCCTGACCGGAGGCTGCCAATGGGCGAGGTAATGGGGGCGGCGACGGGAGAAGCGATGTGGCCCGCAGGCGAGTATCCTCCCCAACGCGCGTGGGTGTTGACGTCGACAATGCTGTTGGCATACGAGCTGGCACGGCTGCGGCCAGCGGTGGGGTGATGATTACTATTATTGAGCCTCCTGGACAGCGAGGTGCCTCTAGCAAACTCTCCCCCCTGGTGGCTGCTCTGGATGGAATTCTGCCGCGATGCACTTCGACTCGCGCTCCGCTCCCTCTCCCGTATCTTCCTGATCTCCTCCCCGATGTCGCTGCCGCCCGCCGACAGCTCCTCTGCGCTGCGTTCCAGCCGCGTGATGGCAATGCCTCCTTGCGCCGCATCGGGCAGCGGCGACTGCAGCCGCGCGTTGGACACTCGCCTCTCCATGGTCGCAGGTCGCGTGTGTGGAGGTGCCTGAGGCCCGGGGCACACGCCGAATTGCCCAATAGGGGATCGCAGGCGCGGTGAAAGGCTCTCACGACGGCACGGCGGCGTGCTGTCGTCGGTGTCGAAGGTCGATCAGAGGGGAGCTGGCGTCGACGAAGGATCCATGGGCCATGTTGCAGTGGGAGGAAAGCGTTACGGTGCGAGTTTGGCGCAGGCCATGTTTCGCACGTCCGTCGGTTTGCGTTGCTTGCTCGCCCACCACGCGACGCTTCAGCCTCACTTCCCTGCTGTCAATCACCCGCCCCGGCACTTTCCAACCGGCCGACAAGAGCAGAGGATCAGCCTTCGCGCGGGCAACAGATACGAGCTGCAAGTCTTCCCGAACCAGACGCTGCTGTCTGCTGGGCGGCGAGAAGGTATTTATATCCTCCAGCAGCCCGCCGTTGCAATCATGCTTTCTACGAGCATAGCTAGCACCGCAAGCACGACCTGTCTCTCGTCGCTTGTTCTTGCACCACGCTGGAACCTCTTCTCCGCCGCCGCGCACAGCGGGAGATGATGTGCGACAAACACCTGTCGGAGCACATAGGGGAGTCCTGGTTGCTTGTCGGATAGCGATTGCCTCCTCGCCCAATGGCTGCATGCTGACTCAAGCTTTCTGCCCGGCAGTGAAGGATGCACACGCTGCAGTAGCCCGCTGCGGCCAAGCCAATACTCTGCATACATTGTGCTCCTGCAGCACCACCCATCTGGCTTGCATCGAAGCGAGTCGTAGCCATCATCTTCGAATTTTCGTCCTCAGCATCACCACGGTCTGAGAAGTGTATCAAGACGTCTACGCATCTCTGAACATGGACATCCCTCTCGCCTCAAGAAACGGCTGGCCAGAGCGCCGAGACGTTTTCTGTTAAACTGAAACAAATACATGTCCACACCTTGCCCACCGGCCTCGCCTCCATATTCCGAATATTGCTCGCTGTCGAAATAGGGCAACGACCTGCTCCATGATAACTCGTCAGCATCGAAGATCGGCCAGCACTTCTGCACCCGATCAGCTTGCCGACTCCACGACCACCCGAAGCGTGCTAAGACAATGATCCACCGCAGCGCAATCTAGAGACACAAGGCCTGATGAGCACTCCAGCAGATGCAAGAGCGGAGTGACATCCAACGCCTTCCGGATCGTGGCTGACACTTGCGTTATCTGCGCAGCAGCAGACACAATGGGAAGCCTACATGCAAGTAAGATTACTGCTGATAAACAAGCAGCTACGTGCAGGAGGATCACCAGAGTCGCAATCATGGAAAGACGCCCACATCTGCCAGATATTGCCTGAAGACGGCCACCAAGCCAGCACGGCCGCGTTGCACGTCACGCAATTCGGATGCAGTTGTCCATAGTCCACGTACGGCAAGGCACAGAAACACCATGCAAATCATAAGCCGTGTCACTATTGTGTCTGCTGTGTTGCCTCGCGTGCGGCAGATCATGGCACTCTACAACGCCAAGACAACGAACAAGTGGGCTGCAATGACCACGCCAATTCTACAGTACACGATTTGCTCGTTCAGAGTGGACGCACAATGCTCACAAGCAGGTAAAATGCTTCCGCGCATCGAAAACCAGATCCGCGGAGGAGCTGTGGGATGAGGTCACGTTCACTAACTGACCACCTTAATCGGGTAGTTAGTCGGATCAAATAAGCCATTAGACGAGCGACCAAGTCAAGGAAAGTGTCGCTGATATGATGATACTGTAGCCGCAAAGGACAATGGCTTTGCCGAGGTGCGACCCTCGGTGAAGTCACAATGTCACAAACAAGTTTTGAGAATAATCGCTTGCTACCGTCGAAGGAACCTTTCACCATCCCACCATTCGTTGCCGTACGATCAATACTTGTACGAAACTGCTCTGCTTGCCCGTTCAGTAGCGCGTCGCTAGGGGAGCAGGAACTGAGAGAATCAGCTTCACAACTGCTACGCTGTGATACGTTGCCGCAAGACCAGACGCTACAAGACTGACTGTGCTTTCTCGTCGCTCGATGCTTCATTTCTGTGCGTTCCATTGCTCATTTCTTGCCTCTTGTCCTTCCGCCTGTCAACCTCATAAGACACTGTATGCAAGAAGCACCAGGCAAGATGATACAAAGCCACTCCGCGGGGACCGTCGGAACCAAAGAATACGCCGAGTGCGGAGCTACTTGCAAATATCGCGATGCTCGTTGCAGTCTTATGGAGAGACGTCTCGCCGGCGAGCAAGAGGAAGAGCGCGCCGATGACTACCAACTGCCAGCCATGCTAGACGTAGAACGTCAATCAACTTGACATGGACTAGATCTCGTTACATGTACTAACCTGCATGGTGGCTCTGTTGAGAGCAATATTCAACGTAGCGTCGCAACTATGGCTTCCTTCCCACCCAGGCGAGATCATCCAGTTGAAGAATTCCTTGGGATAGAATGCGCCATAGATTCCGAGTAAGATGCTGACGAGGCCGCGTGCTCGTAGAGTGAGTGCTACGTAGGCACCCATGATGGCGTTGATATGTGACGAGCAGATTGCGAAAGAGAAACAATCACTTCTTTATAGGTGTCACAAGAGCACACGCCGCAGTTGGAAGGCTGTGTACGCAGCGGTGCAGCTGGAGACCCTGAATACTGCACGCTGATCGATCCTTTTGGGTGCGACCAAGCAAGAGCTGATGGAGTGGAGGCCTTGGCGAATGTTCGGTCTCGAATTCAGAGGCCATTTGTGGATTTGTCTCTGCAGGAAGCGGAGCAGTGGGCTGTGTATTCGCCATGCCTGCACTTCTTATGCTGTTCTCCACGGAAGAATTGCTGGACAGCACATCTAGTCGCTCGGGGTGAGAGAGGGTGCCATTCCGGTGCTCGATAACTAGGCACGTCCACAGGAGTACAAAGATCCAACATCGCCTAGTTGTGGTCGTAGTCGAGTCCCGTCATCAAGAAAAGTGGTGTAAAATCAACTTTCGCTGGCAAAGACGGACGTATCTCAATCGGCATCGCTCATGTTCGCATCGCTCCCGTCTCTGCTTCTCTCAGACCCGCTGCGACTGTCTCTGTTGCCATTGGAGTGTCCGTTCTCTTGCACTTCTCCTTCACTGTTCTCACTGTTCTCAATGTGTTCCTCATCGTCCCGATCCAGCTCTTCTAGCTCATCCCCGAGGGCACTTTCTCTCGGCTCCAGCTTATCAGCATCCTCAAGCTGCAGTCGCGGGTTGATTTTGGGCAGTGTAGTAGCGCAGACTCTTGTCTTGTTTAACAGATCATCCATGAACTCATCCATATGTGTCAATGCCCATCCTTCTCTTGTGCGCCTCTTCAGCTTCCTGCTATCCGCGAGATATGGCTCGAGCGTTGCATAGACCTCTTCGTCCTTCTCCCACGCCAATCGAATGTAAAAAGCTGCCAAAGCTCGGAGGTACTTGAACTCTTCGCCTGCTTTCTCGAGGTAGAAGGTGATGATCTCGCGCTCCGGAAGAAGTTGCAAAAGCTTGAATGCCAGGCACAAGAATGGCGTCGGTTTCTGCGCAACACCGTATGTCCCGCCGATGAAGGTCAACTCTACTGCGCGATCAAGCAGAGTTGCAGCGTTGAGGCCAAAGCATTGCTCTTTCCAGTAGTACGAATCGACAATGCGGTCGCGAACGGGCTTTTCGAAGAGTTTGAGCGGGTTGTCGCCGCGGACTAACGTGCCCGTATACCCTCGCTCATCGAGCGCGCGTTTCGCGTCGGCCTGATGTGCCATCCTTGCCAACAGAGAGAACACGAGCTGCGTCACCAGAGAGACTCAATTGTTGGCAGCGAAGAACTTTAGTCGTCGATGCGATTCATGTGAAGGTCTTGGCGTTGCCATGTCCGACAGCATATTGACAACTCTATTTATCCGTGTCCCACTTTCGTCACGCTTAATGCTCGAGGAGACCATGCAGCTAACCGTGGCACAAGAAATATCTACCAGCATTCTTATCATTACTGTCCACTTCGGAATGCAGAAATGAGACTACTGCTGACACAAGCACAAGTCTCGGTAGCTCTCTCTTCCACCATTGTTGTTTTCTTCACTCTGCTACTCTTTCTCTCTGGATACGTGCTTCAGCAACGGACTGTCAAGGGACTGCAGGAGGCATTGAAACCTCGCATTCCGCAGCGACCGGCATCGTTGCAGGATGAGCCCGAGTTCGTGGAACTGCACCGGTCGCGGCTGTTTGGGAGAGATGGAGGTGCGAAGATAATCAAGACAGATTACGACCGAGATGTTCACACGTCGGATGCTCAACGACTCGATTGGAACAGGCTGGCACATGTGCAACTCGTGCAGCGACACCATGACCTTTGCGCTGCTATCATGGTGCTGGCAGGGTTACACGAGATGAGAAGTCCGGCAAAGAGGATTCTCATGATACCGAGTGCGTGGGTGCAACAGAAGAAGAAGGGGGAGAGCGAGGACCCATACCTCGACAGCACGAGAAGACTATTGAGACTAGCGCATAGACGGTATGGAGTCTTGCTACAGCCAATGGAGCCCATACGGAGCAATGAAGAGGAGGGAGATGTATACTCGCTGGCGAGTGCATATCAGCTCTACGGCAGCATCGACCGCATACTCGCGATAGAAACGCCAGGACTGGTGCTCGATGCAGAACCTCTCGATGCACTACTGGGCTTCACCGAACCTTCGCCCTTCGTCATGCTGCACGATACTGTCAAGAACGACAACATACATTCAGAAGACTTGTTCCTCATACAACCTTCGAAACCGACGTACGCCCGATTGAACGCAACGCTCGAGACACCGGAGTACACCAGCTACCACGACACATACCTCTCATCCCTGTTCTCAGAGCCAGTACTTCTGGACTCGAGTACGGATACCGGAGCACTAATCCGCTCCATTGGCACACTGCACGATGTGGCAGCAGAATCAGAGTTCAATCAAACGGCATACCTGGACAATGTCGCATACATTCGTTTTTCAGATCCGAAATTGCCTGGTCCACAGTACGATGTGCCTTTTGCGATGAAGCGGGAAGCACGTCCGAAGCACAAAGATGCGGATTGGGCGTATACGAAGTTGTATGGCGAATATGCACAAAAGCGTATGGATATCTGCGGGCTGGACCTGGAGAGTTGGCGGCCGGAGTGATAGTCTTTTGATGAAGCGAAGGCGTTTGGGATTGATACCAGGTTGTAAATGCAAGAAGGATAGAATGGTACAAATCACGACAGCTTGTTCACGAGCTGTGAAGCAGCGTGCCATAGACATGAATAAACCATACCCAAGAGGATCTGAAACCAGACTCTCAAATGGTAGCAAATGCCAAGAATCACTTCTTGGACGTACGTCAACTTCAGCTTCGCCATGTCTTGGAGACGAAAGCTTATCATGCCACGTGCTCAATTGCTGCATCAGTGTAGGAGCACTTCAATGCCAAGCAAGAGGGACAAGATCTAGATAGGGAATCTTTTCTGCCACCTTCACAGTGGCGGTTCAGAGCGGCTTTTGACATACAGTAGCAGCCATGGCCAGATCATCAAGTCCTTGCGCACCAAACGACTTGCGAAAGCCTCCATGAAAAGAGGAGGCGCCTTCATGCGGATGCAAAACTGAACAAAATCGACAAGATGTCAGCGACCGGCGGGAAGAAGTCCTGGGTCACAAAGACCGGGAACCAGTTCCGTAAAAATGGAACACTTCGTCCAGCTCGACTCCTCCAGCAAGACGTCAAACAATACCTTCAGCGATGGCCTACAGACTGGTCGATCTTCAATCAACTCGTGCTTGCCAGCGCTGTGTACGTCTTCTTCACAAACTTGTTGCCCGGCATCACTTTCGCTTCCGATCTCTTCCAACGGACAGGCCAAAATTGGGGTACGATTGAGATAGTTTTCGGCACTGGTTTATGCGGCATCATCTTCAGTCTCTTCTCATTACAGCCATTGGTCATTCTGGGCATTACTGGTCCTTTTACGGTGCTTGCTGAGAATATATACAAGCTATGCGCAGAAACCTTTCAGGTGGACTTCCTCCAGTTTATGGCTTGGACTTTGATACATTCGGGGTGGATGCATATCCTCTTGGCTGTTTTCAATGCCCATGACTGGACTATGCTCTACGTGACGGAGTTCAGCTGCGAGATATTCAGTTTGCTGAATAGTATCATCTACTTCCACAAGGCTGTACAGGAGTTAGAGCGAGCCCACAAGACATTGGACCAAGCAGCATTCCTGTACGCAATCATTGGGGCGGTGGGGACGTTCATGCTCGCACTGTTTCTGAGTACTGCAGAACGCTGGCCTCCGATTATCCACAAGTACTTCCGCATGGGTCTTCGAGAATACGCGGCGGCGATAAGCATCATCTTCTTCATCGGCATACCGTACGCAGGTGACCTCAAGTCAGTGAACAAGGACACCCTCTACACATCCAGCGAAAGGTTCCGTCCAACTCGCCCAGGACGAGACAACTTCTACGTCCCATTCTGGCAGCTATCTGCACCCTGGGTCTTCGCCGCCATGATCCCTGGCTTCATCATCACAGTCCTCTTCTTCTTCGACCACGAAATCAGCAGCATAATCTGCACAATTCGTCGCTACGGCATCCGTAAACCAACCGGCTACGCCCAAGACATAGTCCTTCTGGGCTTGACCACCGCCCTCTGCGGCATCCTCGGCATCCCACCAGCCAACGGGCTCCTCCCACAAGCGCCCCTCCACTCCGAAAGCCTCCTACACTCCGACCCCTCAGAAACCACCACCGAAATCATAATCGACAAACACGGCATCGAACACGAAATCCAAACGCCCGCCCAACGTGTCCACGAACAACGTTGGTCTCACTTCCTCCACGCAGCCGCAATCCTCGCCTTCATCGCTCCACCCCTCCAACTCGTCCTCGGCTTGACCCCAACTTCCGTCCTCGCAGGCCTCTTCCTCTTCATGGGTCAACAATCTCTCTCCGTAAACCCAATCCTGGACCGAACATTCCAACTTTTGACTCCACCTTCTGACCTCCCACCTCTGCCAGAGAAAATAAAATCTTGGTGGCAGATACACACTTATACTTTGTTCGAGATTTTGATGGCTGTGGTGATTTTTATTGTGACGTTAACGGTTGCTGGACCGGCGTTTCCGTTGATAATTGCGGCGCTTGTGCCGTTTAGGTTGTTGGTTATGGGGAGGATTTGGTCGAAGGATGTTTTGAGGTTTGTGGATCGGTGGGCTTGTAGGGAGGGGACGCCGGAGGATGAGGGGCCTCCGGGGAGAGGGGATGGGGGCGATGCGGTGCTACAGGCTACTGCGGTGCAGGATGTGGAAAGTGGAGTGGTGAATGAGAAGAGTGCTGTGGTTTCGAGTGCTGACAACGGTATTGAGCGGCGTGATTTTCGTGAACGATAGATGAATAGATGAAAGTCATGTGTAGAGCTGGGTCTTCCGTCCTGATGTACATCTTTCTTATTGTTACATGTGTGTTTGTACAGATAGTCGCGAGAAGGCTAGGCATAATCGCCTCTCATCTCGTTGACGATGTTTCGTTGTCGCTGCGCACTCATCCTCTCGAAGCGATCAACAACCATCGTGAATGTTCCTCTGCCCGCAGTCAGGCTTCGAAGATGTTTCAAATACCCTACCATCTCCTTCAGAGGGACTCTTGCCACAATCTGTCGCATGCCCGATCCTCCTGTGCCCACATTCCCCTTCAATGAAGTGCTGCTGCCTGCGAAAGGATCCGGGGGAGTGTATATGCGAGCCACATCAATGTCTGGAGAAGACGTGTCTTGCTCGTCAGCGCCGAGAGACACGACGGAACCTCCACGCGCCGAAGAAATGTCGTGCACGACTGAGCCCAGCGAGTCTTCGTCTACCGAAATCGTGACCAACATGACGGGTTCCATCATCACGGTCTCGGAGGATGTAGCACTGGATTTTAAGGCAGATTGCGTCGACAAGCGTGCTGCAGAAGAAAGTGCCGACGGCGTCGTGTTCGGGAAGATGTGTCGCGCTGGGTCGAAGGTGAGGTTGATAATCGTGGAATGCAGCGGGTAGCCATGAGTTGGACCTCGCGCCAGCGCTGCTGATACACCGTGACGGAGAGCCTGAAGAATCACTGGGAGCGGTAATTCCTCCGGCAGACCAGGTTGCTCCTCTTCTATTGGAGAGCCATCGTGTTGCAGAGTAGGCGTCGATATGACGAGATAATTCTCGTCGTGCATCTCGAAAATATGCGTATGCCTGCCGTTCTCCTGTGTTGGCTGTTCGTGAGCGTGCTCAACCGCAGCCGTACAGGCTGCCTTTGCGCTCTTACCGCCAATGTCACGATCGTAGGTTTCTGTAGCAGCTCCACTAGCATCCGTGATTGCTTCCCTGTAGCCGATCTCGATATTACCGATGCGAGCTTTGGCTTTGAAGTCGTTCACCAGTCTGTCGCGGGCAATCTCGAGGTGCAGCTCGCCCATGCCGGACAGGTGGGTCTGACCACTCTCCTCATCAACAGACACATGCAGGCTGGGATCTTCACGGAGCAGCAGTGCCAACGACTCTGTGATCTGCTTTTGTTCGGAGAGGCTGTTCGGCTCTACGCTGACAAAGAACACTGGCGGAGGTATATTAATCGGCCGCAGTTGCAACGTGCTGACTGGTGGCGGAGGTCCAGTCTTGGGGTTGGCTCCTTGGTACGAAATGATAGTGTCGCCGGTCCTTGCAAATTTTAGGCCCGGAATGACCCCAATTTGCCCGGCAGGAATGGAGTCGATATCGACCGCATCGTTCGCGTACATCTTCAGCAGCCTCTGAGGTCGTTCGATATTCATGAGGTTCGTGTTCCACAAGGCGGCATTACGGTTGACTGCACCAGAGTAGACACGCACATAGACCAGGACTCCACGTTTGGCATCTGCAACAACCTTGAATGCTAGAGCACAGGCTTCCAGCTTCTGAAGCGACATGGCAGCCTGTTTCTTACTCAAAGCTTTGCCAGACGTTTTGCGGCTCTCGCTGGCTTCGACCACGAGTTTGCCGGACAAGAACGCGCCAAGTCCACCTTTGGTAGTCGCAGCAAGACTGACCTCAGGATCTGGTCTTTCCTCCGGAAAAGGTAGAAGGTCCACTACCGCGTCCAGGAGAGGTTGTACGCCAACATTTCTGAAGCTGGCTCCTGCAAAAACTGGGGCTACTTGCTGTGGATGCTGCAAGACGCACCTCCGCAACGATTCAATGATGTCGGTGGCACTGATAGCCAGGTGATCTTCGTCGGTTTCCAGATATTTCTCCACCATCTCGTCGTCATGCTCGGACAGCCGCTCTACCAGTGCTATGCGCGCCTTTTCGAGCTCCGATGCCAGGTTTGGGTCTTCTTTGGACAACTGCTCAAGGTCGAAGACGGCGATATTCTTGCCATCGCCGCCTTCAGCATATTTAAGGCCCTTGAGTCCGATCACGTCGCCGACGCCTTGCAATCGCCCATCAGCAGTCCACCAGGGAATGCCGCATACTGCAGGCCATGCACCTAATCTCAATCCGATCTCCTTGACTGTCCGGGAAAATGCCGCACCATCTCGGTCGAGCTTGTTGACAAAAATGATCTTGGGAATCGCGTAAACTGAAGCTTGAGCCCAAACCTTCTCAGTCTGGGCTTCGACGCCAGCGACTCCGTCTAGAATGCAGACAGCGCCATCCAGAACTCGTAGTGAGCGTAGTACTTCGAAAGTGAAATCCGCGTGTCCAGGTGTGTCGATTAGATTAATGTTATGTGGTACTGAAGACCTGGGCATGCCCGGCTTGAGAGTCTGCAACTTGTCCTCTGCGGATGGTGGCCATGAGAACGAAATGGCCGCCGACTGGATTGTGATGCCTCGAGCTCGTTCAGCGGGCAAGAAGTCCGTTACTGTGCTGCCTTCGTCGACATCTGCAACGCGTCAGATATACAAACCTCGAGCGCCGCAACACGCAGCAGGCCGTCCATTGCTTTTTCTTCCTGGAAATGAATAGAGAGCAGATCCTACCTCCTATGCGTCGCGTGAAGCCGCTATAGTAGAGCATGCGCTCCGTAGTTGTTGTTTTACCCTACCTTGCGTGAGAAAGTGGTCCGACTTCTAGATTCAGCATTACATACAGCATCAATATGGGCAATGATACCGATGTTTCGCGTTCGCAATGCGGCCCCATCTTGTGTTGCCTGCGCGCTACGTGCAAGCGAGCTCGTATATGATCGGACATGTTTGAGGTCGGCGCCGCATGCGCGTGCAAGGTGCTGTCTACGCAGCCATGATGCCCGCATCACCCTCGCAGAGATGTGATGGACAGGCCAGGGCGGTAAAAGGAAAGGAGCTGCTGCCGGTACGCGAGTCGAAGGACGAGACGAGAATCACACAGGGAGAGTTTGCCGTCGTGTTCTGCTTCTCCATCACCCAACCCATGTCGTCGGTGCTCGCTTCCGAGAGCACCGTGATCCACCACCACCATTCCTTCCACGATGAACACCCACGACTACGACAGCCCGACTCCAGGCAGCTCTTCCAACGCCGCCGGCAAACAAAAGGTCGCGGATCCGCCCACACTATTTCGCTTCCAGCGCCGACAATCAGAACGATATTTCTTGGAGACCGAGTACCGCGAATCCGAGCACACGCCCACGATGGAGTATCCCAGCGGACAGAGCCCATGGGCCTCGTCGCCCGAAGCGAGTCGCCAGAGCTTTGGTGACGACACACTACCTCGAGAAGACCTGCCTGCGCCGGCAGTACAGATGCCCGACAACGAGCACGAACATGCGAATGGAGAGGGCTGGTCTTCACAAGCGCAGCAGAGTCAATGGCAACAGCAGCAGCCGCAGCCTGAGCAGCAACCTCAGCAACAGCAAGCGCCGCAGCAGCGTGTGGGCTCAGGTGAGGAGAATAGGAGACCCAACTCGGCCAGATACCACAATGTACAGCCACCGCAGCAGCAACGACAACATGTGCCTCAGTACAAGCTGCAAGCCAAGATTACAGGCCTGGAGAGGTCCGACAAGAAAGATCCCATCTTGCGGTTCGATGTCTATGTATGTCGGACATGCTAGACTGGTCACGAGCTGTTACTGACTGTCCTCCAGACCAACCTGCCTAAATTCCGAACAACACAATTCCGTGACATTCGCCGCAAGCACTCCGAGTTCCAGAAGCTAGGAGCTCATCTGATCGCCTCAAATCCTGAGGCGCTTGTACCTGCAGTCCCACCCGGGTCATCGAGCGCTGGAATGGGGACGGATGAGGATGAGAAGATCACAAAGAAGGCTCTGCAGCGATGGTTAGACGTCATCTGCTCGAACGACGTTCTTATGAGGGACGAAGAAATGGTCTTCTTCGTGGAGAGCGACTTTGGATACAGCCCAGTAGTGCGCAAAAAGCAGGCAGCGACAGGCATGAGGAGGAAAGTGCTCAAACAATTCGCACCACCTCCGGACGACACACCTGAATTGCTTGAAAGCAGGCCAATCGTCAAGGCTTTCTACCTGGGTTCCATGGATGCGCAGCAGAAAGTCGACAAGGTTGTCAAAAGCAGACGAGGTAAGACTACATCATGCAACAGTTGGTCCTTCTCATACTAACCCTGTGCAGCACTCGGTACAGCAGAGTCGGATCTTGGCACGAAAGTGGCGGCATTATCCAATAACGAGCAGCACAATGGCCTTGCAAATGCATACCGAAAGCTGGGAAAGGTTGTACAGAATACTGGAGACTTTCACTCAGCTCAGGGCACAGCAGAGGCTACGACGCTTTCGGACCCACTTGCATACCACAGCAGTGATGCTTTTATCGTGAAGGAAACGCTCACGAACCGTCACATCCTCCTCCGGGAACTGGCACAAGCGCAGAATGCCACGCGCAGCAAGTTGCAGTCTGCAGATCGACTAAAAGCCAGCTCCAGTGTAAAGCGCGACAAAGTGGACGAGGCTATCTCGGCCTTGGACGAGGCAAGGAGCCACGAGGCATATCTGCAACAGAAGACACAACGCGTAACGCAGAATCTGGTTCTCGAGAAACGCAAGTGGTTTGCCCGAACGGCAGCAGAAATGAGGACGGCAGTGCGCGAATACGTGATCCGAGAGATTGAGGCCGAGCGCCGGACGCTCGCCACGCTTGAGCAAGTCCGTCCTGAAGTGCGCAATATCGACGCATCAGGAGGTCTTAGTAGGCTTGGACGGGAAGCGCATCCTGTCGTGCGACGCTCTAGTATGGCTTCCAGCCAAGGTCCCAAAGGCGACGCTTGGTCTGGTGTACCTCGCCGTCCAGATGGCCTAAACAGGAGCATCAGTGGCAGCTTTGCCCCCGGCGTGCCTGGTGCGGTACCAGAAGAGGGCGAAGAGGATACTGTTGAAGGAAATAGGAAGCGTGCAACAAGTTCGGCCAGCAGCCTGGGCAAGTTGGCAGAGGACGATGATGATGACAGGATCGATGCGCGGAATGCAGCAAGTCGACTAGCACAGACTACGTTCTGACCGCGATGCCGTGCGGAGATAAAGGTGCGATGACGACTGGGAACGCCGGGTAGACCTAATGATAGCGCAAGCGTTGCATGTATGATCAGGAGACAACCGCATTTCTTCTTGTATATATTGTTGTAGTGCTACGTGGACTTCGACACATGTATTGAGCGGAAGGCACGTGCAGGAACGTCGCTTACGACTGATAACGCGGATTTGTAGCCGAGGCCGGAGCAATGCACTCTACTTTGGCCAGATTGTGCAAGCACGCAAGTCTCCCATTTTCCACACTCGACATCATGCCTACGCGTGTCCTCATAGTCGGCGCTGGCGCCATTGGAGCTTTCTACGGATCGCGACTTGCAACAGCATCGAATACAGCGGTCTCGGCACTTTGCAGATCCAACTTCAAAGCTGTCAAAGCCGACGGCTTCAAAGTGTCGTCACCTAAATACGGCGAGCAGATTTTCAAGCCGGAATACGTCTTCGGCTCACCTGAAGATGCAAGGAACGCGAAGGTGAAGTGGGACTATTTGCTTGTTGCGACAAAGGCACTTCCCGATGTCAGTGACGATTCTGCTCTGTTGGAAGGCTTAGTATCGCCTGGGACTAGCATAGTACTTGTGCAGAACGGCTTGGGAGTGGAAGAGCCATATCAGAAACGCTTTCCGGATGCATCAGTTCTGAGTGCTGTTACCATTGCCAGTGCTGCTCAGCCCGAGCATGGCATTATCCAGCACAATCGATGGACGAGGATCTCAATTGGCCCATATTTGCCACATCTTGACCGAGGCGGTTCAGGAGCAAAAGACACCGACTCCAAAGCTATCGAGAGCAACAGAACGATAGTGCAACTTCTTCAAGAGGCTGGGATCGCAGATGCAGAAGAGTACGACCATGCTGGTTTGCAATTCGTTCGCTGGCACAAGATCGCCATCAATGCAGCCATGAATCCATCTTCGGTGCTCTCTGGAGGCTGTGGCAATCAGGAAATGTCCTTGGAACCAGAATTATCTCGCCATATACTCGGCATCATGCACGAGGTACTGGACACCGCTCCAAAAGTGCTCGGCAAACCTCTGCCTCCCAAGCTCGCAACGGCGGAGAAGATCCTAGAGTCAACGAAACGGAACAGCTCTGGCAGTAAGCCTAGTATGTGGGGAGATTGGTCGAAAGGAGCGAAGATGGAATTGGAGGTCATCTTGGGAAACCCCATTCGGATAGCGAGGGAGAAGGGGATTGAGATGCCAAGGCTGCAGACGATGTACGCGTTGATCCGAGCGGCACAGAAGAATAGAGACAAGGCGAAGGAGAATAAGTTGTAGAAAGGCCGTGGGATTGGCCGCGTAGCACTCGGCGTGTTGCGCGGAACACTTTATCCTTCAGAAAGCGCATGCCATATGCCGAGCCTTTGAGGGATTTGCTGTCGAGGCATCGATGAAGGCCCGATAGCTCGTGGAGGGCAGTAATGTTAGGTGTTCTCGCCCAAGGTCTGCAAGTTTCGGGGCCACTGGGTTTTGACCACACATGAAGCAGCACATGTTTTGACGCATGCGAGCAGTTCGGTGGCAGTGGCTGGGACGGGTCAGAGTGAGACATTGACTGATGCAGGCCGAAGTTCAGGCCCCATCACCTGATGACTGACCGGGTTGCACATGCACGTGTGATGTAGCCGCAGGTACAAGGGACAAATATAGTGTCGACGTCGTCAACGCCGATTTCTCTATATCTCCGCGCTCGCCGCGAACAATGGCAGCAGCGTCCATTGTTACTGTCGAGCAGACCGAGTCGACGGCCTGACGCAGGTGATCCGCCCTCTCGCTAAAACGCCTCCGGGCTGAAGATCGCATCGAGCGAGGCATTCCCCGCAGCACAACCTACAGCTCCATCGTCGACAGTAGCGTCTGCGCTTCTGCCTCTACCTCACCTGTCACTGCCACGTGGATTCGCCTGAATAAGAGCACCAGCGCTGGTCGAGACTGTTGATGACTGTGGAGAGATCGAATTCCCCAGCTTCCGATTGACGATACGCAGCTCGAAGCACGCACCACCCCGACCCGGCTACGTCAGGACGACCAGCGAGAACGAGAGCCTTGCAAGTTGCATTCCTCCCACTGCCCTCCCTCCTCGCTCTGCTGCTTGCGTCCCGTCGCCGCCCTTCCTCCAGCCCCACCGCCTTTGTCCGGCGGCGAAGCCTCCTCCTGGGCGCACACGAACCGCCCTCCGCCTGCGCAGCCTCTCCGCGCACCCTGCGACCGCGACGCCGCGCTGTCCAGCCATTGGGCACCAAGCTCCCGGCCTTCCGCCAGAGCTCCCCCACTGCGTTGCACTGCACCTCCCGGGCCTGCTCCTCGACCAGGCGACTTTCTGGCACGCACCCCGTCGCCCAGAGACAAGGAATAGCCCAGCTCGTCGGCACCTCCAGACACCTGCAGTCAAACGGATCGTGTGTCGCGGCACCGAGATACACGCAGCAGCAGCTGGCCGCATCAGACACCACTCCACCCATTCATTCCCGCTGCGTGCACGTCCGCCGCAGCTGTGAAGACGGGCAGCGTGCGCTCGAGACATTGGGACTGCTCACGTGCAGCGTCTTTGTGCGTCCATTGAAGCAGCATCAGCTGCGGTACCGCCGTTTTAGTCTCCACCTCCACCACCGCCCGCCCGGCACTGCGCGCGATCACCGCAGGAGCAGCGCATTATCCTCTTCGACATTCCCATCCCCGCTTACACGAGACGGGCGAGAAATTGGCGACCCCAAAGTCTTTGCCCCAAGATCCCTGCGTGCCACGGAAGCGGAAGGAACCAGCCGACACAGATAGCAACAACACCGCCTCTGTAATGCCGTCGCTCGGTTTTCTCAAGAAAAAGCGCACCAAGGACTCGTCGCAGGGGTCCGAAGGCCCAACTTCGCCCACCATCGGCTCTCCCATCACCCCCACCACCACTAAACAAAGTGCCACCCTGTTCACGGATCCCGACACCCTGCAGCGTTCGCAAACACAGCAATCGCAAACAGCCAACGTCACCGACACCCCGCAGCAGACCTCCGCCACTGTTACACCTGCGACAACGCAGCAGGCCAACGGACAAGCTATGGGGACCTCCGTTCAGCCTAGCATTGCGAATCTCATCAACCAGCCCAACCAACATGCGCAACACGACTCCGCCTACTCTTCGGCCAACTTCGGCGACCAAAATGTGCCCCAGATCAATGCGCCAGCACAGAAGCCTACCACGAACCCACTGCGCGAGACGAGAGGCAAATACACGCTGCAAGACTTTGTCATCAACCGCACATTGGGCACAGGCTCGTTCGGCAGAGTGCACTTGGTGCAGAGCAAACACAACCAGCGCTTCTATGCCGTCAAAGTGTTGAAGAAGGCGCAAGTTGTCAAGATGAAGCAAATCGAGCATACCAATGACGAGCGCAAGATGTTGCAAAGGTGCAGACATCCTTTCCTGATTACACTCTGGGGAACGTGGCAGGACTCGAAGAATCTGTACATGGTCATGGACTTTATTGAAGGTGGAGAGCTGTTCAGTCTTCTGCGAAAGTCGCAGGTAAGCGTGTAACGACCAGCACGTGGTTTGTGCGAAGCTAACAGTAGCCAGCGTTTCCCCAATCCAGTCGCAAAATTCTACGCTGCAGAAGTGACACTCGCTCTGGAATATCTGCACAGCATGGACATCATTTACCGAGATTTGAAGCCCGAGAACTTATTGCTAGACCGGCACGGACACATCAAAATTACCGATTTCGGCTTTGCGAAAGAAGTGCCGGATATTACCTGGACACTGTGTGGTACACCTGATTATCTCGCACCTGAAGTGGTGAGTAGCAAAGGCTACAACAAGAGCGTAGATTGGTGGAGTTTGGGCATCCTCATCTTTGAAATGCTGGCGGGGTTCACGCCTTTCTGGGATTCCGGGTCACCTCTCAAGATCTACGAAAACATCCTCAAGGGTCGTGTCAAGTACCCGCCATACATTCACCCTGATGCGCAGGATCTACTTTCGAAGCTCATCACCGCGGACTTGACCAAGCGACTGGGTAATCTTCACGGAGGTAGCAAGGACGTCATGAACCATGCTTGGTTCGCCGAGGTCACATGGGATCGACTTGCGAAGAAAGACATCGATGCGCCATACGTGCCACCAGTTCGAGGAGGCGCCGGTGATGCAAGCCTTTTCGACAAATATCCCGAAGAGACTGAAGCGTACGGACAGACCGGAGACGATCCGTAAGTGGTGAAATGCGTGCTCAACATGAAGCAAACTAACTTGCCTACAGTCACGGAAGGTCTTTCCCCGACTTCTGAGAGAATCGTCCTGCAGATGAAGACACGCGATCTGAGCTTCTCGAAGCGATCTCTCATCGCCTCTTACAGAACCACCAATCGACAGTCACTTACTAATGACCTGGCGACCAGTGGGGCATATCGAATCCGGGCTACAGCGAGCAAGAAATTAGAGACTGTTCAGGCGACGATACAGCTTCTTGCACAACACACTCGGATCAATGTTTTGGAAAAGATCTGGGAATAATTAGCAATGATTTGATTTGAGGGGAACGCGCGCACGCATGCAAAAAGTGGCAATCTGTTCTTGGTCATTGGAATGGATGCATGAGCACACGAGCACACACACATTCGGATCTGGTTAGGTGCGTTTCCCTGAGTGCGATTCTTGGAACGCGGTATTTGAGTACGAACGAAAACTTTTCTGTATGGATAGCATGACCTGTTTACGAAAGGGGCTCTTCCTAAGCAGACGATTCAATGAGAATGCACTTGTGCAAGCAGTAGATTACACAAGACAGTGGGACGGAGTCGAGAGCCTGGCGAGATTCGAAGCACATGACAAGCTCGCATTCGCGTTTGACGGCTTTACTTCATGACGTCGTTGTTTCCGAGGAGCCACCGTAGAGACTCGCAAGTGAATAATAGGCACAGCTGGGCTACACGACTGATGATTGAAGTGCTCACCAGAGATTTGCGATGAGTATGACGAGACAGATGGTCAACGTCGAATACGCTGTATACCGCTTTGAGCAAGAGTGCGTATTCACCCGGATCGAGCGATCGTCTTGGCATGAGGCTTGAACACAAACTCGAGGAACAACAGGACGAAACGAGCTGAGCTTCTTTCCAGCGGCACAACATCTGAGAGTGGTTACTTTTCCACCACTCGAGTGATCTGCACAAGCTGTCGCAAACGTATACGCATATTGCTCCTTACGGATTGAGAGGCACAAGTCAAGACGGCTTTTCACTACTACTTTCACGATCAGCTCTTTTTGAGTTCAAGTCTAGTCCAGAAGTAGACCTGCGCGGACTCGCTTATGAGTGGCATCCAATGGGCATGTGTTGGCGTAGAAGCGCATGTTTGTGTGTGCGGCCACAGACGCCATCATCATGTCGAGTCGAGTTGTGGTATATATTGTGGATGCTAGACGCTCTGGACGAGCTCTAGATGAGATATAAAGGAACTCACTCAGCCCTACCTGGCAGCCCAATCTAATTGTCAACAACTGCTTACGGCGTCAAGATGGCAGTACAAGGCTACATCGACCCGAATTTTCCCAACCCTATGGGCCCGAACGATGCGACAATCATCATTTATGGATATACGCCTGCACTAGCAGTTGGTGTGCTCGGAGTTGTGCTATTCTTCATCGCGGCTGTGGCACATCTTTATTTGCTCATTCGACACCGAACATGGTATTTCACACCGATGCTCGTGGGAACAATCAGTACGTTTCTCACCCTTCCCATTTCTAACAAATGCTAATACAACATTTCTCTCCTACAGTGGAAATTGTAGGCTACACCTTCCGCCTCCTCTCCAGCCAACAAAATCCCTACTCCGTCCCCTACTTCGTAATCCAATACTTCTTCATCGTCGTCGCACCCGTCCTCTTCAGCGCCGCGATCTACACCATCGTCTCTGTGATGATCAATATCTACGGCCGAGAATTCGCTCCTTTGCCGCCGAAAGCCGTGCTGGGAATTTTCATCACTTGCGATATCGTTGCGACGATTGTGCAAGTTGCTGGAGCGGCTCTTGTGGGTGTGGCGTATAGCAATCAGAAAGATCCCACGACACCGAATAATATTTTGTTGGCGGGATTGGCGTTTCAGGTTTTCTCGTTTGCGGTGTTTTTGGTTATTCTGACGTGGACGTTGGTGAAGGCGAGGAAGAGTCCGGAAAGGATAAATGCTGGCTTTGTGGTAGGACTGGTCATGGCGACTTTGGCGGTGTATTTGAGGACTGTCTTTCGTCTCGCTGAGACTGCAGAGGGATTGATGGCGACGCTCTCGACGCATGAGGTGTATTTCGGATGTCTGGAATTTGCGCCGATCGTTGTTGCTGTCTTCATCTTTACGTATTGGCATCCTGGACGTTGGCTCAAGTCTGGAGTTCTGGCGGAGAGGATGTTAGTGCAAACTGAGAAGGCTTAGCTGGAGACCAAGCGCAGTTGGTACCACATTTCGTCAACATTGCCATCCTCGAACACGGACGGGAAGGCCATAAGTTCATCAATCTCAGGATCCTGGACTCTCGACAGAAACGCGATGATTGCACCGCACGCAGCTCTCGCCTTCTTCGTCAGCCACCACTGATCAACCTGCTGTAGAAGTGCCAGCCAGTATGAGAGCAATAACAGTCCTCTCGGATCACGAATATAGACAAGAGGCTTCAGAGATGGCCAAGTCCTGCCGAGAAAGGCGAAGAGAGTTGCAAAATTGCTAGGGGCTGGCTCTAGACACAGAAGCGGTGCAAGTCCCCGAACAATCTTGTGATAAGGGTTGTTGTGGGATGTCGACGTCTCATCCATCTCGCACAGCTTGACGAAAGGCTCCGGCAGACCCTCGATACCAGGTGCCTCAGATGTGAAGGTTCCAGCAGAGTCATCAGTCCCGTACAATATGGGCAGCCAGCTCGACTGCGCATTGTTGTCGCGTGGAAAGAGATGAAATAGGCTTCGAAATCCTCCGGTCGTCTCCAGCGGAGTGAAGAAGTGCTCCAGACCGTGCTCATCGGAGAGAGTAGTCCCTTCAAGGCCTTCTTCGTGCATAGAGAATGTATACATGATCGACAGAAAGGTTGTTGCGACCAGCGCGTCCCATTGATCGATGCTTTGTCCCGGCTTCATAGTGGTCAGATTCTTACGATGGAGCTGCAAACCATTTTCCCAATGTGTTGCTTCCGCCAGTAAGCTTGCAGAATGACCGACGTGCCTCTGATGCGCACATGAAATCTGCGCTATCAGTTCAATAGGGTCCGATGTGCAGCGTGAAGAGACTTACTGCAAGGACCATGTGCATCAGGTACGGATGATCCCATCCTGAACTGGCGACACATGACTGCATGACATTGCTCGTCCGCGGGCAGCCCAGGGTGGTGGAGACATATGATTGAAAGTGCTGGAGTATTCGAATGTCGCTGACATAGGCTGTACGTATGGGCGGATGCTCGGTGCTAGGACATAGCAGGCTTTGTAGGTCAGTCTGTGCCAACTGAACAGCCATGCTGTACATTTCTGAGCCGAGATGTGGTGTGGCGTTGTTGATCGGAGTTCCAGGACAGGTCGAGGACGCGCGTGGTGGCGTTGCAGTGTGCGAGAAGATGCACCCTATCTCTAACTTCACACATCGACCACAAGCGGGCAATGTTTCTGTGATGTGCAATTTAGAAGTTGATATGAACATTCTTTCAGGCCATCGAACCTACCATCGCACTGCACGTATGTCAGTTATTGCGCGAGTGTGGGTTCAGTCCACTGACCTTGATCCGGCGTTTCTTGCATGCTTGACATCCACCACGAGACTTGGTATGTGCCTTGCGAGGAACGAATGCTCTAGGGGCGTGGGTGTTTCGGGCACGATTGTGGGCCTCTATCTTGAATACCACCTGAAAAGGCTTGATGTCTTTCTTCGCGACCATGGTGTGCCATCGGTGAACTGGAGACAGTCAAATTCCTGATATCTTTCGCTTCAAACCTGCTTTTCCCGCTGCCGAAAAAAGCTGGAAATGTCAGAAATCGTAAAGAGGTTCGATGTTCATAGAGTTGATGCAGTTGAATAAAAGTCGGATGTCGAAGTCACACTGACCACGGCCAAGTAAGACAGCTTGGATAAGGTTTGTGCTTGTTTGAAGGATGCGCGATCTGCCAGATATGGCTAGATCCAAACACTCCCTCACGACCTACCCTCCGTTCAGGACACATTTTTGAGCACGTTGTCCACCATGACCTCGCTCAAGCCCAGATAGTTCGCAGGATCGCACAGTCGTTCTAGCTCAGCATCGTCCAAACCGGCCCGTTGGACCTCTTTGTCTGCTTTCAAGAGCTCCAGCAAGCTTCGGTCCTCGACATTTGCTCTCCTGCAAAGGTCATACACCAAGTCGTGCGCGTATTGCCGGCCGATCGACTTGCCAAGTCCCATCATCACCGCCTCACTCACTATGGCGCCTTTGCTGAGCTCCAGGTTCTTCTTCATGCCTTTCTCATCAACCTCAATGCCATCCAGCAGATAATGGGTCTGCTTGAGGCAAGCATGACTCAATGCACATATTTGAGGCAGCATGATCCACTCGATCTCCCAAGGACCAGTACTTCGTTCGAAATCTGCGACAACAGCCTCTACAATACCACTCGCCATTGTCCTTACACTGCTGGCCATGGAGCAGATATACGCACAACCAATCGGATTGCGCTTTTGAGGCATGGTACTGCTGCTGCCTCGATGAGGCACATACGGTTCGCGAGCCTCAGCGACTTCAAGCTGCATCATCAACTTAAGATCGGTGGCAAATTTGGCGCATGTTGCGGTTAGTACAGCCAGATAGTTGGCGGCCTCTGCGAAGTTGTCACGCTCTGTGTGCCAGGCAATCTCTGGGACAGCTAGGCCAAGGTGAGCAGCGAACAGCTTCTGACAGCGAAGTCCGAGAGGCTCAGTCTCATTTTCAGAAGACTCTGGAACGGAGTATGAAGTCTCTGGCGTTATAGTGGCCAAGGTGCCAGCAGCCCCGGAGAATTGTGCGACAAGAAGGCGAGGGCGCAACTCGGCAAGACGTTGCTGGTGACGCTTGAATTGAGCTAGGAGGCGTGCCATCTTGAACCCGAAGGATATGGGGACGGCCTGTTGCAAGTTACTTCGTGCCGCCATGGGCGTGCTTCGATGCTTGTCGCACAGCGTCGCCAAAGCTGAGGCGATGTTCTCGAGAGCCTTCTCTACCAAGTTGAAAGTGTCTCGTAGCTGGAGCACGACGGCTGTATCTGTGAGGTCCTGCGTCGTCGTGCCCCAGTGGATCCATTCTCCCAGACCAGGCTCTACAGCATTGATCTTCTTGACGAGCTGCTGGACAACAGGTAGGACTGGGTATCCTATCAGCTCAGTTTGTCTCCGCAATTGGTCGAAGTCAAGGTTCTCGAGTGTGCTGTTCTTCACAATCTCATCGCACGCCTTTTGTGGAATGATACCCAGCTCCGCTTGTGCTTCGGCAAGTGCAATTTCGAAGTCTAGGAAGTATTGTGTTCTTTGCTTGTCCGACCATATGGCCGCTATCTCTGGCGTGGAGAAGACATTGCCAAAGATTTGCGAGTCGAAAACCGAAGTCATTGCTGCTTGTTAGCTTCGTGAGAGCGTTATCGAGAGCGAGTGGCGAGGTTTCCGAGACGTGAGCAGTGTGTAGTTCGGGTTGGTCGTCTGTGAGTGATATATCACGCTGTGGACTTTCCGTCATGCAAACGAGCCGATCTCGGTCAAGCACACAAGCTGTCGCTGCAAGGTCCCCGCCGCGTGAACAGATTGGAGCCGACAGTGAGCTTCATCAACAACGTGGGTTTATCACCTGCTCTGGCGCGTGTCACAGCGAACACGCGCTTCATGTTGAGCTGCTCTGGATCTGGAAGAACGGAGGAAGCTGCCAATCTGCGGCAAGAGCTGTCGTCGGCGCTCGGCATCAGCCCTGGTTCTGCGCACAGAGCAAAACCAACACGGCAAGCACTTCTCTCCTTCTCCATTGCACCTCCGACAACGACGGCACAGAAGAAGTTCACAAACCGCAAGAAGCACTACATGAGAGCAAAAGCATGTGGGGCATTTCTTCACCCCATTGTCCATGTCCATGTACGGTCCAGACACGGCGTCGCTGACGTATGAAAGTGGTCCCAATGCTACAGTATCCGAACTTCTCGCGGCCGGAATATGGCCTCTTTCGCTGGACCACCGCATGGTCGACATGACGTTCCTGCGTTATCGATTACAATCACTGCTTTGCGTGTCACCATGCCTGCAGCATTTTCCTATCTGGCACCTGAGATCTCAGCATGTGGATCCAGTCCGCTCGTATTGCCCGTAGCAAACGTCAGCCCTCTCCATCACACGGCCCAATCGGCAACATCGCATAGAAGTGATGGGGCAGCGTGAGTAGCGACTGCACTGGTAAGTTCGACTATTCGCATTTCTTTCTTCATTTGCTTTTGGTTTGCTGCACGCGACACAAACCTATTCGCTGCATATATTCTTCATCAAACAGAAGAGCATAGAGCGCTGGAGCTTGATACGCGAAGTGGATCACAATGGAGGGAGAAGATGGGCCGGGCAGTGGGAGAGTAAGATCAAGGGTGAGAATCGTGCATCCATGAGGATTACAGTCGATTTGACAGATCATAGTCGGAGGCAATGCCTTCGCAGACTGACCACGAGGCGAACAATGGAGACCGAAACGAGCCACCCGAACAAGATTTGCGCGACCAGGCTAGGCAGGAAGATACAGGGCGACCAGGAAGATCAGCGACTGTCTCTGCAAACGACTTTCAACCTCGAGAACGAACATCTTTGCACCGCGAAACATCTGCAGGCCTGCGTCGCCGAGAAACTGCGGAAACCAGAAGAAGTGGCACACAAGGAAAAGCGAGTACAGTAGCAGGTAGGACACGAGGGCTGTCGCTCGCGGGGCCACAAGAAGTGCCTGTTATCCAGCAAGCGTACGAGCCGTACGTGCATCCTGGTTACACGGAACTGAACCCAGCCTACGAACAGCCCGCAAATGCGAAGCCGGTATGGAGTTTGGCAAAGCCCCTACCTCGCGTGTTGCGACCAGGGATGGTGCCAACCAAGAGCGAGATACTGCAATCGCGGCAGAATCCGGAGATGCCTGCAGAGCAGACGCAGAAGGCGGACCTTGATGTTGATCCAAATGACTTGGAGGCAGGTAGGATCGAGCTCGAATTGAACCCCAAGAAAGTTTCCGCTCAGCTCATCGACTCAAGGGCGCAAAGAGAGAATAACCTCATCTCCAGCATCGCAAGGCGAGGTACAATCCCAACAAGGCTCGAGAGCCGGCCTACGAGAGCGTCTTCGACGGCTTCTAGGATCGGCAGGGCACGAGCGTCGAGCGCGGCGTCGCAACGATCGATAGCTGGCCACATTGCGCCTCAAGAGGAGGCCGGAAAGGCACAGGAGCCTACGCCATTGTCTCCGGCAGAAGATCGCCCGACAGAACCACCACTCGACGCAATACCTGAGCACGGCTTGCCCCCAGTGCAAGGCACGGAGCAAGACGACAAAGATGACTCCTCGCTTGCCACTCTTGCGCTTGAGGACGATGCTGCTATCTTGCAGGACATGGATCCCATCGAATTAGTCGAGAAGCCAGACGGCTTGGAAGAAGTGCACAACAACCACACGTGGTGGTCTGTCGTCAGAACACAATATCGCGAGTTTCTGGCAGAGCTTCTGGGCACGTTCGTGCAGCTCACCATCGGCTTCTGCGGCGATACGCAGGTGACATTGAATCGTGGAAGCAACACCCACACCACAGCCTGGTTGTGGGGTATGGCAACAATGATCGCGATTTACATTGCTGGTGGCATATCCGGCGCTCATTTCAATCCATCAATCACCACGGTTCTCTGGTTCTACCGTGGATTTCCGAAGCGGAAGATGCCCGAGTATTTCATTGCTCAATTCCTCGGAGCCTTTCTGGCCTGCTATGCTGCGTATGGGATATACTATGCTGGCATCCAGGACTATCTACAAAGTGGTGTTGCGACTGATGTGGTCAACGGCTTCGTCACCAGCCAGCGGCATGAGTTCATTGGCGTTGCCACTGCATTCTTCAACGAGTTTCTCGGGACGGCTTTCCTAGCATGCACCGTGCTCGCACTCGGCGACGACATGAATGCACCCCCAGGTGCAGGCATGAATGCTTTCATCATCGGACTCGTCATTACAGGACTCAACCTCAGTTTTGTTTACAATACTGGACTCGCCATGAATTTTACGCGTGACTTCGCGCCGCGCTTAGCTTTACTGTCGCTCGGATATGGATCGGAACTATTCACGAACCCTTACTGGGTCTATGGGCCTGGTATTGCCACGATTTGTGGAGCGATGACGGGAGCTGCGTTGTACGACATTGCCATCTTTACCGGTGGCGAGTCGCCGATAAATTACCCTTGGACGAGGACGAAACGAAGCTGGAGAAAGGGAAAGGCGAAGTGGAAGAGGAGGGCGAGATTTCAAAGGAGAGAGAAGAAGGAGGAGAAATTGACAAGGTGAGATGTTGAATGTCAGCATGTGCAGTTGTCGAACCGTTTATCGTGCCATGCTTATGTGAGATCATCATGATTTGGATACAGGGCTGAATGGGCTGGAATTCTGGCAACGAACGAGATATCCCCAACAGATTTCGCAGACAGGCATCATGATCGTGTACAGTCGGAATTGTGAGGCCGGACCATACAACTTTGTATCACGTGCAGTCTCGCTCTCGTCGTGCAGTCCGAGGGCGGCGACCCACAAGAATCGGGAAGGCTATTCGCGGGAAATTGGTTATCTGATCATGCCAAGGTTCGTCCGACATGGCATTTGCTCAACATTGTTGAAGCGTAGAACGCTGCCATGTTCAGCGTGTTGCGAGTTTGCAGGACAGATGCAACGTGTTCTCCATGTACTGAAGGGGAAACAATTTGATGCATGATGCAAGCTAAGGAGCGCAGCTCAAGTACCGAGGCGGGAAAAGGAGCGCGGGCTAAAACAATCAGCCCTGGGAGTTAGTCAGTAGGACTTGCTCGGTGTGCGGACATGCATGCAATGGACGCGATCCAACTCCGCGATTTCCAAGCAGACACGTAGCAATACCGCACCATCTGTCAGCTCCGACAGCGACGAACAGAGTGTGAGCAAAAAGGTGTAACCATGAGGGAAAGATTTCCGCACTGCAGAATCGTGACGAAGTTGTAAAGAAGAGGCTTGGCGGGCAGTCGAAAGTTAACTAGTAGGGCGATCGCGGGTGTCTCACGGTTTGAGAGTGAAATCATGAACCCTTGGCTTTCTTAAGAATCTCGTCGTGTCGTGCACGACTTCTCTCTCCATCGAACCATTCTTCTTCTCCTGAGCACTGCTGCGTACGCTTCTTGATACACGCCACACAGGTTGCGTAGAGTACGACAATACTACGCAGGAACACGCAAGCTCTTTCTTTGTTCGACAGTCGGTGCTGGAGGCAGGAGCTTTTGGTCGCAACTTCCTTATCAGATCATCAGATCCGAAATCGCCTTGCCACGGCAGGCACGCGTTCTTTCGTGGTGAGTCTTCTTCCCCACTCGCGCCGAGCGACGTTGGCGGACGACGAGGACGACGACGCAAGACGACGACGGCGGCCACTGCACTCTGCCCGCATCTCTCCTCCGGGCGAGGGAAGGAGCGGGCGCGCGTATGTGGACATGCGACGAGGCCAGACCCGTCCGCATTGCTTTGCCTTTTTTTGGCCGAGCAGCCCTTGACGTCTTGCCGACGTGCCCCTCCGCCCACCAGCTGCTCTTCTCGGCCTGCGCCATCGGCTACTGCACCATCTTTCTCGCTGCTCGTTCGCACGCATTACCAATGCTCGCTCATCTACTGACAATGCCCCAGCCCTATACCATACGCCTTGCGCAATAACATTCACCCTGCTTACACACCATGTCTTCACTACATAAAGCCCATGGCGCTCGCCGCCACTCCTTCTCGGCCTTTGGCAAAGGCATTGCAGGACATCGCCACAAGAATATTCCACACAGCGCCACGAGCGACCCGAACAATCCTATTCCTATCGAACCGCGCAACACGAATCTGTCCAAGGAGGAGAAGCTACGACTCAGCGCTCTCACCAGCGCAATGACTGCCACTGCGAGGTCCAGCGGCGAGAGCCTCGGCTTCTACCCAGACGATGCTCACACGAGTGACTCCGATGCGCCCTCGACTCCACCCACCGAGCCGAGCGATCTCGTGGAAGACTCGATCAAGAATATGAATGGCCTGTCGTTGAGCGAGCAAGATCTTCCTGCAACACGGACAACGAAGAAGAGGAGAGCGAGCACAACATACGCCTCCAATGTCGATGACATTCGAAAGCTCATTGGACAAGGGACGGGAACACAGTTCCTACAGAAGTACTGTTGTGGAGAGGGATGTTGTATGATTGAGTCGTTGCCACTGCACACAGACGAAGTTGCATACGCACCCATCATCACACCCGCCAACGATGCATACCGAGCGCTCAACCTCGACCTGCGAGCACTTTCACTGGACACAGATCTCACAAAGCTCCCCGATCCACCAGCACAGAAAGTCTCTTTCGGCGGCATCAGGAGACAATCGATCGTGGAGAAGTTCCCGAACGAGTCAATGCACAAGCACGATGCCGACGAGGTCAATGAGTACCCACCCGAGTATATGAAGCCACACCCGCCATACAGCATCTTCAACGCACCCGTCTATGGCGCACGCGAATTGACCAAACCTGGTGCCGAGAAGCGAACATTCCACTTTGATATTGACGTCACAGACTATCCGGAGGAGGGTGGCGTTGACTTCAAGGTTGGAGGTGCGATTGGTATCTGTCCGCCGAACGACCCGGCTGTCGTGGAAGACATCATGGATCAGCTTGGCATCCCACGATTCCAGCGGGACAAGGCCGTTCGTTTGCACACTAACGAAGGAAGATGGCCTACGATCTGGGGCGAGGAAGAAGCCAGAGAGCTGGTCACCACGCGACGAGAAGTCCTCACTTGGACAGTCGACATCTCATCTACCGCGCCTACGAAGCCCCTATTGAGCTTGCTTGCCGAATACGCCACCGAGCCCAACGAGAGAAAGATTCTGCAGTACCTCTGCAGTGCACAAGGACAGGCTACGTTCTGCGATCTCCGCACAGGTCCTCACATCACGCTACAGCAATTGCTTCATGCATTCCCGTCATCGAAGCCCCCGCTTGAGGCATTGTGTGGTGTGCTCAATCAACTCATGCCACGCTTCTACTCGCTCTCGAACGACCCACACATTTCATCAGCCAGAGAAGGGCTCGCTGGTCGACGCCTGATCGAGATGGCAGTCACAATTCACGAGACCGGCAACTTTACTGGCCAGCAGAGAACAGGCGTCGGTTCTGGCTTCATGGAACGCGTTGCCAAGCGATTCATCGAGCACGATGAGAAAGCGAGGAAGGAGGCTGAAGCTCGAGGCTTCATGCTGCAGGAAGGCGTTGCTGGCCGACGACTCAACCTCCACGTTCCGATGTTCCGTGGACTCATGTCCAACCCACTTTCCAAGAAGTTCAACGCCGACGGCCCGATGGTGTTGATTGGTGCTGGTGTCGGCATGGCTCCATTCCGTGGCTTCATCCTCAACAGACTGAAGAATGCCAACTGTGCCAACAAGATCTGGCTCATCCAAGGCATTCGGGATACCATGCTGGATGAAATTTACAAGGGCGAGCTTGGCGCGCACGAAAAGGATATCAAGAAGGTCGTTCAGTCGAGAGCGCAGACATTGCCACCTGTCGCTGAAAATGACGATGGCGTGATTGATCACACGGACGACGACGAGCCTGCCAAGGTCGCCGACCCACGTAAAGCGGACAAGGTGGCCAAATACGTGCAAGATGAAGTACGACTTCAAGCCGACATCGTATGGTACGTCATCAACGCTCTCGATGGCCGTATCTTCGTCTGTGGCTCTAGTAAGGGCATGGGCGAAGGTGTCGAGGCTGCTCTCATCGACGTCGCCATGGACAAGGGCAACTTGGACTATGAGACTGCGAAGCAATTCTGGGAGAGCAAGACTAAGGCTGGGCAATACATTGCCGAGACATGGTAAATTGATGGTCTAGTGCCTGTAGGCATTTGTTCGACTTCTATTCATTGTCAATCGGGCAGGTGGTGGTGTACGAAGACGACACAGGGAGTGGTAATTTGATGTTCAGCGAAATTTGATAGCGTTCTCGCAACCGGCATGTAGTGCCTTGTACATAGCTTTGAAAGCACATTAGCTTTGAGAATCGAAGGTCTCGTGAGACAGCGATTGATATCAACGTTACTTTTCCGTTGTTCCACGTTAGACTGTGAGTACAATCGTGAAGGCTGCTTTGAGGAGAGTTTGTCAAGGATATACCACGATCATATGGTATACCGGCGAACGAAAAGCTCGATGCTAGAACCGAGCATTACCTAACTTGACTACATACTCCCGTCGCTCCATGCCAGCAGTTCTGTTCATCTCCAGAGAATCTTCGTAATACTCCTCCAGGCAATCTATTTCCCCATGCCCTCCCCTCCTCACTTCCATCTCCTCTCCCACTTCAAGCCCACTTTCCCAACAAAGCCATAACCCCCGCCCCCAACAAAACCGACCCCACCATAAAAGCCAACTGCCTATCATCCTTGGTCCTCTCTGGATTAAACAAAAAATCCCTCGCCAACAATTCCACAAACCCCGTATACAACAGAATGCCCGCCGAAATTGAATCCAGCACTCCAGAGACGATATTCGCCGCCATGGAAGATTCGTTATATGTCGTGCGGATTCCTAAACCTACGGCGATGGCGATTGGAGTTGTGAGACCGTAGCCTGCGCAGAGGGTATAGGGGAGCCAGGAGAGGCGTTTGGGGAAGGGGATTGCGGAGAGGCGGGCGCCTAAGCCGAGGCCTTCGAAGGATTGGTGGAAGACGATTACAGGGTATAAGACTGAGAATTCGGAAGAGGCGGCGCTGCCGAGGGTTAGGCCGATTATTACGGAGTGGAAGATTATTCCTGTAGAGGTCGTTAGCACAGTGGGCAGGGAGGGGAAGATGGGGGCAAGAAGTACCAAATTCCAGGATCAAGAAGGCAGAGATCTGTTGTTTGAAGGATCGGTCAGCGATCTCGTCCTGATACTCTTCGTCGAGAGAGAGGGATTCGATGTTGTCGTTGGGTTTGTTGACATTATCTGTGCTGCTGCCTGCTTCGACGCCTTTGGGATCTTGGTCGCCGGAGTGCAGGTGTTGGTGGGTTGAGTTCTGTCGACCAGTCTGGTAGCGGAGAGTCGCTGCGTCGACGGAACCACGGTGAGAACCAATTCGCTCGAGGTCGGATGGTGTGCCGTGTGCAAGGCCATATTTCTTCTCCACGTATCGCTCGGCGCCAAAGTCCATGAGGAAGACGAACATGCCTGAGGTGAGGGCGAGAGCTGGAACCCAGGAGTACTCTGCCCAGCCTCCTGTCATGCCTACGCAGGTGTTTGGGCCAATTTCAGAGTATGCTGGATCGAGAAGACTGTGCAGTGGTCAGTCTTCAGTAAAGGAGGCAATGGTCTTCTCAACTCACTGAATGAATGCCGTCGCAACGATGACTCCAGCGCCGAAGTACCGAGCGAACAAGTACACATAGAGTGGGATCTTGATCTTTTTGCTTCTTGTCGCTAGCACAGGAAAAAACGTGACAGCCGACGAGACGACCAGAACCACGAACAACGCAGAGATGCGTGCTCCCAGTTGACCATCATATTCGTTCTCTCCGGCTTCGATAAAGCACACCACATCGCGGACCAGATCCTGCGCAACGACCTCGGTCAAGTTGACATTTCCAGGTTGAAGGGGCGTGAGGTCTCCAGAAGCCGGCGGCCAGGTATTAGAGTCGCTGTTAGACATGATGAAAGAGGTAGTCAAAGACAACAGAAGCTTGTTTCTTCCATCGTAACAGCAGCAGCAGGCAGTGCAACTTCGACCTTATTATAAGCCCATCCTCAAGGCTCTACAGACCGGAGCAAGCAACCAAGAAAGTGACAAGCTCCGAGCCAGAAGGCTTGTCTTAACGACGAACAGGCCTTATTCCCATCTAAGGCGATGCCACGAGGCATAGCGTGGCCGTGAAATCCACTTCATTCGTTGCGGGCTGCGTCCGCAACACCTTGATGGACCGTAAGCGTGGGATGTGGTCCCATCGTATTTGAAAAGCCGAAGTCCCGTTGGCTGGCCATTCAAGTTGTCTTTGAGAACTTCGTGCTCAACAGAGACAATGATGGTTGCCGAGTTTCCGGAGGATTGTGTTTGAAAAATTCGAGTGCTTCGAGAGTGGTGGGTTGCGAGAGAAGAGATGGTAATTGTTCAGTTGCTGGGTTTCGGGAGGTATCGCTCGTTCGAGGACAGAGAATTTGCATCGGAGATACAGACAGATAGGATCCTAACGCTCGTTAAATCAGTCCGCCTACTTTGAGGTGGTCTTGGTCTGAATATTGATTTTATTTCAGTTCAGACATTGATGGCCTTTATGGCAGCTCCCGAGTGCGCCACGCCCAAGAAGCATGAACGAGCGACCACCTCTATGTCCATTGCCGCAACGTCCGTCTAGATTATCAGAAGGAGTCCCATTCATCCCACGTCACCGCCCATTGATCTCATCAAAGCTCACTTGATGCTTGAACCCGATCGCGCACATTTCTGGAGCATAGACGTACACTTCCTTCAGTGTGTCAATGAGATAGTCCCATTGTCGATGCGATAACGTGCTGTACAATGCCACAATCTCGATCTCGTAGAATGTCCTTTCGATAGAGTCCTTCGTTCTAGTGCGGATATCGTCGACATTCAGGCCAAACTCTTCGCAATCTCGTTTCAGACTGTTGACAATGGGCTCCGGTGGACGGACAGAGTACTGGAAATGTATGGTCATCATTCCTGTCTGAAGTGGACTTTTGGGCAAGGTGTAGCGATTTGGGCTGTGGTTGCTGCTGGACGAGGTAGTTCCGGGTATGGATTGGGGAGAGTCGACACTGGTGTTGATGGTGGGCTTCGGTTTTGCTGTTGTGGCGGACTTTTTGTCCGATTGCATTCTCGAACTTTTGGGGGTACTACTGCTCCGTGGCCTGAACTCGGGCGGTTTGAGTGAGTCAGTCTTGGGTTTTGTTTGCGACTTTGTCCGGCGTGGCAGGCGATCAGAGTCTTGGTCTTGTGCGGGTGACGCCTTCCTCATTTCGGCTTCCACAGTCGTGAAACCGTCGCCGGCTTTCAATCTGTAGCTGATGGGTTCTGTATATGTTCAGTCACTGTTCCAGATTTCTGTGCGGGTCTTTACTCACTCATGTTGTTGTAGCTTTCTGAAAGTCGTAGCAGCTCATCTATGTGTGCTTTGCCCAGTGCCAAGGGTATAATGATCTTGTTCTCTTCTTCTGTGTAGACGTAGTTCAGATCGTCCAGTGCCTCTCGTCGTACAAGCCGTTTCGGAAAGCGCGTCAGTCCTCTCTTTACACTGTTCTGTGCAGCGGCAGGATCTTTCGAAGGCGCCTTCGGGTAGGGTTCCTTTTTGTGATCGGGCTCCTCGTCAGCATCTTGGACAGTGGCTTGAAATATTGGTACGTCGCTCCTACGCGACGAGTTTGACGCATAGGCGGAATCGGGCCTCGATGCGTTTGCTGGCTGCGCGGATGACAGCAGCGACACAGTGCAGGGTGCCGGGGTACGTCGTGGGCCAGCAACGCTGAAGCTGTCCGTGTCATTTCGTCTGAGTGGCTGATGTTTCTTCTCGGTCTCAATTTCGTCTTCAAGTCTCCAACGTGCTCTCTCTTTGCCCTCGCCATACTTCAGGTTCATGTATACATCAAAGATGCCAAGCAAACAATACGACATGTCTTCTCGCTCTTTTGTCTGCCGATTCCGAGTCCAGGCCATCCTTTCCTCTACGCTTAAGGCTTTACTGCTGCTGAAATCGTACAGTACCATTTGTGGAATACCCGTGATCTCAGAGACCCTTGCATTCAGATTATCTCCAGCTCCAGGACAGCGACTGATCTGTGCACTACCAGGCCTTACGCGTGTGCATTTGTGTCCATAAACTTCCCAAATGCTTGTGAGGAATACTACTGTCTGCGGAGCCAGCAACTCTTGGAGCGTCCATCCGCGGGTGAACCACTCGCTGTTATAGAAGCTCTCTTTGACAGCATGTCTGCCAGAGGGATGATCAAGCGCCTTGAGGTCCGCCAGGAAAGCGAAACAGCATACGGCTTCTGAGTAGTACTTGAACATGGAGTTGATGGCACGCTGAACTTCCTGGCTGTTCGACTTGTCGATACACGCCGTGTCGATCCAGAGCCAGTCACATCTGAGATCCGGGCCATTGTTGTAAGCCGCGAGGTTCACTTGTCGTACGAAAGCACAAAAGGCCTCGATTTTCTTGTACCCAGCTTTGTGGGTATTGCGCTTCTTGAGGACATCCTTGTACGTGCATTCGTCCCCGACCCATCTGTGTGAGGCGATCACATACTCTGGCGCGTTGGCACCACTGAACTCCTCCAGCTCCAGGGTATTGACGTTGAGTAGTCGAATAGACATGGCGCGTCGGGCGATCACACGTCTGATTGATCAGGCATTCGGGCAGTCGTACGTCCTTATTCAACCAGTCGCGCATGACGATGACTGGCTCAGCCGCTCGGCGGCCCTTGACGTGCATTGCAGGAGGAGTCGGCTCGCCTGCGAACACCATCCCACCACACTGCGCCACCACTAGCACCGAGGAGGGCGCACCTCAAAGTACTGACTGGGCAGTAGGCCGCACCCATCGCTTACCAACAGTCATATTCCCGCAGCAACAAATGTGATATCGCCAGATAAGATGACGCTGGAACGCGTCGGTGACCCAAGTTCGTGCTGATCGACGGCCAGAAGCCGCCAACTGCAGGCGTTTCTGCGACCTTGCATGGGCCTGCGCCACGGAATTTCGGACACCACATATATCCTTCCCAGTCACCGCGCATCGCAAACTGCATCTCAGTTAGAGCGATGAGCTCAAAAGATCGGTTGTATTGGGTGCCAGTCCATTCTCAGAACCCAGTCCAGACAAAATCCGGAGCGAGCAATTGGATTCCTCGTCTATGAATTCGGCCCCGATTTGTGTAAGCTGTCGAGAGGGTTGTTCGCAATAGACAATTGAGCCTCTCCCATGATTGCGACGTTGCCTAATCAGATGGCTAACGAAGCGTGAGCGCCTGTATGGACCGCCGCTATTCTGATGTACCCAGTCGATCATGGCCAGGTCTTCAAGAGACAACAGAGCCAGCCCTGAGAGCATCAGTCCTTCCATACCCTTTCACGGACGACAGGGTGACGACTCAGAGGCAAAAGATACAGACCCTCAGTTGGCAATGGTGCTCTCTTGACCAAGAATCTGGACAGTTGAAGTTGTTGAGCAAGTGGGTACCTGAGGCCAGGTGGAGGTATTCGTTCACTTCACCAAGAAAAACCAAAAAATTGGTGCGCAGCTTCTCAAAGCAGCTCTTCTTCAGAAGACTGATACCTGCACTGGGGATCGAACCCAGGACCTTGTCCGTGTGAAGGACACGTCATACCGCTAGACCATACGGGCGATGACTAAGCGCCTTATCGTATCAATAATGATCCCGTAAAACAAAGTGAAAAGTGTGCCAGGAAGGAGAGGATTCTTACTGACTTGGCAATCGCTTGGTACCAACTCCGCTGTGCTCCTTGAGAGCCATGGAAGATCTCACCTCCATTAGACTTGAGCATACACTGTCGGCGAGAGACCGCTCATGAGAGACTTGCCGTGATGGTGAGAAGGGTGAGCTATCGGCCTCTCAAGCAGCTGGTGGAGTGGGACGTCTAGCGCCTCCCAGTCCTGCCCTACAGGAAGTCGTTGGCTGAAGGTAATCATGCCTCAAGCAAGTTTCCATGCTGCTGGTGGTCAGAGCCAAGCTACTGAACGCCGTTTCGTCTGTTGCTCGAAAAGAGAAATTCGGTTTGGGAATTCTGTACGCGAGCATGAGAGCATCGTTGAAGCGAGGCGATCTCTTCAATCATCGTTCGACATCGACTTTTCGTGCTGGTGGTTGGTAACTGGTGCTCTCAGCACACAGGTGTGAACTTGGTAGGCCATAGGAGTGAAGAGTTCGCGGTTGTAAACCGAGCATGAAAGAGGGTCACAGCGATTGTTGCCATGCCAGTGGAAGTTTCACTTTGATTCGATGGCTCTGCTTGAGACCACCTGCCACGCCGCTACGATTCTCTTTCTCTATCGTTAGCTCGAGCTGCGCCACGTGCCGTTGATGTGTGCATGTGGTTGCCACTCATACAGGAAACCTGCTCACTGACTCCTTGCGTCTAGAAGATCTTCCAAGTGTCCTCTGCTGGACTGGCCTTGTAGATGTACAGAAGCCAGGGCAACTGTACACCGGATATCGCAATTCTCAAAGCGTTGTATCTTGTTCTCACGCCTTGGTCATGCGCCTTGTGTGTTGGACATCTAGAAGGCAAAGACTTGGTCCTCGAGCTTGCTGACTGGTCGTGCCTTGTCGTAGCCCATCGACTCGGTTGCCTTCTTGATGGCGGAGACCATAGGTGGAGGACCGCAGATCAGAATCTTGATGTCCTTGGCTGGAGCTGGAAGACGTTCCTGAGAACTGTTAGCATGACTCCCAAGTTGCGTGCAGCAAACGTGCATACCTTGATGATCTCAGCAGTGACAAAACCAACTCCACCAGTCCACTTTTCAGGTGGGTTGTTCAGCACGTAATAGACATTGAAACCTTCCTGCTTGGACAGAGCCTCAAGATCATCGCGGAGAAGAATGTCCAGCTCGTTCACGTTGGCAAAGATGAGATCGACAATCGTCTTGTCTCCGTTCTTCCTTCCGCGCTTGATGGCCTCGGCGATCTGAAGCATTGGAGTAATTCCGCTACCGCCAGCAATCATTCCAATGCGGCGGCACATGTTTGGTGTGTAGACGAAAGCCCCCTTGGGTCCCTTGATCTTCATGGTGTCGCCCACGCTCAGCGTTGCAATGTGTCTCGAGATGTTGCCCTGTGGATAACTCTTGATGAGAAGATCGGTGTAGCCGGGTTGTTCATCGCTGGAGATGGGAGTGTACGATCGAACGACTTCCTTGCGCTCGACATTGCCAGTCTTGGGATCGGTGACATCGAGGGTAGCGGCGAGGGAAATGTGCTGGCCAATGGGCAGGCCGAGAATGCTGTCTTCGGTAGGCAGCTTGAAGCGGTAAATGGCGGTGTTGTGCGAGATCTGAGTCTTTTTCGAGATGGGAAACTCTTGGAACTTGGTAGGGTCAAGCACCTTCTTGTACTTGGGCTTCTTCTCTTCTGTGTTATGCCGATAAGCTGAATGTTCCAATACTGGTTATTTCCGGAAACGTACGAGTCAAGAAAACGAAGAGACCGCCGAGCAGGGCCAATGCTGCGACCAAGATGGGCGCATACTGCACCAGAGGATTGTCTGCCATTGCGAAGCTCCCACGACCGCTGGGCGTTGTTGCGATTGTTGGTGTCGGTTCTGACGTTTGGTGTCACTTCTCCAGAAATGTTGAAGAAGTCGCCCCGCTGATGGTCTGGGAGAGCTCACTTTTTGGCGCCGCCGAGGCCGGCAGAGCGACCGGGATTCACATGCACCCAGGGTCTGCGGAAACTCCGCTGTCCGATGTGGGCGGAAGGTCTACACAAGAAGAGGCATCAATTCCGTCTTCACTCGACTTCATTCCACCACATCTTCACCACCTTCGCGGATGCACTCCGAAAGGGTCACCAAAAGAGACAGGAGTGAGCTGGACACGATCGTGCTGCCCTGGAAATGGGTTTGTGAGAATGCCCACCAAATCCAGCGATAGTCTTGCCAGCAGAGAGGGGCGAGATAGAGCATCCAAATTCTGGTCGTGACAGGATCTTCAAATTCCAGTGCGAAGACGTATCTCAATGTCTCCGTCGACGACACATAGGCGGTCCTATCGCGGAGCTACGTATGAATAGTCCTGGCTTGGCGGAAGCAGCGGGACCATCACCTCCCACCTCGCATAGGTAGCCTCAGACGACCCTATGCATTACTTTCACAGCACATGTTCGTGAGAACAAGATCATGTGAGGTCTGTGAGATGGTTCCTACACATCAGATGCGTGTCTTCAACAGGTATACAGTCGCCTGCAGTCGCTCCCTAGTTCGCATGTAACAGTTACATTGGCGGGTCTCAACGTCCGAGTCGATCCTGCACTATGCCATTGACTTCGAAGAGGTAGGACTAGCATCACGAGATATCGGCATACACACCACCATAATGGGCGAACCCTCACAAGAGCTCTCAGCAGACGACATTGACCTCAATGATCCGCCATTCCCTCTGACTGCCATAGATCGCGAGATTCTCGCAACAAAAGATGAGGACTACCACCGAACCACCTGGGAAGACCTCAAGCACATCATAGGTATCACCAATTCCCGTCCAACCCTCGAGTTCCAACAACCACCTAACTCATCTCACCCCACAGAAACCAACACCCTCGAACAGCTCAAACGTCTCCCCTCCGACCTCCGCCGCTACCTCGCCTGGTCCCACAACATCAAACGCACCTACGGCAGCATAACATCCTACGTAATCCAGGAACGCCTCCACTGGAAACCCCTCACCACCACCCCTCCAACTTTCTCCCATCACTCCCCAATCCCCTTCTCCGACCCACGAGACTACGTCGTCCTCCTCAACGACTGGCCCTACGGCTTCGAACCTGGCATCACACATCTTCTCGTGTGGAGCAAGACCCCTATTGCAACGGATCAAGAAAGAGGAGATGTCACAGAAGCGAGTCGGAAAGTTATAGAAGAGTTTGTGGAGAGGTATTTTGTTGCGGAGTTGACAGATGCGCGGCAATCGAGAGAGGATGCGAAGGAGAGGGTATTGTGGTTTAAGAATTGGGTTAGTTTGCAGAGTGTGAGGGGTGTGGATCATGTGCATATCTTGGTCAGAGATGCGCCGGAAGCGGTGTTGGAGAAGTGGACGAGGAGGCATGATCTGTAAAGTGGAGGCACGACACCACGCAGAAAATGAGGCAATGAGGAGGATATCAGAATGTCTAGATCGTGATAGATTTGAGGTATCGCTCATACATGTCGAGCCTCAGGAAGGAAGTAGTCCACGCTGCCGAAGTCGAAGCCGCAATTGGTAGCGGCAATGTGGCGCCATGCGGTCCTGAGCCTCAGCATTATGCTGCCCTCAGCCTAGCATTTCTCGCGACATTTTGCGATAGGTCTGCATCGCGAGAAAAGTGCCAGGATGACGTCTGGGCAGATCGTGCCCTGAATCAACCGGGCCAAGATGCGCTTCTGATCTAATCCCTATCCTGTCTTTTTCATATGGCTGATCCAGCCGCGGAAATACGAATGCGGTTCTGGCGCCCCGGAGATCAAGATCCATCTGGTCATTCGTTTGCCCATATTTGGCGGCGCCAGACAGCAGCTGCATGACATCCTCTGTGACTTGCTGATGGGCACTATCTCTTCTCCTGCGTGTATCGCGCTCTCAGCTGTGCTTGACACAGCCATAACATGCACCTTTCACATTGTTTTCCGCATCCAACAGCGACTGCTAGAGCTGTGCTCCGCACAAGTCCGCATTTAGGCAAAAAAGTCTCCTGGGTGACAGTCTCCCTCTCCGCTTGGTGACCGGCATATGAGACCCTATCGCTTTTGCGCTGTAAGGGATGAGCTGACACGTTGAGTCATGCTAGATCCTGGCAAAGCACTCCCAACTCGATTGATGATCATGATACTCGCGCCCCTTGAGCGTTCTCATGTTCCATTCCCAATGGCATCACAATCAACTTCGAGTCGCATGCTTGTCTGCTTCCCGGCCCGAATAGAACAAACTTCGGCGCCAGGCCAATAACAGCACACCTGTCTCATGAGCAGGTGGGAGCGGGCTGTTGGTCACCTTGCTCCTTTCGTAAACGAGGCCAACACCAGAGTGACGACCGTTGCAAACAAACTTTCGCGTTCGTTCTGGCCGGATTTTCGAGTGGCAAGTACCGAAGTGATGTGTTGTATGTGCTAAATCTGGAGGCATCGCGACGGCGAGCGAGCACTTTTGGCGCGCGGCATTTGTGTTTCGTCATGCATGCGGAGCTGGAAAGCCTGGGACCCCGGTCCTGGTAGCAACATGTCCGGGTTGCCTGTCTTAAACTGATCGGTGTTCGTGCCATATCGTAGCATCATTACTCCGTAATAACTTGTGCCGTGATGAGTTGGAATCGCACAGCTATGCGCATCGCATCCAGTTTTGCGGAGATGAGCACAAGTCCAGGCAGATGGTCGCGGTTCGTCGTCTTTCTGAGGGAATGGCCTGGATTTTTCGGCGTGTAGAAAGATAGACATCATCTCGTCCATTTCGTGCCGTTGATACCATGTTTTGCGGTTTCGCTGGGTTCCTCAATTGTTGGGAAGTGGTCATCTCATCACGTTTCAGCTTCAAAAAGGTCCGGCAAAGCCACCGATCGGATCTCCATCACTTGTATTTTGGATGCCAATTACTTCTTCCACTGTGAAGCATCTCCACGCGCCATCCCGTTTCCTGAATCGAAAGATGGCAACGACGTGTCTGACCACGCCGGGCGGCACTCCAATCACGTCGCTCGTGACAAAGACGCCGGCGTGGCCATTCTTGTAGACGTGGGTGTCCAGTCCTTGGACCACCATTCTGTACTCCGTTTCTGCTGCCAGTGAAATGAGTCGTTTGAGGTAGGCGGGCAAGTCCTCGGTGCCCTGAGGCCAAGGCGGCGGAGTATTCGCAGAGAACTTCGGGTCGAAAGATGCAGTCACAGGGTGGTCGGGCGTGAGCATACGGTCGTTGATGAGGTCGATGAATGTGCGCACAATATCTTCGAGGAGAGTGACAATAGCCTGTACTGAGGGTTTGGCCTTGGAGGCGACTTCAGACAGGTCCGGAGGTGCTTTGGACTGCAAAAGACTGTCGAGAGAAGTCAAAGAAGGCTTCACGTCTTCTTCTGGGATGATGGCGTCCGGGTCTTCTTTAAAGGACAGGCTGGAGGGAGCCGGCGAAGATAGGGAGGCCGGGGTGGGAGCTGTGCTGTGACTGGTGTTGGTATTTGCTTTACTGCTTCCTGCTGTGCTGGACCCAGACTCAGACTGCACGAACATGTCGAAAGATTTGGCGTCGAGGTAGTGGTCGGCCATTGTCGCTGAGTCTTGATGGGTTTGAGGAGGTCTGGTTGCAGTCGAAGCAGGACATCCGCCGAGCGGACTCTCGCTGCGGATGTACAAGTACTGCTGAAAGGTTGCAGCCGCGTAGTGCTCGCTTCTCTATTCAGATGTCAATATTCAGGTCCTGGGACAGAGTTCAGGCAGGTTCATGGTGGCGTCGAGGTTTGGCAGCGGTGATTTGGCACGTCGCGTTCGATGCCCGAATGACTCGGGGCGGACTGCGGCTGGTGACGTTCGGGACCTGTGCAGGCAGCTCTGCGTGTGGCGGTGTTGGGAAATGCTGCGCAGTGGGCGGAGGGCTCCAAGAGCATCGCTCTGAACTTAATAAGGTTGCTGGCGGCGGGGGCACAAAGGGCATGGATGGCACGAAATGCCGACGCGCTGGAGATGATGCAGGCGCGGAGCACAGTCTGGATCGCTGGTTCGCGATCACCGCCGGGATCAGTGTCGACGAGGAGTCTCCCCGTCGCTGCGACGTCGCGTGGCAGTTCACAGAGCGTGAGGTGTGGGCCAGGTTACAGGTGTGTGATGACAGAGCATCCCCGGTCGACGCGGGAAGCATGCATTAACCCAACGAGCCACTGCGCGCTTGCTTGGCACCAAACTAGATCTCTTAGTCATTCTCGTCATCCTCATCATCAACGACCTCGACTGTCGCGCCCGCTGATGGCACCTCGCCAAGACACATTGTCCAAGGGTGTCCGCTCGCTCTCACAACGACCGTGTCCAGATCCAATGTGGCGGAGTCTTCCATCTTACCTGTTTGGGCGTTTGACGGTGCGATACTTCGGCTCCAATAACCCACAGCACACGTCTTATCACGCCAAGCCTGTTTTCGTAGACTGCGTGGCTGGACCGTCGCCATGAAACAGCGACCACTAAAATCTCCGTTCAATGTGCGGCGAGGCCGGAATGTGCAAAGGCCGTCGCGCCGGCACACAGTCAGACTGCATATGCTGTGTGGAGACGACATCAGGAAGCAGACGGCACTTTCACTTCCTGTGAAAGCGTTATGTTCTCAAGTATGCCATGCAACATACCTCCTACCGATCCGGCACAGATGCTAACGCCGGACTCCACGCTTATTCAACACCGGCATCTACCAATCCTTGCCCCATCCGTCATCGTCCTTTTTGCTGGAAGCCGCACCGCCCGAGCTGCTCGCACTCGAGCCGCCCTTCATTGCACTCGTTCCCAAGCCACTGGGTTTGGCTTTTTGTGTATTCGTAGTCTCGCCTGCCGCAGCAAACTCATCCCAGAAGTCCTGGTTCTCCTTCGGCGGGCCAGCAGGCGCCTGCCCAAAGCTCTCCCAAAAGTCTTCCTTTTCATGTTTGCTGCCTCCTTGTGGTTTGTGATCAGGGTCCACGAACTTATTGAACTGATCGCCCAGACCCTTGGTCCCTTGCTGGACCGTGTTTCCAAGATTCATTCCAGTCTGTCGGATTTGCGCTGCAATATCGCTTTGCTGGAAATTCTTCATGCCTGGCTGAACGTATGTGGAGTTGATTGTGGCAGCTTGTTTGGTGACAGTACTTGACAGCCAGCCGAAACCTTTCGTGAGAGCTGCAATGGGGTCCTTTTGGAAATCGTCTACCCCAGGCACTCCGCCTTGTGAGCTGTCGTTGGTGGGCATTGGTGAGGAGCCGAATCCAGCGTATTTGCCGCCCTGGCTAGGCGCTACTCCCTCCGGTCTGCTCGCATTTGCTTCGCCCATTCTCGCAAAGTATGCTTCGTTTTGTGCCTTTTGCGATGGTGTAGATGTCCGCTGCGGTGTGCCCCTCGCTCCCGCCAGCGGTGTATTTCTGCCTGATCCAGCAGGCGTTTCTGATGCGCTTTCTACAGTCGCCTTCTTTGGTGCAGTCCTCGGCTTCGGCGATCCCGGAACATATTCGGTGCCCTCCACCTTTGCTGTCAACCTCTCTTTCCATTCCTCGCCCGCCTCGCTGTCGTATCGTTCAGAGATGGTACAACTGTCGAATTCTCGGCCGATCATTGTGTTGCTGCTGTGTGCGTCGAAGAAGTCTTTCCATGGCTTGTTGCCCCCAAGTTCCATGCGCTTGACCTCGCCCGTCTTGAACGAGTCCATGGTTACCGAACGGACGAACGAGATGTGCACGCCCAAGGATCGATGTATCCCGCTGCACGCGAGGCAAAAGAAAATGCCGAACTTGGGAGACGCCTAGCCGAAGTCAATACAGCAATCACGTCGACTGAGTGCAGGTAGCGTGTACCCATTGTGGACTGGGGGCGCCGCAGTCAACGCATCTGTTGTTCTCGTTGGTCTTGGAGATGGTGAGCAGCTTGCTCTTGGTCTCCGGATCGACCTCCCACAATTTACTCATGTTGGCGGCGTCGGCGCGATCAGCATGTAGAACACGTCGTCAAGAAGCGACCAAGGGCGGAAGGGAATATGAATGCTGCGTTGTAGCAAGGTGTTGTCGTGGCTATCAGCGATCCCGCCTGTCAACATTCCACCCTGTCTCGTGCTGCCAAGCGATTCGGGCCCACTCCGCGGTTCAAGCCCCCCTCCTGAGGCACGTCTAGATCGCGACTGCACTTCACGACAACAACACAGCGAAATGTTCTAGATTGCATCCGTATGCAGAGCACTTCATATACCAACAGTGCCGACATGTCCACTGCACTCGAAGCGTGTGGCTACCAAGCGATACCACCTTACCACCGGATCCTCCGATCTTCACCGTCAATGGCGTTAGCGACGTTGGGCCACCTCCTCGTACCGTACCTACTTCTGAAGAAGATCTACATCTCCGTGCCGATATCTTGACCTTTCCATCACGCCGCACCCACCACGTGAACCGTGAAACTTCCTCTTCCGGTCCGTTGCTGAGAGGATAAGTATAGATAATTCGCAAGCCACTCCTGCAGCCAGATGATCATCTCCTCGCCACGGCATCTCAGATCCGCACTCGGAAAACGTTCATGGCTGGCCAGTACGCTTGAAAGACTTAAGCTCGCGAAGCCGCCTGGTCTACATTGCTAAGCTGCTTCAACAGCTCAAAGTTCAGTCTTTGTGGGTTCTGTGCGCGCTCGTTTCCTCTCTTGCTTGCTTTCTATTCCCATATCATGCGTGTCATTTTCTTTTGGTCGGTCCTTCTGGGTCTAGCAAACGCGGTACCAGCAGGCCATACATCTTCTATCGAGAAGAGAGCAGACCCATACAAACCTCCTCGCAATGCCATATATGTACAGACATTCAGAACAACCTCTGGCGACAAGCTCTCTCTGCTGCCACTTGTCGAGCAGAAGACAGATGTCACGCACATCTACCTGAGCGCTGTGCATGTCAATGAGGAACCAGGAGACATTAACCTCAACGATGACAACGTGAACAGCACTGTTTGGGATACCGTCTGGCAAGAAGCTGCACAATTACAACAACGTGGAGTGAAAGTCATGATGATGCTTGGAGGTGCCGCTCCAGGCTCATATCCACGACTTTGCAGTGGAGCCAATGGAGCAGTTGTCAGTATGCTAAAGACACTGTGCACTACAGCGACTGATCCCATGTGCAGGATGATTCGTACTACGTACCGCTTCGTAATACCCTCAAATTTCACAATGTCGAAGGGCTCGACCTCGACATCGAGGAGCGCGTGCCGTATACCTGCCCACTGAATCTACTACGCCGACTACATGCCGACTTTGGACCCGATTTCATCTTGACAATGGCACCAGTGGCGTCAGAACTCCAGCCAAACCCCATCGGTCTCGGCGGCTTTAGCTACAGGACTCTTGACGCAGAAGCCAACGCTTCAGACAGGCCCAATGGCAAACTTGTCAATTGGTACAATTGCCAATTTTACAGTAAGCATAAACCTCAAAATTTGATGTTGGAAGTACGTGGCGCTGATTGTGATGTCTCAGATGGCTGGGGTGACGCGAGCCGACCGAACGGATACAACTCCATCATCGCAAATGGCTGGGCTGCAGATCGCGTAGTCATGGGCGTACTCGATTCCCCGAACGATGGCGGAAGTGGCTGGTACGGCGTTAGCACATATCAAAAGACCATCGCAACTTTGAAGGCCAACTACGAAAACTTCGGATCGGTGGTAGGATGGGAATACTGGGATGCTGGCATCAAGGACGGCTACAAAGAGCCTTGGCAATGGGTTGCGGCTATTGGTCAAAGTGTTTTCGCTGGAAGACCTGGAACTGCTAACAGGGACAAAGGTGGCGACTCTGGTCCCAGCCCGTGGCCAGTGTTGACGGACCAGCTGGAGGCACTGGGTGTTGAAAAGCTGTTGGCTGTGAGAGCATTGAATATAAGCGATGGTAGCTTATCGGGTGCTCTGCAGGTCTTGGGTCTATCAGACGTCTTGCCTCTTTAAGAAGAGTGGCGGCACCATATATTCGAGAACTTGAGCAAAGCACTGCAGAGTCGTGACCGAATTGGAATAAGTTCCACGTAGCATGGCCAAAGAGTTCAAAACTGAAGCCGCATCCCAAACTCGTTCCAATTCTGTCGAACAATACGCGATCACCTCTCTTCTTGCGCACTCAATTTCCAAGCGACAGTCACGAGCAGGAATTGAGATTTCGCTCGCAGGGTCTAGTCAAGCTTTGAGAAGACTTTTTTTGTTCTTTGGAGCGCATTTTCCTACATAGTTCACTGTGGTTGTCATCTAGACTTCCTCCTTAGTGCCATATCCACGCCCAAATGCTTTTTCTTCAGTCCACAGCCTTGCAATGCTCGACCTTCTGGTATAAGCTTCAGCTGGACGTCTAACAGCCACGCCAACGCCGAGTTCATCACGCGACTCTTCTTCCTCCAGTTTCTTCTCCTCGAACTCCGCTTTCTGATTTGTCGACCATCGGCGCAAACGAATGGCCGCAGGGCTACCTTTGAGCTCATCTGCCGATGGATCCGTCGACCTGCGACTATCTCTCCGTTCAATTGCCTTCTTGGCCTCCCAAGCAGCGTGGTTTTTTGGGCGGCCACTGATCCACGCAAAGAAGTTCAAGGCATGTTTGAAAGCATTCGACGTCTTCTTGCGCCAGAATGTCATGCCTCGTACTGTGTTGAGAGAGCCTATCAGGATGAAGAAAGGGATGCAGACTGTTGCTGTAACGATTCCGAAATGCTGTAGAAGTGGTTAGTGTGAGGCAGTTCGATGTGCTGGACAAGTTGTCGGGAGGTGGGATGTCGCGAGTTGGAAGTGATCCGACTTACCCAGTACTGGCGCTCCTCCGGCATGTTCGTCATGCCGAAGACAGAAGTCACGAAGGTCAAGGGCAGGAAGAAGATGGAAACCAGGGTCAGCAGCTTGATGTTGTGTCCCTCTAAAAGACACGTCAGTCAGCAGCTTGATGTTGTGTCCCTCTAAAAGACACGTCAGTCAGGACCGAGACAGTGCTCAGCAATATTTTATACGTACGCTGAATCGTAATTTCCGTATTTTTGACAGAATTCCGGCTTTCCTGTATGGAAGTGCCCACGAAGAGTTCTTCTCTGAGACCCACAACTTCCTCTCGGTGTTCGTATACTTCCTTTCTCAGTTTGATAAAATTCGCGATCTCGCGCTCGAACTTCTTGCGAAGTGCGTCCATTCTCATTCTGTAGTATTTATTGCGAGGGCTCGTCTCGTCCATAATTGGCCAGATGGTCTTATGATTGCCTTGCCATACATCCTCTGTGAAAGTGTCTTCGTACGCATCGACCATAGACTTGATAGAGGCCATAATGGTACCGAGAGTTTGATATGCCCAAAAATATCGCCGCGTGTAAGTGTACTGCTCATCCTCAAATTGAAGCCGATCTCTGACTTTTAAATCGAACATGAAGTCGTCCGGCGGCCGGGTGATGCGCACAATTTCTTCAGTGAGCTTCTCGAAACGTACCAATGCATCGCGAAATTCGCCCAACAAGGTGACGAGGAAGGCTTCCACACCGTTGACGTAGTGCTTGCTCGCGTCGTGAACATCTCCGTTCGACTTCAGGTCTGGAAAAGCTTGTACATTGAGCACCTGCCAAGGCGAGAATGGATCGTATGCGCAGCCATGACTCTGCTCTGCACGTCTGGCACTGTTCTTGACCTTTTTGATCTGTGTACCCTGAAGTGAAAGCGCCACGATGGAGCTACAACGTGAGATGCGGATATCATAGCTGTTGTCTTTGACTTTGCGGTCTGCCAACTGCCAGCTCATTGGCCTGCAGCCGTCTCCGATCAGTGTGTAGTATTCGAGGTTGAACACAAAACTTCTTTGCCTGCGCTCGTCGCCGTCAAACGCGCCGTTGAATACTGCGGTGGAGCCTCCGCTTTCAACGAGTTCATCGAACATGTGATCCATATCAAAGAACTTGTTATGTGTCAGGTGAATAGCTGCAAAAAGGGCTGGACTTGGTTCTCGAATGATTGTGATCCTCCCGACCGCTTTCTGCTCTTTGGTAGCAGGGTTGAGGGTCCGAAGAGAGTTCCAGATCCTCATAGCTGTGGACAAGTCCTCGGTCGATTCGGTGCCCACAGCAATTGGAGCACCATCATCACCAACATCCCAGAACTGATAATGTGTGAGATCACTTCTGTCTCCTGCAAGGCCTCTTTTTGGGGGAAACAGACCGGGCTGAGTTATTCTGGTTGGTACCCCAATGATTCCTTTCAAAATCTTCTTGCCTCCCTCCCGCCAGATGTGTTTCATTAGGTGATCCCGCAACATGATGTCGTCGTAAGTTTGCGTTTGCAGTGGCTCATGCGCATACAAAGCATAATCGCAATCATCGTCATCGGAGTCTTCACCCGTGCCCCGGGATGCAGTGGATGCTGGCTGGGTGTGCCGACCAAATGATGACTTCCTGTGACGGAAGCGCGAGCTGGAGAGACGTGGTTTATGCTCTGTGCCTAGTGAATGTGGTCTCACAGCTCCATTCTGAGTAGATGGCGGCAAGGTTGTGCCCGAGGAGTCTGTCGAAGATGCCAATTGCTTCGTGAGGAGATCGTGCATCTGCTGAAAGGTCGCCAAATAGGCATCTCGATGATCGTCCAGCTGCCTGAGCAGGGCATCGACATCCTGCGGGGTGGCCATCGTGTATTGCTAGATCTGGCCACACAGCCAGCGGTCAGCTCACGCAAGATATGAGGAGGACGTAGAGAATCCCCAGAATGTGCGAAAGGTCGCCACCAAGGCAAGGCTGTAGGCCGACGGTTTAGCCGCACATGGCCTTCTCCAACGGCGCCGAAAGCCATAGCTCTTGCAATGCATAGAACTACTGCAGCCGCAAGGCTGCGTCTTGGCTGGGCGAAGTCCACGAAGGAGCCCGTGGTGGAGCATCCACTTGGCGGCAGGGTCAGACCGCCTCAGGCCGGCAATTTCGCCATGGGCACTTCCGACTGTCTACCGACGAGTTGCCATCACCGTCGAAGTCAGATCGCATGAGAAGTGAATACATGTTGGTGTCGGTGTCGTAAGAAAGAGAAGGCGAAGTTGCGCAATATTTGCCAAGCAGCGGGAGCCAAGCTTTGCCACGAGCCGCAGAAGCAAGATCAGCTGGTGGTCCGAGGCTTCTAGTTAGATCGAGTTCATCGTGTACAATGTACATGCGCACTTCAGGTGAGGCGGCTTTCCTGCTCTGGATGGCCTTCATCGAGGGGCAAAGCGCTCTGTCTGCCATCCTGAGCACCGTCTCCGGCTCCGAGGCGTAGGCCCCGCCCTCCCCCGCCGCTGGACATCGAGATCTACTCAGCAATATTAGCTACGTACAAGCGCGCATATCTTCGTCAATGGCGCGGCCACGTTTCCGTCACGGCTGATATGGCAGCTCAGACACCCTTTGAAGTCACGAGGAGTGACAGTCTAGGGTACACTCTCTCCTACCTTGCAACTGAAAGGTTGTTGTCAATAGACAGGCAAGTCCGACTGAGAAGCTTACGCTAAAATACCGTACGGCAACACGAAGCTGGTCATGTCATTAGAGTGTCCTTCGCATCTTCCTCAAAGACTCAGGAGGTCGCTTCCAGATCTCTGTAATTTTCAGCTGATTTTCCACATCCTTCACGCTGCACAGCTTGAAAGGAAGCGAGCCACGAAACGCTTCGCGCGATAGGCAGTGTTCACAAAACCAAGATGGAAAAGAGTCCATCCGACCTCGCTCCGGAATCAGACGCCTCTTCGACGACACAATACGCACCCAAAACAGGTTTCACTTGTCGCAACGCCAATGCTGAGCAAGTGCAGCAGGCTTTTAAGCCGACAGTCTCGGTACTTCATGAGGGCGACATTCCTAGGTATGACAAGAACTTTCTCATTCTCGAACGGTCAACCCGCAGAGCACTTACCCACACGGACCACGGCCTTCGTGTCGCGTCACTCGAAGATGATGGGCCAAATCTAAGAAATACGTGGCTGTGCGTTCAGAGGAACAATTTCATGGGATTTATGAACAAGCAGTCCCGTTGCTTCTTGGGTCACGATGGCAAGGGAAGCTGTAGCACTGTGCACGCACAAGTGAAAGGCATGGGCAATTGGGAATGCTTCGTGCCAAGACCGTTGCCAGACGGAGGCTACCAGATCCTGTCACCCTTCTGGCACACCTACATGCGTTTGGTTGTTGTCGTGGATGAGGAGGGTCGTGTAGAAAGATCCGAGCATGGAGATACGGCCTGGATCTTTGAGGAGATTTGAAGGTTCAAAGCTCAGAACAACAGGCAAGAAGTGTCGTGGGAATGGTTGGAGCGATTGGGAACATGCAGAGTTCATTGCTCCTTAGCCACCGGGGCGACTCACATGTGCGGCGCGTTGCTTGTTGATTCCTTGGAACACAATAAGGACAATCTGATCGCTCTTCCAGGCTCATATCATGCCCACTGCCTGGCCATCCCGCTTCCATACTCTGCCATCCTTCATCACGAAGCCAACGCGTCTCAAAGCACCCAGATCACTCCTCACATCGCCGTCCAGAGCGACAATGTCAGCTGCAAATCCTACTCCAATCCAGCCAAATCTCCTACCCGCCCATTCAGCTCCACAGGCCTCCCAGCCATGCAGAGTGGCAGCGGCAAGCACCTCCACCAGAGGTACACCAGCCTCAACAAGAAGCTCCAGCTCTCTGGCGTTCCCCCCGTGAGCAACAGCACCAGTATCCCCGCCAGTGGCCAACTTGACGCCAGCATCAAACGCTGTCTTGGTCTGCGCCATAATTTTGGCGAACTCTTTCTTCTTGTCTGCCAGGCCATATCCAAAAACGCTCAACGTAGGTACAAAAATGACTCCATTCTCCTTCAGAGCCTGTAGCGCCTCAGTACCTTTCCAAGGCTCAAACCCATGCTCAACAGAAGTAACACCAGCCCGAGCAGCGAGAATCACAGCCTCAGGGCACTGTGCATGTGCAGCAACCGGCGCTCTGGAAGCCTTCGCCTCTCGCACAATCTCATTTGCTTCTTCCTGATCGAATTGCAGCAAATTCGGGTTTCGATCATTATACAACCCCCTCCAGCCCGGCGGATACTGTATCTCCGGCTCACCAGCCCAAGCACTTTCCGGAAACCGCAGAGCACGCTTTCGATAATCGGCATAGAATTTGATGATGTCTGCTCCAGCACCCAGCCTTCTGCGAACACCAGCTCGGACGCCGATTACGCCATCACAAGCATCTGAGAGCCGTGGTGTCTCGACGCCATTGATTCGACTTTCAATGCGGACTTCGTACCCGCTGCTGCTTGCTAGTGGCTCAGTCGCACATAGAATGCGCGGACCTGGGATAATGCCTCGATTTATGGCATTGCGGATGTGGACATCTGCGTCACTGGCTGCTTCTGTGCCAAGGTCGCGATAGGTGGTGAAGCCGGCGAGTAGTGCTGCGCGACAATGGTTTGTAGCTCGGATTGTGCGTTCGATGATGCTCTCGTCACGTTCTTGATTCAAAGATGGGGTTTCTGAGTATGGATGGAGAAGGATATGCGTGTGTGCATCGACCAGACCTGGCAGTACACATTTCCCGCGAAGGTCGATGTCCGGAGCTTCGACCAAGAGTGGCAATGGGTGCTTGCGTTCGTAGACGTCAACGATGAGGCCAGTATCAGGATCAACAACTATTGTAGAGTCTTTGATGAATGTTTTCTGCTTCGAGTCAAATAAGCAATCGGTGTGGACGCTGAAAGTCTTATCATTCTTCACTGGCCTGACGACCATCTTGGCAACGAAGCTTGGTGTAGTGTGTGAGTGAAAGAAAATGCTTGGTTCTGTGCAGTTGTAACAAGCTCGTTACCATTCAAAGTATCGGTCAGGCAAGACAGAGGGGACCTCACAGCTACCCTAGCTAGCGATCGACAGGATCGCGACTTCCACCATCCTTTGTCCGTACCACCTTCCTGATTCAATTGATCGTCTTAGCACTTCTCTGCCGCCATATGCGCAGTCTCGAAGTCTCCAGTCCTCTGTTCCCCTCCGTCAGTCCGAGATCGCCTTCCTTCGAGCACATGGAGGCTTCGTTGATTGTTCGTGGGCACCAGACGAAACTCGACCGTGGAGATCTGGCCTGAGCAGCGACTTCAAATACCCTCCCACCTATCCACTCGAGCCTGGAACTCTAGGGCTGCTTTCAAAAACTCCACTGGGCCGAGACCGTGCGGCTTACGCGCTCGATAAAGACGGCCGCCCAGTTCGGCCACAATCTCCATATCGATCTGCTCGGGACTGTCTTCGTCCTCTATTCCAGAATCAGACTGCTCATCTTCGTCTGACGAGGCCTGATCGAGAATTTCTCGGGGCTGGAACTCTAGGGCTGCTTTCAAGAATTCCACTGGGTCGAGACCGTGCGGCCTACGCGCTGGATAAAGCTGACCGCCCACTTCGACCTGAATCTCGGTATCAGGCCATTCATCCTCGTCTGACGACATCTGCTCGAGACCGTCTTCGTCCTCGATTTCAAGATCAGACTGCTCATCTTGTTCTGACGAGGCCTGATCGCGACTTTCTTCGTCCTCCATCTCAGAATCGGACTGCTTGAAGTCGGACTCCTCATCATCGTCATCTTGTTGAGCCTCTGGTGCGGCAGTCGACTCGAATTCAGCTCGGTCAAACTCGGCCTTGCTGAACTTGGGACGGGGACCTGCAGGCAGTGGGAGGTTGAGCCTGCTCATTGTGGCGAACCGAGTCATGCGCAGCAGTTCGAAGCGAGCGTGCAGTTGCTTTTCGGTCACGGTCACTGTGCAAGCAGTCAGTCGAAATCTTCGTCGCCAAAACAGGCATTAGATCCTGTTTACCGCCGTAATTTTTCGCCAAGCCTTCCATCAGGCCTGTGTAACAATCTTCCATATCTTCAATGTTACCGAAAGCAGCAGCCAGCAGGAGGTCTCGCTCCATTTCGACGGACCACGTCAACTTGCGGGTGCCCGCTGGAGGTGGCGAAATCTTGTCGGACAGAGTAAGTGTGAGCTTTCGCGAAGAAGCAGGTGAAAGTGTGCGCGACGAAGCGGGCGAGAGTGTGTGCGACGAAGTTGGTGAGGGTGAACGGTTTGAAGTAGAAGATGTCAGTTCATCGTCGTCCCACATGGCTCCAGACATTTTCTCCGCGGTGGCGCCGCGGGACATGCTTGCTGTAGCAGAGAGCAAGCTGTCCATGTTTTTCGAGAGAATTTGCGAAAAGGAAGCTCGAGCTTGTTATGTTTGCTTCCCTCGGCCAAGACAACCGTGCCCGGCGCTGCACTCACTCACTTCAATGTTCACTCTCTCCAACTGTCGCAGAGCTATGATGACTTGGCATGTCGCAATGTTGCGTTGGTGTCGAAAGCGCGATTCTTAGGGCGGTAAAGTGCAATGCCACATGTCCTCGGGAATTCCAGAGCCAGAGTCATCACCTTCTACGGAATCAGTCAGGAACCCCATAGGAATCTCGTGTGGTCTAAGTGCTCATTCAGACACAACTTACGTTCGAGTTGACTGGCCAGTATTGCCGCCTGCAATGTAGAAAGTCAGTACACCGCACACCGAACTCATATCACATCTTACCCACCTGCTGAATTCCCAAAGTCTGATGTAACGTCTTCAATACCCCAATGACCCATGTCCGAATCGGACCACCCATGGGGTCAGCAGCGCCCGCGGTGAAGAGAGGGAACTGAGTTTGATAGCCTCCTGACATCCTGACCCACGGTAAAGTACCACGATCCTTTTCAGCTTGCTTGAAGGGGTGATGGTCTCGCGAGTTGAAGTCCACAAGCTGATCTTGCGCCTGACCACTCGAATCCGGCGCATGTATGATCGGAAAGGTGTGACTCAAGTGCTGAGGTATAACAGCCAAGATGCTCAACTGCAACTGTCTGATGGTGCTCATGTAAAACTGTATCTTGTCCAACTGTTCTGGATTGACTTTTCTTCCTGAGGTTCGTAAATTTACCAGTGCCTTTCGTAGAATGTCGATGAGCATGATTCGAAAGCTCCAATTACCGCAGATGATCTGTGCTATGACATAGCTGTCGAAGACATAATAGTAGTCGGAGTATACCATACGTCCCGTTGCAGCAACGTAGTGAGGTTTCCAATTGGGAGGGGCGTCAGCTAAGATGGATTCCAGTTCAGCGTAAAGGAAGAGAGCGTCATCAATGATGAGTTGCGCTTGCTCTGACGATACTGGGTAGTTACCAGGCAGTAAGCGGCTGTTCAGATCTGCGATCTTGAGACTGGCCAGATGGAAACGCCAGACACTCTCGCGAGGGTTAGGTATGAAACTTTCTGCGATCTTCTGCATAGCACGCACGTGGGCTGGGATTGGCAGTCGTCTGCTCAGACAGCTCATGATGAGGTTCGTACAAGTTTGGAGGAAGAGGCGGCATCCCGTCTGAGTCTTGAACTGCTCGCTACCGCGCAGTTGTAGCAAAGACGCTGCCCCATTGACATGCTCCCGCCAGGAGTCCAAGTTTCGTTGAAAGCCAGAGACGCATTCGAAGACGCCCAGTATAGTGATGGCCAACAATGTGCTGTCTTGAGTCCGACCTTGTGGATCCTGTAGGGCAGTGTTGATCTTTTGGATAGCAGAAACGTAACGCTTCTGGGCTTCAGGCTCCAGCATCCGCCCTTGGCCCATATTCTTGACAGCGTCCACGGTGCCAAGGGCTTTGACAGCTGCCATGAGGCAGCCATTGCCGACATCAATGTCCCATTGATCTCTTTTATCATGGTACTTATACACATACTTCTCGAAGAATTGGGCAATCGCCAGATCATCGAGGCCAGCATGAAAACTCACTGGTGGTGGTCGTGGTGAGGTGGGCGTGATGATTCCACTTCCAAAGCGAGGCACCTGTACCACCGAAACTTGGGGAGTAAGCTGCAGTTCTTCTTCGCTCGGTGCTTCAGATACTGCTGATGACTGTGGACTTGGTAGTGCCGTGGCAGCTGCAGTGGAGGCGGCGGTAGCGTCATCTTCTATGCGGCGTCGAGTACCCTTCTGGGCGTGAACCTTCTTGATGATACGGTCGCTCTCATCATGGAACAATAGAGAGGTGAGGTCCCGATATCCCTCACACTTCCATCCTGCCTTCTCGCACTTCTCACAGCCAGATTCACGTAAGTCACACTATGCGCAGGCTGGTCAGTAACAGCAGCCAATGGAAGGGGCCAAAGACTCCACATGGCCCTGGACTCAGCTCACTCAGAGCCTTGCCGGTTCACCATGTGCGATCGCCGTGTGGGATCGACAAGCGCTTCTGGCTTCTTCATACCTTTATCTTCCGGCGTCGACAGGTCTCACATCCGCGCGAGGGCCTGCCTCGGAAAGGCATCGCCCCTCCAGAATCTCTTGACGTCCGTTCTATCGCCGCATAACCTGGTGGCTGGGATCCTTGATGAGGATGGGCCGAAGCGTGCTAGGTCTTGCGAGCTTGCCGTGGAGAGGCGCACGAATTCCATTTGAGCGTGCTTGGGTTTTCCGATGCGGCTCTTTTCGAGCGTAAATCTCGGATCATGAGTAATGAGACATGGGTGTGCCAAAGTCAGCAGACTCAAATAAAACCAACAAGACGAGGGTACACCGACCAATTGAAGTCCAAAGATCCTTGTATACAGCCAAAGGTTGTTGGAACAGTGTTCATCAGTACGAAAGTCGTCATGCACATTTGGCGGAACACGTGAAGTGCTGGCATGATGGACTGGAGGTTATCTATTCATAAGTGCTGTTGGAATGGCGGGAAGTGCTCATCGGCCGGTGAGGCGATTTCCCTTTCATATGTACACCAAGATGCGGTGCCTCCAATGGCCTGTGCATTGCTCATGAGCTTCGACGGCCCATGGGCTCGAAGGGAAATGAGGCCGCCACCATAGCCATCACGATATATAGTGCGGCACAAATGTAAATTGGAACGGCAGTCGACGTGTCAGCAAAACTAAGGATGTTCGTCAGCGATGCATGGGAGTTTTGAAGGATGCGACACTTACGTGGCAACGACTGCACTCATGATTCCCATCAATCTATTCAATCCAATTGAGATGCCGTTACCGGTACCACGATGAGCTGAAGGCAGGACTTCTGGGGTGTACGCGTAGAGGGTGCCGTAGTAGATGTTCTACGCCACGGATTAGCTTTACATTGGACGCGCGATAAGTCCAACAGATCATAGCATAGCGCCAAAAGCGTAGCTTGGTGCAGGTGTTGGAGTCCGAGCGACCAGAACGTGCCGTGTGTTGCCACGAGTAACCAAACGATGACTTTGCAGTTTCCGATCCAGGACTGTGTGTTCCAACTTGTGGTATAGCTCAGGGCTCCGATATTTGCAGCGCAAGCGTTCTTCGCGATCGTCTGTCTTCGGCTCTACTCGATTTGGAGGCTGGGAAGAGAGAAAAAACGAGAAACACTTACCAGGCAGAAATTGATGGCGCACGTGAAGCCCAAGTTTTGAGCATCGGTCCTGACCTCAGTATAGGCGAAGAAAAATGTCATTGCAGAAAGAGCACCAATGATCTGGACCTACAGTTAGTACAAGAATTTCAGAGGCTCGGGCATCACATACCATAGTTCCTCTTCGTCCCCAGAACCATCGTGATTTGCACATGAAGCCAGCCAAAACCGGACTCGGGATACCACACAAGTTGGCAATTGCGTAATTTCGCCATCTGATGTTCTGGGAGAAATTTCCAAGCTGCGCTCCTCGAGTGTCCAGGTACACGGGCAAGAAGACGTTGAAGAGAGGATACGCCAGACCAATGAGTAGCCACGAGAACCAGATCAAAGACGTGGAAAGCCCGAGCTTCTTGGTAGTAAAGAGACCTGAAATATGCGTTCCAAACTCGCTGAGAGACCACTTCGATTCGGCATGAGCAGCTCCAGCAGAGTCACGTCTGCGGTAGTCGCCAGTGACGCCGCAAGCCTGGAAATCTTCAATGGTGAGGCTGCAAGGCCTGTTGTACTTCTTGGCGATGAACTGCAAAGTCTCGACGACTTCCGCGTCCTTGCCCTCGCCTACGAGGAATTTTGGGGTCTCACGAAGTCTGATGATTGTGACACGCAAAAGACTCAACACGAGCACTAGCGAGCCGTTCGCGAACCACATGTACCTCCAGCCAGGGTTTGTGTCCCAGTTGCAGGGCACACCAGTTTCAACCGGATCTCCAGGACAGCTGTAGTTTGGCATGAACGCCCATGCGAAGAGACCAGCAATAAGTTGACCTAATCCCCACCAAGCGGCCATCAGTGTAAGAAGCCACTGGTCTTTGCCGGGAAGATACTCGAGAAACACGGCGGTATCGAGCACCAGGTTGCCTCCAGCACCGAAGGCAGAGAGACAAACGAAGAGGCCGAGAACGATCCAGTTGGGCGCTGCGCCTGCCACAATACAAAAGATCGAGCTGATCAATAGCGATACGTTAAACGCATACTTTCGCCCGATAATGTCTGCTGAGATGCCCCAGAACAGAGCCCCCACCAACATTCCGACGTAGACTGCGACGGTGAGACCGTATTGAAAGCCAGGCTTGAATTCATACGCGGCTTGGCCCTATAAGTGGTGCGGAATAAGGTAAGCATAGTCAACATACGTATCTCTGCGCAAACGTTCGCAGCCTTGCGGTGAGCCCGTTTCTGGCTCAGAGCTCAGATATAGCCGTGGAGCTAGAGACATTGGGGATAGGACTATTCCCCAGCGATGGCACTTACAGCGATGATACTCTGGATGAGCAAGATCAAAGAGTCCACAGCGTATCCGAATCCATTCAACACAAACAGCTTCCACTGGTATCGCGTCATGCCAATCTCGTCAATCGCATCATTGACGAGCTTCATCTTCGCATCAAGAACCGGATCAACATGCTCTTGCGCCAGTAAATCGCCCTTGTTTATCATGTATTCATCCTCGCTGCGTCTCACGGCAGCCTCGTACGTCGGAGCTGCTAAGGTCCCGGACTGCACATCGGCCTCGCTCTTGGTCTTATCCTCGGTGGACGCCATTCTGGAAGGGGAAGGGTGGAGGTAGGAGGACTCAGCCAGCTCGATACTGTGCCTGCTCGAGGAGGCGAGAAGATGTTCGGACTCCAGGATGGGCGGAAGGAAGGGCACTTAAGTAGTACTACGAAGAGCTGATGATCTGCCGCAGTGGCGCGTGGGCTGCATGAAGAGGATATCGTGCTTGGAAGTTTCGACGCTATCGCTTGGTGAGCTTCGAGGGTACAAAGTTCACACAGCTCCGCGCGAATCACGCTCCCGCTGTATCAGCTTTAGCTTTTGAGCGATGTTGCCATAATATGCTTTGGCGCCAATCTGGAGACGCACGTGGGCGCAAAGCGTCAACGCGGTTTTAAGGAATGTCTTGGAGCGCTCTCGTGGCCGCGTTGCCATCTCGGGCCATTGTGTAACCTGTCGGGCACGATGTCACTCCACAGTGGTTTGCGAGGGTGCCCTGTTCATTCTCTGGATAAGATCCAGTACAATTGTTCGCAGAGAGACGATGGGCGGGACAGCTGAAGCCAAGCTCCTCGGCAGGCGAGCGACGTAACCTTACCAGCGGATAGCAGAGACAGGAAAGCGAGAGTGGGGAAAACGCCCTAGCGCCACTTTGCCTTTGCGGTATGGCCGCTAGTGTAACCGGTATAAAAAATTGTGCCATGCTCGTATGCCAGAAACATGTAGGAAGAATTTCTCGCCTTTCAGACAATGGCAGCTGTGCTTTGCTGGGGAGTCTCGCCAGTCATGAGCAGATCGATTGTGATCATACTGCAAACGGCACGATGGGACACTCTTGACACATTGCAGCATGCGCACTCCTTCTCATTCAATGTCTGAATCTTCTGTTTATATGCAGAGCGGAGGTATAGAACGCCAGGGAAATGTGTGCAATGCCGGCTTATCGAAACACAATACAAGAAAGCCAATAACCGAATACAATCTCGCGCCTGCCAACGCCCGACAAATCTCAGAACAAGAGGACCTGATCTCACCATATGTACAAGATCTTCCGCGGGCAACTGAGGCTTCAGCCATTTATCCAAGCATTGTTCCAATGTCTCTCCTTCGCTCGTTGACTTCAGACCGCCCAAGACGGCTGGCTCTTTCCTTGCTCAAGTCATCATAGCCAAGACTGTAAATGAAGAGGAGCAATAGGGCTAGGGTTGTGTTTTGTATCAGGCGGGAGTCGTGAGGAGCGAGTAGTTGCTGGAACGCAGCCAAGGCCAGCGCCGCTATGCCCGCGGTAAGCTATACATGATGCTGGGGTCTGGCGCCGCCACCAGCTGCGATGGACGCGGGCGTGCTAGCCGGCGCTGGAGGAGGGTATTCCTGCGGGTATTGATCATCCGGTCCAATTGGTTCGTAATCGTCTTCGGCGTAGTCTTCGTCATCATAGTACTCTTCGTCCTCGGGCGGCGGTAGGTTGGGATCGTAGTTCTGTGGGTGTGAAGGAGGTGCAGGCGCTGAAGCATTGTTGACATTGTTCTTGCCGCCCTTGCCTGCGCCCTTCTTGTTCTTACGTCCCTTCATCTTTGCCTTTTCCAGCAGCCTACGCTTCTCCTCCGCCTTTTTGCGTTCCTTCCGATCTTTGATCTCGTATGCACGAATCAGCGCGTATGGTGGCACTCCGTAAATGTCTTCGTATTCACAGAACTCGCATATCCACATGTCATCGGGCTTGGGGCGGTGGTGGTAGTTTTGGTATTGTTGATTCTTCTTGCGTTGCGCTGCCTGCATCGCGTACTCTTTGGCGGGATTTCGACGAGGTCGGGGCTTGGGCGGCGGTGCTTGCTGCTGTTGGGGATGAGCCGCGGGTGGTGCATTGTTTGCAGGCGGTGGAGGAGGGCGCTGGGCGTTGATGGGAGGGTGCTGGCCGCGCAGAGGTGGTGATGTCTGTGTGCCGTGCGTGTTCTGTGGCATCGACCTCGCCGGCGTGGGCGTACCGGCGAGGTACTGGCCCTGCTGGTCGAGCATTTTCGTGGCAGAGTCGGACTCGCATGTAAACGTGAACTGTGATTGGGGCGTTGATGAGCTAATGGCGTGGTGAGGTGCAGATGGATGCAAGCTCACATTCTCGCGACCCTTGGCTGCTGGTGTCAACGGGCCTTGTTCGGCAGCAGTTTTGATGGCCTGGGAGATGATTCCGCCGGTGTTTTCTACGCCGGGGTCTGTGTGTTTTTGAGGTTACGTCAGCCAACTTAGTTCAAAGAACGATGTCTCATCGAATGCGCGGAATTTACCTTCTCCGTTCCTTGCATCGCTGCCGCGTGGCGAAGCGCGCGAATGATAGCCATTGATAGTGTTCATGGTACTGCTTCCCAAAGGTCGTCGGTTTCTGCCATCTTGTCGCCCATATCGACCTCGTCCTGCGCCACTGATTCCTGTCCCTGAGCCGGCCGAAGGCGATGCATGAGGATCGTAATGCTGTTGCTGTGTTGCATGCACGGCTTCTTCATCCGCTTCCACCCGTGAACTGCTAATGCCCATGTTTGCAAGCTCCGCGCTCAACTGACTTTGATGCATGCTCGAGGCTGATGACAGAGGTATCTTCCGCTTCTTTTTGTTGCTGGTGTTCTCAAAGCTCTCATATCCATCTCCTGAAGAACCTGTTGAGCCGGGCGGAGGCGGCTTGTTGGCAGCTCGTGAGGCTTCCACTAATCTTCGCTGAAGAGAATCGGGCTTCAGTCCTCCCCCATTAGGCATCGGCGCAGTAGCATAGCGGTAGTCGGGATGATCAAACTCTACCTCGTCGTCACCGCTGTCTCCGTCATGATCGCATGTGCAGTGGTCATGGTGCACCGTGTGATGGTGATGGTGATGGTCGTGATCATGTTCATCATGGTCATGATCGTGGTCGTGGTCGTGGTCGTGATGGTGATGGTGGTGATGAACGTCGCCGTTCGTCAATCGGGGCTGCTGTGCCGGTGTGCCAGTCTCTTGCACGCTGAAGCTGAGGGTAGGCGATATGGGTGGTGGACTGGGCGGAAATACCAGCGAAGAGACCTGTTCTGGCGACAGCTTGGACCGCAGTCGGCTTCGAGGCAAAGGACGAATAGCTCGGTCAGGGTAGACGGATGATGCCTGGTCTGGAGAGCGGCCTGGCGAGAGTGATAGAGATCTGTGATAGCTATGCGCAGCTAAGTCTGGGTGCCGCGTCAGTGAATATCCCTCAGAGCCTCCTCGAGTACGCAATCCAGCCCTCGTGCGGCATTGCCATCACCAAGCGTGTATCCACAAGACCAGGACTCCGTAGACAATGTTCCCACCATTTACGAAAAGCTCTCCAAGCAGTGTAAGGTCCAAGATACCTCTGTGCTGTGGAGGGGTGCTTGCCACTTGTTCTCCTCCTCTTGCATCGTGGTAGCGCCAGGAGTATGTCTGGGCTTGCCCCAGTATGCCGCACTTACCGGCAGTCGTAGCCATATTCCATCTGCCTGCTCTTCACTTCCAGTATCCCGATCCAAATGCGAATCAAAGGCCCCTCCTCTATCGCGCACAAGCAGCTGCAGGGTTGAAAAGGTGCTCGATGGTGACTCAGCAGTTGGACGGCGTCGGAATTTCGAAGGCCGGTCGTGGACTCGAGCGGGCGGGCGAGGTGCGTACAATGCTATACAAGAAGGACTCGGTCGTTCAGCAGTATAATTTGCAAGGTATAGATGATGATGTCTGTTGAAGCAAGAAGCAATCCTCCTCGTCTCGTCCTCGGAACTTAGATCCTACTAGCGCGGATGCACGCCAAATTCCCCCTTCTATTACCATCAACCCGCGCTCAACGCTCCCTCCTGTTTGCTACCATCGAACCAGTCACTCAAATACGATGGTCACTCTGCGATCAACTCACAGGCTATTCGGGAGCTTCTGGGCACAAGCACATCTACGGCAATACCTTGCAGCACCCCACGATCCAGATTTCATGCCGTGCCGCGGCACAAAGGTGTAGCTGCATACTAAGAACAGTGACTCGGGCAGGCACTGCTGACCTCTGCTTCGCACGATCGGATCTCTACATTACTTAGGGCGTATAGGCTCGTACAAGGCATTACAAAACTTGCGACCGAATCTGACAACAAATGGGGCTGCCCGGACACGAACTACATGGACCAGGAACGAATCTCGATTTCAATTTTCATTCAAGACTGGCTTATCAACGTCTGCAGCATGCTGTGTGCTGAAGCTCAGCTGTCATGCTGCACTTCCGCAGGCTATCTTGACGTGTCTCCTCGATATCGAAGGACATATGCCTTGACTTCACTGCGACTCAGGAATGACTGAGCTGCGGCCAGAGTTGTAACCGCTGTCATAGCCAGGGGCTGCATCCTCCACTTCTGCATTGACGTTAGCCATTTCCTGGTCTCGAAGGAACCCACTTCTGTCACTCACCCTGTAGGCTCTGTGGCAAGGACTGCCGCCATACGACCTTGGAGAGAGCGCGCGGAATGTCCGTGCCCATCACCGCCTGACGACACAACATAGCGTACGCCTCTGCCCCAGTCAGGTTCTTCAACTCCTCCTCCAAAGCTTCGTAACACTCCAAAGCATATGTCAGCTTCACTGCACGATCCTCGGCTTCGATGATGAGGTGTGCCGCAATGTTGAGGCGTGAGATGGCGAGTCCATACTCCTCGCACAGAATTGCTGCACGAGCGCGCGCGAAGGCTTCTTTGAGCATGTTGATGAGCTGGATCATATCAGGCAGCTCACGCGTGTCGGAAGAGATGAAGGCATCGACACAGTAATCGCGCCAGTGCTTCGGAACCAGGGCGTGGAAACGCACGTGGAGTGGCAGCTCGTGGTAGGCTTCGCCAAGTTCTTTGTCTACATCGGAACGTTAACTGGATTCGTTGATACGTTTGACACCATCACCATCACGCCGCTTACAGTATTTGGCAATTTCGGCAACGACTTCCGAGAACGATTGGAGAACGCCCTCAAGCTGAGCTTTGCTGAGCGAAGTTGGCTCGAAGAGCGGATCTGAGTATGAAGCCATCGAGCCACCCATGTCGAAATCGGGTTCTTGGGTCGGAGTGAATGACGAGTTGTGACTGATTGGCTCGACGTCCTTGGTTCAAACCTCCTTCTTAGGTCGCGCTGAAGTTGGGTCAATGTTGTTGTGGTTGGAGTCGCAAACAGCTCGATGCCAATGCTGATATGCCGCAGCTTTAAGGTCACGCTGGTGTTGACAACAGGTGGCTGGTGTCATTGTGACACATACGCCTGAGACAATAACCTGCACGTATCGCTGCTGCTGCAAGAAGGCACGGGCCGCACGTCACGGGTAAGTGAAGGCATTCACGTGGCGTCGGCAGCCAACGGTGTTTGCGTGCGGGTAGCAGCATGTTGTTTTCCCCTTTGCGATACGCAGCGCATGTCCAAGCGAGGTCTTGTTCATGGCAAGCCGCATTGAAATCACGGAACGAACGAGAGATATGATCAAAGATAAAGAATGGCTTCGCACACTCGCTAAAAATACAGCAACGCTAATGCAGAAAAGAGGTTTTTGGTAATGGTATCTCAGATGCGTTCACCCTTAGTGCGTCTCCGCATCCGCTTCAGGGGTCCATCGCGTTTTCCGTCATCCTCACTCGACTGCAGCCTAGAGTCCTCGTCGTCAGATGGTGAGCTCACTTGGCATCCAGCGCTTGCTATGAGCAACATCGCTTCCTCCTCACTTCGCACCTTTCCATTTCGCAGCCAGCGACGCACCTGAGGCAACGCCATCGTCCAGTCCCGCAACATCTCGAACTTCTCGCCCCCTTGCTCTGGCCGGAGCGCCAACCGATACTCAATTCCCTCCTCAAACTCCACCTCATCATCGACCATGTCGCTGAATTTTCTGTGCAGCTTGTTCACAGAAATCTCGAGGGCCACTAGTTGATCGTTCATTGCTTCCAGTATTTCCAGACCGGTACACAATGTTCTCTCTGCGGCTTCCGGGTCCACTTCTTGGAGGTGATGTGAAGAAGCGATGCAGAGCTGTTCGAGATCTTCCAAGTACCCGATACAGTCGTTCGCAGGCATAGAGTCGTCTATCGTGAATGCTGTAGCGCAGTCGACTTGTGGCCGTTCGCGAATTCTCCGAAGTTGGAGCGGAAGAGCGTGGTATTCTAATCCAAGGTCAAGATATTTGGTCTCTGTTGTTGTAATGCTTCGGCGAAATGAGGCTTGTGCATTGTGGATTCGTGTCATTGTAGCAGCGCGTTGTCGGATGCCCATTTTGATTGTGGAATGGCGAGTTGATTGGAGAGGGAGCAGCAATATATGTATTCTCCCTCCTCTTGTCGAAATAGTGCTGTCTCAGTGTCCAGTGCTTGCAGTATTGTGCCCTTGTTGTGATGCTTTGTCAAAATGTCTGGAACTGCCTTTGCTGCACATTGATGAGATTGTGAATGGATGGAAATGTCTCAGCTGCGTATCGAAAGTTCAAGTCAATGATATATGGAGCCCAAACGAGAATCTCCTACCAGTGGCAAGTCGGTATTGACAAGGGCTTTATGGTGCTACAGCTCACTAGATCCGCGTAGCACGACGGAGCGCGTTTGCCTCTTGCACGGCTAATGACTTCGGAAGCCTTGCCGGTGCCCTGTTGTCGGTTTCGCCGGCATACGAGTCCAGCACGTCGCAGAGAGACGACATAGGGGACTCCAAAGATCGTCATAATAAGGAGTCTCGTACTTCGGTGTGGCTGTGCATGCCTAAATCCAGACCGAAGTTCGTGCGAGGAGTCTAGTGGTTCTTCTTATAGCGGAGCTAGGCTGGCACGCGACATCTGGTAGATCGGTGGAACATCTGCACGAACCATTTTTGGCTTAAGGTCTGCTGCTGTGCTGCTAGAGCAGAATGGACCATCGTAGGCTAGGGGGAGCCGGCTGATAGTCTAGATGGCATTTTGTCCACTTCAGGGTGGATACGAGGCGGCCGGACAGAAGTGCCAGATCTGGTTTGAATATCTATATCCGGGATGCGTTCGTGCCACAATTCGGTGGGTTGAGGCGAACCATGCAAGAGCGAGAGAACTGCCAAGGAGTCCTGTTCCTCAAGGTCAATGAGATTCAAGGCGCCCAAGCGAAAATGGACAAATGTTTGGACTCTGGAGTTCAAATCTGTATTGGGACAGAGTCTCCGACAGTTGTTCGAGGATCATCCCTCCCGGGATGAGTCTAAATGAGAATGGAAGGAGGTTTGGATGAAGTTGTGGATCGATGCCTCAGGTTCGCATCACGAATTCGCAGACAGTTCTCATGTGCAAAACGTTCGACACCACCTCACAACTCACATGCTGAGTCGTTTCCTTCTCAAGCCCCGCCTTGCTCATGCTATTCAGAACACGGCATGATGCTCCAGAGCTAATGAAGCACCAAATCGCGCTAGGTTGTTGAAATCGCGCAGGAGAAGTGTAACATCGTTGCGCAGTGCTGCCATCAAGTGGTGTCGAGAGCAGCCCGGACGTTTTGTAATCGAGACTACCTCGGACCTTGGATGTCACGACACACCACTGCAGACCACCTCGGACATTGGGAGACATCGCAACATTGCATAGTGCGGAGTGTCTTCACAGATCAGATGGTATCCCGGGTATATAGAAAGAACTCCTACTCATCAACAACAGCAGCGGCAGCAGCAAGACATATTGAACAGTAGCTGACACCTTCCCACCATTTCCACATTGAATCATACAATATCAGAATGGCAAGCACAGTGCTCTACTCAACCTCCGCTGATGGAAGAGTCGCATACCTGACACTGAATCGACCAAAGCAATTCAATGCCATCAACGCTGCATTGCCACAGGACCTGCGGAATGCAGTCAGAAGAGCCAATGCCGATCCTAGAGTGCGCTGTATAGTCCTTTCTGGTGCAGGACAAGGTTTCTGTGGTGGCTATGACCTCGATTTGTACGCCCAATCTGCCACCAGAGGCTCGACTGAAGGCAGCCAAGAACTGAGTAAAGGATACGATGCTCTCCTCGATTATCAAGGCATGCACGAGAATACGGAATGCTTCATGGAGCTTTTCAGGAGTCACAAGCCGACCATAGCCAAGATACATGGCGCTGCGGTAGCTGGCGGAAGCGACATTGCGCTCTGTTGTGATCTTGTCATTATGGCAGAAGATGCGCGCATCGGCTACCCGCCTGCACGGGTCTGGGGATGTCCCACGACAGCCATGTGGGCTTTACGCTTGGGTGTCGAGAAGGCGAAGAGGATGTTGTTTACTGGCGACCTCATATCCGGTACTGAAGCGGAAAGGATTGGCTTGATCTTGAAGGCCGTTCCACTGGCAGAGCTTGACGACGCTGTGAAGTCGTTGACTGAGCGAATTGCATCAGTTCCAGCTGACCAAAACTGGATGCACAAGCAAGTGATCAATGGCTTCGCGGAAGGGCAACTGGTACAAGCGCAGAAGCTGGCGACAGTCTTTGACGGAATCACTAGAAACAATCCTTCCGGAGTTGCCTTTCAGCAGCTCGCACAGAAAGACGGTTTCAAGGCGGCGATAGCCGAGCGAGATCAGCCTGGCCGGACAGACAAGTACAGAAAGACGTGGAAGAGTGTCCTCTGAATGTGTTGGATGCTTCTCCTGGATTCGCCTTCTGAGTCAAAGCTGGGGGCGTTTGTTTGCTGCGTGCCACCAGTGACGCATCGGACCACCTCCCAAAATCCACCTGCCACCTGCCACCAACTTCATCAACACACGCCGGCCACCTTCCACTCAGCAGCCATGTCCACGTCCACCGCCGAAGGCAGTGAGCCTGCCGATACGGCCGCATCCTCAGCGCCCTCACGCGCGAAGCCAACGTCCTTCGAGCATCTGCCAGCCGAGCTTCGCAATAGCATCTACGAACTTGCAGGTCAGTAGCCTCGCGTGCCGCGAATCTCTTGATGTTACACTCTGACCGTTTACTCTAGGCTGTGGCAAGTACTATGAAGAACCTGTCAGCTCCCATTTCCGCCACTCCGTCGAAGGAGACTACACTGTCGAGCATCATCACAAAGCCCATGGCTGCAAAGACCGCGCATCGTGTTCGAATGCACCTTGGGATGATTTTCGCTCCTGGTCTCCGGCGGCAATCATGGTCAATCCTGCCCGTGACAGCACCACTCGAGTCAACGGGTTTCTCCCTTGGCCTCGAACATGTAAATCCGACCGCTGGAGAAGGCCACTGCGCTGCTATGAAGCAACAACCGACCAGCCTGCGATTACTCGCGTCAGCCGCGTCGTCCGTGGAGACACACTCTCCATCTTTTACGGCGGCCACCCATTCATCTTCCGATTGATCAGTACCGATGGCTCCGATAAGGACAAGATTTTGCAGTATCTCGACACGATTGGGTTAGTCAATGCGAGCAGACTGGAAGAAGTGTATATCGTCTATGCTCGCAAGCAGCAAGAGAAAGAGATTGAGAAAGACCTGCTCAGGGAGATGAAAGTTCGTGGAGTCATCACTGGTGGTATGGACAAGTTAGGGGTCGTGCGTCTGACGAGGCTTGGATATCCGTTCTCCCAGACTGACTCCGGAGTGCTTGACGCTGTTACGAGGGCGCGCGGTCTGAACTACTAGGCTCGGAGAATGAGTGGTCGAAGTGCTCTCGGCAGAGGAACAGAGAGGCGCGTCAAATGAGCTTGGCATTCAGTCTTGAGGCATCTGGGCCTGTACAAAGGCATTGCAAGCCACGATAAGGTGTTACAACTCGGTCGCTATGCCGGCAAGACAAGCATCGAATTGAGGCCAACGAGTATGCCAACATGGACGATTGAAAACAGGCCAAGTTTAGCCTTCTGACGAAGAAAGGATGGAAATGATACTGCCACTGTATGCACATTGGGCAAAAGTGTCGATGATTTTATGGTTGACTCAACTCGATCGCTGCACTGCTCTTCAAGCGTAGTGCTGTTGACTATTCGATGCGTTGGTTCCGGGATGTGTTGGCAGCCAACACTTCCCTCCGGCATCTTCACTGTGACAGCGTGTCGCCTGCTGGAGCCAGTGTCTGTGACTTTAATTCGCCAAATTTTACCGCACAGCTTTGATGTGTAACAGTAGAAGGAATGTCAATTAGCTATCTCCGACAATTCAATCACCATTCCAGCCCAGCTTGACATCGAAGAGCAGATTATTTCCAAGACCGAGCCCAGACTGCGCAATCAAAGCAGCCAGGTTGTATTCAACAAAACCACCAACAACTTTGGATCAGGCGGTACAATCGACAGGTCCAGGCTAATGAACCAGGTTGTTACAAGGACAGCTGCTAATCTCTGCAGAAAGACGCGCTCAAACCCGACAGGTAAGCAGAAACCATGAGCCTGGAACATGTATGAGCAGGGGAGCTTCGATGGTATAGACATGTGACTCAGCGGTATGCATCAAGACAATGGCCCCGGATGAAAGTCCGCGATGCGCGAAAAAGTGCCCAAAGTCGGAATTCCGCCTGTATTCCACTACGCAGATGCAAGATAATGCCGCTGGACGATCTTATGCAAGAGAGGAAGTGGACGTGGCAGACGAGAAGATCGCCCTTCGTGCCGATCATCGCGTGCTCGAAAGCTTACCCACGCCGCACGAAACCGATGACAGGGATATAGCAGTGAGTGAAATGCCAAAATAGTAGTGGCGACACGTAGGCAAGAGTGACCACAACTTCCATTCTGAGTAGTCATTAGACATTATTGCGATTGTCTAGTTTGGAAAAGGCAAGACGATCTCCATCCTCCATAAACTTTTCCAGCTCATTGCTGCATTCCTCAACCGATTCGAATCCCTCCAACTGCTCCGTTGCAACAGCTCTCAAACCCTGCATGTGCTGCCGCTCTGCTGTTGGTGTTTGGAGCGGTCAAGCTGTGCAAGCTCGGTCTAGATCGTGCCTGGTATCGCAGTGTCCTCCCCGCCTTTTCCATCTCTGTGCGGCACTGAATGGTCAGCGCTGGCAATTCCCTTGTAGCATATCCTGCTCGATTGTGTTTGTTCTGCGCTCCTCGGCCGTGTGCCTTCGCGCCATGCTAGTTGAGATGCATGGCACTGTTTGTAGGTGTGGCCTCTCAGCTCACTCTCGTCCTGCAGAGAGAGGCTTTGCGCTCTTCCATGGCTCCATGTTGATCCTCTTGCACTTTGCGAGCAGTCTTTGCTGGCGAGTCTCCTCCGACATTGCGTAGTTGTCTTCGCGAGGTGCGAGTGGCAGAGTGTTTGCCAATAGGGTCTCGTCTATAGATGTGCGAGATGAGTTGGTACTGTCAGCGCTCGGGGACGACGTGCGTCTGCTGCTGCTGAACTTGGAAAAAGGCATTATGGTGGCCGTTTGGGGTATAGCAGCTGAATATGTAGTTGCTCCAGCGTAAAGGTTGTGTGTGACTATCAGTCTATGTGCCTTATGGTATGCCTTGCGTCGAGGATGTCTGGTGGGATGACTGCTACGCGCGGCTAAGGGAAGGCGCGGGCGCTGTACTTATATGATGCTTACCTGGGTGCCTCGTGGAGTTAGGACCCAAGCCGGTGGCTTCCCCCCAGAATATTGGCAAGCCACCTGGCGGAATACGTATCAACGAATCATAGGTCGCAAAACACCACCCAAGACGCCAGCGACACGGCCTCATCGGCGTTTCACGGACGAAAGTTGTGGTTTGGCCGATGCGGACACGGCCTAAAGCCACTCCAAGGATTCGCAGCCTGGGCATCCAAGATACCGGTCGAATGCTCATTGGACGTCCGCTCGGGGGTATGCAGGCTAGCGAAGGCCGAGACCCAGCTCTTTCTGGCATGCGTGTGGTCGTAACACGTAGGACACGCAATTGTCTCAACCGATTATATGATCGCGGACCCAAGATCGAAGCCTGAAGAATGTGTCAGGTCTACGACCAACTTAAGGCAGTGGACTGCGCTGGTCGAGCATACAGTGGCACCTGCTGCATCGCACTGCTCGCATTCAACCCTAGGGCAGGCGGACAAATCGGAAACCCCACTGCCAGAGCTTCTGTCGTGCTCCCCTCATCATGATGAGGGAGCATCATGCTTTCCTGCAAGAAGCAAAACCAATGGCTTGTCTTCCAAGTGAAGTCTTTCAGCTTATCACAGCAAATCACCACTAACCTACGCGGCCGCTATTGTCTTCAATGATGTCAGTGCAACAAATCCAGTCCAAAGGCATCTTCCACGGCTTGCCAGTATATCCGCCTGAGCTCGTCGGACTTACGGCGATAGTCACCGGAGCAAATGGCATTAGTGGACATTACATGCTCAAAGTTCTATCAGAGGATCCGAAGAGATGGAAAAGGATCATTTGCCTGAGCCGCAGACCACCTCTGATCGCGGGTGGCTTGCCGGACAATGCTGAACACATACCAGTTGACTTTCTGCAGGAGCCGAAGGACATCGCAGATGTATTGCAAGCGCATAAAGTCGAGGCAGATCATGTCTTTTTCTTCAGCTACATCCAGCCCACGCCGAAAGAAGGAGCTGGACTTTGGACCAACGCACAAGAATTGGTCGAGGTGAACTCCAAGCTTCTCAGTAACTTTCTTGAAGCGCTGAAGCTTGCTGGAGTGACTCCGAAACGTTTCATGTTGCAGACTGGCGCAAAGAACTATGGTGGCCATCTAGGCCCAACAAGACTTCCTCAAGAAGAGACCGATCCCCGGGTACAACTGGAGCCAAATTTCTACTATCCACAGGAAGACCTGGTCTTCCAATATGCGAAAGACACGGGCTGTGGATGGAGTGTGCATATGCCCGGTCCCATCGTGGGCGCTGTCCCAGACGCTGCCATGAACATCGCATTTCCACTTGCTGTATATGCTACCGTGTGTCAAAAGCTTGGACAGCCACTCGAGTTTCCGGGCGATGCAGCCTCGTGGCAGATGCACTCGTCAATGTCTGCTGCACAGATGAATGCTTATCAGGAAGAATGGGCGGTTCTGCTGGGTCCTCCAAATCAGCAATACAATACGTGCGACAATAGTGCGTTCACCTGGGAGAAGGCCTGGCCGAGGATAGCTGGCTGGTATGGAATCGATTCCAAAGGTCCCCAGGACGGCGATCAGTACGTGGAGTATCCGAGTCGATTCAACCCCAGAGGTTATGGGCCAAAGGGCATTACGAGACGCAAGTTCAGAATGGTAGACTGGGCAAAGAAGCCAGAAGTGCAAGAAGCATGGAAAGAGATCGTGAAGCAACACGGTCTGACTCAAGAGTTGAAGGACGTTGATCGAGTCTTTGGCTTCTTGGACGGCTCGCTATGCCGCCCTGCACCATTACTGTTCTCCATGGACAAGAGCCGGAAGCTTGGTTGGCACGGATTCGTCGATTCATCAGAGGCCATTCTGGAAGTTTTCAAGGACTTTGCGAAGCTGAAGATGATTCCTCCAGTGCCTTTGGCAAGAGTCAGCTTCAACTGAGCGGGCGTGGCTTGTGAGCTAGCTTCAATGCCTCGGCAAACAGCAGGATCGGGCTGCGAACAAGGTAAGCGTCTCGAGCGAGTTCTAGGACTTATATATGCCCTAAAAGGGACTGCCTCCTCTGAGCCTTCACTGTTCCAAATACCTCGCCTAGCTGATGTTACAGAGCCAATTTCCTTTCTCTATCTAAGCAAAGCTTCCTATACGTTTTCCTCTTCAACAAGTCCGCAGCTCCAAGGGCACCAGCAAATATCGGATCCACACCATCTTGCAACCACATCGGCTGGTTCTCTTCTCCCAGCACCTGGTACAAGACTTGTCTCAAAACTGCCTGGAATTCCTTATCTGTACATCTGTCCCCGTATAACATCGCCATCCCGGGTCTCAAACCGGGATGCTCGAGCAACGCATTTCCAATAAATTCTCGGACATCATCCCAATAAGCCTCCTGCTCGGAATCCCGGCCAGAAGAAGGCTTTGAGCTGTATCCCAGCGAGTAATTGCTGTATGTATATGACTGGAGATGATATACGCTAGTGGTCTCCTCGGTCAAGACAATCTCGATACCATGTGCGTAGTAAGCCGCCATAAGATACGTCTCCTTGGGCAGCTTCTGGTGTCTTTCGCATACGCAATCCTGTTCGGCTTTACAAGGTTGACAGAGGCCGAGACCATGTCCTGCGAGGACTGCGGGAGAGGCATGTATGTCGCCGCTGGCACCTTCGACGGACGAGAGGACTTGTTCGTAAGACACAGGAACGATTGCTTCGATCTTTGCGAAGGCCTGACGCATGATGTCTGTGCCAATGTTGTTGGCTACTAGACCGGGAATGTTGGGATAGGAGACTGTTGCTGCGTGGACGTATTCTCGAGTACGTTCTTCTGAGGCGGCCACTAGTTTTGAGAACATTGCGGAGAAATTATCGATTTCTTCTGCTCCGACGTGGTGTTGGGTGTCGTTGGAAAGGTGGGACATGGCTCGCCTGTAAGCTTCGTTTCCATCGAGGAACAAGATGGGGCCATTGGTTGTGGCTTCTGTCCCAGATTTACAGCTGAATGCTGCAGTTCTGTTTCGTTCACGGTCATCATGAGGCTTCAGAGTATTGTCTTTCGAGGAAACTCACGCATACGATGGTGTCAGCTCAAAGCCGATACTGCAAAACCAAAGTTGGCCAGGGATCCAAAGAACCCGTTTGAATGCGTCGTTCACATAGTATATAACGATGATCGATAGGCAGAATATGAATAGCATTACGATGTGCAGAACCATGCGAAAAGATGGGCAATAACGAGGCGCCATCGCTGGTAGAATGATTCGAGTATCCAAAAGAAAATAGCATATACTGTCTACACTGCTGTTACCACTCTAGCATACTGAGTGTTCTATGACAGCAAAAAGCAAAAAGATCAGATGTTGTTGTCAAGGACTTCATATAGGAATAGCCGAAGGTGGGGCTCGAACCCACGACCTTGAGGTTTCTGGACCGTAGTCCGTAAGAGCCACACGCTCTACCGATTGAGCTACCCCGGCAAGGGGATTTGATCTGATCGATGGAAACTGCTCGCTCTCAATCGTATATGACTGCTGTGTACTACCAGCCCCAAGAGCAACGGCATGAGAAGGGCCCTTCTACCACACTACTGCGATCTGTCACGATGTTCCGTACCATGGCTACGCAGCTTACGTTATAGGATCCCAGAAGTAGACGGACACTCGAGATTTGAAGTATCTCTCTCACAGAGCAAGTCTTGTCCATGTCAAAGACCTACAGGTCTATGGCGCTGTCTATGGCGAGCACTTCTGTGACACATCATAGCTGTAACCAAGCAGGATTAAATGGTACTGCAGATTCATAAGACTGTCGGGGAAATTGATCGTAGTGAAGCGATATCTACGTAGACGATGTGTCATTAAGGCTTCTTGATCGACAAAATCTTGATCGGAAACGCCTTCTGATAGAACAGAGACGTTTGCTGTTCTATTGACTTGGGCTGAAAGTCGATCTCAGTGACCTCGAAATGGTTACGCACTATGCTCTGGTCAGCATTCAACTTCGAGGATATGATATCTGGACTTACAGCAGGACTGTCTGAACGTTTCGAAAGTGTCCAGATTTCTGACAACACCAGAGATGAGCATGTGCAGTTGTGGTCTGAGCTCGAAAAGAAGCCGCAAAGTGGCCACCAGCGCTGAGATGCCAGTCTTATCGTATGTCTATGTTATGTTAGCACGTTATGGACATGGAGAATTAGAGCTAGACTCACTATGTCAGCACCCAGTATCACATCGTAAGGATATGCTTCACAGTCCTCTTCAACCCAAGTAGCTTTCAAGCCTCTGCCCCATCGGAGCACGCTCGTAAGCACTTTCGTCTCATCATCTAACCCGTTGAGGAAGAGATTCTCCTTGAGAGCCTCTACAACACCTTCGTCGCCATCTGTCGTTGTGACATGCTTTGCTCCGAGGTGTTTTGCAGCTAGAATCGCCAGAAAGCCAGTACCAGCTCCCAGCTCAAGCAGGCTCTTGCCCTTGATTAGGTGCTCATTTTCGGGAAGCAGGAGGTAGGAGCCAAGATGAAGTGCTGCTTCCCACGTTCGGAATCCTGTCGTCAGAGAGCCTGACAGCAGTTGGGGCCTCTCGAGGAGAGTAATCGTCGGCTCGTCCTTGTAGTCTTCTCTGATAGTAGCTGTAGGTGGAAGACACGTGAAAGTGACATAAGTCTTTTGCTGCACGGCTGTGGCTTCACCTGGCAGATCTGCAGACATGAGCTCGCCCAGATGATTCATGAGATCGTCCGAAATCTCCTGCCAAGCAAGAAAGACAATCAGAACAGGACGAATGGAAGAAATAAAAATGAATTGAAAATGCAACTCGCAGCACCTACATCTTCTTCAGGATCTTGAATGGACTTTTCAATTCTCGCAAGCAGAGGCTTGAGAACTCGCAACTGATATCGCGGTGGAGGCAAGTACTGATTCTTGTCGCTGTCAAATAAGTGCTTGTACAACCAAGCTTGGATGGCAGAGTCTCGCAGAAGCTCTTTCGGGGGCCATGCCAGGAAGTCTGGCTCGAAAAGCTGCAGGTACTGCCTTCTAAACAACAGGAGTTGCGAATCCATGACAAAAGTTCGGGGCGCCTCCCACCGCTCAAGAGCAAAGCTTCAGATTGCCTTGGAGGAGTATTCAGCTGCCACGATGTTCTGTCAATGCGACTTTGGCCGATTGCGAAACATTAGAACGAGCACAGACGCGAGTAAGAAGTTGTGAGGGAAGCAAGGAAAGTGAAAGGGTTGAAGCGCAGATTCGCCAAGGCTCGGAAACAGCCGAAAATCCACACGCGAATTGGGTGTGCGAACTTCAGGCAAATCTCGACGACGAACTTCGTGAAGCGCTCTTTTCTCGCACGACGCCCCGACATCCTCTCGCCCAACGACAAGTCGACAACCCTCACCATGTCGGAATCCCAGGTCACTCTGCGCACGCGCAAGTTCATCCGCAACCCACTGCTGGGCCGCAAGCAGATGGTCGTGTGCGTCCAACTACCACCTCCGCTCACCAATGCCGGTATTCTAACAGCATCTCCCACAGTGATGTCCTCCACCCATCGCGCCCAAACGTCTCCAAGGATGAGCTCCGCGAGAAGCTCGCCGGTCTTTACAAGATGAACAAGGACCAAGTCTCCGTCTTCGGTTTCCGCACCCAATTCGGTGGTGGCAAGAGCACCGGTTTCGCCCTCCTCTACGACTCCGCCGAGGCCATGAAGAAGTTCGAGCCACACTACAGACTTGTGCGCTACGGTCAGGCCACCAAGATCGAGAAGGCCAGCAGACAGCAGCGTACGTCAACAATACCACACTACACATACCCATACCCGTTTCGGCGGAGGCAGATGCGTCATTTGGTGAGCATCATGCGAGAAGGATCTCGAACTGACATTGTGGTTCACCATAGGCAAGCAACGCAAGAACCGCAGCAAGGAGTTCCGTGGTACTGCGAAGACCAAGGGCCCAGCCAAGGACAAGAAGAAATAAGCGACTCGCAACAGCGTGTAGGGATTTGTCGCGATGGGTACAGACTCGCATCATTCGCCTGCTGCAAAGCGCCATTCAGTTTCTCGGCCTTTATGATCAGGCTAGAACAGTGCGGCAGCACCGACTCGGCGTTGGGTGGCTTAGAGTGTAGTTATACCCAAGCAATGAAAATCGCTTCCTCCTTGCACGATTTTCATCTCTGTTCAGCGCTCGCTTCGTTCTAAATGGCCGCCGACGCTGGATCTCTCCCGGCGCTTCCTATTGCAACCAGCTGCTGCAAGAATCTACTTACTGTCTACAGATACAGGGGCCGAAGCCGTTCATCTACGACCTCAACATGCTACACCGCAACACCAGCAGTTGCACCGAGGTCTTCAAACTTCATGCCGATGATGGTCTTGTATCACTCTCGTCCTTGTTCCATCAGAGCCCGCGCACAGCGCCAAAATCTCTGCCGGACGTGGCCGATCGGCATCTGAAGGTCATGAGACACGCTGGACTATCAGACACCATGTCCCTTGCTGCTCAGTACTCTGATAGCTATCATGACCACTTCGCAAGTAACCTTGGGTGTCACAATTCTCCTACCGGTAAGAATGGCGGTTTAGATGCGAGCTCGTGGGCGAGAAACGGCAAGATAGGAGCCAAGCAGGCACGAGAGTCGGATTCCGAGACCAGTCGTTGGGTGCCGGAAAGGAGCGCATGAGGGAGGGAAATCAGGAATCGTTCATGGTGATGCGCCAAAGGTTCGCATAGCAATGAAGCAGCAACTACCGTTGTGACACTTATTGATTAGCCTAGGCAAGCTTCTTCAGGAGACAGCACGGATTCGATGCAGAAAGACTGGAAACAACGGACGTGGTCGAAGCAGCAGCTTCGATCTTCGAAAAAACCAATGTTCCCAAAGAGCCGGTACCACATAAAAAGACCTTGCGAGTGCAAGCCCAATGTTCGGCGATGTTGTAGATATCCTGGGTGCGGTTGAAGCGGCAGCAGTAAATGCATCGTTGTTAGAAAGACGACGTACGCACTTTTGAGCACGTTTACACGGGTGACGCTTCCCAGGCACGAAAGCCATGTGGACATGTCAGCATCGATTCCCGTCCCTTGCAGAATCCCAGCCGATTATTGCTCTCCTGCGCGAACAGAGTCAAGAGACCGAGTTGGCAGAGATGACCGCATGGGCGGGATGAATGCAACCAGAATGAACACCTGCATGGAGTACTGTAATGACTTGATCCGTCATTTCGATCTCATCACGAAAGACCGAGGATTTGGGAAGACCATACATACAGACAGCGCATGTGAGGAAATGCATCGGGCCAAAGTCCGGATTGAGCTGTCGCACAGGCTGAACCTCCAAAGTCGCAATTGCGTTGGCGAAGCTCTTGTGGAAGAAGTATCGTTAGATGAATCTAACAGCTGACCAACACATCCTGGTTGACCGCTGTTGCGTTAATCGACATTGCCCAGCACGGCGGACCAGGATCCCGAACGCCTGTGGCACGCAAGTTTTGACGCCAAAGTGCTCATCGATGTCGAATTGTTCTTTGACACGTTCGTAGACGGGCGAACCGTGATACGCGCGCCAGATGCATTCATCGAACAATGCGGTGTACGTCTGATGATAGCTTTTACCGCTGCAGCCGATCGAGGACCTGAGTGGTTACTTGATAGGAATTGGCCGGACAGTAGCGCAAGTGGAGGTATGGAGCTGTAAGTTCAGCGAATTGGCAGCAATGGCGGTAGGCTTCCGCAACAGCAGCTACCTGTTCTGTGGTTGACACTGTTTCCTCACCAGCGGCTCGGGTTGCGTTTCGCTGGAAATTCTGTGACAGCTTCTCAGGACAATGGATGCATGGCGACACTTGGGAGCCGACACAGCCAACAGGTTCGATGAAACTCCTGACATGCACGCAGGGAATTGATGATGTGTTCGTCGTGTTTGTGACGTGGAGTGCAATGGTCTAGAACGTGTTAGGGAGAAGGCACAGAATTTGACCTCAGGCAAGGTGATGTTTCGAAGAACCTCAGGCGGTAGAGGCTCGGATGGTGTTGGCATAGGTCGGCCATGACGATCCGTCATCCACTCTGGGCAATCCTCGGCTAGGACGTGTATCAGAACCCCAGGCATCCTGTGGTCTAGACGTGGGAGCGTGGACACCGATGCTATGCGAGGACTGGTGTAGGAAGTAGCACGCACGCGGGGACCTGGCAGGACGGTGATGAAAGGGCGCCTCGTTTGGCGTCCTCGTGCAGGCAATGTTGGGATTGGGCGGTGCACTGCATGAGATAGCTGCACTGTACCGCACCGCTCTGCTATTGCAGAGCGAAAACACGTGTGAGATGATCGGCCAATGATGGGAGGCAAGCCGGCGACACCGATGGCCTCTAATCATATGCAGTGACCGTGTTGGGCCGTACAGAGCCTGCGAGCGTCCGAGCAACGTTGGTGTCGGGCGTCGAGGAGATGAGGGCAATTCGTCATTGCGTCGTCGGCGTCGTCGTACTGTTCTCCTGAACGAGGGCGCCGCGGAGAGCAGGTCCGCTGGGAGACAAGACGGAGGCAGAATTGGAGGAGAGGCGCTGCAAGTCATCGCGGCGCCCAGCAAAAGCCTCTTCTGGCGGGTGAGCGTGGATCGACGCGCAAGCTGGCAGGCAGCGCCAAGCGAAGGCTGCTCCCGCGCCAACCATGCGGGCAGAAACACGCTCCCGCTCGTGTTGTTGCAGCGTTCTCCAAATTCGCGTCGTCGTGGGTCTCGCAGCAGCTGTGGCAGCAGCGACAGGCGCGCGCCAACGAACCATGGCCGCACGAGAGGGCCCACCGCGCGCGCACAGTCAGACGGCGACCCACCGCTGCACCGAAGCTTCGACCGTGTGTGATGCCGTTTCTGCGCACCGCGATGGTGTGCGCCCGCATCGCCATCCCGGCCGCGAATGAGCCCACAAGGTCGCCAGAGTTGACGTGCTACAGGCACCGACCGCGACAATGGCCCTCGCTCTGACTTTGTTTGTTGCCGCTACATCTCTCGCTCCTGCCCTGCTCTTGCTGCACTGCACCTTCCGCATCCTCTCTTTGTCTGCATTGAGCAACGCCATCGGCTAATCCTGGGCTGCAATCGTCCTTATCTGCACTCGCTATCAGCAGCAACTCCCGGGGATCATTGCCCACGCCCAGATTTACTTATCACCCGCCAACAGCCATCGTCCCCGAACCAGCGTCACTCTCGACCCGTGTGCCTCTGGACCGCGGTATCTGGCGTGCTGCTGACTCGGAGTGGTATCTTTCGACCCTCATTATTACCACTGCTGGCGCCGAGAAAGGCTTCCTGCGGCATATATCGACAACGCACAGCCTCACGCTAGATCGCGGTATTTACTGGCATTATTGGGCCCTTCACGGACTGCACTGCGATCGATCACGCAAGCCAGTAGTCGATTCAGTCCGCCTTTCCGGCCTGCATGCCCAGCGGGACCGAATAAGCCGACACCGCGAGGCATTTGTTTCCAGGTCTCAATGACTACACGACATCATGCGCGCCAGCCCTCTCAGGGTCGAAAGCTACTGCCGCCTCATGCTCGACCTGCAAGACCTCCGCCGTTGACGCAACGGAAGAGTTATAGTCATGCCCACTCCAACTCCACCCCTCAGCCATCTCCAAAGAGACTAACGAGTTCGGGGTCCACGAAGGCCGGAGCGGAGTACCTGTACTCGAGGGACGACGACGAGGAATCGGGCATGGCGAGTTTCTTGCAGTTCTGGTAGGTCGGAATTTATTGATGTGGTTGACATGACGTGGCTGACCTCTCATTAGCACCACCTGCGAGAAGCAGATACTCACTCCTGACTCGAGTATCTTGTATTGCTCAGAAGCGTTCGTCCTCACCCATGGCCTGAGCTCAAAATAGATCTAGCCTCTGACATATGTCGCAGCTGCCGCCGGAGAGACTCCCGGCCGACCTCACTCCAAGAGATTCAGAGCATACAACAGTCGATTCAGTCACCGCCTCCGCTGTCCTCCACCAACTCTTACTTCGACCAACCGATTCCCGAGATTGTTCCTCAGCGATCACCTACTGTCCTGCGCCCCATGTCCAGGACATTCTCCGACTTCTCAATTGCCGACCTGAACGACTCTTCATCGGACGTCAGCCACGAGAGCGAGGCTTCGGACCACCACGATCATTTGACGCTCAAGCAACATCGGCCTAGAACGAAGCGTTCATCTACGACAAGCACCGGTGCTCGTAGTCGCGGCGATAGCAGCACCAATTTGCCTTCGCTTTCGCACTCTCCAGGATCCTCGTATGGCACTGTCGCATCAATGGCCTCGATTCGTCCGGTCATGAGGCACAACCCTTTCTCGACCACATCCAACAGGAAGAGCGTCGAGTTGGTAATTCCATACCCAATCGAAAGCACCAGCCCCACTCAACTTTTGAAGGACGCTAGTCTGAAGAGCAGTGCTAGCACTCTGACACAGTTCAGAGTTGCCGAAGCAAACACTCTCAGCTACGAGGCACCGTCGCCCGGGTCGAGGAGACATTCGAGAGAAAGAGCAGACCACTCATTGAAACAATTGTTCAGCCACGATGCCATGAAGGCGAATCCAAGGCACAACTGAAGATGAAAGAGACATGTTGGAGGAATACATGGGCATACATTATACATGATAGACTGCTTCTTCTGACCTTGTATATTCAGCGAAGGAGGTTGGGGGTATACTGGCGCAATTTGGGACGGATCTAGAACAAAAGTGATTTTTTTGGAGGGCGTTGCGGGAGAGGCGGAAATCTAGTACCCTCTGTATCTGGGCTGGGAGGATAACTGTGTTGGGTACGATACCCGTAGGCTCTCCAACGAGCCTACTTTTATGGTGTCTGAGCTGACGATGGTCCTCAATGAGAGGCCTGGAGACGTCAACTCCTTTACGTACATCATTCGAATGTATTGCCGCCGAGGCTAATATGTCGTCTTTGGTTCTCTTTCCATGTCTGCATCCCTCGTCTTCGTCACTTACATTGTCACGCTGCGGTAGGCTCCCATCTAACTACCCCCAGGAGCCGAAGACCCTGATCTGACTTACATATTTAGTGCCATCTTGTCCTGGTCAATCCCATTACCACGTGCACTGGAGTAGCAATTACCACATTCGGAAATCGGAGAAGATGGTCGAATGCCCAGACATGCCATTATTCGATTTTGTGCACCACATCTAACTTCTCGAGCTCTCGCCAACAGGCTGCACTGCCGTTCTCACACCATCGCTCTTCCCCCTATCATCACGCCACCCATTCTCATTCTCCGCATTGCCCTCATCCAAAATCTGTGACTGTAGCTCACCATCGCCGTCATCGGCGTTCACCGTAGCCAACCTCTTCCTATCGACACTCCGTCTCCAAGGCTTGTACAACAGAACAGATAGCAAACCAAAAACGACGAAACTTCCGCAAATCGCTCCTCCAATAACATCATAATGCTCTCCCGCTACATCCACTCCATCCCAAAAGGGTCCTTCGAAATCCGGTCGGACATTGTGGATCATCGTGAGGAGTTGAATGACACCAATACTTATCGCGACAGCGACCGTGATGGCTGTCAAAACGCATTGGTAGTACAAGACCGCGATGGCGTCTTTGGCAAGTCGAGCAGAAGTGTACAGAGACATCATAGCCGCTCCGTCGAAGGTATCAAGGAGACACATTCCGGATGTGAAGAGAATGGGGAAGATGAGAATTAACCAGATAGAAGTCCCTTGCGCGGCTTGGATACTGCTGATTCCGAGGAGGGCGATTTCGGATGAAGTATCGAAACCGAGACCAAAGAGCACTCCCAAAGGGTACATTTTCCAAGGGCGATCGACAAGTTTGAAGGTTCGGCGGAGGAGCATGGTCATGCAGCCACCGCCTTCGAAGCTGAAATCGAGGGATTCCTCGCCGATGGGAGACGCAATGGCTCGTTGGAGTTGTTGGTAGAGTTTGTAGAGGATCCAGCAGTTCATTGTTCCGAGGATGATGAGGAAAGCGGCGGAGACGGAGGAACCGATGATGGAACCTACGGTACTGAAGCCATCGAAGCGTTTTTGGATTGCTGCGCTGCTGGCTGCAACGACGATGCTGGTCACGATGACGATGGTGCTGTGGCCGAGGGAGAAGTATGTGCCGACTGTGACGGGTTTCTGACCTGAGGCTACGAGGCGGCGGGTCATAAGGTCGATGGCGGAGATGTGGTCGGCGTCGAGGGCATGGCGGAGCCCGAGGGTGTAGGATAGTACGGCGGTTGAGATGAGTGCTGTGTGGAAGTGTAGCACAATCCCTACAGCTACCCAGACCACGACTTGGACGACAACCAGTAGGAGGATTATTCCTACAGCGTTGGCTGGAAGCTTCCTGATCCAGGGTATTTGATCATGGTAGTGCTCTGCTTGACTCCTAAGCTTTTCAAGTATGGGTTTTCGCTCCATGTCGAAGTCGTTCGTGGTTGCAGTGCGCCCTGTGGCTGGGCTGCGAGGTGGGAGCAGACTTTGTGTTTCCATCGCGGTGGTGGCACGAGGCGTTGATCTTTAGCAGTAGTGCAGCAGGTGGCCGCAACAGCCGCTGGCACTGAATTGTAGCGAAAGTCTCTTCTGTTGTGCCGGTCCACAGATAACGCCTCATATCCCACCAATAACGTGGGATGGGTGGGGTAGCTTTGACAGTGGACCATTAGCAAAGCCAGCACATCCAGGTCGAGACCATCACATCACTTGTATTTCGATACACAGATGCTTGCGTTTGTGCCACCGAAGCCAAAGCTGTTCGTAAGTGCTGCATTGACAGCGATCTGCTGTGGAGTGTGGGGAACATAGTTGCAATTGAAGTCAGAAGCCGGATCGCCGGGGTTTTCGAGATTCAGTGTCGGTGGCAGAACATTCTAAGCATCTCAGTCAGTAAGCAGCTCGTCGCACGCTGTCAGATGAAGCCTACCTCATGACATGCAAGTATGGTGAAGATAGCTTCAACTGCACCGGCTGCGCCGAGAAGATGGCCAATCGCACCCTTTGTGCTGGAGACATTGACTTGAGCAGCAGATGTTCGTCCCTCTTCGCCCAGCAACAAACGCTTGATAGCATTGTTTTCAGCAGCATCGCCGAGCTTGGTAGATGTTGCATGTGCGTTCACATAGTCGATCTTGTTAGGCTTGAGCTGGGCGTGCTTCAAGGCTTGTTTCATCGCCAAGAACGCCCCATTGCCTTCTTCCTCAGGTGCCGTCATATGGTGTGCATCTGCTGAGAGACCATAGCCACGGATTTCTGCGTATATATTTGCGCCTCGTGCCTTCGCATGTTCCAGTTCCTGTAAGGAAAGTTAGTCCATTTCCAATAGTAGTGACTGCCCATGCGTCATGCCTCCAAGATGACCACCCCGGCGCCTTCGCCAATTACGAAACCGGCCCTTGCACTGTCGAAAGGGCGTGACGCAGCATATGGATTATCATTCCAGTCCGTGGCTAGACTACGTGCGCGAGCAAAGCCGGCGATGGCCAGAGGATGGATGCAAGATTCGGCACCTCCAGCGACCATCACATCGGCATCGCCAAACGCAATGAGGCGAGATGCATCACCAATGGCATGTATTCCCGTTGTGCACGCAGTTGTTGCCGCGTGGTTCGGTCCCATGAAGCCGTGCTTCATAGAGACGTGCCCGGCAGCGAGGTTGATGAGCAGCCTTGGCACGAAGAGCGGCGAGACCTTGCGATAGCCAGACTCATGAAAGGCGACAGATGTATTGTATGCCTCGTCGAGGTTGCCAATGCCAGATCCAATGGCCACGCCAGTCGCTTCGAGGTCTTTTTGCTGAGTAGGATGCCATCCTGCGTCATCTAGGGCTTCTTGAGCTGCTGCAATAGCATATTGGGCGAACAAAGCCATTTGGCGCTCTTCGCTCGTGGTCAGCCAGTCTTTGGCCTGCCATCGGCCATCGTCGCGACTGCCCTGAGGGACAAGTCCCGCGACGCGACTTGGGAGAGCTTCAAACTGCGAGCCTCTCGAAGTAGTCGAAACAATTCCGCTGTGCGACTTGAGCAGACGCTGCCACGTCGGCCGTACGCCGGCTGCGAGCGGAGTGACAGCACCCAGGCCAGTCACGACAACCCTTCGCATTGCTTATGGTCGACATGTTGTTGTGATCGAAGGACGGGAAAGTTCGCAGGCGCAGCTAGGCTAGGAATAGAAACACAGGCGAGCTCGCACGTGCCGGCAAGCCAACCCCAGCTCCTGAAGAAGTCTGTTTCCAACTCTCGCCAACTTCGCCTCATCGAGCCAGCATCGCTTTTGTCACCGAATCGCCGGCACAACGGAGCCCGCGAAGGCGTGAAAATGCAGCTGTCAGCAGCGTTCGGGGCCTAAGCGATCGGCAGACAGCTTTCTACAATATATGCAAGGCAGACTCGGCTCAGCCGCTGTGTTGTGCAGATCTGGTGTACCAGTCGGAGCTCGCTTGCTTCGCTCCCCAAGATAAAGAGTCGCGCTCAAGTGCGAGGTAAGCACTGCAGTGACAACGTCAACCTAGAATGCATGTCAGGCTTCTGGAATCAGGTCTCCGCATCGCAATGAAGAAGCGAACGCGACACAGCGTTCGCAAATGCAGCAAGTCCGGCTCAATCGGTCGCAGACGCAGTCCTTGAGCTGGTCACACTCTATTCTCACGCTGCTTCTATAAACGACACGAGCAATCCTTCAACAGCAGAAGACAAGATGTTCTTCCGCAACTTGTGCGACGTTCGATGAAGGCTCCAAGGACGATGGCGCACTTCGCATCCACAGGCCAAAGAGTGGCTGATGAACCAAACAAAGAAATACCACCTCCATCCCGACCGAAGGTTCAGCTCAAGCCGTGCGGGATGGTCCACCACATCACCGCAGCACAACCTTGCAGCTTGAGCGCACACTCCCATTCGCTACGACCCTCGCTGACACGAGATCCTGAGCTCTGCTGGCCTGATCGGACTTTGTGCCTATGGGTACCACATTTACATGGTGTTTGGTACGTGAGCAAGCCAGATCTCACCTTGCAGCTGCACCGCAAGTAAGTAGCACTTGTCAGCCCGGCACTCGACCGGGACACGCGAGTGCGTTCTCTTCTCTTTCTTCGTGTGCCTCCTCCACCTGTGTCAAATCTCTTGCGCTCTTGGATGCTGGACATCGTAGAACTCATCTTCAGACCTGTGAAGCTGCATGAGAGACCTCAAAATCGCCATGGAGATCGAGACTCCACCTTCACCGCACAGTCCACCGCCAAGGTTTTCTGTGTCAGAGGCTGCCACGCCGCGCTTCACCGAGCACATGTAAGCGAGAGCACTATTTCTCACGTCGCATGGCGATACAGTCTTGCGTGGAGCTGTGCGGGATCATACAGGTACAGGAACACTGACGGTGGTCGAGCAGCCATGATTCCCCACCATACCAACAGTATCAAAATTTCGACGCACAAGACACTGGAGTTCCTCGCTATGGCTCAGATGCAGGCACACTCGTCGATGGCAGGCTATCGAAAAAGGACAGACCATATTCTCCCAGCGAGCTAGATGACATGCCTATGGCGGAGACTTACCGTAACAAAAATGACGAGAGTGAGAAAGAAGTGGTCATACCTCCCATCGCGCCAGAAGCTTTCCCCCAACAGACAGACAATACAATACGACCTCAAAGGAGACGCATCTGCGGCATTTCGGCAATACTATTCTGGTTGATTCTGGCTGCCATCATAATACTAGGGATAGCACTGGGCGTGGGGCTTGGCGTCGGGTTAAATCAAGACGATGAGGATGATGATTCTTCACGAGGTCCAGACGTGAACGCAACATTTTTGATCGGTGGCGCGATAGATCCCGAATACTACTCGAGCGAAGGTGCTTTCAATGGATCTGGCATTGCCTTAGCTTCTCAATCCTTTTCTCGGGAGCTACAAGAAGGCACTCAAGGGACTCTCGTCATGTACTACCAACACTACAATGGCGATATCCGATTCAAACAACTTGCCAATGATGGCAGCTGGAAAGGCGGGGACTTTTCAGCAGTTGTTGCGCAGGACGCGAAGAACAGCACTCCTCTGTCTGCCGTGTCGTACGTGCTGAACAATGCCAGCACCTGGCACGTGTTCTACATAGACCAGAATAACACTCTGAAGCAGAGATCGAACAGTAACACGACCAATGTATGGACAGACGGGCCTATCAACAATCTGAATCTCCAGGTGTATGATGCAGACATGGTCGGCATGCAGGCCTGTTGGTACGGCAGCGAGTATGGAGACAGTGATTACGCTCATTCTCCACTTCCGAACGAGGACCCAAATGCCAGTCGTAGTGCAGAAGCGGGCATGCACATGTGGTATGCATCGGACGCTACGACTTTCCAGCAGCTCGGATGGCGGAACGGCGACGACACCTGGGAACATCAGTTCACTTGGGACTCCAAGAATGGTCACGCTGGTGTAGGCTGTTATTCTTGGGGTCCTGGGACAGTGACATATGTGATGTTTGTCAATGAGCAGAACGCCGTGGAATTTTGGTGGAAGGACACGAATACGAATGTGACGAATACGACAAGCCATCCTGTGAACGTATGGACGAGATGTAAGCCATGGCTGCACCTTTTCACTGTGTAACCACACTGACCTATTCCCAGCTTCAATTGCAATCGACAATGTACATCCGGCGACGAGCCTTGGCTACACAAACTACTTCTACGCCCAAGATGCAGATTCTCTGCTCTTCAAGGGCTACAACATCTCGTGGGCGGCAGAGAATAGTTCAATTGTCGGCGAACCTTTCGAGGTTCCAGGCGATCCTGGTCTGCCTGGGACGCACTTGAGTGTGTCCGCCTTGCCAAACGCATCTGGCGGGAGTGACATTGTGGTGTTCTATCAAAAAGAGGGCGACGACATCACTGTACACCAGAGGGATCTGGTCGCTGGGCCATGGACGGCCGCTCAAATTCCTCTCCTACATTGAAAGTGGGCATGAGAACATGGAAATCGTCGTTTATCATCAGCGTGGTGTTTGGGAGTTGCCATCAAGCGACGAAAGGGAACATTCGTTGATAGCTTCTGTTGTTCAAATTTACGATAAACGGACTTTCCGTCGAATGTTTTCATTTACATTATCTTAAAGTCATGCGCACTTCGATACAATTCGTAATGTGTATTGTAGTGCAAAGTGAAGTTGCTGGAGCCTTCGTGGTGGACCCTGGGGAAGTCGTCCTGGACCCACCTGTTCCGTGAGACACGCGACTTGACGCGCCTCGACCGGCAGCTTCACTTCTCATCGATCAACTTCTCGACAGCCGAATTATAAGACTCCGCGCGGACTCCTCTCAAGCATGCGCCACTGTCGCCCGACGCTTGATTAGACGTTCGCGCATCCACATATTCGCCATGCCACGCGCAACAAGAAAACGGGCGTCGCAACCCGATCCTGAGCCAGAAGCTGAAGTAGAGGTCGAGGAGCAGCAGGAAGAGCAGGAAGAGCCGCAGGCACAAGATGCGATGGACGTCGACGAGGATGGAGAAGAGGAAGAGGAGGGCGGCGATGCGCTGCAGAACGATGAGCCGCTGACTTGGAAAGCTGGCAAGCCCATTGCTGTTGCGACTCTGTTACAGCGACTCAAGGCATTGGCTACGGAACTCCGACATCTGGAACAAGGCGACTGTGCGCGAGCGTCATTGGAACCGAAGGCGAAGGAATTGTCGAGTCCACTACTTCTCGGCCACAAAGATTATGGCGTCCAGGTTTACACTCTCCAATGCATTGTGGAAATGTTCAGACTGCTGGCTCCGGACGCACCCTACAAAGCAAGTCAGTTGAAGCAAATCTTCAATTTCGTAATTTCAACAGTCGTCCCTGCTATCGCGGATCCCTCTCATACGTACAATGCGCAGCACCTGGCCATCATCACGTCTCTTGCGACTGTGAAGAGTATAGTTCTGGTCCAGGACCTGCCAGGCGCAGACCAGATGCAGAAGATCCTGTTCACTCACTGCTTCGATGTGCTGGCCCTCAACGTCCCCGGTGGCGATAAAGAGCTGCTGTCGAAGAATGTTGAGTTCAACTTCACGAGTCTACTTTGCGCCCTGGTGGACGAGGCTCAGACTGTACCTCTCGAGATCATCGAGGTCATTCTCGCTCAATTCCTACGGGCGGACCCTCACGCTGTTACAAAGAAAGGCGAGACACGCTTCTCAGAGGTGCTCAAGGAGGTATCTCCTGCATACAATATGGCCAGGTCTATTTGCAATACGTGTGAGGAGAAGATGATCCGTCACATTGGCCAGTGGTTCCAGGCCGTTCTGATCGACGCGAATGACGCAGCCGCGGAGTCCAAGCCAACGAAAGCAAAAGGCAAGAAGCGAACACATGATGATAGCGACGACGAGTCAGATGCTGCCTTGGTTGCGCCTTCAGCAGACGATCTCCAAGAGGCTGAGAAGGCACATCGCTTACTACGAGAGCTGTGGAGGGCATGTCCTGGAGTTATCCAAAATGTTTTGGCGCAGATCGAGAGCGAACTCAATACGGAAAATACCTCGTTGCGTCTCATGGGAGTCGCTGGTGTCGGCGACATGATTGCTGGCATTGGTGCAGCCGGACCTCCGCCGCCTGCGGCGCTCGATCCTGCAGCATATCCATCGCAAAGCTTGGCTGACTACTCTCCGCCCGCGCAACAGAACGTCGTTTTGATCCCGGCAGCGCCGCAGGCATTCTCATCAACCTATCCGACCACCTATCAAACGTTTGTCGATCGCCATCGCGACAAATCTGGGCAGGTCAGAGCCGCGTGGGTGACCGCGTGCGCTCGAATAATCCTGACTTCAGCAGGTGGCAAGGGCTTGGATTCAGATCAGGAAACACAGCTTCTACGGATATTCTCGGACTTGCTGACTGACAACGACGAGAAGGTCCGCCTTGCGGCCGTCACCGCAGTGTCCACGTTTGACTATCAATCAATCGTGCAAAAGCTCGGCAGTCATGGAGGTGCCGGCCAGGATGGTTCCGTGCTCTTTCAGTTGACTGCGCGTATTAAAGACCCAAAGCCTCACGTCTCCACGACTGCCCTCGAACTTCTGGGCAAGCTTTGGGGAGTCGCTTCAGGGGCGATCATCGAAGGTAATGAACGAGCCCGAACTTTGTTCGGCCCCATACCCAGCAATATCCTCAATGCCGTGTACATAAATCAGCCGGTCTTGAATGCGCTCATCTCGAAAGCCATCTTCGATTCTTTGCTGCCGATCAGCTACCCTCCTATCAAGACCAAGTCGAGTGGGAATGGAGACTCTCAGCGAGTGCCCGACAGTCAAAACAGCCAGGCAAGAGGACTAGACCCTGATCGTATCCGTAGCGAGCGGATACTGGCTTTGATCCGCGATCTCGACGAAAAGGCCAAGAAAGCTTTCTTCGGCATGCAAGGGCTCCAGGTGTCACAAGCAAAATATGTGTCAATCATCCTAGATCTGAGTGAGAAGCTGGGCGGCGATATCAAGAGCAATAAAGAGGATGCCCAGAAGCTACAGAAATTCGTTGCAGCTATTGCGGACAGATTCCCGGACAAAGTCGTAGCCAAAAATCACCTCACCGCTTTCTTCGGCCATCACGATCGTCGGAATTTCGCACTGGTCAAAATGGCCATCAGTGCTGAGAGCGACTACAAGAAGAGCCGCAACGCAATAGCGGAGGTTCTCAAGCGACTTGAGGGTGCCTCGCCTAACATTGCCAGCGCGGCAGAGACGATGGAGCCACTTTTGCGGTCCACTGCTGTTCTGGTCTATAATAGAAGCCATGTGCCTGCGATTGTCTCAATTTCTCGCACAGATGACAATGGACTGGGCAGCGCGGCGCATGAGGTGCTGAAGCATATCTCTACGCAGGCGCCACTGGTGTTTGAGGTACACATCAAGGAATTGTGCGAGACCCTCAGGAAGCAAGCCCCTTCTGCAACGTCGCCCAACGATATCAACGCAGTGGACACGCTCAAGGCATGCGCTGGGTTCTCAAGGCAATTTCCTGAAAAGATGCCAAAGGACCGAGATTTCTTCCAGGCCATGGCGAAGTTCGCAAAATTCGGTTCCCCTCCATCGGTTGCGAAGCATGCTGTCACAGTTATTGTTGCGGCGGCAGATAAGAAGGACATGTATGTTAACGACATCATGAAGCACTGCCTGAAGAATTTCGATGTCGGCCACGAGAATGCCGCTACAAAGCTTGCTGCGATCAGTCAGCTGCAGCGGCTAGCCTATGTGCAAACAGAAGATCATGCAGACGCCATCCACGAGATCCTTACGGGTGCGCTGCGCAATCGACATGCAGCAGAGGAGACTGACACATCGTGGACGGCTGACATCGACTCTGATTTGAACGTCAAGCTCTGGGCCCTCAAGGCCGTGGTCAACGATATCAGTGGTCAGCTGCCTGATTTAGATCACACTTCACTCGACAAAGAGCTACAAGACGCTGTCTTGAGGACGTTCAAAGTACTGAACACAATCATCGAGCGAGATGGTGAGCTGGCGGGCGAGCCTTCTCCGGAGAACCACAAAGCACGTATGCGGCTGAGTGCAGGAAAGCTGATACTCAAACTCTGCTGCAACAAGCACATCAACAAGATCTTTGCTGCTCGAGACTTCAACCGACTAACGAAAATTGCCCAAGATCCCCTACCCGAAGTTCGCAAAGGATTCGTTACCACGCTGAAGAAGTACACGGGCATGCAGAAACCACTTCATCATCGCTTCTTCAGCTTGATGTTCTTGTACGCATTCGAGCCGACGAAGGCTGTAAGAGAATCTACTGCAACGTTTCTCAAAGCCCGTGCTGCTTTCTATGCAAAGGAGGAAGTGCCAGTCCTGGAAAATGTGTTCCCGTACTTCATGAGTCTGTTGGCACATCACCAAGACTTCTCGCTTGCTGAAAAGGACATCTCCGACTTCATTGAGTACATTCTCTTCTATCTCAAGGCTGTGGCGACTGAGCAGAACCTCTCAGATATTTACGCTTATGCCCAGCGCGCCAGAAGCTTCCAAGACGCTATCGAGCCTGAGAAGAGCGAGCTACTCTGGACTATGGCTGATCTCGCTGAGGCTATCATGCGTGCATACGAAAGTGCCAAGGGCTGGTCACTTCAGCTGAAGCCCAGCAAGCCGGCGATGCCGAGTAGCGTATACCGACAAATCCGTGATCAGGACTTTGCAGATGAAGTCTCGCACAAACGTTTCCTGCCAGTTGAGATCGATGAGCAGATGGATGACTTGGTTCGGGATCGACTACGGCCCAAGAAGAGGAAGCATGTCGATGGCGACTCGAAGCGACCAGCGAAGAAGATCCGAGCATCCAACGGCGACGAGAAGGCTGTGCGCAAGAAGAAGGTTCCAAAGGCACCGAAAGCGCCAAAGCCAGCAAAGACGCCGAAGAAGAGAGCAAGTGATGCCGTACCCTCTTCCGCAATGCGCAAGAGCACACGAGTCTCGAATGCGCGGAGCTACGCCGACATCAGTGATAGCGAAGATGATGATCCGGACAATGTGGCTTCCTGGCGGTACGAGGATGAGAGCTCAGATGAAGAGGGTAACAAAGAGAATGTTGGCTCATCAACCCCACCCACCAGCGATCCCACGGGCCCTAAGAGTCACGCCGAGGATAGCCGCGGGCACGAAGATGACGAAGAAGAAGAAGAAATCGAGGTCGAGGAAGGAGGCGAGGAAGTCGTGGTCGCCAAGCCAGCAGCAAAGACCAATGGCAAGAAACCGACAGCGAAAGTCAAGGATAGCACTTCGAAAGCGCGCGAGTCGAAGAAAGCAACGCAAAAGAAAGCGACGGCCACGAAGGAGTTACCAGCTCGTGGAGGTCGGTCATCCGCAAGGACTGCAAGCAAGAAGAAGGATGTTATGGACGTTCCGAGTGATAGTGATGAAGACAGCGCTATGGAGGCATAGGTACGGTCTACAATCCGAGGCAAGAGTTACGGAACCATCACCGCAGCTGTGCGATGTCGATGGGCCGTTTGTAAAGTGTGGATAATACCCAACGAGTGCAAGGTGGCATGGCTACATACTGCATCACGTTTGCTAATAGCTTATTGGTGTACAGCGTACGAGCGTGAGCGTAGATCACGAATGATATTCTTCCCAACATTCGCCATTCCGCGCCCAAGTGCTTGTGTGTGAAAGCGAGCTATACGACAACCAACGTGAGATCAAGCTTGTACAATGGCGCCACCGTCTTTGCCTAATGATCCTTCAACAGCAATCTTCCCCAGCTTGACAGCGAGGAAAGATCACTAATAGGCGTGCCGTACCCCGTGGATCACACGGCATGTCCCCAAAAGCACTTTTGGGTTGTCGGCATACCAGGATCAGCTTTAACTCTAAAAGAAACTGTCCGCAAGTCACATCTCTATTTTCTCGACATGCAACTCAATCACACTCAACACCAACATGATAACAGTTTCTATTTCCGACTTGGAGCCCAAGAAGACACTTTCTGAAGACAGAAATTCTGCTTCATGACCAAAGATCGGCTTACCACGTCGAGGCTGCCTCAGAGCCGCACGACTATGCTGGACAAACTGCACGTCCAGCACCGAGGAAGATGAGTAATACAACCGTGACAAGCCCGGGACGATCAATTGCGATGCAATCACAACGCATCAAGCCAAGAGACTCAACTCTGTGGTTACTCCGAGTCCTAGTCGGTCGAAGCCAGGACCACCTTACAGAAAGGTTCCCACAACCGGGGACACTTTCCATGGATCCGATCGCATAGGACGAAGTTTCGATCTATCCGGCCTGTCCGCCCTATCCAATTGAACCGTGATGCTGTGAGGCGCATTGGCAGCGAGGCAATGTTTAGATCTTTGAAGGCCCCTGTGCTTCTGTGAAGAATCGCAATTTCTCCGTCTGGATACTTGCCTTCTTGCGTCCAGTTCTTGTGACGACCGCCGAATATGACATCCTTCTCAACTCACACGAGCGATCTCTCAGCTTCAATAAAACGCGGCGACAGTCAACCCGATAACAAACCCATCTTAGAGAACGAGAAAACCCATGTCTTCCAAACAGCACAAGAAGAAATCTCACCCAGCGCAAGCCTCTCATGTCCCTCATTCACCGAGCAAGAACAGAAATCCATCATCCGACGCATAGATGTTCGCGTCGTACTTCTGCTCAGCCTCATGTACACCTGCTCTCTCATCGACAGGGTGCAAATCGGTCTAGCCATGATTACTGGTATGGGAGCGGATCTCAGTCTAACTGGAACGCAATACACGACTATCAACGCCGTATTCTTCGGGCCATACGTCGTCCTGCAGTTCCCATCTACGATTCTACTGAGAAAGATTGGACCGAAAAAGTTCTTGGCCAGTACAACGCTACTCTGGGGAATGGTGACAATTGCTGGTGGGTTCGTGAGAAAGTATGAGGATATGATTGCACTACGCTGTATACTCGGAGCGTGCGAGGCTGGCTTCTTTCCGGCATGTTTATACCTTCTCATGGTCTGGTATCCACGCTACGATCTCCAGAAACGGAATGCTGCCCTCCTCATCATTGGAATGGTGAGCAGTGCTTTCTCCGGTATCCTCGCATTCGGAATCTCCCACCTAAGTGGCCACGGAGTAGGACCCAGCTTCTGGGGAAAATTGAACATCCAGACTGGCATTCGTGAGCCTGGCATCGCTGGCTGGCGTTGGATCTTCATCCTCTATGGAACAGCCACATGCATCGTCTCCGTACTATCCTGGTGGGTCCTTGTAGATTTCCCAGAAAAGATCGCTCTAGGCACAGCGCACAAGACCTTCCAATTCTTGACAAAAGAAGAAGCCACCTGGGCAATTCAGAGAATCGAAGCAGATCGAAAAGATGCGATGCCAACAGAGTAAATGACATAGCATCTCCCACCCTCAACTTTTCCCTTGAACCAACGCTGATCGTGTAACACAGATTCAACCTCAGAGAATACATCAACAACGCATGGGACCTCAAACTCTGGGTCTTCAGCCTCCTAATTCTCTGCCAAGCCACAGTCGGCTATGGCATAGGATTCGCTTTACCCTTCCTATTGATGGAAGGCATGGGTTTCAGTCTGACAGTCTCGCAATGTCTCTGCACCCCACCTTATGTGCTCGCAGGCGTTAGCACATGGTTTGTAGCATACTATTCCGACAAATGGAGAATACGATCACCCTTCATTTTGGTGAACAGCTGTTTCGCGTTCGTCGGTAAATTCCACTCAGACGATGCATACTTTGAAAGATACTGACTAGAATTCCAGGCATTTGCTTGATCGGATATGTCGAAACTGCTGGAGTCAGGTATTTTGGCGTATTCCTCGCGGCAGTCGCGGGGTTGGCGAATGCACCTTGCCTTTTGACGTGGCAGGCGAACAATGTGCGCGGACAGTGGAAGCGAGCACTCGTCTCCACATTTGCGGTTGGCGCAGGTGCCATCGGAGGCGTTATAGGGTAAGCCTGGTGAAGGAAAACGACAGAGAGGATTCCAATCACTAACATCAACTTCGCAGATCATTGGTGTTCAAGCCAGGCGATACGCCTCATTACACGATGGGAATTGCGACTTGCCTCGTTGCTCAGGGCCTAACAATATTCTTGGTTTTGCTGTTGCTCTGGAAGTTCACACAAGCGAACAGGCGAGCGGCAAGTGGTGGCAAGCTCATCGGAGGGCTCCCGGGTTTTCGATACACGCTTTAAGTAGCAGCCCGAGCAATAGATGAAGGCCCTCGCAGTGGAACATGGGTAAATCATAAACACGCAAATCGTTGATCATTCTTCGGGAGATCGAGGGTATCTATGAGCTGCCAATCAACAAGTCTTGTCAAACACCAACCATGCCATCATATCTTCATCAAAGTCATCGTATCGTGCCGTGCCAAACACTCTCTCACAGGGCTGCCATCAATCCAAAGCCCGCGATAGCAGCACCGGCCATCCAGCCAGCAACTCCCTTGGTTGGGGCAGCTCCCTGGCTGTTGAGACTGGGCGATCCGCTCGACGTTGGTGCAGCCACATTCACAACCGAGGTGTATGTTGAGGTTGTCTGTCCATTGGCGCCACTGAAGGTTGCAATGCTAGTGAAGGTTGATGGCGTGGCATGCACAGTTGGGTGCACAGTCGTCAGAAGCACCGAGGTTGCGTTGTGAGCTGTCACTGTTGTGTTGCTGTAGAGTGGAGCGGAGGAGGCCGATACTGTGTGGGTGATGCTTGCCGGAGCAGGGGTCGTGACTCCCTGTGGCAGACTGGCGCAAACCAGGGATCCGATCTGCTCGGTGTTGGTTGAGATGCGGCTTGGTGAAGTGCTGTTGAAAGGCAAGGCCGCATTGCCGGTGGCGTTGCCGTTCTTGAAAGGTGTGCAAGTGACCGAGCTGAGGTCCACACCTTCCGCCTGTGTGAGATACAGCGTGGAAACGGCGTCAAGAGCAGAGTCGGTGTAGATGGTGTTGACTGGCACAGTGACGGTGGTGTTGATCAAGCCATTACTGGCGCCGCCATGGCTGGTCTCGACGACGACACGGACGCTTTGTGATGCTGCGGTGGTTGCTGCGGCGAGGACTGCGACTGCGGATCTCGAGACCATGTTGTGTTTCTGGGATGGAATTCTTGAATGCGTTGAGCAGGTTTTGGTGAAGTTGTCTTGCGGCTGTAGTCTGTGGTAGGTGTATGCAGGTGCTGTGGTACAAGTAGGTGTCGGGGGTAATGATGTGGTGAGTGTCACAGGTACAGCCGTGTCAAGCTTTTGCGGTATGGAATGTATATGTACAGGGCGAAGTGCGGGAGAAGAAGTGGGAAGATAAAGGGCTGCTGCTGCTCAGCGGGCATGCAGCAGTCGCACTGCAGCGTGCAGAAGGCAGCTCCTGCATTGAGGCATGCTTCTTGCCCTTCCACTGTCGTCGCTACTGCCGTCGTCAGCTGTGCGATGGTGCGACCCACGCCTGTTTGACCACCGGCGCTTCAGCTGCAACGGCAGCCTCTCGCTCGCAGAAATAGCAAGCCCGGCCCTAATGCCAAGCCTGCAAGCGTGTCTTTTTCGCGTCGTCGCCGCCGCCCCGCCCCTTTCTCTTCTCCCGCCGTACACTTCCCTCTCTGAGACCACTTGGTCGCGACATCCAGTGCGGAATTCGAGCTCATGAGCCTCAACGGCGACCACCGATCCAAGTGAGCGGTGGCAAGAAAGATATGAGTTTCCACCGTCAATCTTGGGAACTGCAAATTCTGAACTTCGCGACAAGTGCGACTCAAGATGCAGAACAACAGACCGTTCTTCACCATTCGCACCTTGACATGGGCGGCGGTCGATTGCTCATCGCAAATCCAGGGAGGCTCACTCAGATGATTTGTTCATACTGATATACTGTGCTGGCAGAGTTGTCGATAGAACAAGATGGGCGACATGGGTCTGACTACACCTCACTTCGTTCACTAATCCTCATGCAGTGGAGTCGGGCAGCTCTCGCTTTCCATACACCATGAATTCGGCCAAATGTCAACTTTACTTACCTAACTAGTGCACTATGCGTCGGATCGTCGTACCGTCAAGACTAGGGTTGCACAATGGCAGAGAGCCAAGCGACATACGCCCGGCCTAGTTCCAGTGTATGCGGCAAACTGAATGCAGAGCTTTCTCGGCTCGGTGACCGTAATAGAAGCCAGTCTCTATCCTTCTCAAAGCCACAAGTCAGACGCATTATGCAACGCTTTCGCGGTGTTGGTCATGACCTGAGCCTGACCAACCTCGAGGCCGTGAATCACTACAACAACATCGCAAAAGCCGCCGCGCGAGTGGATTAGTCCACGTGGATACTCTCCGAAATTGAGAACGTGTTTCCACGAGGCCTTAGCGATCATACAGTGGGTTCTTTGGATGGCTTTCGCGCGAAGACTCGGAGCCGTGGCGCTGGACGGGTCACGATGCAGCATGAGCTTAACCAATGCCGGAAAATAGCCAACCCGTCAAGAGGCTTTCAGGTCCATAGCCGATCGAGAACAGGCAGAAATCGCAACGAGCCGGCCTACAGAACTACGCCACAACTAGACCTGTCTCCGCCCAAATGTCCATTGAAGAGCTCGGCCGAATATGAGCCGAGATGGAGCGACCGACATTTTCTCCACAATCCCCGCATCATGTGGCATGGAGAACAGCAACTTGTGTAACCGCAAGCTGCCATAACAACTGCCGCTTCATGTTAGCACTTGCGTAGACCGGCACGATTGCTCGGCTACGGCACGAACTTGAAGCTTTAGAAAGCGCGGTTGGCTGCAATGGGCAAGCCTGCCGCGTAGAAAGCTTGTTCGCCGTCCTACATTGCGTCACGCCGCCTCAATGAATGTCTGGCAGCATCGCAATGATCAATCCGGCGTGGAGCTGCAGCGTAGGCGACTGGCCGAGCCCAAGAGCTATAAAATGGTCGCGCCGCGCCTTCTACCTTTGCTTCACCAGTGTCTTGGCTAGGCACTGTCAAACGCACTCATGAAGTCCTTCATTGCTGCTGTGGGCCTCGTCGGTCTCGCATCTGCGGCCCCTCGTGTGCAGACGCACCAGAGACCGCATTCCTATGGCGGGCCAACTGTCACTGTCAAGAATGGAACAATCGCTGGCGTCCACAAATCTAACTACAAGCAGGACTACTTTTTGGGTATGCCGCATCATAGTGAGGATGCGAAACGCACTGACAAATTTTGTGTGCAGGCGTTCCATTCGCTCAACCTCCTGTGGGACCACTGCGTTTCACGAATGCCCAAAGCCTCAATTCCTCTTTCGATGGCACGCTTCAGGCTACCGAATACGCACCAATGTGCTATGGATATGGGGTACGTTGTACCGAAAGCATGCCCAAGACAGTGAATTGACGTATCCAAAGGGCGACCAAATTGGTTATCCGCAATCAGAGGACTGTCTGTATCTGAACGTCATCAGGCCATCTGGCTACGAAAACGCGTCGTTACCGGTCGGAGTGTGGATTCACGTAAGTCACATTTCGTGTAAGTGCTTCTCCAATCTCAGACTCATTGATTACAGGGCGGCGGTCTGTATATGGGTGGTACTCAAGACAGGCGCTACAATCTTACTTGGATCGTGCAAAACAGTGTCGAAATCGGCAAACCTATCATCGGCGTTTCGATCGCATACCGTCTAGGACCTTGGGGCTTCCTTGCGTCTCAAGAGGTCACCGGCAGCGGCAACACCAACATTGGACTTCGCGATCAACGACTTGCTCTGCACTGGATCAATGAGAACATTGACGCTTTTGGTGGCGATAAAAACAAGGTTGCTATTTGGGGCGAGAGTGCCGGTGCTGGTAGCGTGGGCTTCCATTTGACCGCATACAACGGCCGCGATGACGGTCTTTTCCGAGCTGGTATCATGGAAAGTGGCAACCCCGTCAATTACAACAGCTATGCGACAAACGTCAGGTACCAACCGAAGTACGATGCTTTGGTCAACGCGACCAACTGCAGCACCGAGGCAGACACCTTGAGCTGCTTGCGTACCATCCCAGAACAGACTCTTCAGGACCTCTTCAACACAACCTCCAGTCTGTCGTCTGGCTGGAACCCGGTCGTGGATGGCGACTTCATTCAGAGATGGGCGTCCATTCAGCTCAAGGAGGGTGACTTTGTCAAGGTCCCGATGATTGATGGCGCCAACACAGACGAGGGTACGTCTTTCGGACCGGACGGCATTGATACCGATGAGGAGTTTGCAGCATACATCACGAACACTTCGCAGCTTACGAATCTGCCTGCGGCTCTTGCTCCACGAGCACTGGAGGCGTACCCTAACGAGCCATCTTATTTCATTCCACCTGTGGAGGAGGTCCCACTCAACTACACGTATCCTCCAGAGAATGGTGCGCAATACAGACGCGCCAACGCTTACGCAGGAGATGTTGCCTTCCACGCCAACCGTCGAGGCGCGATGGAGGCTTGGGCCGCAAACAACGTCTCAGCATACTCTTACCGCTTCAACACTCTTCCTACAGGAGTTCCGTGGTACGCAGGCGTTGTCCACTTCCAGGAGGTTGCATTCGTATTTGACAACACCCAGGGTCTGGGATATGATGCGGAGCATGGAACTGTCAACCCATTCCAGAACAAGTCGCAAAGCTACTACGACCTTGCTGATTACATGAGCAAGTCATGGGTATCGTTCATTCACGATCTTGACCCGAACTATGAGGCAAAGCCTGCTTCTGCTCCAACTTGGCCGCAGTACAGTCTCGACCAGCCAGAAAATATTGTTTGGGATGCAAACAGGACGGAATTGGCGTGGCTTGAGCCTGATACGTACAGACAGGAGGGCATTAGGTTTATCCTCGACAATGCTTTGGCGTACAAGAGGTAGATTGATACGTAGCTATCAGCGAAACAGCCTGACGATCTCTACTTGAATTCATTCAAATCGTGCTCGAAGCTTTGACTACCATATCAATCATCTCACTGTTCAGAGAAACATCTCCCTCGACCGTCTCGCTCAGACGAAGCGTCCTGCTTCTTGGCCCCTGCATCCGCCAAAAACACGAATCTGACGCGTACGTCGCTCTCGGGTTTCAAAGCTTGGCACCTGCCAAACCCTGCCTTGCCTCCCAGCTCTTACCATCACCAACAATACCTTCCTTCCCAAACATCTCTGACCTTCATTCATTCCTTCTATCATCTTAAATGCCTCTCCGATAACGCATTCCATCAGCATGGCGGACGAAGACCGCCCATATCAGCCTTCTCTCCCTTGGCGAATCACCTCCTCCGCTACCATCGGGACAGTGGGTCTCTTATGCCGAAGCTTTTTATTCGCGCTCAACAGAACCGAAGTCCATGGTCTTGATCGATTTCTCGAGATTCTTGATGATAGGGAAGATGACAAGGGGAGGACGAGGGGTTTGGTGACGGGTATGTAGTCATTTTTCTACACTGTAACTTGTCCTTTTGTAGGGAATGCATGATTGATGGGTTCTTTCAATAGTGTCGAATCACACGAGCGTGTAGGTGAATACCATATGATCACTCTCACTTCGTTTGAGGACTCGCGATTGAGACTGCATTTCTAGACTCGATGACCCTCTGATTTGGGGTGTTCTTCCGTTTCGCTACCACTGGACACCGAATAACATGCGCTGGTCGATGGGAAGTTACGATATTTGTTTCAAGAATGGAATGCTGTCCGCTTTCTTCAACTATGGAAATACATTACCTACTCATCGGTCTGCGCATTCGAAATTCGGAGGATTGTTTCAACCGACTATGACGGAGTGCATCAAATTACTGAGCGATCCGCATCGGTCGAAGAAGGGACACGTCGCTCACATAGAAGATGGCTCATTGTCGTCACCGTCTTCGATGGTATCAATACCCACCTCGGACCCTTTTACTTCAGGAGAGCTGTCGTATACCTACTCTACCAATGGCACGGACAGCTTCCCTTCGCCTTCGGCATTTCCTTGGCGAAGACACAGCTGGGTCCATATTTTTCCGGAAGGCATGATTCATCAGCATCCTGCTCGTGTGATGCGATACTTCAAATGGGGCGTTGCACGATTGATCCTGGAGTCAGAGCCTTGTCCTGATGTGGTACCGATATGGATTGATGGGCCTCAAGAAGTGATGGACAATGAGAGGGGGTGGCCAAGATTCCTGCCCAGGGTAGGGAAAGATGTGAAGGTGGCGTTCGGGGAGAGGGTCGATAGGGAGAAGCTTTTGGAGCCTTTTCGGGAGAGGTGGCGGAAGTTGAAAGAAAGGAGAGTGGGAAAGGAGCAGAAGGAGGTGGAGCAGTTGGGCGTCGTGGATGACGAAGAATTGAGATATGGGAAAGAAGCGCAGCAATTGAGGATCGAAGTCACACTTGCGATTCGTGATGAGGTTCTGAACGTGAGGAGGCAATTCGGACTACCTGATGAGGACCCCAAAAGGAGTTCGGCTGATAGCTACCGGGAAGAAGGCATTTATGGCCGTGATGGCTTTGGTGATATTCATGGTGTGAAAAAGCTTCCGGATGGCAGTACCACAAAAGACATGTAGATTACAGCGATGGTAGCCGTGGCCCAGCTCAATTGCACAATAGTTTCAAGGCAGCAGTGGTTGCAGATAGGGCGAATGCTGCTGAGCATCCTAATGGCTCCTTCTTTGTCGACGTTGTTCATGCCTGCCAACCTTGAACTATCAGAGAGCAAGCACGAGTGTCGCTGCCTCATGTTAGCCAACAATTGGCTTCATTTGACCATCGACTATCCTCACAGTCTGCAAAAAGTCGACATCTTTCCGAAGTGGAGTGTCGTGTGCAGTCAGTGAACTGCATATCTCTTGGCGACAGGGTCCCGCAGCTGTGGCTGATTGCTGCCCGCCGCCACGATGGCTTCACGACTTGGAGTCAACATTGGTCGGTGTCCTGACCAGTACAACTTTGAACACTACGGAGTACCAACGGCCTCGAGGCTCACCGGCCATCGAGACTACATTCCACGACCTATGGCGGCGCCCTCGCTGCTAATCCCCGGCCGCCCGGACACGTCGCTCAACGTGCAGCTACACCCGCTCGTGCTGCTCACCATCTCCGACTACATCACCCGCCATTCGATTCGCAACCAGTCGGGACCAGCGGTCGGTGCTATCCTGGGTCAGCAGAATGGCCGCAGCTTCACGCTCGAAGTCGCATACGAGTGCAAGCTCGACGACAACGCCTCGTCATCTGTGCAGTTCGATGCCGACTGGTTCATGACGCGCCTCGAAATGTACAAGGAAGTCCACAAGGAGCCTGCTCTCGATCTCGTCGCTCTTTTCTCGACCGGCTCGATCAAAGGTCCCAACTCAGCGCACCTGCCAGTCTTGCAGCAAGCGAAGGCACTCANGTCATGCTGCTCCTCTTCCACCCAGAAACAGTCGAGGGATTGCAGGGCGGAAAGCTGCCCATCAGCTTGTACGAGACAGTTGAGGAGGGAGACAGTAACGTCAAGTTCCGAGAGCTGGCATACGATGTGGAAACGGGAGATGCGGAACGGATAGGCGTTGACTTTGTCGCCAAGGGTGGTGGTACTGCCACTGCTGTTGCAAAAGCTGGAGGAGCAGACGCTGCTGCAGGCGCATCCAAAGACGCTAAGGCCAAGGGAAAGGGCAAGGCAAAAGCAAAGGACGATGAAGCTGAGACCAACGGCACAGCAACAACAAGCGTGCTATCTCCAGAAGACGACGAGCTCATCTCCTCGCTCCAGGCGAAGGTCAACGCTATCAAGATGCTGAACGAGCGCATCAATCTCATCCGCACATATCTGAGCGAGCAACCCCAGAGCTATCTCACAGACGCAACCGTCTCAGATGCACCACCGGACAACACAAATCACCAGCTTCTGCGCAGCGTACAATCTATGCTGTCCCGTCTACCACTTCTCGCCCCACCACAAGCCCAGCAAAGCGTTGATACTTCGGAAAGCCATAACTCTTTGCAGCAGGCGAGCGAAAAGCAGCGACAGGATGTTCACCTGACCTCGCTTTTGGCCACTCTCACCCGGTCAGTCGCCGAGGCACAAACACTCGGAAGCAAGTTCAGCATCGTGCAGAAGGAGAGGCAGAATAAGGATCGTAGCGCCTTCAGCAGCGGCAGACCACCTAGAGGCGGGTTTGGCGACGAGACCTTGTACGTCAATAGGGGTAATCAGGACATGGACTAGCAGTCTTCGTCCCTGTATTCATCACTATTGGCCAACAATCGGCCGTATGGGAGCAGCTCAGCAGGCTTCGGAAACGGTCATTGGAACAACACCTATCCTACTGGAAGCTTTGCCGGGAATGGTTCGTCCTACCTTCACACGCAGGACCGCTCCGCTGGCGGCTCTTCATCTAGGAGTGGAGGACGCTCGAACTTCAATGGCGAAGGTCGTTCACTGGGGTAATTGCAAGCCATGGGCAGCTCAACGGCATTGGAAGGAAGATGACACGATACGACAGACATGAGACACGACCCATAGCACGCGCTGAGGCGTGAAGCTTTGCAGAAGGGCACAGTCGCACCGACTACGACAGGCTATAGAAGTGCAGCAAGATAGAAGAGGCGCGCACCGGCCATAGATGTAACACGAATGCGATGATTGGAACATCCCAACATGGCCGATCTATCCATGTTCCTCCTTCGCTTCGTTCGGTATTCTGACGCCTCGCATGCTTATTAATGAGTGGTTCCCAGAGGTTTCCATATTCCCCTGTGCACACGCCTCTATGTTAACAGCTGGGCAGACTCACTAACATGAAGTGGCATGATTTCAAGAGAACTGAGTGATTCGCAGGTTGAAACATGCTTCATTTGGAAACTCTGAGTACTGGGGCCCTGGGTTCCGATTATCATGCTCCAGTCAATGCACCGCAAGCAGAGTATCCAATACGTCGAAACTTCTCTCCTCCCAATCTTTCCCAGGATCCTGCTCAACTTTCTCATCGATTGTATTTACGCCTCCCTTTTCCGGGTTCGAATCACAAGTGGGCGATTGATTGGTACGATCTTCGACTCGGAAGTCGGAGTTATCTTCGGTGGTGCCAGCCTCTTTGATTTCAGCTCTGCTCTTGGTCTCCTTGACCGCTTGATCCGCTGACCATGACTGATACAGCGCTTCCTCTTCTGGACTCTTCTGTCCAGCCCAAGGACCCCACGAGACAGTGATACTAGCTGCTTCTCTGGCGGCCTCATTTTCTGCGATTTCGTCTGCTAGACTCGGCCACTTTCCCGAGGATGAATCTGCCCAGCCCCAATCGGCGTCGTGAGAGGAGTATGTCTCGTCCGGAACAAATGGGAGAGCGATGTCTTCTGGTAGGACCTCTGTTCTCAGTTTACTTGGTGGACGCTTTTGTGGTCGTTGTGAAGGTGTAGATCCGACGGGGCTCCAAGAAAGCTCAGGAGAACATGAAGAAGCTCCCACAAATCCCTTCTCAGGCTTCACAGTATTCTTCTTATACCTCCAGTCCGGAAACTCCTTATCAAGAACGAAGAGCCTTCGATCCCGTTCTTCTTGAAGCCTCACCAATTCTGTATCCCTACACTCATCAGCTTCACCCTCGTCCTCGGTTCCATCGCAACCATACTCCTGCTCGCCGCAAGAAGTCATCAAGACCAGCGCCGCAACTTTCTCGTCGAGGGCCTTGGTCACTCTCTCCTTACTGCACGGCCCACATTCTTGCTGAGAGTAGATCGTGATAGCTGCATGTCCAGAACAAGAAGGCTTTCGTTCCTCGCGAGAAGACTTTTTGTTCTTGGTAGACGAGCTAGGAGCAAGGTAATGGGCGTGGCACTTCGAGAGGCGGAAAGTGCAGAAGTGGGAGCAGGTGTAGCTGATTGTGCGGGTTTGGCACATTTTTGGTTACAGGCAGATGGACTGTGTTGGGTCAGGGTGCTGGCTTCGATGTCGTTGGCGTGACTTGAGGGTTTGTGAGGTGGTTCTGCTGGCGCCTTCGACTCTTGTTGGTGTGGGCATTGGAAGCCCGCGCAGATCGTTGGGTGGGTGGCGTTATCAGCGCCGTTTGAGAGCTCGTTTGGGGAAGTGTTGCCTGGGATGAGTCGGTCATTTGATTGATGCTGTGTATGATGTTGTCATTGCGGTCGGGAGTGTCTCGTGGTGGTTATGGCAAGTTCTTGGTCCCGTGTGCAAGTGGCAGGCGATCGCGTAGCTTGAGCCAGGCACGCCTGAGGTGAACACTGAGGTGGAGTCGCTGTTGCCTGCAGTGTTCAGAACCCAGCAACAATAAGGGCAAGATAGATGCACGTGAGTGCAAAAGTCGGTGAGTGTGTTGGAAGTGACTGCCACAATGAAGAAAGTGAAGAACGATACTATTTCCACTAAATGCACGAGCATTTGAACCCCGAGTTGATCATAATACAAGAGACTAAAGAAGATCTTCCCTGCCCTCGAGCGATTGTAGTGGTATCTCTGAAAAAGCACAACCCCCGTGCTCTTCTCCACGAGCTCACAAAACGCCCGACCCCTTAGCCAGCAGCCAATGCCAGCTACCCAATGAAAGTTTTTCAAGGCCTCGCTCTGAATCGCCTTTCCATCAAAGATGTCGTGTCTCGTGCAATTAGGCCACGACTCAGTCTGTGGCAATCGGATCTCCTTCCAAAGTGCTCCTCCGTCCCAAACACATCAACACACTCTGGCGCCGTAGTGGAATCGTAAATCCATCGTACTGAAGCGCCTTCGCGCGCAATCTTTCTAAGATCGTGCTGAATGCGCCCCAGCCACACTATCAAGGCCTGTCCCTCTCCTGGACCCAAAGTGTGGCACATGATCCATCCAGTTCGCCTGGCCTTTCTCCCTCTCTTTGGCCTGCCACCAGTGCTTTTTCTTCTCCTGTCCGAACTCAGTCGTACTGTCCTGTCGACTTTGGTCTGCGCTGCGGGCACTTGGTGCGTGCGACCTGTCGCTATTTTGACGAGAGTGTCCGGATGATATGCTAGCCGTGGTACCTGCAGGACGCTGACCAGTGCGACCCCAGGCCCTCGAGCTCCCGCTCAACGGAGGGCCTGCTGCACGACGATAATCTGTTATGTGGGGTTTCCTGACGCGCTGACCCTGCTCTGACTCGTGCTTCGATTGAGGCGAGTCACTACGGGGCATATCGGCTCGCGCAGTATGCTCACGTGTGCTGTCCTGCCCGGAAGAATGAGCTGACATTCGATCAGTGCTTTTAGTGATCGAGAGCTGCGAAAATTGCTCAACCATTGGAGAGCTCGTTGCGGAATTACCATACGTGGCTCTCGTGTTTGGCCGCGGGCCGTCTGAGTCACCATAAGTCTTCCTCGATTGGGAGGAATTGGAAGAAACTTGGTCATCCTTGTGTGGGAAGACAGGCGAAGCCGGGCTTTTCAGCGAAGCACGAGACAAGACTCTTCTGAGTCCATGATATGCTGGAGTCAGACCACCAACGAAGGAGGGCGATGATGGGAGCTTTAAATGTGAGGACGGCTCTGCTTTTGTGCCTTGGTGCACAGTGGCCGGTTCTTCATCCTTCCAGGAGTCTAGGCCAGGGAGAGGGGGAAGTTCTCGGTTCAGGTCCACCTGCGTTTTCGCTGGAGTTCCACTGGCTGGCCGGCTGGAATCTGCTTGCGTCACGTTGGTGAATGCCTTGGTCGGCGGATGCCACTTCTTCCAGTCTGCTGCTCTATCCGACGAGGTCCTTGTTTCTGATGTTGAAGTTTGCATCGAGCCGATAGACTGGTTGCGTACATGGCCACGCGTGTATTCGCCGCTCGGCCTGCCGCTTCGAAACCCGGAAGCCGTGCCTGGTCTGAAATATTCCTTCATGCCATGTGCAATCTCACGTGCTCTACTCGGCGGTCTTTCAATAGGGTCCGCTGTTGCTCTGTTAGACTCGTGGCGGCGCACATGGGCAAACAGATCCTGAGTCACGCCTTTGACATCGGTGGCCGCCCGGCTCGCAGCTCGTGATGCCCTGCCTAGACGACTATTTGAGCGGACAGGCATTCGTCCTCGGCTGTCAGTGTCGATATCAATTTGGGGTTGGCGGGAATCAGTGCGAACGGCAAATGGTCGTCCCCGTTCTGCATCGTGCTGGTCTTTACTTCCAGGCCGCGTTTGGTTTTGATCTCCCGGTCTACTTGCAGACCGTGCTGGAACTGGTTTCCGTGCAGGAACATGTGAGTAGGGAGCCGGCAGAACGGGTGTCTGCGTTGTCGACGTGTTATCACTCTGATTCGAGGGATCGATTGTCTTCGCGCGTTCCCTTTCCTCCATGACCTTTTTGTGCTTTTCCAACTCAGCGCGCAGCCAATCGCCATTGGAAAAGTCCGCCTGAGGTGCACTGCCACTTTCCGAAGTCGGTGGGATTGCCTGTCCAGAAGTGCGCTTGGAACGGGCAGGCGTATTGACAGCGGATGTCAGGCCTGTAGAAGCCGACCAGGGATAATCCGTGGAATCTGTGTGGGGTGTGGAGCCCGAAGTGCCGACTGAATCTGATCGCTGCAATGGCTTGGACTTTTCCGTGTTACTGGCTGGAGGATGTGATGTTTCCGATGGCTCGACACGCGGTCGCATACGTGATGGCATGTTCTTGACAGCATCGCCGGCCATCAACATGTCTGCGCGCGATCTCGCATTCCTCTGGACATGTTTGCTGCCATGGCTCTCACCGTTGAACAAATCCTCGGTCGCTACATTGGGCTTGTAGGCGTATCTCGATGAGTGCGGCGGCTCTTGTGAACGTTCGTGTCTGTGACGCATGCTACTCGTCCTCGCTGGATGCACTGCTTCTGCCACTGGTCCAGCCTTGATTGCAGCATAGTCCAACGCGGGCTTTGCTGCTTCTCCTCCCCATACCTCATGCGAGGGCTTTGGATGTGTTATAACGTAGGTGCACGCGGCTCGCAATTCGGCTTCAATGTCGTTGGGCATTGGCGGTCGCACACTTTTCGGCGTCGGTGGGCGCGACTCGGGCGGGGAGGCATAGTGGTCCTTCCAGTCTCTGTGTTCGTTTCGGTCTGTTCGATGGGATGCATTGTGGCCAATGATGCCAAGGTGGCCGATCTTCTTCACGTGCGGCGTGGTCAGCAATAGTTGATGCGTTCGAGACGCGGGCAGCGATCTCGCGATCAGCCCGAGGCCATGGCACGTACCAATCTGGGAATGTCAAAGGAAAACTTTCGTTTCATCTTGGAAGCCATGATGGAATTGCCCCGCGCGAGCGAGGCGTTGACGGCGACAGCAGTCGCAGAGGCAGTCGGATGGGCCTGGGGCGGAGGAGGTGCGCAGAGGGCGACTGGAGGTGGCTTGAAGGGTATCGGTGTCTCAGTAGGATATGTGGGCCTTGGGGGGCATGCAAGCCGACGCAACACGCTCGTTTTCTGGGAAGCACACTCGTCTGCAGCTGACCTTGGCGGAGCAGGCCTGTGTTGCCGTGCGCCGGTCCTTCAGGCGTCCCTCAGGCGCTTCGCTTGCTGGGCCGGTTATTAATTGTGCGTTGGTGGTGGTGCTGCTTCTGGCAGGTGGGAGTTGGGCTGGCCACTGGGCGCGGGCGGTGGGCGGAGGCAGGGCGGGCACATAAGAGCAGCAGTCGTCTCTGGGGCGGGCATGGGGGCAGCGAAACCAGGGCACGCGCAGTCGCAGCCGGACGGGTGACAGTGACAGGGCTGCATGCGACTCAGCGCGGTGGTGTGCGAGAGAGGAAGAGAAGGTGTTTCATCTACCCGCGCCCATTTCTCCATCAGCGCTGGCGTCGTGCCTGCCGACCTTCAGCCTCAATGCAAACCTGCCCTATGCGAATGCCTCGGCCGCGCGATCCACCGAGCGGAGCGCCCTCATGATTGCAACAAACCGTCTGCGCATACTTTCTCGCGCACCGCTGAAGCTCCAGGATGGCGTGTTTTGTGCAGGTGAAGTTCAGGTACCAGAAACCTAAAGCGCCCGTTGCCAACCTTGAGCTTGCTTGCACCTCACACGCGCCGGGCGTGGCTCATCAAGCTCCAGCGAGCCGGCCGACGCCGTGTCCTTCACGGACCGAACTGCGCTCCTCGGCCGCCTCTCTCATCAGCGACTGCGCCCATGGCACGCCTCAGGCCCGCCAGCAGCAATCTCGCGAGACTCACCGCCGCGCACACCGCTCGACATGTCTCGCCCTCGAACTGACTTCCCTCTGACCTGTACAATGGCATGGTGACTTGCTCGCCGAATCAGTGGTGGAGCCAGCGGGATGGTTCGTCCGAGCTGCTGCTGCACTTGCACGACGCAACAACACCAAGCACACAACCCGACAATGCTATGGCGGTGCAGCACCTCCCGTCCCTGCTGGATCACCCTGCGCATGGATGGTGTCTGACGACGGAGCCGCACCTGTCTGCTTCACCCTGACCACACTGAGACGTGTAGCGGACATGAATTCTCCGGACACCTTGCACCTTTTCGCGCCCATCCCGCCATCGCACAAGCTCCAGATGGGCAAGTTCTGCAAGGAACACCTCTCGGTCATCATGTCGGTGCCACAGATGTGATCATTGCAGCTCGTTCTCGTCGCACCGAACTCCAAAAGCCAGAACTGCCCGCAGCTGCTAGTGCCACCACGGCTTTCGAAACACGACATGCAACACGTCGACCAGCCCACTTGCTCGCTCGAAACAACCTTCAGCGCTCGAGCCTTGCTGACACTGCACCAACGTACCTCTCAATACCTCCTACAACCGGAGGCATCGCGAAACAGCCGCAGCCCAAGTGCAGCCACTCTCAGCAAGCCTGGCATGCGGAGTCCAGCCACAGCCGACGTTCTGAAAACTGGTTCGGACCTTCTAGCGCTGCCTGCAGGTCCCAGTTGCAGTTCTTCGCTGTACTTACCGCACCCGGCATACTGGCTCGCCGATGCAACCCTTATGCTTCACAAACTGCTGAGGGAGCATTGCTTGCGGCATACTTTCTTGCACGCAAGGGTTCTGATCTGAAGCACAAAGTCAGGCCTACCGCGCAGCAAACAACGTGGTGCCACGCGCCATTTTGCCCCTCTCGGCGGGTCCAATATAAACTCTGTGATTGGATTCGGATTGTCCAGCACGCGCTGAGTGAGATGCTGTGGTGTTGTGTGGTATCGAGGGTTGTGGAACTCCTTGCCGCTCACAACGTGATGCCCACTACCTCGGAGAGTGCGGCAGCGAAAGCGCTAGCACTATTGTACGCATGAGATGCAGGCCCCCGAGCTGCACGCACACCTTCGCGAGACGAGGGGAGAACCTTGTCAAAATGTACAGCAGGTGAGCAACGCGCCCCCCTACGCTTTATGGATGCACTTGCGGATCCGCATCCAAGTTCTCATCAAAGACACCACACTTACGGAGCTATGCAAAGTCAAGCAGATTGTGTGGTCTGCATTTGAGATGAACGAGTCGAATGTGCATCTGTCTGTACCGGCATCTGTAACAAGCAGCAGCCAGACTTGGAGCCCAATCATGTTGGGCAGAGGTGAGCTTGCACTATATGAAGCTGAGTTGTCTGATGGCCTTGTTCTAAAGACAGAACCCTACAAAGGGCTCAATGTTCTAAAGATCACCAGCAGCGACTGCGGCATGGCCAGGCCGGACGCCTCGTCTCCTCGCCTCATCTTCTACAGCCCTGAGTATCTCATCCTCCAAACTCACCCCTTCCGGCTTCCAGCTCAGGAGCTCTTTCCCACGCTTGGCCCTCGCCCTCGAATTAGCACCCCACAGCAAGTGCCCAGCAGGTGTCCTCTCCGCCGCATCCTCAGCTGTAATAGACCTCACATCAGCATTATCGATGAACTTCTGCTTCTTCATCTCATCTGCAACCAACTGCGAGACCTCGCCCCACACATGCTCTCCATTCTCACAGAAATAATAGCCCTCAGCACCCCACACTGCAGGCTTGCCCGGCCACTCCTTCGTCGACCCACCCGCAGCAGCTTCTTCTACAAGCTTCAAATACAGTGCAGAAAGATCATGCACGTGAACATGTCCCCAATACGTCTTCCCTTCATTCACCTTAGGAACATATCCCTTCTCCAGTGAAGTCCGAATCAATTCCGGAACTTGATGCGATCGCTGATTATCCGGTCCTCTACCTGGGCCATAAATACAGGGTGGAGAGACGATGGCCGTCTTCACACGATCTGCTAAGTCCTTTCCCGCTGCCAGCACAATCTTGTCGATTTTGCGATGGGGCGCGTCGTCTGGCAGAGACGTGACATCGGAGACATTCTCCAGATCGTCGTAGATCTTCTCGCGGAATTGAGAGCCAAAAATGGCATTGTTGCTTTTTCCTTCTCTCATGTCTTCCCACATCAGAAGACCTGTACCGGAGGTATGAATGTAGAAACCTGGAGAAGAAGCGTCATGGCTTGAGAGGCCTCTGATTATGGCCTCGGCTGAAGGGGCGTGGTCTGCGTTTGCGAAGTCTTCAACCAGTCAGTCGTCTGAGCTCGACACAAATGTGAACGATTAAAGAATACAAAGAAAAATTGAAAGATATGAGGGAAAATAGTACTCACGACACACGATATCCGCAACTTTGGCTTCCTGTTCGATTAATTCCACGCTATCGAGATCTCCGTATACGAGTTTCACACTGGCGTATTGGGAGGCGACTTTGGCGCCTTTGTCGCTGTTGCGTACGAGAGCTGTGATATCGTATTCGGGATGCGATGTTGCGATTGCGTAGAGGGCATCGCCGCCGATGTAGCCTGATTGTTGTGCGATGTGAGGTTAGCTGTGCTTTTCCTGCGTTGAGATGTCAAGGAATGTACCTGTCGCGCCTGTTACGAAGATTTTAACCATTTTGTTGTTGCGTTCAGGCAATTTGTGAGGTGAGGGAGGTGGAACTTCTGTTGTTATATTGTGTTGCATTGGTCAGCTTGAAAGTGGTTGGAGTGACGTCGATCATTGATTGGCAAGTGGAGGGGCACAAAGCGGTTCAGATGCCCACTACTCGTCAGGGACACCACAAGCTGTGGAGGAGACTCTTGACAATGCGAAGTGCCAGAAGAGGTAAAATGTAGCTCGAATGCTTCTCGATATATCTCGACCGCATTCTCTTCCCTCTCTGCCTTCTCCAAATGCTCCAAAGATTCTTCCCGCCCGAAACTCCCTACTTGATGCATGCTGCTGCCGCTCCATAAATTCTGCTGCGCACTGGTGCTCATCGACCGCGAAGTTTCTCTATCGCTCTTGCCCATTTCAGTAAATGCCTTGCGTCCTGTACTGGAAAGTGTCATATAATCTCGTGTAGTAGCTCCCAATACTCTTGTTCACGAGTTCTTCCACCAAATCTCTAGCCTCCTCTTTGCTCTTCTCAAGCGCAAATCTCGCACGCAGCGCGCTCACGACGTTTACTAGACCTCCTCCATAGCAAGCCATTTTGCTTTCGCGGCCCATGAGCTCGACCAAGGTAATGAGTCGTTCGGCCTCTCTTCGTAGTGCCTGGAAGGCGTCTTTCATGAGTTCCTTGAAGCGGCTGAATGCCTCGCTCTCCGGCCCGCCAAGCACTTCCACATACTCGAGAGTCAGCTTGAACGGAGCGGCTTCGAAGCCCATGTTGCCCGGCGAGTTCGACAGCATGAACCCAAAATCGATATGTACGACGTGACCTTCGGAATCGATAAGAATGTTGCCATTGTGTCGGTCCTTCAGCTGCAAAATGTAGCTGATAATGCTGTATGCCGCCAAGCTACGAGTGAAGCAGTCGAGCGCTTTGACGTACGCGGGCGAGTCGGGAGAGCCAAACGTCTTGCTGTAATGGTCTTGCAGTGTTGCAATTCGCTTTTTGGGGTTCGTGCCAGCGGCGATACCTGCGATGGTGAGAGATCGCTTAATGGAATGCAACGAGACTGCGTTGGTGATGGTCTCAATCAGGCCGGAACTTTCACCGGTGACCAGAATGCGCATGTTTTTGACCCACACGTCCACATTGTGCTCGGCGAAGATTCTGTCGCAAACAGCAATCAGCTGGCATGCGAACGCTTCTTGCCGGAGATCCGCGCCGGTCTTCACAATCACGGAAACAAGATCCCACTGCTTGACCCAACCATATGGTGATGATCTACGAATGCGCTCTTTCTTTTGTTCCCAGGCTTCTCCGAACATTGCTGCGCTTGGATCGTCTCTGTCGCCTTTGCGCTGGATGCCACCAGTCATGGCGTCGTTCTCCATGCGGGCAGCTCCTTTGCCAGTGTTCACGAGATCAGCGTCAGTTTGATCTTCCAAGGATGCAGCGAGATCTTCTGCTTCGGCCTTCGCGGTGCCCGCCTTAGCCATGATGGTGTCGAAACTTGGTCCTTGCTCCTCCGCGAGAAAGCTTTGCTCCTCTAGCGACTGCATGCTCGCAATGATCTTGGCTCGGATGGCTGCAACTTCCGCTTTGGGTCGCTTCGCCGCGCTCAAATCCAGTTGTGCAAGCATTTGCGATGCCGTTCGCATGTGATCAGCGAGGGCAGAAACGTCAGCCTGGGTCGCATTTTGTGGTCGGAATGGAGATGCACGGTCGGAGCTATTGGGCCTTGCAGTCGTCAAGCCTTCGGAGTTCCGGGGCGTCGCAACGCTCGCCGATGTTGAAATGGTGCTGACGCCACTCGACAGACGCGGAGGCTCTCTTGAGCTTCCTTGTATCCCGCGAGGACGCGGACTATTCGTTCCAGATCTTGGCGTATCGTCCAAGTCTTGAAGAAGGGCCGTACTTGACAGGTCACCACTAGTAGGCTCCAGCACGCTGTCAACTTTCACTTCGTCTTGCGGCGACGTAATCGCTGCTTGCCGCGCAGCATCAGTTGTATCGAAGAGTCTGCGCTTCTGCTTGCCTCGATCCGACAGAATTTTGGATAAGAGTTCCTGATTCTGTTGACTCTCGGGGTCGAAATCGAAATCCTCCCGGATTACTTCTAGCATCAGCAGGTATGGTACCTTCTCAGCGCTATTGAGGCTGGTCGCTTCTGCGGGATTGAGACGCACGATACGGTGATGCTTGCTTCGACTCGCCGAACCTCCCAGCAGGGTTGCTGGGCACAAGAAAGGTATATCCACTTCTGTCGGAAGGTCCTGAGCGATTAGACCTAGCTCAGCACGCAAGGCACTCAACCGGGCAGGCTTCGGGACTGATACAAGACGATTGGAAATGCCTTCCAGAGCAGTGAGGAATTGGCTCTGGTTTCGGAAATAATTCTGCCGCAGCATTCGGACCTTCTGGCCTCTCGACATTGTAGATGGCGTTGAGGGGCGCAAATTCTGTGAGTGCCGCCGGGTGATCTCTCCTAACCGCCTTGGGACACCAGGAGACGCCGGAAGACTCATGCCGACACTTACCTTCCGGCGGTCTTGCTTCTTGTCTGGCAATGAAGCACTGCTGACAAGGCCCTCAGCGTTCATGCCGAGGGCGAGAGAATGTCGTGCAGGATTCCCTGCGGAAACGTGCCGCGTGCTATTCGATCGTGACTCCTGGGGCAGCGCTGGAGTGTTAGGCGTCGAAGATGAAGGCATGTTCCCATTGACCTGTATGTCTTGTGGCCTTCGCGACTTTCGTCTTGGCGGCTCTTTCCCGTCGCCCGTTCCAGGTCTGCTGCGTCTCGCGGTGCTTGCGCCAACTGTCGCGCTTCTGCTTAATGTAGGCGTGGCCGGTGATACTTCGCTCGCGCCTTCCTCGATCGGCCGAGGTCTCCTCGCTTGCGCGATTGCGAGCGGTCCAGCGTGTTGTGGCAGAAGAGGCAGTCCAACTCCCGCCAGTACCAGACTCGAAAGAACTGTGACTGGCAGCACATTTTCCTTTATACGTGCTCTTCGCAGAGGCTCACCCCCTCCAAATACGATACTTTGCACTTTGTTGTACATGCGGCGGCAGGTCTGGAAAGCGTGGGACGAGGGCTGGCTGGATAAATCGTGCAGATACGTCTGGAACAGCCAAAATGTCTCGAGGCCGGGTCAGCACCATACCCTGGTATAGCTCACATCTCTAACCTACCAGCAACGCGCCATTGACAGACTCCTCGCACAGATCTACGAGGAACTCCTCCAGCGCCATCGATTCATTGTCGATCGAGATGACCAGGTGGCATAGCTGTGGGAGAAAGAACTCAATCTCCTCGTAGCTGAAGCCTCGCAGCTTCGAACAGAGAACATAGTGAATACCAACGTGCTCGGCGTAGCGACTGCGTCCCGGTCAGCGCGTGTGTCCCTGGATGGGCGCATCGATCGAGTCCTCACGCAAGGTATGAAACGGTGAGCGAAGGGTCTCTGTTGAAGTGCTCGGACTGAATGAACCGCTCAAGAAGGTTCCAACTCATGAAGACTGTCTCATCAGGTAGACAGGTGCGGGTGTGGGCCGGGTGTATCTCATCTTCCGATTTCCATCAGAGTCGGTGACAGGTGGCTCGCAGCGGGTTGCGATCGCGCGCTGCGTGGGCTTCGGACGGAGGGACAGTGTCGATTTGAGCGCTCGAGGAGGACTGCGAGAGTGCGCGGCGGGGTCGTCGTTGCGTCTCGAGGATTCCAGTATGTACAGAGGGTTGAGAATATGTTGCACGGGGAATTAGCTCCACGCATTGATCGAGGACATGCCTTGCAGCTGGGGCACGCTGCCAAGCGGGCTGTTCGGAGCTGCCGTCTTCTCTCCTGCGGCGATTGTCCGCGTTCCGTGCACCTCATCTGCCTCCTGACCGTGTCTGGAGTTGTGCCACTTTTGCGCCTGAATACGCCGTCTGATACAGTATGGCTTTCGTGCTCATCGGAAAGAGCGATAAACCTCGATGGATCCGGAGCCACTGCTGATGACCACGCTGAGGCGTGAAGCTTCATCAACAGATGTGCGAAATGGAGAGAAATACGCGAATTCACGGGCAGAGGCTAGGGAATAGTCGATACCGCTCGCATTGCGATACGCGATGATGCGAAAGCACTTCCTGAATCTGGAGCCACTCGCTTGAAGCGACATGGAGGACTCCGTTGGCTACGTCCTCGATAATCGTAGATGAACACTTTAGCGTCGCCGGCTGATCACGCTCTCAGACGACCACCGCACCTTGCTCGTATCCGTAGGTCACTTCGTGGTGCTGACCAAACATGTTGGAATGGACAGCAATGATTGATGTCGCGGCGTTGGGTCTCCCGATATGTGGCGACGTTTGCTTCAGTTGCTCGTTGCTCTGCAGCGGACTCAACAGACTTCTGCGCGACCAGCGCTTCCTCAGTCACGGCCACGCCCCTCGTCGCACACTCACCCTTCGTCCTCCCACTGTCGATCAGCGGCACGTCTATCAAGATGGTGTATCGCGAAGACGGCGACGAGCTCGAGCCTGCAAGCCTCTCCTCAGAAACCGGCGGCGCCGTTCAGCAACAGTTCGAGTCGACTCTCACAAACCAAACTACAACACACTCGACGACATGTTGTCTGTGCAAAGGCCCGGAGTCTCTGTCCATGATTCAGTGCAATGGCTGCGCTGACTGGTTCCACTACTCGTGCGTTGGTCTCCAACCTGCTGATCCGCCGAAAATAAGGCAATACTTCTGTCCAACCTGCTATCGGACCGGAGTTGGCCAATCCACGTGGTACGGCAGAGCAGTAATCACCAAGCATCAGAATAAGCGGGTCAATGAACAGCTGCTGCGGCTAGACACTGCTAGAGAAGCGGCCAACAGTGCTGTTCAGAGCCGCGTTCGCCCCCTCGACGCATCCGTCCGCCGCCTGAGATACCAGCAGAAACGCCAACTTTACGTGAGGAAGCATGCCAATGGCCAGCTCATGACGATGGACGGTATACCGATCACTTTGGACCCTCCACACAACGCACCTCTCCCAGCGCTCGAACATGCGACTCCAAGGGCCTTCACTTTGTCGAGAGCTCCAACGCAACCTTCCATGAAAGGGCAGCACCGCACTGGAATCAACAATAACCCTTTTGGCGGCGACAAAGCTCTGCCGTTGCCGACACACAATCCGAGCGCTCCGCAGCTGGCAATGTCTGTGCATGATTCTCTTGGAAAAGGCGTATCATCGAACATTCACGGAACGGATCGCCAGCTACCAGGAAACCTACTGCAGCCCACATGTATTGCACGGAAGCAATCTTCGCAAACGCCGTCCGCCAGTGCCGAGGCGAATCTAGACAAGATGGGAGACAACCCCAAACCACTTGCGAAACCGAAACACAACATCAAGAAGCCAGCGAGTGGTTTTGACATGAAGTCCAGTAAGCTAGGCAATAAGGACAAGCCACGCAAAAGCTTGGTGGTGAAATTGAAACTCAGCGGAAGTAAGGGAGGGATGCAATTGGAATAGTCGTACAACGTGATCACCGGGAGTGCCAAGTGTGGGTGCAAGAGGCTGTATGGCATGGGTCAAGCTGTTGGTTCGCGATGGAAAGCAGGCGAGCATAGAGGATGCATGATAGGCGGAAAGCAAAGCAAGAGCTAGAGTCTATATACTACGTGCTCCCCAGAGGGACTGGAGTTCCTCTTCTCTGTTCGTACCTAGGCTCGAATGTGTAGATGCTTCTGTATTTATTACATTTCGGTGTTTTGCAACCAGTCTGTGTCAGGAGGGTGTGCAATGCGTTCTTGTGAAGCACTATCCAGCTGTCCCTTTCGTCGTCTATTCCTGTTTCAGCTGCCTCATTCACCTGGTCGCTCCAAACATTGTGACACATCCATATTCACCGTTGCCTTGCCTGCACGTGAACGCAAAAGCCAAAAGCGAGTGGCTGACTCAGCCACACTTGTAGGATCTAGGGCCCCGCACCTGCCGCCAAGCCCACCGTTTTCCCGCTGCATCCTTGAGCTTCAGCACTGACTTTGAGCATCAACGCGTAGAGGCGCGACGACCGACGCGATCTACTAAAAAAGATTATTCGCTTTCTGCTGTGAATACGATTGCTTCACTGGGAGTTTGGGCGTTCTGGGTCAGGAGCGCACAAACAGTAAGCCACGGCTGAACGCGCAATCAGGCTGCCGTCGTCGCACAAAAGAACGTGCCCTTTCGTCACGAATCTCGCTGATCGGCGCCACCACACCTACCGCGACTTCATCGACTGCGCTTTCTTCAACGATCATGCAGGGCCCAGCCCAGTGATTGCTGCCGCGCTTATTCCACCATGACCGCTGCCGTCAACGGCGACTGGAGTCGCGACCACCTCGCTGACGCAAATCCCGACCTCACGCGCAAGCGACAACGACTAAGTGAAGAGGTCGAAGCTTCACCGAACCCTAGCGACGACAGTGTCGTCGTCGAGGCACTTCCACCAGACGAGGTCGATCTCGTCCATAACATCAGCAGTGCCATCGAGTTGCAGGATGACAACAACATGGAACTTTTCAGCAGCACTTTGCGCCTAGACCCGAACCAGCCAACCATTCGTCCTATTGATCAGATCAACTTTTTGATCAACACTGTCAACGAAGCGGAGAGCAATCTGTCAACGATCTTTTTCGACCGTCTTGGGACGTGGCTAGACAACCATGTCACACAAGTTTCTCCCGACAGCTCTGACATCCGTGAGAGGTACTTGGATGATGCCGACTTCTTCTCTCAACTGGGTGTACTCTGTTTCAGCATTTTCCAACGGCAAGGGGATCTGTTTCCGGAGGACGAAGTCACGCGCTACGAACTCGATGCATTGGGTCGCAGTGTCCGGCGATTCACAGAAGCGACAGTGGCGCTTGCCCACCGACTGGTGGCATACCTCCCAGGTGTATTTGATTCTGCTGTTTCGAGGAGAGACTCTGCACAGACAACGAAGACTCGCCATCACGTGCCCATGCTCTGTTGGATACAAGTCCTCGCACAGACAGTGACTTTGCACGGAGCGTTCTCTTTGCGAGCATATTGCCACCACAAGCTGGGGTTTGAGGCGAAGGTGCACGCCGAACAGTGGAGGCGAGACTTCTGTTCGACGACACTAACAGCGCTGTCACAACTCTTGCACGGACTGTCTCAGCACGATCGCGAGATCGACAACTCATGGCCAGTCATGGACGCGATTCTTCGCATTGTCCATGCGCTCGACTTGACAGTCAGCAAAGACATCGATCGCCTTCTAGCCACATGCCATCTGACACTGCTTCCTCTGGTGTGTGCCAAGCATTCACGAGCTCTTCCGGAGTGTTTCCATCAGCTGCTTGTCGAAGTTTCGCAAAAGTTGCTTGCAGTCATGATACGGTCTGCAGATGAAGAGGGCATCGCCAACCTCTATCGACAATATGTGAGGAGCGATCACGATGGGCTCCTTGCCGAGCACTGCCGGGAAGACGAGTCGCTGGCCCAGTTGAAGGACGTGAGCGAGCACAATGAGGACGTCTTGAGGGGGCTGATAGTGACCTCGTGGGCCCTGCAAGCGTATCGATCTTACGTCTTCAGCGACATCATGGACGTGCGAAGTAACGGCTTGACACTGCTGAGCGCGCGCTTGCGGCAAATCTTCCATGAGTACAAAGTCGCCAACGGCGGAGTTGATCACCCCGTGCCACAATACGCATCGCGTTTCCTTCGGACGAACGAATTCACAAAATACATCTTTGGGCCAGATTCTCACGCAAGCTTGGTCAAGCATAGTCAGGACGTCATTGGCTTTCTCGCCGTGACAAACGCATACACGGAGTTCGAGACCGATATAATATGGAATTCTTGCACCAATAGCGTCGAAGGAGAGTTCGCAAAAGCCGCTTTTATGATCTTGACCGATGTCTCCAAGTACTTGGGCTTCGACAACCTTTTGTATTTGGCGAAAAAGTACACCACCACAGAGCCGATCAAGCTGGGTCAGGATGTGGTCGAGTCTCTCACAGAACTGTTTCAAAAAGTTCAGGTCAAAGCCGATTCGGAGTCGGGTAGCTGTCAGCGGCTCGCGACCGCATTCATAAGCATCGACATCATGATGCGCGTGGATGCTACAACCCGAACAGCATTGTCAGCCCATTTAAGGCAGACGGCCAAACTGGAGCTCTTCCGCTTCACAAAATCACCTCAGTCCGATGCCGAAGATCGAGTCGAGATTTTCCGCCGCTGCATCCCGCATATCGTCGAGTCCACAAGGCACGCCACGACTTGCATTGAGATCGTGGTGATGTTCCTGCATGATGACAGATCTGAGGAAGAGGTTCGAGGTCTCCTTGGTCTCCTCTCTGTCGAAGCCGCCGTCGATGAAATGGTGCGGTATGTGTCAGAGAACCGCATAACTTCGATCACTCAGTTGCAGACCTACGATGTGGGCGCCATGGACGGAAGGCTTGAGTTGCTTATTCGCCTCCTTCAACACGCTGGGTCAAAGCCGAATGAGGGACTGTCCAAGCTGATCTTTAAGTACACCATTGGTGACCTGGCGATCTGCAATGCTGCACGCGAACGAGCATGGCGCACATTTGCTCGAGATACACCTGTGGCTCGCCAATTACTCACGCAGTGGCTTCGGATTGAGGTCATGGATCTCTCGCCGCGGTACACCACGCAAGCTTTGCTTGATCACTTATGTCACAGGTTGCAAATGTGGCTGCAGCGTGAACAAGCAGATGAGGAGTTCTCTCAGATACTGGATCTCACAACCTGGATGAAGCTGGTGCAGGTCGCTGAAAGCCCATGGCAAGTGTCCGCGATCGCTCAAGAACTAATCTGCCAAGTACTCTTCATCCTGCCAAGGGGTGGCGTCAGCAAGAGCTCGATCCTTGCATGTCATACCAAATTCGCCGAGCGACAGATTGGCAAGGCATGCGAGCAGTCCGCGAGAGCAGATCTACCTGAGCATAGGGAAGGTGTTGCTGATGTGGTTGGCAAAATTGGTCTTCTCCAGGCCGTACTCAACGGCAGCAAGCAACATACTGATCTGTATGACGGCACACCGGGTCCAGAACTTTGCCTCGACGGTGATGCCCAGGACAGTGTCGTGCAATACACTTTGGAAGTTCAGGGCGTTGGACACCATCATCCACGTGTTGTGACCGTACGTGCAAATGCTGAGACTAAGGTGTCTGAGCTGCTTTCCAGGCTACCTGACATCACGGGGGCTGCATCTCATCGTATGATTGTGGCAGGCCATGAGGTTGCTTTGGAAGGCCGTGCAGACAGCCTCTTGTCAGATCTTGGTGTGCAGATCTCAGGTGTGATTGCTATCAGCCCCAAGCATAGCATTTTAAGTGATGTTGGCAAGTTGTTGACATGCACAGGAGCTATTGAGCAGCAAATTCTGGAGCACCACGACCAGCTGGAAGAGCTCCTGGATGCGGCAGAGCCGATCGCGGCGAAGGCTTTTGGGCTGCTGATTAGCATTCCAGTTCCCAAGCATATCCGCACGAAGCTATGCTCTGAACAGGTTTCTGCATCTGTCCTTTTCCCTCCTGAGTCCCGATGGAGAACCATGTTCTACCTCAACACAATTGAGCGACATCTGAAGGATCTGGCCCGGCTAGGCGTTGCTGATGAGGCTTTCGTTGTTCGTGGTATCGCGATGCTGGTCCATACCCTTGAGCACCACACGCTTCCTGAGCAGGAAGCAATCTGTGTACAAATCATGCGCATCTTGACCGCGTTCCTGCGGGAGAAGCCTCCAGCGCCAACAATCGAAACCCTCATAGATGAGCCGGTGCAGTTTGCTACATGCATGATTCGTATCTGCGAGTATGCTGCTTCAACACCTCAAGAACAGGTCCGTACCCGGCATGAGCTGATCAAGGGAGCATTCGAGCTCTTGCAGGAAATTTGTCGACGGCAGCCGCTGGCCTGGCAAAAGTTCACGGAAGACGTCTACGTGACCGAACTGCATGCTAAAATTCTCTTTCACGATGATATCGAGCTGTCTGCGTGTGCCGCGGCCCTCGTCAAGAACTTCAGCATTGACCAAAGCACCCCTGATGTTGCTATCGAGTTCTACACTAAGGTTGTGCTGGACATACTGCCGCGAGCTCTGTCTCATGGCGATCGTGCAAAGCAGTTCTTCGATCTTGCCACTCAGCTGCTGCTCAACAATTCGAAGCTGTGGACCGACGAAACAAGTGCTCGAGAAATCACGAAATCGTTGCTCGACACAATGTGGGAATACGAGCATGACGAGTCCGAGGACCTTCCTATTCTTGATATGGTCGTGACCGGATTGTTTGGACTTGTCAAGGAATCTATCAGCATTCTGCGCAGTTTCAAGAAGCCCTTGGAATTGCCGGGACTGGCTGCAGAGATATTCTCACAATTCTTATTCGCGCATGACGCTCAACACGACGCGGACGACTCTCCTCGGATCTCCAATGCAGGCTCGACCGCGTTTACATCGCGCCAACTGTATCATCCACAGTCTCGTCACGAAGCCTATGAGCTCCTCAGAACAGTCTGTGTGACCAAGGAAGACTTTCAGGATCTGCTGAGCGCGATGGACAAGCCTCTTCAGGCGACACGCAACAGTCCTGCCGACCGATTTCCAGGGCGCAAGGATTATTTGCGCCCACCCGCTCAATGTTCCGGTCTGACAAATCTGGGCCAGACATGCTATATGAATTCTCTTCTGCAGCAGTTGTTCGCCAACGTCAAATTTCGCCAGTTCATATTCGATACGCCGACTGACAACATGAGACCGAACCAGCAGATCCTGCTTCAAGAACTGAAAAGCCTCTTTGCTTGGATGCAGAACAGCGCCGACCCAGTGGCATCCACATCTAAACTCGCCATCGCACTTGGCACTGAGGTCGGCTCGCAAGAGGACGTGCACGGCTTCTACGAGGACTTCTTGAGCAAGCTCGAGCTCGAGATGCCTAATCAAGCCGCGAAGAAGGCTTTGGCAGAATTCTATACCGGGAAGTTGATCACCCAGATCAAGGGCGAATGTAACCACGTCTCTCCACGGACGGAGTCCTTTGTGGATCTGCCTATTGTAGTCAAGAACAAGAGGGACCTCGCTGAGACTCTTGACGAGCTTGTCCAGGGTGAGCCGATGCAGGGTACCAATCAGTATCGGTGCCAATCCTGCGATCCAGATGGCGATGGACGTCTTGTCAACGCCATGAGAAGGAGTTGTCCAGATGTGATACCTGACAACCTGACATTCTGTCTGAAGCGCTTCGAGTTCGACCCTATTAATGGCATTGAAACCAAGGTCAACGATCGCTTTGAATTCCCTCAGACCATTGATATGTCCAAGTATCATCATGCATACCTCGACAATCCCGAAACAAGCGTAGACGAAGATCTCTTCGAGCTTGTGGGTGTCATTGTGCACATGGGAACCAACGGCTTCGGACACTATTGGTCATACACTCTCCTGCGCAACACTGGAATTCCTGGCTCGCGGACTTGGATCAAGCTCGAAGACAGGAACGTGACGACTTGTCAAGACGGCTTAGCACAGGTGCAGCACGAATGCTTTGGCGGTCTCAGATTCAACAGCGGCAATGAGCGCTCGGACAATGCATATGTGTTGTTCTATGAACGTAAGCGTGTCCTCGAGGAACAAATTGCTTTACCATTCATCTCTCTGGACCCCGTGTCACAAGCTGTGCTTCCGCCGCGGGTAGCCTTCGATAACGATCTGGAGGACGAAATCCGCAAGCACAATGCGATGTGCCATCGAAACGCCCATTTGTTTGACGCGGACTTCGCAGCGCTCATGGAATGGATTTTGGCGCAAAGTAAGCTGTCTGGCTTCGTAGCGCCATCGGGCGACTCGCCCAGCCCTGAAGCTTCATCCGACGCGGGCTCCGACAATGAAAAGGCTGAAGATGGCGAGCAGCAGCAGTCGCATGAGACTCGCGAAGAGACACCTCTCGACGACTTCACGAAGGCACTGAGCAATGTCAGCACGACTTTCATCCAGCGTATCGCCTCTTGCGATCCAACGCCGGTCAAGAAACTCAACATGTGCTTCAATGGGCTCTACGCAATGTTCCCCGACAATCTGAAGCTGGTTGACGCTGTGCTCCGGGATCTTGTGAAAAACACTTGGTTCTGGGGCATCCTTGGCAGTGGTAAGAAGGCTGCCAGGGCCACGATACAATCCTTCTTGTACCGTGCGCTGTCCAAAGTGCGAGGGCACGATCGGGCATGTCACGATTTTGTAGTGAGTCAGCTTAGAAGTCTGCACGCATACTACATTCACAGGCCCGAATCTGTTGTGGCACTGGACTGGTCCGACTACCTGTCCTTTGCAGGCTCCTTGGCAGCGATCGGACCTTCGGACACTGCTGCAATGCTGGATTGCGGTTACTGGATTTGGGCCTTCGAGATGATCCGTCTGCCTTTCGACAAGGCAACGAGAGCCAAATATCCGGGGCTATTTGATCAGATACTTGCACTTCCCGAGAAGATGGCCGCTGTGTATCAATTCCTTCTGAGTCTTGTTGAGAACCACCTCGAGACACTCGATATCAACAACTTCAGCCCGGACACGGAGCCACATGTCGTTCAGAATGGCAAGACACTGTTGAAGGAACGCGAGCTTGCCCTCCTGGCACAGACTTCTGGCGTCTCTCACGTGTTCACGTGGCTCCGCGCCGCCAGATATGCAGAGGTCACCAACAGTGGAAGCTGGAAAGACTTCGCGCCGGGTAAATTGCTTGGAGCTCTTGTTGGCCCGAATGCTAGCCCGGAGCTTTACAGCGCTACTCGAAACGCCTTAATGCAGCATATCGACAGTGAGGAGGAGCAGTTTAGTGCGCTGCTGAGCCTGGCAATGCACTTCTGCACGAACACTGAATCGCAAGACGATGCTCAAATAGTGTTCGCAGCGGTAGCTAGAGTGACGCCAGCCTGGGAAGGCTCCGAAGGAGAGCTTCTTCAGATACTGCCCTCGGCGATGGAAGAAATTCCAACTGTGGTTCTGATGACACTCGATTTGTGGGTCAAACACCTCTTGCTCATCAAGGCGAGTGGCGTCCGCGAACCCGCAGCGAACTTTGTCGTCCAGAACGTCTACGACCGGAATCCGGACCTCACAGAGCCGAATGTGGTTACCGTACATGCGCGACTCGCTGCCCAGCTTGTCCGGGAAGGCGGACTTGAGATGCAGCTCGCGTATGATGAGGGTCGGTCTCGCGCACGCTTTGAGAACATAATCCACGTTTACCAGTACATCGCGCCGTACTTGGAAAGCTTCAGAAGCCAGGTTGCCGACGAAATCCGCGCCGGCAACGAAGGTTCGCTGCCATTGGACCTCAGAATAGAGTGGGAAAGGGCACAGCAGACATTGGCAATGCTTGAGGAGCTGGGCTCTGTTGTTGCGCAGTGGGAGTCGGAGACGACGGGATCGGCACTTCCTTCAGGTGTCATCAGATCGAGAGAGGAAGATTCCGACGAGTACGAAAGTGATGACGAAGATGCCGAAGATGGTTGGGACAGCAGCAGCGACCTTGCTTAGAAAGCTGCCTAATTCGCTTCTTGGACTGATCAGGAGAAGATGGACCATGTTGCGAAATTTGGCAATCGGAGCCCTTTTCATGCTTCAGCGCTCAGCCGTGTGTAGAAAAAGGATTACGACGTGGAACGACAGTGTAACATAGCAAGGTCAAACAGTAGCCTTGGAACGATGAGATGTATTGGTAGAAATTCATGAGACATGAATGAAACAGACAATTGGTCCTCATTTTTTTTTTGTGCCTGTCGTGGTCTTCGTGTGAAATTTTCGTCTAACCTGAGACTATAACGTGAAATCTTCTGTCGTCTCTAGCGGTGGCAATGCAGGAAAGCAAAACAGAAACCAGGGTTAAGACTGTGTTCCGCTGCCGGCAAATTTGGAGTGTTCTTCGATCCTCGTATCTCGGCCTTGAGCAGCGTAGCCAGGGCGCTCTGTCTCGACAAGCGAGGCAGCTGCGGAACCCAGTTCGCGAGAGAGATCGGAAAGTGAGCGTATTCCCCAGTTTCCGTTTTGCCGTTCGGCGTGGCAACCTCTGAATACAACTACCTCTCAGTGCAACCGCAGGTCGCTAAGCGAATCAGCAAAGCTTTTCATGAATCGAGAGGCAACTTGGTTAGGCGCTTGCACTCAAGACATAGTTGCATTCATCAAAGGTATCCACGGCTATCATGCACAAGTCTTGCTTGTCATTTTGACGACGAACGCGCCGCGCTCGATCGTGTTGACGAAAATGTAGCCTGACTTGAAGTAGGCGTAACTGCTCCATGTTCCCAAGAATTCGATCTGGCCACCTCCTGCTTGGTTGTCGTCTTCAGGGTAGATGTCGAAGAAACCTGCTTCGCAAACACTCTTTCCTGTTGGGTCGCTTGGGATGGAGCGGACGTCGAAGACACGGACGCCTGCGCCGTAGGATGATTGGTATGAGTAGCCTATGATATATAAGTTAGTCACTGAGTTTCGTCTCGCATGATCGAGACATGATGTGGCTTACCATCAATAACATATTGGTTGTGGTCAATCGCGCGGTGACGCATCTGGTAATTTCCGGTAATTTTCGGGTTGCGGAGGTCACGAATGTCAACAATGTATGTAGTGGCAAACCCGTTGGCGGAGACGCCTGTTCTCTCGAGCTCGTCGATCTCGTCGTCCATGACAATGAATTGTTGGTTGTTGCGGTCGAGGACCGAGCCTTGGTGTACATAACGCGCACCAGGGTAGGTCACTTTGCTGATGATATTTGTGACGTTGGCCTTGTTTCCCACATCCATGATAGTCAAAGTGTCCTCCTGTAGCGGTTGTCAGAATGCCTTCTTGTCTTTATAAAATAAAAAATAGATTTTTTTTTGGACTTTTTGGGGAAAAAAAGTCAACGTTCAGGGCAAGGGAAGGAGAAGGGGAGACAAACGTTGTACGAATAACATATATCCCGACCAGTGTAGCGAGTGTCTGGGCCGCGGTATACAAGGCATTCGGCGTCGTGGACATATCCGTCGCCTGCTGCGCAACCCAGGGACCGTGGGCTTGCCGGGTTGGTCATGTCGAAGAAGGCGAAGCCACTACGGCAGACATCAGTGCGAGGGAGTGCTCCGACAGCAGCGAAGTACTGTTTCTCCTCGTTGATGACCACGTTGTGGGCTCGGCCGGTCGGCAACAGAGTTCGGGTCCACGATGTCAAATCCGCTTGAGTGAATTGACGTGGCGATGCTGGGTTGATGTTGAGCAGTTTTCGCATGTCTTTGGAAGAAAATTAGCCAGCTGCGATAAAATATGGTCCTAGCAAGCTTACCAAAGATCTGAATGCCATGATTCTGGGCCTCGCTACCAATCACCATATAGTTCTTGTAGGAGCGGATCTCGCGCCATTCCGAGCCCACGGAGTATGCAGGCAGGCGACCAAGATACAACATCTTACCATCGCGGTTGATCTCGACGAAGGCTGTGCCTCCGAACTGGCCAATCGCTACCTGCAATGCCTTATGTCAGTACTTGCGATCGGAATGTGCCAGCCGTCGACCAAGGGGCCGCGAACTTGAGGAGACATATTGAACGGGCAAGATTGCTTGACTTACGAACTCTCGTCCATCTGTGTTCGTCCAACCCCACGACGATGAGCCCTCCCCGCGGGTGTCACCCAATGTGTCGTGGCTGAGAAAGTGGTGGAGGTCCATATTCTGGCATCGAAAGGTGTTTGCAGCACCACCTGGGCCAGCCACTGCACGACCATTGACGCATTTGGTATATCCAAGCTCCGGATACTGAGCAGAGGCGAAGACGCCTGCCTCTTCGGCCTTCTTCCATGATTCCAGCTTTCGTTCTCGGAGACTCATGTGAACTTCACCAGAAACGTATTCTTCTTTCGAGAATGACTCTCTACCCTGACCGAGAATGAGATTGCCCACGGCCGTGCTGGCCATGGCTGATGCAAGCCATACTAGACGGACCATGATTGAATGCAACGGTGAATTGAAAAAAGAGAAGGGGATTGAAAAGAGCAAGAGGCGAGCCGCTCTGCCTGAAACTGAAAGTGTCGTAGGATCAGATGAAACCCAGATGTCTGTGGAGGCTAGGCATATTTATCGCTATGGCAGTACACATGTCCGTCATCGCTGGGACCCAGAGCCCGACGAGCTCTAACCTGCTGTGGGAGGTGGCAATGCGACACTATGGTGGCTATCAGGTAGCCACCACGAAGCGAGACGACCAGCCAGTACCAGCCAAAAGGCGTAACATGCCCAGAAAATGTTCATCTTCGATACCCACGGGAGTCCTCCCAGGAAACGACGTATGCTATTGTCCTTCCTTATCCAGTAGATTGCAGCAGATCAACTCGTGTGGGTGGTGACCTTACTGGCTGGCGTGAAAGTAGTGTATGCATACCAAGAGGTCAGAGGTCAGCCACAGCTCGGGCCAAGCGTTGAACTTCGCCAGTTCGCCGTTGTAAGCCGTTCGCAGCCTACGAATGATATACGAGAGATAAGGTGCCAAGATTTTGCACGTTTCACAAGATTCTGTGAGCGCTTCTTCTTTGCAACATTGGTGTTTGGTGTGTAGTCGCGGCTAAAGTCCTTCTGATCGGCATGGCCTGGCTGCGTGAGAGACCGAATACTTTGAGACGGGCCAGATTTATAGTTTTGCGAAGCGACAACGAGGACTGCAGTAACTGGAATCCCTATGAGCCGCCTGCCCTTTTCGGCCTGTCGACGCTTCTGGTGATTGAGCCCGTCTGGTCGGACAGCGCGGCGAAGACTCCACGCTCGTGGGCATAGTCGTGCAGATGCCAGCCAATGAAGACTCCGGCGGAAATACTTATGATGCTCCGCAGTCTGATGAGTCGGAATAGCATGGTGAGAGTCTGGATCGATGGGAGAGGTGTAACGGATTGATGGTGCTGGTGGTTGAAAGAGCGCCGCAGATCACAGATGGTTGTCGCGTGCTGCCAAGACTGTCAACCTCGTGACGTGCAAGCTTCGCGCCACCACGACGATCACCGCACGCAAACACTAACTTACCCTGGAACAATATTCCTCCGCCACACGATCGTCGAGCGAGATCCTCTCCATCGCAAGGCAAGGCACGGAGCCCGCCTAACTCGCCAAACAAACATACTGGCGCATCATTGGTATCGAGATGTGCGCAGGGGAGCATGCGGACGAAGATTCTATTTGACAGCTCTATTTCTCGGGTATAACAGGGAACCACGCTCACGACACGCTCTTTTGTGCCTTGTATGATCGGTTGATGGCCGATTTCACTGCTTCGGTCACTTCCTTCGTGCCAGCAGTGCCTCCGAGGTCGCGTGTGAGAATGCCTTGCCCGCAAACCTCTTCCACGCATTCGAGCAGTCGATCCGCAGCCTCTTCCTCGCCGAGCCACTTCAGCATCTCCGCCGCCGTCCAGAAAGTCGCAACTGGGTTCGCAACGCCCTTGCCGGTGATGTCGAAGGCTGAGCCGTGAATTGGCTCGAACATGCTTGGGTTCTGAAGAAAAGTGAGCACGCAGGGGACGAGCTGGGAAGAAAAGGACATACCTGGCGCGTAGGGTCGAGGTTTGATGTGGGCGCAATGCCGATAGACCCAGCGAGTGCTGCTGCGAGATCGCTGAGGATATCTGCGTGCAGGTTCGTTGCAACAATCGTGTCGAGCGAGTTTGGCTGCAACACCATACGGCATGTCATGGCGTCGACAAGCATTTTGTCCCTGCAATAAATGGTCTGGTCAGCAGGCTGGTCAATAGCTTCATGCTCACATCTCTACTTACATCTCAACATCTGGGAACTCCTTGGACACTTCAAGCGCGATCTCGTCCCACATCACCATTCCTGCATGCAAGTCAGCGGCCCACTGCGATATTCATGTCGCTGTAACTTTGGTACGAACCATTGCGCTGTGCGTTCGATTTGGTCACAACAGTGATGTGCTTCTTCGGCCTCTTCTGTGCTGTCTCAAAAGCGAATCGCAACAGCCGGGTCACAGCATGGCGTGTGAAGATAGACACCTCCGTGCTCGTCTCCCAAGGTTGACCACGATGTGAGCGGCCTCCCTGTCCAGCATACTCGCCCTCCGAGTTCTCACGAATGATCACCCAGTCCAGATCGCCAGTGCTCGCATTTCTCAGAGGTGACTGTGTTCCCTTGAAGATCTTCGTCGGTCGAACGTTGGCGTATTGCTGGAATGGCTGGCAGATTGCTAGCCTCAAACCCCACAGCGAAACATGATCTGGTACGTCTGGAGCTCCCACTGCACCGAAGAGAATCGCATCGTGCTTCTTGAGACTCTCCAGTCCACCGTCTGGAATGTATTTGCCGGTTTTCTTGTATGACTCTGATGACCAGTCGTAGTTCTCGAAGTTGAGTTTGAAGGCGCCTGAAGCAGCGCTCAGTGTCTTCAGAACATCAACCCCGGCATCAATGACTTCTGGACCGATGCCATCTGCTGGCATGCATGCTATGCTGTACTCCCGAGAGTCGTCTGTAATAGCGATTGGAGACATGGTGGTAGATGAAGCTTGTCCAAGTTTGCAAAGTATTAGATGCTGCGGAACAGATTTCTTGCTTTCTGATATCTGGTTTCGATGCTCTATGGTCGCAACATATATCTATTCTCAACCTCGATACAGGCGGCAAAAGTCGTGCTTCTCGGCTTATGCGCAATCGGATCTCTCAGGCAAATCTTTTAGCCGTGGCTTTCTTCTGGGCTCGCAGCGCCCCGCCAGCACACGCTTGCTGTCTTGGCTGCACCATACTACCATTCAAACACCACAAAGATTGTACGCACATTGCGTGGCGCTATGCGCAAAGAATCTTCCATGCCTATGTTGTGCCTCAAGATTCTTCAGGAGTCGATGTCCGATTTTCGGTAGAAGGGCAAGAATTTCAGTATCTGGTCTGCAAACTACTTGCGTACATACTCTGGAGCAGATTCGATATCGTCCTTCTTTAGAAGATGGCCAAAGCATTTGGTGGCGAGCCAATAGCACCTGGCACATTCAATGGCACACTGGTCAACAAGAAAGAATATCGGTTCAACTTGGCACAAGTCTCGCTCAATGCCTTCAGATCCCAGAGCTCGCCAATGCTCATTCCAAACAGGGCCAGGAAGTATTGATGCAACACCAGGTCGGAGACTGGTACTTCTTTACCATCGACCACGGACGGGATGTGCTCGAATGCGATCATGTCGCCTGCGACTGCCGAGAAGTGCTTGTTCCAGAACCACTTGGCCGCCTCTGGGGTGCCGACAACACCACAGACACGGTGAGAACCCATGAGTTTCTCTTGCTCCTCGCCAGTCTTATCAGTCAAGCCCTCAGTGAAGCCAGATCGAATGATGATGACATCGCCTTCCCTGAACTCAACACCCTGCTTCTTTGCAATGGTCTCGATGTCTTCGATTGTGATCTTGTCATCCGTGTAGGGATTGAAAGCTCGGCCAGTCTCATCGGCATATTTCTTGAAGTCGATGAAAACTCCACGTGCCACCATTCCGCCACGATCGTGCCAGTGGTTCAAAGTTGCGATCATTTTATCCTTGTCTTCGTTGCCATGCGCTTGCACCAGTTCCTCTGCAGTAGTCTTGATGCCATTGTAGCCTGACTGACTTGGTTGATGATGGAAGTGCATCAGAGAATCCCACTGGGAGCTGCACTGAGTATTGAATTCGATCTCATCATCGTAGCCGTGGGCCGCCAGAGGAGTGTCGACGAAGGAGAAAGTCTTGTGCACAAGTCCTTTACGCATGAATCCGGGTGTCTTGATGGCTCCAATGGGCCAGTTCAAGGATACATGGACGCCTTCTTTAGCTTCGGCGTAGGCAGCCTTGACAACTGCTGGAGTGAGGAGGTTCAGAGTACCATAGATATCTTTCTTTCCGTCCTCTCGGAATTTATCCCAGACTCCCCACGCGCAGCCTGTACACTATTTAGCTCTGTCCACATCCTGCGTTGAAAACATCGCAGTTCTTCTTACCTTGTGGCATTCCCTCGACCTTGGGAAGGTCATCGAAGTCTGGGACTGTTTTGCCCATGCCCAAAGCTGATTTGACTGCGTCGACCATTTTCGCTTCAAGTTAGATGTACTGCAAGGATGATAAAGATACTGTAGCGAGCTTCGCAAGATAAGATGGTCCGAGATGAATGAGGATAGGCCTGCTACTTATTACAACAGAATGACCTACCTCTTGAAGCTCTGGATTTACTGACAGCGATGGAGCTCGGTCATTGAGCGGGGTCGAAGAGGAGATCTCTTGCTTCATGACCTGGCTTTCGGTGGAAGGGTTGTTGTTCATCGCCATTGACAAGGTCGCCCAGTATGCGTGAAGTGCAATCATTCCTGGAGCGAGATTGGCCTGACCTTTTGATTAATACACGCGACTAATCGACCTTGATGGCGAGATGTGCAGGCCCGCGTATGAATGATGGCTTCCTCCGGGTTCGGCGAACTCTCGAAACAGAGTTCAGGCAATAGTGCCTAACCTAAGTAGGCAATACCGAGTCGCTCCCTTTCTCGTTAGCGCGACTGCCACTCTGCCGCCACCGTTCACCAACATCAACACTCGTGTCTTCAAAGCACTGTCATCATCACCGCTTAGATGATCGTGGACCTCACTCCCATGAGCACAATTCACTTCGCTCCGTTCGTTGTTTCCAGACATGGTACTTTCCTTTCAGCCGCTCAGCACGCTAGGCTACCACATGCCAGCATCCGATGGTAGGGTTGCAAGATCCTTCGAGCTGAAGTACTGTGTGCCCATGTCGGACAAGAAGTGGTCTAGGAGCGCGCAAAGCCTGTTGTCAGCTGGATTTGCTGACTGGCGCCAGCTGATGCACAGCATATAACCGCCATCCCGAAATCTCTGTTCCTGATCTCCTACCAATTTTGTATTCTCCGTGTTCATGTACAGTGACCACTAAACGATAGCACTAACTCGGCAATTTGGAGTGAGCATGGCGCCTCGTGTAGCAGTAATTGGTGGCGGGTGAGGATTGCATTGTGGACATGTGACAGTTCTGCTGACTGATTTTCTTGCAGGCCTCTGGGTCTCATAGCTCTGAAGACTTTCAAGCAAGATGGATTCGACGTCACACTATACGAGGGTCGGTCCTGGGTAGGAGGCTTGTGGAAGCCTGATGCAGACGAAGCTCTGTCGGCGCTCAAAACCACGCAGTTCAACTCCAGCAAATACAGGTATGCCCACGGCTGGTTGGCTTGAATCAGCTTTCGTCTTATATCACTCTCCAATAGGTCCGCCATTCCTGATTTTCCTATGTCCGAGGAAATGGATGACTTTCCCACCGCGGGTCAACTTTACAAGTACTTCAACGACTATGCCCAGCAGTTCGAACTATGGCCACACATACGTCTGAGTACCAAGGCTACAGAGCTATCGTGGAACGGTACGAAATGGTCTTTGTCGACTGTCAAGAATGGCCAGTCTCGACCAGTCGAGCTTTTCGACAAGATTGCCTTAGCGACCGGATCTTTTACGAAACCGAAGTTTCCCAAACTCGATGGCATCGAACTCTTCGAAGGACCTGCTGAGCACTGCGTCAAGTTCTACGACCCCGCGAAGTACAAGAACCAAACAGTGCTGATAGTTGGTCTCCATGCGTCGGCTCAGGACACAATTGCTGCTCTCGCGGGTCATGCTACCAAAGTATATGTGGCCCATCGCTCAGGCCTAACTCTCCTACCGCGATACAACACAGACGGATCAGTCTTCGACCGCTTGCCGTCGTTGAATTTTACGATTTTCCTGGTCTATTTGTCTGGTCTTTTCCCGGCTTTGCATACGTGGATGATGGATTTCCTTCTCAATATGATGTCAAAGAAGGCCTATCCCAATCAACATGCGAGCTGGGGTCTGAGTCCTGCTCCTTCTTTCGCTGTCACCACTCCTCTCATTGCTTCCGCGATCTGGCCTCATCTGGAATCTGGATTATGCGAACCAGTGGCGGCTGTCAAGCGTTTCGTAGGACCGAAGAGCGTTGAACTTTCGAGCGGCCGGATACTAGAAGAAATCGCCTCAGTGATTTACTGCACTGGCTACGACGCCGAGGTACCCGTAAAGTTGCCTGCGGAAATCGAGCCATACCCTGTGCCAGGAGAGGCATCGAGTTATTATCGCCATATGTATCCGATCCATCCGGACCCTCAGCTCCGCAACTCGATTGCTCTCTGTGCGCACGGAGCTTTCGCACTTCCAGGATTTAGCCAATTCTTCGTTCAAATCAACGCCATCTCCCAGATATGGCTGGGCAACTCATCACTCCCTAGCCTGACAGAGATGGAAAGCTGGAGACAAAAATACAGAGCTTGGCGTTCGGCTGTGGCCAAGAAGTATCGTGCTCAATCGACATTCTACCCATTTATGGTGCCGATGGCAGACTATGCAGCCTGGTTAGATCGCACCGCAGGTATCGGCATCAGAGAACATTTTGGCGTGGTAGGGAGATGGGTGAACTGGTGTGCATGGAAGATGTGGTGGCAGGATCGGGAACTGTATAATATCTGTCAGAGCGGAATGACCTCGCCGGCCATATATGCACTGTTTGATGTGGGCAAGAGACCAGCGTGGCCAGGGGCACGTCAGCAAATTTTCGCCGACAATGCCGCGGTGCAGCGACAGCAAGCAACGAGACAGGCTGCTATGATGAAGGAAGGTAACAAGAGTGAGTAAGTGTAATGATATATTACCAGAGGATGTATAGCGTGGTATTTTGGATTGCATCGATGCAAGTGAATGGCCACATCGTGTATAGCAGTGCATCGTCAGCCAAGATGTGGCTGAGAAAGAGCGGCGCGTCATCTGCAGGGTTTCACTCGTTCAGGCGTGGCGGAAGGAGCAGCCGAAAGCCAACTCTCAGCTGGCACATTGGAAACAAGTCGAGTCCGCGGAGCATTGACAAGAGAGTCTTGGTGTCTATTGCGCAGGCCTGCGCTCAGCCACGTCGCAGCTATTTCCCACAACACATTACTCCTACGTTTCCTAATGCTGCTGCCTCGATGCTACCCTCAATAAATCGCAGCACATCCCGACCGCTCCGCTGACTGAATTTCCGATTCGACCGCCTACCTTCATATACACCATGACGACAAACCAGCACAGCGCCCATCTACGAAAATGGCTTCTCTCCTCGCCTCCGGTGGAATGGGGGATCAATCAGTTGCGAGAATTGCTCATCGGCAGTCTGAAATGTGGTCCCATACCGGAACATGTCGCTTTCGTCATGGACGGCAATAGGCGGTGGGCACGACAAAGCAAAGTCGAGACGATCGAGGGACACAACATGGGATTCGAAGCGCTGGCGCGAATCCTCGAAGTCTGCTACAAGAGTGGCGTGCGCGTCGTGACGGTCTACGCGTTCAGCATTGAGAACTTCAAGCGCAGCAAATATGAAGTTGACGCGCTGATGGACATGGCCAAGACGAAGCTCGTACAGCTGAGCCAGCACGGAGAGCTCTTGGACCGATATGGAGCGAGCGTTCGTATACTGGGCGACAAGAGCTTGGTGAGGGAGGACGTTCAGGCTCAGATGGATCATGCTGTGGATATGACCAAACACAATCACAATGCCGTGCTCAATGTGTGTTTTCCTTACACTGGACGGGAGGAGATTACGCACAGTGTGCGAGAGACTGTCCGAGACTTCAGCAAGCCGCCGACGCGTCCGCAGCTCAAGAGGCCGTTCAGCGAAACCCACATCCAGAGGAACATTCTCAGCCAAAATCTACCAGCCGTGGAGGAGGAGGACTCACCCAAAGAAATTTCCCATGCCACCTCCGACGCCGACTCAGTATCGACACAGGATCTCGATAACTCGTCGCACATGGATCCAGCTTCGTCACAAACGTCGAATTCCACATCACCAGTGCTCAAGGCTGCAACAAGGAAGACAGCAAATCTGCCAGACCCAGAGAACATCACGGCAGAGACACTGACAAAAAACACCTATACACACGATGCGCCGCCACTGGACTTACTGATCCGTACATCGGGTGTTGCGCGCTTGTCCGACTTCATGCTGTGGCAAGTGCACGAAAACACCGAAATCAAATTCCTCAACATCCTCTGGCCAGACTTTGATTTGTGGCATTTCCTACCCGTACTGGTTGAATGGCAATGGCGTCAAAAGAAGCTTGCAGGAGAAGGGAAAATTGGGCTGAAGCATGCATGATGTTTCCTTCAGACCAGCCGGATAGATTGTATTAATACCGAAGGGCTGCCGCCATAGATAGCGTTCCGTTTGTGCCAGATTCTGTATAGACCAATGATACCCTTCGATGAAGACTTCGCACACAAGCGCACTGACAAGAAATTGATGAGCCCTATCTCGCGAACAGTCTTGGGAATGAACTCAACACATGAAATGCGGCTTCCTCGTGCCTGCAGTGCCTGCGTCCGCTGAACCCGGAGCTTTGTTGCCAAGACATTTCGAACGTCTTCCCGCTTTCCAACGTCACTCGTCTTCTTTTCCTCGCACCAACATGGCGCGCAATGTTGCTGAGCCACGCATAGATGTGCTTCCGAATGCCACGGATGCAAGCTCATCCGAACGCCATCGCATACACAAGCACACAGGTACGCCCGGAACGAAGGCCTCGATGAGCCAGCGAAGACAACTTCCAACTTTGGGAGGGCCGTTCAGCTGCTGTGAAACAGTGCCAGGGCCGCGAACAAAGATCCTTCGTCCGCCTCTGCACGACCAACGGCGCTGCTCTCGGTCTATGGAGTCTTCCAGAGAAGCTGAGCGCTGTTGGGTGGCGTCGAAACGCGAAGCCACAACGCCCGTGCGACCTGAGAGATCAGCGACTATCCTGTTCCTGTCGCGCAGCCACAGCACGGATCCATGTGTCTCTTACCTCACTTCTCACATGCGTGACCGGATGGGCTTTCGTTCCAGGGACATCGCACGCTTCACATGGGTTCTATGTAGCCTCTTCCGGACTCTGGTCCGGAGCAAAGTACGAGCTTTTTTCAACTTCATCTCGAACGCGGAATTCTCGCTGGCTCTGTCTGTTCCACGCGCAGTCTCATGCAAGTCGTACGCATGGGCGTGCAGTACAAATGATGGTCATACTTCATCAGCCGTTGGGTCAGACCTCGGTATTGTGCTCTGCGAAATCTGGGATCGTGGACTCCACTTGGGCACCAACGACGCCTCTTCACGGCCTGGAAGCCTTCAGCTGGAAGGATCATTGTAGTCATTTCCAATGCCTTTCAAAGCAGACAGAAGATCTGGTCTGCACAAGGACGTTAAAGTCCCGCGCAGCAGCGAAGGCGACAAGCGGTGAAGTGGCTCCGAACGAGAGGTAGCGACCGGGGCCGACATGCTACGCGTGGCTTCGCCTCTCTTCGCGACCCTGGGAGCATAGGGCCGTCGCACGTATGACGGAATCTCACTTCACCAGATCAGACGAGCATCGTCGGATCAGCGCAACTCGTCGAAGCGGTGCACGACTAGTTGGACACCAGAGACTGTCATCGGCACTGGTCGAAGTCCATGTACGATTTCTTTTCGCGCATTACATTGCGACCTAGGTCCGGTGTGGAGTAGTAGATGAGCCTTGAATTCACCCGAGGCGATTCTCGCTCTGTGCACCTACTGCCACGTCGTTCACTGAAGTTTGTGTATGCGGGAAGCTCGCGCTGCGACATCCATGCTCGGCCAAAGATCCGCATTCGAACATCGCAGCATGTGCGGCATCGAGTAAGCGATAATACTGCAACCCATCCTGACAAGATCAAGACCCAGCGACACGGACCATGCAGGAGTATAGCGACCGCATTGGGATTCTTACCTATCGAGGAATAACATGATCAGCCTCGTCGACCCTCCCTGCCCCAATCGGCAATTTTGGCATCGTCTTCCGTCCAATTAGGGGCACAGCCTCGGAGTATCACCTGGCTGGCTTCCGCGTGGTCGGTGATTGGGATGTATGAATTTGGTCAAGCTTGCATCCACTTGCCACCTCGTTCATATCAATCTGTCAGCTTCACATGCATGACTACAGTGCCCTCGGTACTGCAGCACGGCGATTGGCTTGGATCAGATACACAAATTCGTGCATGCCCTAGCGACGATCACTGCCATTGCCCGTTCCTCGAGCAGTACTGTCTCAAGTGGTGAGCGGTACTTCGGGCTTACAAGGTTCCAGAGTTCACGATGTCTCCCTTGTCCAATAAATTCGGAATCATTGGGCACGTTCAGGTCTTGATTGCTCCTTCAAGGCGGCACAGAGTGAACAGCAAAATCGTCACGTCGTGCGGAACACGTACCAGGAGTCTTGGAAACGAGCGACTTGCGCGAATACGCTCAGCCACTGGATGCCCATGTGTACAACCATCGTGGTGCAACATATCCGGTGTTGGCACTGTGATCGCATCAAGCGCCGAGGACAATGTATATAAGAAGGGCCTCTCTTGCCGCGATTCTGAAACCACAAAACCAAGATACTGATCTTCTGAACGACAAACACCACTGACAACACTGAGCCACTCACAAATATTATGTCTATTCCAGCAGACTGGCCCCAGTTCGTAAAAGTGCGCTTATGATTCTGGGTCGAGGACTGACACCGCTACAGGGGCGACGCAGCCCTGCAGTGCATGGGAAGTCAATTCTCTCCCGGCCAGCAACCAGCTGGCGACAAGCCGGCTCCCGTCAAGCCTCCAGTCGAACAGCCCAAGCCGAGCCCGCCAAAGTCGAAATCCGATTCATCAAGCGGTCACAAGCGTCGATGACCGTTCTTCGACTCAGGATACCTTGCCTTTGACACGACTTGCGGAACAATCGATGTGCGTGTAGCAAAGAAGAAAAGCGCTCGAAAACATGTCGCTGCCAGCTGGTCTGAGTGACGCACACAATCACTTGTAGATGTTATATTGTACGGCAATGAATGGGAAAGATTGATCAATCCTCACTTGTTGATCCTACTGCACATGTCGTCCGACTCCTTGAGACATGCTCCCCTTGTCGATCTGCACGATGCCTGCCACGCTCACGCAAAGCTGCATGAGCTGGTAGCGAAAGGGCTACGGAAGCGCACATGACATTTCAGCCACTGAATACCAACAATGCTGCTCTCTGCTGCTTTGGAAAATCCTACCTCTGCCCAGTGGCCACGTTCGCGAGGATCTCACGACGTAGCATGGTACAGCTTTTTGTTGCCAGCTGAAGCTGCAGTGCAGCTTACGGCGATATCTCCGGAGACTGTGTTGCGATGTGCGAGATGCTGTGAACCAGGTTCCAGATACTATGTGTGGTAGGCAAACGTCACAGCGAGATTGTTTTGTGAGAAGTACTACAAGTACGTAGGACGCGGTGGTAGCAGCATGCTGTATCGGTGTCCGCGTTCGAGTGAACTTGGAAGCTGGCTGCGGAAAAGCAGCGGAAAAGCAATCCAGCTCACAAAGCGTGCGCTGAAATTGTGACATCTGCAGTCATAAAGTATGCCGTAGCACTTCAACAGCGAAAACCGACCCTCAAAAGCCGACACATCACGTGTTCCCCCAAAAGCCGATACTTCATAACGCTGCTATAGCCTCCCGTAGCCCAATTCTTCCTCCACAACCACATCCATCCAACACCACCTTCACATCGTGTACAAAGCCATCACTTTTGACAGACTTTCTCACACAGTCTCACGCTAATGCAACCACTTTACGCGTTCCTTGCTCGACCTGATTCCGGCCCAACAACGCGCGGGCGGGCGTCGTGTTCGCGCGCACAACGACTTCTGAACATTGAGTCTCGCGCATCGCAGCACAGCGATTGGAAGACACAGTCTCCTCATTGTCGCTCAGACTTTCGCGACATGGCTCCAGCTTCGTCCAACTATACCCTTTTCTGGTATCGAAGAGGCTGGGTGCCGTCCCTTCTGATGTCAAGTACCTTGTCTGATGGCACTTGTGGACTTGGCTTGGAACTTCTCTGCGCGCGAGAGCAGGGTCGGTGAGCTGTCGCCGGAGTCGGCGATATGGTGAGGTCTGAAGTGTACTGCTTGCTATATACTCCTCCGCGCTCACACACGCACGAGAGTCCCGACATTACCATGTCTTTGCTCAACCTTCCTGCTGGCATGGCCGAGCTCTTCCCTCCTGACGCGCCGCCCTCAATGGCACGCGGATTGCAGGTACCTGGCGCTAGTCGCCTTTCCTTATTTCTTCACCTTTCGTTGCCCGGTTAACGACTTTCTTCTGTAAGTGAATATTGCGCTCTCTCTGAGATGTCCTCGGTCGTTCTTGCAGATTCCTTTGCGGTATTCCTACTTCGACTACGAGATACGACGAATTCAATCAATCAACCCAGCCAGGTTCGTTCGCGGAATCATCCGAGGTTGCTCACTGCTTCGAGCGCAAAAATTGTGTGCTTGGCCAATGGAAAGCCTTGTGTCGACGGAAAGTGTGTGTTCGGAAGTGGCAGTGGCGGAGTTCAGAGGACAGGATCTGTACTGCAGGTGAGTTCAAGTACAGTTGTTGAAACCGTCGATGTGTGATGCTCATTCATCAGTAGTGATTCGGAGTCACTGCTATCTCAAGTCGGGATGCAGTTCCCTACCACGACAACGACACCCTGGAGTTTCTACTCCCATAAACTTCAAATGCGTTTGACATGTACGCCTAGTGTCATTCCCGCTCGAGGTGCTGGATCTCTCAGACTCAGTGTGAAGTCTGAGATTGCAGTTCGTACTTTGCCCTGCACGATCGTTCCAGGTGTACTGATTCACCTTGCAGATGTGTAGCAAGCGCAGATCGATACGAAAATGGATCAACGATACGGATGATGGAACCTCATTCTGGCTCAATCAAGGTGGGAGCACCGTAGACTCGGCATCGCCCATGGCTGGTCGTAAGCGGCCAGCAGACCTAGGATCTTGGATGAAAACAGCGGAGGTGCGCAGCAAGAGGCGAAGACTGATGACACCTCAGACTCGATACAGGCCATGAAACACCAGACACACTGGAGTCGTTCAGCTGGCGGCGTGCCAGCTCGAATCTGGTAATCTCCTGGTCCCATGACCAACGAATAAGCCGACCAATGTTACACTGCATGGCCACTGGGCCGGAAGCGAGAGGGCTTCCATCTTGCAGGCCGCATCGTCAGACGCTCTGGATCTAGGCATAGGACGTACACGATCTGCAGAGTGGCCGCTCAGTGGTCAACAGTTGGCACCCGTCATACCGCTTCACGCCTTGAGACAGCGTAAGACAGTCGCAGATTGCACGCCAGGCGTCTATTCGGCACTGGAATAGCACGCATCTTTAAGCCGAGCCGGATATATGGCGGTGATGGCGTGCCCGGTTCTAGCAGGCTCGGCTCAGGCGCATGTTCATGCAAAGACGTCAGATATGCGATCTTCGAAGCTATGTCGCAGACGACCTGGAGCGCCCTATCCAGCTCGATAGGCCCTATCACACTCTGAAACAGATTCTTCGCTTCCGTCCGAAAGATAGCAGCAAGGCGCATCGAGTGAGCTGGCAGCTGGGTCGCGGGCTCGCTACCTGAAATGACTCTCCGGAATATCCAGACGTTGCCAGGCAAGACCCATGTCGAAGGATCGATCATTGTTCACCGCCGGCAGATCTGCCTTTTTGGGGGTTTACGTTTCCGGTTGGCATCGTCGCCAGCTCGATGGTACATGCAGCTGGAAAGAAGTATATGCTCTGCTCTTCGATGACTGGTCGCAAGATTGTGTGTGCTGCTGTTCCACAGAACACGTTCATACACCGCTTCGAAATGACTATTAAGATGGTCGAGTTGCCCGCGGGCCGCAAGAGATATATTCTTGCCAGCATTGCATGCGTTATTGTACGATAAAGCGGGGGACGAACATGCCGCCCTCCGTTACTGAGCGACCACTCGTTCCGAATAGTGGTCAGGCTGCCAATGGCGACGGCCCTCTGTCGTAGGTCTTGCTGAGGAAAAGGTCTATGCATCAGGGACTGATACAGTCGTGCAAAGCGTGAGGGAAGAAGTCCTAGCAGGCATCGGCGCGCAATTCGAGCATGGAAGACAAATCGGATGCACTGCGACCACGACAGAGGTACCACGGGAGCAATTTTCTGAAGTAAGTTGAGTGAGCTGGTCAGAGCAAGGTGGTCTCTAAACAGCGACAGGTGAAGCCAGTCCCCGGATTCAAAGGTTGGCTGGCAGGTCGAGACGACGAAGCTGCGTATCGGAGGAGCTATGGAGGTTGAGTCGGCACTGTCTGCTCGCCTGAGGACCAGATCGTTCGCCAGAGTTTGGAATTGCATACTGCCACATGCGCTCATCTATGATCGAGAGGTGATGCCATGTAAATATATCACGGGGCGTGGTAGTTCCTGTGATTCGCTAACAGGCACCATCATCGGAAAGCTCTCGTGGACCAGCATTCTTCCCCCTACCTTGGCGATGAACTTGGCACTCCAATTCTGGTGGGCCCAAATACTATTCGGGCTGGCTGCTGCTGCTGCGCGAACAAGGTCCAACAAGTCCTGCGCTTGCTCCAGCTCAACAGCGTACAGAGCGTCTTCCACTTCTGCAATTCTATCGACACAGAATTCTGGCAGAACGAAACCGAATGTGAGCTGGCAGTAACATATTAGCAGCACAAAGATATCCTCCTCCCAACCAGCCTCTCGTAATTGATCCAGATCAGAGGTGCCTGCATTTGCCACGACGCCATCTGCGAAATCTCTCGCGGCTTCAATGCTAGACCGCCCAAGTAGTTCGATCAGGCCTTCGATAGTCGTGATAAAGGACCCATCAGGAAGTGGTTCAGGATGTGGGAAGGAGATACGAAGCATAGATCGCAGGTAAAGCCGCAGACTATACATCACTGATTCCAGTATGACGACTTGGCTGTCTCGATAGATTTTCGCAATCTCCTGCCGTTTGTTGCTTGGCGGCACCGTAGGCGTAGTAGTCTTGATCTTGTCGAGTTTTGGCGCCAAAGATGAAACGATCATCCGCGTAATATGAGGTAGATAATGGCGGCTCGGGCTGCTCTCGTCGACAAGGCTGTGCAGGACATGATCTGTGAATTCAAATGGCAGTCTTCTCTCGTGGCGAATGGTATATGTCAGCAGTTCCAAGAGTGAAGAGGGCATCTGCAGGAAGATGTCTGCTGGCTTGTCGAACACCGGTGCCGACTTGTGCAATGCGAAAGTGGCCTTCTCCCTGCTCCACTGCCCAGCCGAGTCAAAGTATCCCGGCTGTATTTGTCGTATTTCCGGTTGAAGATGGTCTGGTGGTGCTTTGAGCACAAGCAGAACACTGTCGTTCGGGTTCGAAGGAATGCAGAATCCGTAGCCAAGAAGAAGGGCGTCATTGCCTTTTGGCCCATAGTTGTTGAATACTTCGCCGCCTTCAGCCACTTCATCGCTAGTTGATACATTGAAGCGACCCGAGTCGAAGCTCCAGTCGACATGGGCATCGTGATGATGGTTCAGAGTGTCAAGGACTGGGAACAGAACAGGAAAATCGAGATCTTCTGCAGGGCTGCGCGACAGGTCAAGCAGTACAGTCTGTCTGCGACCATCAGGCGCAGACTTGTATGCCGACCAGTACTTGCTGTCCTGCGGGTAAAGTGCACGAGATGAAAAGGAGCGCGATGTGAACATGGTTACCGCCCACTTGTAGAGGTGCCTGAGAATGATCAAAATTGAATTCCACCTACCTTGCGCAGAGGCCGACTCACCAAGTATATGGCGCTGGGTCTACCTGGGCATTTTGAAGCATAGCAATCGCCTGGTTGTAGTGGTTCTCATGCAATATCTGCCGCGCCTTGGCCGTGAAGAGAACATCGGTCTCTGTGAGCCAGAGTAGATCTTGCTCGTCAAACCAGAGAGGCGTCAGAAGCTCGCTATCCGGTGAGGGCAATGTGTCCAGGTAGGGCTTCCAATATGAGGTGTCGCGATTGATGTACTGATGCATCAGATAGAAGTGGCCAATGGCCTGAGGCGCAAGACCGCGGCTTCGAAATACCGTGAACGAGTCGTCCACGAGGGCATTGAGGGTGGACAGCGCGATGGAGTGCGGTATCATGCATATCCGCGCATTCTTGTCGAGGCGTGCGCTTGCACGACCTCGAATGCCAGCGGCGTCTGTGTGTTCCAGAACAATGTCGGGATGCAGGTAGCCGCCATTTTCGCTCAGCCAGTGGCGGAGCGCTACCAGTCCTTCGGCTGAGGCCATTGTGCACGATGCGACGCCGTCCAAGATGGGGTTCCCGGACTCGTTGCGGAATCGGTGAGACCTGTGGCGCCTTTAATTGCCCTTCTCAGTAAATGGAGGTGATTTCGTGGAAGGCTTGGTTGTATTCCTCACGTCTGCCGTTAGAGGCCGCGCGCATAAAACGAATCAAAAGCAGCACGGTACGTCATCAGTGGGTGTCGCTTCCGCGCCGCACCCGGTGCTTGTTGTCTTGGCAATGGGCGGAGGTCCGGATGGTCTGTGCGTGCGGCGGTCGCTGTCAAGTCGTGTCGTGTCGCTGTTCGCTGAAGGTGCTGGAGCATCGTGCTGCAACACAAGCTTCGCGAGCGCTGAACGAGGCCCTCTGTGGCATTGGGACGGCGCTGGTCACGCCGATTCTGCGCCCGGATCGACGTCTAACGCGACGACATGTGCCCGAGAACGTGCAGTAAGAGCAGAGGCATGCTTTTGGAATTGGGCGGCAAGGTGGTAGGATGAGCAGGCATGAGGGAAGAATACAAGAGAACAGTCGAGGTTTTGGGAGTCGCTAGTGGCTTTGAAACGGACAACCTGGACGCACCGACGCTTCCTCCTTCCTCTGCCATTTCCATCTGAAACGCGATCAATCGCTTGCAAAGCCGGCATGAGCGACCATTGTCAGAACATGTGGAAGGTGCTTGGATGACCCGGGCCTTACAACTCCGCATTCGAGATTCTGCTCAACGATGATATGGACATCTCGTTCGCCTGCTCCAGCTGAATGAGCGGAGTTGCATGGCCAGCGACGCGCGATTTTCGTCGAACCATCTGTCCACGCTACGGCACATGGAAACCGGCAGACTTTCAGAGACGTTTCTAGTTGATCTCATGGCTGCTCAGGTACCGCCCCGCCAAAAGCTTCGAATCCAGCTCCTTACGCAACGCTAGAATATTCATCACATGGGCTAAGGACGCACTATAGATCCTATCTCAAAGGCAATGCGGCTCCTCGTCGCCGACGATTGAACCCATCGTGCGCGGTCGAGGTGGCTTTTATGACGTCGTGGTGAACAAGCAGAGTGGAACGAATTCACATCATGTTCAACCTGCATATTGATGCTGCAAGTGCGATATATGCTCTCCTGCCGCAGAGTCGTGACACGAATGCTTACTTTCAGACATGACCAGATCGGGAATACCACATCTGCGGTGTATGTGACAACTCTCTGCAAGCTCAAGGCCAGCCTCGACTGTTTCGAGAGCTTCCAGAGCCTGAAGCGGCCTGAAAGGAACGTTAAACCTATGCAGTGCCTCGGAACTTACCAGGGCGATTTGACTTTGAGAATGACAGATCTTTGCCAGATCGAGAGACTGGGACTGGCAGCACGACCGATCCAGCCGTCCAGCTTCACAGTTATTGTTCTCCCGGACGCGAGAGTCCTTCCCACGTGGTCTATATCGTGGCCATTGTCTAGAGGCTGTTCTCTGTTGACAGGAATGTTAGCCAAGCAGCCACACTTGTACTTCCCAGCATGAACTTCACTCCATCGGCCAAATCTCAAACCTACGCTCGGACGCCATTGCGCTATCAATTCGGCCTGCACCTAATATCACAAGCCTACGACACCACGTACTAGCTGGACGCGGTGCTTTGGCAAGCGGAAACGTGATGGTGGCTACACCACGAGCCAAAATTTCGAGCGACGACCAACAAGTGCTAGACAGCCCCCGAGCTCGCCCCAACAGGCAAGATGAGGCTTGCAAAAGCACTTTACTGACCCAAAATGGACATTCATGTAGCTAGTCGCACACCATTCGGTCCACGCATGACTATGATGCTGAGTATGTCGCGGCTCAACATGAAATTATAAAACGTCCATCTCCTGGGTGTTTTTCACCTCCATCACCAGCTTCTCCCCTTCACTCTTCTGCGTCGACATACGTCCCATCGCAACATGAAGTCCTTCATCGCCGCAGCGGCTTTTGTAGCCGTAGCAGTGGCTCAAAACCAGCAGATGAACGCAGCAGCCATTGCAGCAGCACCACCGCCAGCAGTCACCCAAGCTCCAGTTGGCGCAGCTGATCAAGGCGATGTCACGTACGACCAACAAGCTGCCGCCAATTCAGCAGCCGATGTCCAGCCAACCTCTGCACCTGCCTCCAAAATGAAGCGTGCAGCCTGCGACCCTCAGCCAGCCGGTACTGCACCAAACACCTACCCAGATACTCCAAAAGCCTTCCAGAAGAATCCATACTTCCACGGACAGGCCAACTCGTGGCCAGTCTACATCCCATCAGGCAACTCCTTCTACGCGGAGCGCTTCCGAGACAAGAACGGCTCTACCCAGCAGAACTCTTACTTGACTTATTACGTCTTGGACAAGTATTCTCCTCCCGAATGCGCCAAGAAGTGCGATGCCGTGAAGCTGTGCACTGCTTTCAACATCTACGTCGAGCGTGACCCAAGCCTTGAGCCAGGTATGTCACTTCCTCCTTCTCTTCTTCATCGCCTCTCTAGACTAACATTGTTCTCCCCCTCACAGGCCCAGCCTGCCCCAACCCCAAATCTGTCTCCAACTACAAATGCGCTCTCTGGGGCTCCGACATCTCCGCCTCCACAGCAACCAACACCGGCCAATACCGCGACGACTTTCACGTCGTGATCACAGCCTCAAACGGCTACTCTCGCGCCTCATGGACTCCACCATCCCTCATCCCAGGCTTTCAACTCGCCCAAAACCTGTCCAACAAGGCCATCACTTCCGCCTCTAAATCCACCTACCTCGGCTGGAAATTCATCCCAGGTCCTTATGATCCAAGTCTCTGCGGTTCGTACGCTGTAGCTCAAACTGCGGCGAACAAGCAGGATGCGAAAGACAAGGGATATAAGAGCTACCAGCCTTGTAATTTGTTTAATGCTTATTATGTTTACAAGAATCAGTATGCGCAGGGGACGTATTGTCAGCTTTTCAATGCTGATATTGATGGGGTCAAGGCTTCGGGACAGGCGGACACGACATATGATGGGGATAGCTACAGTGTTGGGGCCAGCTATACTTGGAGGGCGAGCCCTCAGAATGATGGACAGTTGTAGGGGTGCGGACGAGATGAGGGAAATGACTGGGTTGAACGAAGTACGAAGTTTACGATTGAGATTCCATAGAGAATGGATCGCGCGTAGTCTTATGCTGGACGTGTGTTAGTATTGACCGCAATTGAATGTTTGTCGCGAGCTGCTACGCCGCCAAGACTCAATTAACCATGTCTGCCGCAGAGAATTGGGTGAGAACGTGACCAAGCAACAGAAACTTGAACAATCAGTGAACACATGCAAATGCAACCCCGAATAACTACACCATGTAATATGTACAATCATGCAAGACTTTCCGTCCATTCGCTTTCAAAGTCAAATACAAATCAACCTTGGGACAAACACGCCACGCGTCTGACTTCCGTGCGTGTACCATCTATCCGCCATTGTTTCTTTCACTGGGACAAGCAACCTGATGCTTGTCGAGCATGATTGTGCTTGGCATTGAAAAAAGTAGATGCATCTCCGCCACTTCGCGTGCTTCGTGTCACTCTGGCTCTTCATTCGTTACCGCATCACAGCAGTACCGTTGTTACATTGTCGGACGCTTACTCTCCCTTGAGCTTATCCTGCTTCACTTCGTAGGCCTAGCATCAAAGTTAGCTTTTGCTCATCACAACATGGTATTAGGAGTATCTTACCATCTTCAGCAGGTTCTGCTCCTCGAGCGTATGGCTGCTCTTCAGACCAGTAGCCACCGATGCGCTTGGGTTTCGTCCAGCGTACATAACGTGCTTGCGGTCGTGGTGTTCAGTGTGGTTGAGAAGAGTTTCAATACGAGGTTGCGTAAAGCTCCAAGCACCGGCATTGAGAGGCTCTTCTTGACACCAGACGATAGTCTTGGCGTTAGGGTAGCTGTCCAGGTTCTCCTTGAGTTGTGCCCACGGAAAGGGGTTGAGTTGTTCGATACGAGTGATGGCAGTGTTGGTGATGTTGTTCTGTTCACGGTGCTTGAATAGAGCAGCAAAGACCTGTCCAGAGCACAGAATGACGCGCTCGATCTTGTCGTGTGAGTCGATCTTGAACTGAGCGTCGGCATCGTGAGCGGGGTCTGGGATGATCCACTGGAATGAGCTGTCACCGGTGAAGTCTTCAATCTTGGAACGCGCAAGTGGGTGGCGCAGCAAACTCTTACTGAAGAACGAGATCAGAGGCTTGCGGAATTGTCGGTTCATTTGACGACGGAGGATGTGGAAATTGTTTGCCGGGGTAGTACAGTAGACAATTTGCATGTTGCAGTCCTGGTGCTGGCGGTCAAGCTTCTCAGGCGATGGGAAGATACGTGGATCCTCGTTACAGAGCTGGAGGAAACGCTCCATGCGACCTGAACTGTGCTCAGGACCTTGTCCATCGTAGCCGTGGGGCAAGTTCACCACGAGACCGGAACGTTGCAGCCACTTGACTTCTCCGGATGCAATGAACTGGTCAATGATACATTGCGCATTGTTGGCGAAATCACCAAATTGAGCTTCCCAGATGACAAGGGCGGTAGGCGAAGAAAGCGAGTATCCATATTCGAAGCCCAAGGTACCGTACTCAGACAAACTCGAGTTTGCAATGACGAAAGATGCTTGGTCCTCGCTGATGTGCTTCAGTGGAGTGTAGGTGTCTTCGTTCTCTTGGTCGTGCAGCACCGCGTGTCGCTGAGAGAAGGTACCACGCTCTACATCCTGTCCAGAGACACGGACATGGTGGCCTTCCTGTACAAGCGTTCCGAAAGCGAGAGCTTCTCCAGTAGACATATCGATGTTCTTGCCTTCTTCCACAGTCTTCGTCCTGTTAGCCAAGATACGCTTAAGGTTCTTGTGGACGTGGAAGCCTTCCGGAGGCTGTCCGATAATCTTGGCGACGTGCTTCAAGACTTCTGGCTCGACAGCGGTTGGCTCGTGAGGAAGCACTTCTGTTGCCAATTCCTTGGGCGACTTGAAGCCATGCCAGGCGCTAGTCAACCATTCTCTTGAGTTTGGCTGGTAGTCCTTAGACTTCGCGAAAGATTCTTCGAGCATTCCCCACACCCAGGCCTTGTGCTCTTCGATGTCCTCCTTGGTAAAGGTCTTGGCCTCGAGCAGCTGCTTTGTGTACTTGTCGAGCACCGGCAGTTGCTCATTGATCTTCTTGTACATGAGCGGTTGAGTGAACGAGGGTTGATCGGTCTCGTTGTGGCCTTGCTTTCTGTAGCAGACGATATCAATGACAACATCCTTTTTGAACTTGGCACGCCAGTCGGCGGCAAGCTGACAGACAAAGTTCAATGCTTCAACGTCATCGCCGTTGACGTGGAAGATAGGAGCCTCCACAAATTTGGCGATGTCAGAGCAGTATGGAGTGGAACGAGCAAAACGTGGGTCAGTCGTGAAACCAATCTGGTTGTTCACGACAATGTGGATGGTGCCGCCGGTCTGATACGCTGGCAGACCAACGAAACCCATAGTCTCGTACACGATACCTTGAGCAGCGAATGCAGCATCACCGTGAAGGAGAACGCCCATGGCAGAGTTCGCCTGCTCTTCGTCCTTGTTGTAGTGTAAGATAGCGCGAGTCTTGCCAAGCACAACTGGATCCTCCGCCTCCAAGTGCGAAGGGTTGGCGACCAGAGACAGCTGCACGCGCTTGCCAGAAGGAGTGGGGCGCTCGAAGTTCATACCCAAGTGATACTTCACGTCTCCCGAGCCCTCGTCGGACGGCTCAGCGGAACCACCGAACTCGGAGAAGATAGACTCATTTGGCTTGCGGACCACATTGGACAGCACGTTCAGACGACCTCTGTGGGGCATACCGATGACAATATCCTTGACTCCGTAATCGACTGAGCGATCGATGAGAGCCTTCATGCCAGGAATGAGTGACTCACCACCTTCGAGACCGAAACGCTTGTCGTTGGGGTACTTGGTAGCAAGGAACGTCTCGAACGAGGAAGACCAGATGAGTCTGTCCAGAATTCTGCGCTTCTCGTCCACTGAGTACTTGTATGGCGATGGAACCTCAATGCGCTCACGGAGCCAGTCGCACTGCTCTCTGTCCGCAATGTGAATGTATTCCACACCGTACGGACCACAGTACAAGCGCTCGCAAGCATCAATGATCTCGCGGAGTGTCATCTTCTCTCGACCATCTTTTGCAAACCTGGGCAGAATACCAGGTCCGAGGGAGAACTCCTGCTCCATATCTGATTCCGAGAAGTTGTATGTAGCCAAGTCGAGCTCTTTCGGTGTCGATCGATTCAGGTCCTTGATGCCCAGCGGGTCAATGGCGGCCTTGTGGTGTCCACGCGCCTGGTATGCTCGCACGAGCAGCTGAACCTTCAAATGATTGAGGACCTCGCTGCTTTGGCCCTCTGCCACACCGACCGCACCGCTTGGAGCAATCACTCCGCCAGCTGGTTGTGGAACAATGGTCGGTGGCGGCTGGAAAGCTCTTGAGACGGGCATGTCTCCCGATTCCATGTTGCGGAAGTAGTGATTCCAGCTTACGTGGACGGAGCTGGGATCGCGCTTCCACTCAGAGTACATCTCGTCGACGTAGCCGGCAGTGTTTCCGGTCAGAAACGAGTCTGAGGGGTCTACGCCCTGATCTGTCCTCTCCGCCGCCTGCGCATAGTTGCGGTACTGCGAAGTGAAGGCATTGTATGAAGCAACACCGAGCTCACGCCTGTTTGCAACCAGTACCGTTCGAGGCGCGCTCTTGGGCGCGATGGAGGAGAAGGCTCTCGCGGAGCTGCCGGTGGCCAGGCGTTTGCTGCATGCGGAAAGCTGGGAGAGCAGCATGGCTGCGAGTTCTTGATGGGCGCTCAGCAGTGTGCGAGTATTAGGTGGACGTGGAGGGCCTCATGCGCTGAAGCTGCGCTGGAGTCCAAGAGGCGAGCGGGAGGGTGTGCAGGTGATGGATGCTGTGTGTAGCGACCAGCTGCAGCTTTGAACTTGGAGGTCACTCCCATCGGCGTCGGCTGGAGCCGGAAAAAGGACCGCTCTGCTTTGCTGCGCTGCGGCATTGCACTCCGGATGCTCTCTACCTCCTACACACACGATACTGCTGGCCGTCTATTGCTAGTCTGCATTTCTCGCACAACCAGACGCCTCCGGTCGCCGCCTGTGTATTTCTTCAGCATGCGGCCACTTCCCACTCGTCCCTCGCACGTGCAGTATTGCTGAGCTCTCGACTGACTCCTCTTCCGGCACAGAACTCCGAGCTTCCAAGGCCAAGAACGCAGTCGCTGCAGCTCCAAGACATGTCTAAAGCCGCTGACAATACGTGTCACCGGTTTTCCTAGGCGTCAAGGGCAGTGTTCTTCTGCGATTCCCATGTAGCAGGTCGCGCCGTATAGGCATAGACTCCGGACCACGCGTCGACAGCAGGAAGTCACCCTTCCGCCATGAACACTGCTTCATGCCTTGCAGCGCTCACGAACAGCATTACAGCCACACCTCGAGCTCTATATCAAAGACTATATCGAATTCAGGCATGAAGAGGGCACTCGCAGTGTTAAGCTCCGACACGCCTCAAGCATGGAACAAGTATCGCCTCGCCTGTTCACCACTCTCACTCTCACCGTCGATGCAATGCGCGTGACTGCATGCAGGCTGACTTCAATCAACGCTCGAAACAGTTGGAGAAACCTGGACCTACATATTCTCATGGCATGCTGCTTGTTAACAGCAGATGCACCGACCATGTGCCTTACGTTGCTGCTCAGCTTGTACCTGCCTGCCAAGCCGCTTGCACAGCTTGCGTCGGTTAGAACTACACAAGTCTCAAAACTTCAGAAGCACGAAAGGTTTCACAACTCGTTCTTGCAATAGCATTGTGAGCTTCATAAGGAGCTACAGTAGTTCAAGCTGAGATAACTCACATGATGAATTAGCTCATACATTTTCATGATGTTTGTTGTTGACAGCAACTTTTGCAATGCACAAAAGGAGCGCAAGTCCATCGGAACGTGAGGCTCAAAACCACATGGCAGCCACGCGAAATTTGGAACAGCCAACAGCGATGCTACAGAAGAAGTCACAACACGTCGCGCCCGCGGCAGAGCATCGATGAGGAGGTAGAAATACAATGGAGCTTACCTTTTTTGAAGCGATTCCTCAGGTGTTGTGATACATGTCTGGAAAGTTCTTAGATGGTTCCGCTATAGGCTCGGTGTGCCATGAAGCGAAACAGTCGCAAACTTCCGTGGTACGGCGAGGACAAACACTCTAAAAGCCGCAATCTACTCGTCTGCCTTACATGATTGCCCTCACAGCATGGCGTAGCTACTCAGAAATCCATCTTATCACGTGCCAATTTCGCTCTCCGAATTCATACCATAAGATCAGTTAGCTCCGGGACCTTTTTGCCTTTTTACGCGAACATCTCAAGCAACGACGACGTTCTCGAAGCCTTCTCCAAAGCTCTCCAACACCGCTTCAGATCATCAATTCGAGCAGATCAGGATGCCTCAACAACAGAGCATCGTCAGGCTATGGCCGCCAGGGTTCTTAAATCCTGTTCTTTTCGTCGGCATTGTCGCTTTCTGTCTTATGCTGAAGACCTTAGAAACGATGCAGTTGGGCATTGAGATCTGTAAGTGGTGTCGAATGTGCTGTGTCGTGGCCGTGAGCTGAAATATTGTCGCACAGAAGTAACATTTCCATGAGATTTGATTTCAAGCGAGCTTTGGTTGCACGGCGTATGGAGGGGAACATGATATTCAACATTTTGGCAACTTCTGCACGAGTGGCGAGCACGATGTATCGCAACCACAGGGAAGGAGTTATGTTATTCGGGTGGGGCCACAGGAGTCCTGGCATGGCAGGATGTTTGGCTGGCAATAATTCAACATTTTGGAGGGCGTTTTTCTCATCTTCTTGATACTTGCAGCTTTGGGGAGGGTCATGATGTCCAGTGACTGTGTAGTATCGCCAGATGCTTGGTGGTTCAGAATGCATCGGCCGCAAAAAGCTGTATTCACTCGAGCAGGTGACCACTAGCTTTGGCAAGCTCTTTTCGTTTCGCTCCCCGAGACACGTACATCCGTTAGCGTATCTCCCTCAGCAACCTGTCATAGCTGAGCAGTAGTATTCGGGTCTTCCATCCCACCTTGACTGAGTTATAGCTCGCATCTGTGTTTCGAACTGTTCTTGCTTTCTGTCGCTGGGCTCTCGGCACCTATCGCCAGAGGACGGCAGAGGACATTGCGCCGATCGAGAAATTGCGGGTGTGATGAGAACCATGAGATGGTATTGGAAGTGGGCTCTGTCGTTTCACCTCGGCATTCAGCCGCAATCGCCAAGTGCAAGGTCTTTGGCCCATAATTCTCCAGATATTACGACTCGATGACATTTTTGTCGTGGGCAAGCAGGTTGCTCCGCTTGACTTGTGACCTGCCAAACTGCAGAGCCACTCCCTAGCGCGTGCCGTTCGTTGTCCACTAGGAGCGTGAAAAGAAATGCTTGTCTGCTTGTTGTGATGAGCTTGTTCGATGACGTTGCTTGGCTGCATTGCTTCAGGTTCCGCTTTTGCCAGCCACGCTGCGATCGATGCACCCGAACATCATTTTCCTCTCTCACTTCGGGACATTACTCCACACAGCACGCTTGACGTAGCTCTTTCCAAGTTTTGTAGGACGACCAGCAAGATCGCGTCAGGCATCATGCAGGTACAAACAGTATAGATCTTCAATACAAAGGTAAGCTAGTTTGTGCTACTCACAAACAAACACCACAGATCTGCCCTTTCTCTGGCAGCGGCATCCCAGTGTGCTCTTACTATCCGGTATGGCTATGTCTACACTAGCTCTGGTCGTGGCCCTCGCGGCGCTGTCCATGGCCTCGAGCCAACAGCAACCCCTGTACAGCGAGTACAGCTTCAACCCGCTGGAGCACTTGGCTGGTATCGCACCATACTTCGAGCCAAATGATCCAGCACGAGAGCCCAGTCCACCTCAGGGCTGTGAGGTCGAGAAGGTCGCATACCTTGTTCGCCATGCCGCTATCAATGCAAACGACTTCGACTACGAAACCTACCTGGAACCTTTCACCGACAAACTCAAGAATACTACAGTAGACTGGTCGAAGATTCCCGAACTGTCATTCCTCTCAACATGGACCCCACCTAAGCTGGAAGAACAAGAATTGGTAACAAGGAGCGGGAAGCTGGAGGCTGCTCAGCTCGGTGTTCAAATGTCCTTCAGATACCCGAAGTTGAGACTGCCGAAAAGAGTCTGGGCGAGCACTGCTGAGAGGACAGTCATCAGCGCGAAGGGGTTGATTCGAGGCCTCGAGACAGATGAGAATCAGATCAACTTGGTGCAGATCTACGAGGGCAAGGAGTCTGGCGCCGACAGCTTGACACCATACAAAGCATGCCCCGCCTACTCTTCTTCGCGCGGTTCTGAGCAAAGTCAGACCTATGCGAAAAAGTACACCGCGCCCATCCTGGCAAGGCTGAAGACCTACGCGCCAAACTTCAATTGGACGGTCAACGATGTCATCGGCATGCAAGAATGGTGTGGCTACGACACCGTCGTGCGTGGCTGCTCGCCTTTCTGCTCGACAACGCTGTTCCGCCCCGATGAATGGCTGCAATTCGAGTACACTCAAGATCTCATGTATCACCACAACACCGGCTATGGCAACCCAATATCTGGTTCTCTTGGATATGGCTGGGTTAATGCTACGCAACAACTTCTTTCATCCGACGACGACGATGACCAGGATATCTATGTCTCATTCACTCATCGTGAGCTGCCACCGACTGTGTTGGTTACACTGGGATTGTTCAACAACTCCGATTCGACTGGGGCAAACGACATCAATGCTACCATGCCACTGGACAAGGTCAACTATCACCGCCAGTGGGTTAGCTCATACATCCTTCCGTTCTTGACCAACATCGCAGTCGAGAAGATGAACTGCACGGGCTCGTACGGCTACCAAAACCAGACTGACCCTACGTACTATCGCGTTCTGGTCAACCGCAGCCCACAGACCATCCCTGACTGTCACGATGGGCCCCAGGAATCTTGTTCTGCTGCAGGATTCAAGAGCTTCGTGGAGGAAAGAGGGCAGATGTTTGGCGATTTCGCTGGCGCTTGCGGCGTGGAGTACGACAACTCCACGAGCGTAATGAGCTTCTACTCGTCGCCAAACAATGGCACGATTGTTGGCAAGAAGCATTGATAGACTAGCACGAATGTAATGTGTAATGATGAATGACATGCGATGTGACAGTACTTTATTTTTGATTGCCAGAACTATTCACCTTCCGATTCGAGTAAACATGCGAGTGACATATGTGCTGCACAGAACCTCTTGCTTTGATGTTTGTCGTGGTGGTGCCTGGCCAATAGCAATGACGCCGACTTGAAATTCGCCTCTCCACGCCTCGCTTGCACCTTCAACGATGCCTCCTACAATCGCGACCGCCGTCTTCAAAAAGAAGGATGGCATCCTCACTGTCGCCGAAGACCGCAAATATGTCTTCTGGAGTCCAGCATCGCCACCGTCATCACCGCCCTCGGTGACAATACCCGTCGCCGATATCACGAACCTGCAACAAACGCCTGCCACATCGAAAGCGATCGCGCTAAAGATTGTAGTCGGCGAAGCTAGCTATGTCTTCACCTTCAATCACAAAGAGAATGCGCGCAAGGAGCAGGAGAACACGACGGAGGTTTTGAGGAACACTATCGCGGCGAACAAGGCCAAGGATGCTGCTCAGCTTGTTGCGCCTGCCGCTGGAGCGGCTGCTGCAGGCGGTGCTGGTGGCGAAGATAGCAGTGCGAGCGCCGCGATGGCCATAGCAAAGGCGGTCTCATCCTCAAAAGCTGACGAAGGCTGGTATGATGATGCGAAGTTGAAGTCGGACATCAGCTTACAGCGCTCGCTGCTCGAGTCGAATCGTGCATTGCAAGAGAGATTCAATCAGGCGCTGAAAGACAAACCTGAATCAGTGTCACTCGCACAGTTCACAGGGCAGTTTTGGATCGCGAGATTGCATCTGCTTCGGGCCCATGCCATCGAGAAAGCTCAAAAGCAGGGAGAGTACAATGTCCTGCCCGAGATCAAGTTCATCGTGAAGCCGGCGGAGAAGGCGGGCGAGCCAGATGTCAAGCATTTGGCAATCACAAAGGAGCAGATCCATCTCATTTTCAAGCAGTACCCCATAGTGAAGGAAGCCTACAACGACAACGTGCCTCCACTCAGCCAGACGGACTTTTGGACAGGTTTCTTCGGCAGCCGATTGCTAAAGAAGCTGAAGGGAGAAAAGATCGCGCAAAATGACAAGCGAGATGCCAGGTTTGACAAGTACCTGGACCGGGAATCGACTGGACCCGCCAGCATACAGCACATCCCACATTGGATGGACCTGGAAGGCAATGAGCAGAATCACAGTCAGCGAAAGGGTAACAGGCCTGATCAGGATATGCGTCCGACTTCGACAGACAAAGTGCCGATCTTGCGAGTGCTGAACAACCTCTCGGAGAAGATGATGGCTCATGTAGCGCCTGAAGATGGCGAGGCTCACGCGCCAATTGGGTTGGACGAAGAGACATTTGAGCAGCTGCGACTTCGCGATCTTGCCAATGAGGACGTAGACAATCGGGTCAGGCTAAGTATCAAGGAGCAACAGCGGTATCTTGGAGGTGATAAAGATACTCTGTCTGCTGACGCGAAGCTGTACGCGAAACAAGATCCACGACAAGTTCTCACAACGATGAACAGCGGCCTTCAGCCAACGCAGCTTGGCAGTGATGTCAAGGGCACCCTCCGGCTCGATCATGTCATCGGATACCATACGGATGACGATTCAGATTCAGACGATGAGGCGTCTTCAGCACAAACGAATGGCAATGCAAGGAAGAAGAAGGCCAAAGTTGGCTCGCACGCTGCGATGGACACCGCGTCGACGACAATTATGTCTTCGATCAAGTCGCGGCGTGACTTCAATTCACCGGAAGCGACGTCTCTGAATGGGCTGAGTCCCGAAATCTACGACAATCTAGTCATGACAAACAACACCACGAACGAGTTCCTGCACTACTTCTGGAGCTTGTTCCTATCAGGAGACGCCTCAAAGACCAATGAGCTTGCACAGCTTGTATCGACGCTCGACCGCAGCGTAGATCGCATCAATGCTGTCGGCGATCAAGCCGATGCTGAACGGGAGCAGAAGGTTGGCAAGATCAAGAAGCAAGTAGAAGAATACTACCAGAGAACCGGCAAGCGCCGGAAAATCGATTATGATAGCACGGTAGCTGGCGGAAAGAAAGCCGTGGATGCTATGGTCAAGCCGACGCTGCAAGCGCTTGCGCAGGCGACAAGTGCATACCGAAAGGCGTTTGAGGAACAGAGTAAGGAGGCCGCTGCTGCCACTGCTGCTGTGTAACACTAACTAGCTCCACTGTGAGGGAGACTGGGTCGGATGGCTTTGAATCAGTGCTACTATCCTGCTCACTTGGCCTCTGTGCTTTCCGTCTCTCAGCATCAGGGATCTGGAACACATTGACAGACAGTTGTAATTGTACCACATTCTCGCACAACGAGAAAGAGTTGGTCGATCCCAAATTCTGCTTGAAAATAGTGTTGTCAGGTTTGTGCGACAATCACTTTAGGGTCTGCTCCTATATTCGTACAGTCATCGAAGCAATAATTACGCAGACGCGCTGGTGCAAGCATTCAAAAGTGAAGTGCGTGCAACACGTGAGTGATGCTCAGTTGATATGTCGAAGCGAGGGTGAAGTTGTCTACTAAGGCAGCAATGCCAAGAAGGGGAAGGAACCAGCCGCAACTTGACCCAAGCTCCATTTCCTTTGCTCAAAATTCTCTACCGAGCAACTTCAGCCGCGCCTCTCCATCCACCTCCGACCTCCAACATCGACATCGCTGCAACACAGCACTCAGTGCTGTCGGCAACACACCCAACAATGCCATGAAGTAGCCAATGCCTCTCGGTAAGCCATATTCCTCTTGCTCCCCTCTCATCCTGATGACAACACGCACAACCGCAAACTAGAGTCTCTGACCTCTTCGGAGGATTGAAGCTACATTGCTACGTCAGTCTGAAAGACGACGCTCACCTCTCACTGCAAATCTGGAGTGCTTGGCGATCTCTTACTGACAGTAAGCAGGCTCTGCCGAGATTAGCTTCACTCTGAATGGCACGATGCCACGGTGCATGTCAGCTGGACTTTGCCATACCCGCCTGAGCTCCACGCGCTCCGCACTCAGTATCAGCAGCCGCAAGCAGACGCAGACATGACCAGGCCCGTTGCTATTACAGTCGGTAAGTCAGCACTCCTAACCAGCACGACTTCCCGAATGATGATCCAGCAAAAATTGGAATTACCGCCTGAGGGTTTTTTACTCATTATCCTTTGATGCGAAAATGGCTCAAATCCTGACTACACTCCCTCCACCATGGCTCAACGAATGAAATTGTTGTCGAGCATGTACTGACGTGGATATGGCAGCAGTGACCCGAACCCGCGAGTTCACCGAGTCGCGTGCAGGCCTCACTCATACCGCGTTCGCACATCCTTTTGTTATTACCCTTTCACCGCGCCCAAACAATCGGATCCACTACCACCGACATGGCCACCGACACCATGACAGAGGAGTTCCGAATCTACCTCCAGTCTCGCATTGAGGACAACAGGAATGCGCGCCGTGCCAAATGCAGCACCCAGCATGACTGCCGTCTGCACTGAGCTTGGGGAAAAAGCAAGGCTACAAATGGCAGACAACTGCAGTGAGGGCATGGCCACCCAAATCACTGGTGCGCTGCAGCAAGCAGGCAACCGCCAGGTTAGTGGAGAGCAGGCACGGTGCCACTGGTTCTGCCGTGGCGAAGACCGAGAAGAAGCAGCGCATGAAGGCGAAATCTGATCTTGATCGAGGCATATATGGTAAGTCGTCACTTCCTTCCCGACTCGTCATCTGATGAAGCGGCACTGGGCTCCGACACAAACACATGAGCCGATACGCCATTCTGTGACAGGCCTAGAAAACCTCGTCCACTGATTTTGACATTCGCGCACAACTCTCCTCTCGAGAACGTTTTTGGAGCTTACAGCTGACCTATGACTAGTCTCAATAAACTCGAGTTCCTCAACTCAGGGTATGGCATCACCCTCTCCTCTCCTCCCATTCCACCCGAGATTTCCTGATGAATCTTGATGACGAGTCTGATTCGGCTTTGTCGATGCAGACACAAACATTACCAAACCATTCATGCCTAACTGATAGCAATCTCCACATCACGTCCTCCTGTCGCTCACATTTGCTCGGTGCAACCGCTGACGAGACAGAACAGCTCGACCTTCCCTTGGTCTGCTTTCTTACACGCATTTTGCGAGGTGTTAGCTGCCTCGACACCATGTGTTCGTTCGGAACGTTGACCTGACGGTAAGCACTCTCAACCTCGACCTTTACTACCATGATGATTCCAACAAAACCAAATGACAAGCATATGTCCAAGCCACTGTGACAGGTGGCGCAGACGAGAAGTTGCGAAAGCCTGATCTCTTGTGGCTTTACATTATGCATCGCGATCTCGTACAACGCGCAATATACTGACTCAGTCGCAGGTCAGCAGTGGTCGACGACAACGCGAGGTCAGGATAACATTACATGATATTTGGTAAGCAATTTTCCTCGTCCTCTGCACACAAACATTCCATGATGATTCCTTATCATATCTCACGACGGTCGGCCGAGCAGTCAAAAAGTCTGCATTGACGAGATGGCCCCTGACAGGGCCTTTGATTCTGATAGCACCATTCCCGTCCAGCGTACCTCAACATCAGATATTAGTGTTGAACACTCGCTGACTGGGCTCCAGGTTTGTTCGATTACTTGGTCTTCATGTACAGGAGCCACCATCGTCCGGGAGGCGGTGCGTAATGCTAAGCTCCTCGCTCCATCTAGCGCTCTATGTCTTCTCATGCGGCAGTGTGCGCCGGCGCTGCCAGATGGCGATCCGAGAAGCCATATGTCGTAGAAGAGTACAAGAGCCGAGCTGAAGAGGAGAAGCGTCAGCACGCAATCGCCCATCCAGGCTATCGGTATCAGTCACGCAAGCCATCTGAGAGGGGAAGCGCATGACCAAGAACAAGTTGGCCAAGCTGGTCGCGAACTCCGGCATCATCAATGCTACCATGGATGCGCGACGTGTTTTGGCCACGAAAGTAGGAATACTTCATTAATTGAAACGTGCTCATCAAACAAATTTTCATACGAATAGTCTGCTCTCAAGTGCTCCGTAACGCCTTCGCTTACCCATCGACCCATGCCCCATTGAGTGCTCCAAAGACAATGAAGAACTAGACCAACACTGAAGAACACTATGCATGTCCTCACCCGCCCAAACAGATGCCAATGAACTCCTCCTGCGTGATGCCTCCCTGCCCTCGCACGTCGAATTCCTCGATCATAGCCGCCAGCTCCTCTTCTTGCAGACCCTCTCCCAGTTCACGCGCCACTCTCCTCAAGTCCTGCAGTTCTATCCTCCCCTTGCCATCGGCGTCGAAAAGCTCAAACGCTCTCGCGATTTCCTCTCTTGGATCGCGAGCCAGCACGCGCTGTGCCGCTATGCTAACAAATGCTTGATGCGAGAGCAGTAATCGCGACGGCCCTGAGAAAGTCGGTTGTGCTGGTGGAGGTACGGCTGAACGAGTCCCAGTGAGTGACGAAGCTGGTACACCGTGTTGCTGGAGAATTTGTAGAAGTTCGGTCTTGGGAAGTTCGAAGCCCAGGGCTTTGAGAGCAACTTTCAGCTCGTGGTAGTCGATATGGTTGTCTTTGTCTAGGTCGAAAAGTTGAAACTGTAGTCTCAATGTTAGCTATGTGTATGCGTTTCGCGTGTTCTCCGTTGTGCGCTTGCTTACAGCTTCGTTAATCTCTTCTCTTTGTTCCTCGCTGATTCTATCTAGCGCATCACGCTCTTCTGCTTCTCTTCTCTCCCGTTCGAGGCGCTCTTGTCGTTCGCGCTCGAGACGTTGCGCATCGCGTTGTTGTTGTGTGGTGCCGGAAGGTCCTGCTGTGCCAAAGCCTCCGCCTGCGCCGGTCGCGTTAAAGCCTGAGACTGGATTTTGCTGAGGAGCTGCGAAGGGTGTTTGGGAGGCGTAGGGTGTTTGTGCGCCTCCTGCGCCCCGTGTGAGGCCGGTTGTATATGGGCGAGAGGGAAATGGTTGATGTGAGGTTGCCATTGTCGCTGGTGTCGATGCGCCAGCGAGTGGTTCGTGGTACGCTCAGTGCGCTTTGGAGGTTCGATGTTTCTTGGTTATTCAATTTCTCTTCGCATGCGGAGAAGTGTGGCCAGGAATGCTTTTGGCAGTCGCTGCGCATACAATAGGCTTTGCGATAACGCGTGATTTCTCGAGTACTTTGTTGATGGTTAATAAGTTTGCGGTTCACGCGTCGCGCGTTGCCGAGCGATGGAGAGATGCCAAGGATCGGCAGCTTCACTTCACTCCGCATTCTATTCTGCCTTTGTCACCAACAAGCAACATGACCTCATACCCGCCATCTCTGGAAATAGAGCAGTGATCTAGACGCTGGATTATCGGCATGTTCTACAACAAACTCGCTTCCATGAGTGCAAATACTCGCCGCTCTCCGATTCCAAAGGGGACAGAAGTCTGGTAGATGCAGGACCAATAAGGTTGAGTGCATGACATTAGATCAGAGCTGTCGAGGTGGCATCGAACATGCCGGATATCTCGGCACATAGGATGCGCAGACTCGAATGCAAATCGACGGATCATGAGCCACTTTTGGAGCGATGAGTACGCAGCTTATGCGAATAGAGACTTATAGGTCTTATTCAAATCTGCCCAACAAGGCATACTCCAGCTACTACAAGCATCGACCTTTCAATCTTCGCCTTTCCCATTACCACATCCTATCTCTAGCATGTCGCAAGGCCTTACTCTTCCCTCTAGCCCACCATGGTATAAGACATTCTTCACCGAAATTCTCCCAACTCTCCACCCCTTCCACCCCTTCCTGGTCGACCTGTCCCACCACCAAGCTCTCCGCCGCATGGACCCACAGGACCTTCCCAGACTCCAACGACTTCGTGAGATCCTCTCTGGCATAGACAATTCCTCCGCAATAAGATCCTCAATCATCTCAGCCATCCTCACATCTTTGGGCGGCCTGCTCTTCCTCGCTGCATTCTTCCTGCCTTGGATCCGGCAACCTGAGTCGCTTGCCTGGTATCACTGGTATTGGCTGTTCCTGGGCACGATGAATATTCTTTGTGGCGTAAGGGCATTTCCATGGAACGGAGAGACGTTGATCGGGAAGAAGATGGAGTTGGACCATTTGGAGAAGTGGGAGAGGGGTGAGTTTGTTTGTTTGTTTGTTGGTTGACGACTTGCTTGCTAGACCATTCCCGCTGATATCGTTGCAGAGAGGAAGAACCCGCTAGAAGGACAGGCAGATCCTGTGAAGATGGTGCAAGTCGAGTGCAAAGTATAGATATCTCCCAATGACACGAAAAGTAGAAAACAGTGCTCTCTTTTCAGTCGCAAGCGTGGCACCTCATGAGTCTCCGAGCTTTGCGCTCAATGTTCTTTCTCTATACACAGTAAGAAGAGGCTAGCTAGATCAGCCCAGCACATATTTATACATGATACAGACCTTCCGTCTCGTCATTGTCTGTCGTCTCCAAATTTTCAGAATACGCCTCCAACACCAAATGTAATGTTTGTTTCCACATTGAGCTTGCAAGCGAAATGCAGCCTTCATCGAACGCTGCTGTATATGAAATGCATCAAATGGCCGTAAGGTCCCGACCGCCCATGTTGCCCACGCTCGGAAGCGGAGTCAACGCAATGATTGAAACGTGCATCGATATGCCGCCTGCTCCCATGGTCTTTTGAAGTACTTGCAATAAGCGCCTCCTCGCAATGCTCGTAAATGTGGCAGTAGTCCTCCTAGATGGTCCACTCGCAAGCACCAGGTAATGTCGTGTCTTTGCCACGTTCCACATAGGAAAACGCAGATCTCGGATCCGGAACAGAATAATGATGTGTGGGAATAGCAGTGCAAAGGAGATGCCTCTACTTGCCAGGCAGTACAGAGAATCCATTGGCAGCCTTTCGTAAATATGGCGCCATTGACGGTCACCGTCAGGTGGCTTGTGGCTGTGGCTGTGTCTTAAGGGCCTCGTTTGATGGTGGCAGCCCAGAATTAGGCAAGTTCATTGTGGTTGCTGGTGGACTTCCGAGGCTCGTGGCTGGTGTCGATCCGTTTGTAAGGTATGATCCACCCTGAGATGATGCAATGCTGTTGAGACGGTTATGTGCGAGGCTGCCAGGTCGACCTGGGCCACGGCCGAGAGGTGAGTTGAGTTGGCGAGTCTTTCGAACCTCAGTCTCGAGTCGTCGCCGTTCTTCTTGCTCAGCCTGCACCGATTGTCAGCATAAAAACAGTTGAGGGTACAACGACTAGACATACTCTGAGTAATCGGAGTCCTTCGGCTCTCGACTCTCGCATCATTTTCTTGAACTCTTGCCGAAGCACCATGACACTGGTGCTTTCTTTGACCACGCCATCAGCGCCAGGAGATTTGACACCCATCCATTGCACTTGGTGATCACTCAATTCTCCTTCCAGTTGTTCCGTCCTTTCACGTAGCGTGTCAATAAGGTTCTCCAGCTGACCACGTTCCTTCTCCAGTTCAAGCGACTCGCGAGTCATTTCCTGGAACTCCGTCATCATATCTTGCAACTCCTGCTCGAGCAACTTCGTCTTCTCAGCATGCTCACGTCGAAGCTGAGCGATTTCCTGGTCCTTCAGCGCAGCAAGGGCATCTAATTCTGCCTCGCTTGCACCAGCTTCCTTCTGCCGCTCCTTACGCGAGCCATAGGCGCCTTCCAGCTCCGCCTTCGCCATTGTGAGCTCAGTAGTCAGCCTGACAAGCTCGCCCTCCATATCTTGCATCTCCTGTTGAACGTCTTCGAGTTTCTGTTTATGGGCGTCTCGTTCCGCTCCAAGGGAGTCCCGCTCAGCAAGAATGAGAGCATGTCGCTCGTCAAGAGCCTTGCTTCGTGCTTCGGCGGCCTCTACGGTCTTGCGCAATTCGTCAATCTGAGACATGACCTCTTGCATGTCTGTCTGCGCCTGTTGCGCCTGCTGATCGGCGAAAAGATGATTCTCCACGGCCTTCGCCAGGTCCTGCTGTGTGGCATCGTAAGAGCTGTTCAGTGCTTCGTAGCGAGCCTGAAGCTCTTGAATTTCCCGATCCTTTTCCATATCAGACTTGCCATTGAGGTCGCGCTGCTGCTGTATCTGGCGACGAAGAATTTCTTGCTGTTCCTTGGCGCTGTTTGACACGTCAATGAGATTTTGCACGCGTGAACTGAAAGCTTGCAAAGAGAAGTCTTTGCCACTTGCTCCCTCAACTGGGCTTGACCGGTGCTCGTCGGAGAAGAGATCCCACAACCCTGCAACAACTGTCTCATACTCCTCTGCTCTCTTTGCCTGTTTGGCGGCAGCCGACTGGGCGTCCTGGATTCCTGATGATGCATGCTTGGCGATTTCCAGCTGCTCGTTGTGCTCCTGCAGGAGCTTTTGCAGCGTGTGCAGGCTATCCTCGAGGTACTGCACCTGGTTCTGGTACCCATGGCCTGTTGCCTGGGGTGGCTCTCTGAGATCCTTGAGAGCCTCCATCACTGACGAGATCTGCAGAGTGCTGTGAAGTTGGTTGTTGACGTCCTCGAGCTGCTGCTCGACCAAATTTCGGGTTTCCGAAGCACTGTCTTGCACACGTGCATAATGCACCTTGTTCTTCTCTCGTTCCTGTTGCATGATGTGCATGTTCGCTTCCAGCACAGCGAACGTGTTCTCGAGGGATGATTCCAAGCTTTCGGAAGGAGCAATATGTGGCTCTGGCTCCGGTTCCTGGCCGCGCACCTGACTGGCATCCGTGATCACGCTTCGCAACTGTGCATTGAGCTGTTGCATTCTCTTCTGCATGTTGATCATTTGTTGCTCGTGCTCTGCTTGCATTCGCTGAACGTCTGCACTACTCTTGGAAGCTGCGGGTGCACCCTTCAAGATGTCTCTTATGCCGTCGAACTCGTCAAGCCCGTCTGGCGCATGTCCGAGCACTTCGTCATCGCCGTCAAGGTTTCGGTGTCCGTTGGCAAGCCAGGCTTCTGAAGGCTTGTTCGCTTGATCTGCCAGCACGGCAGCAGTGTGTCTGAGTAGAGATCTCTCCACAACTTGTCGTCGTTCCATCATGGTCCTGATCTGCTCATTAAGCTCATCCACTTTCTTGATGCTTTGCGATAGCTCGTCCTCAGCTTGTATAAGACCCCCCGCACTATTGTTGCTGCTCGTCCGTTTTCTGCCCCCCATCAGGCTGTGCCTGTCCTTGTCTGGGCTTTGCGGAGTGTCCGGCCTGCCATCCTTCTTACCGGCGGAGTACAGCCTGTTCAAGTTCTGCGCGGCATCCTTCATTTTGATCTCCAGGACCAGCTTGCGATTCGCAGCGTCGATCCTCGAGTTGAGCCTTGCATGTTCTTTCTTCAATTCATCGATCTGGCCCATGTCCAAAATCTCGAAAGCCTGCGTATCCAGCAATGCGGTCTCGTAGAGCAAATGCCGCCCAACCGCATCGTGGTTCTCGGCATGTGCGTTCGTGTTCAGCTGCATATGGTGGCCTGCGATCTGGTTGTCCAGGCCGAACTTGATGTCCTCAAAGTGGTTGCGCGCATTCACACTGGCATTCGCGTGACTTGATGGCAGCCTGGGTGGCTCCGGGAAGCTCGCGTCAAAGTCGAAGTCGCCGTAGCCACCATTTGTGCTCTGGCTCAGGGCGTGTGCTCTTGCTGGCATTGCTGGCGGTGGTCTGGTGGCGTAAGAACTCCGTGCAGATGATATAGGACTCCCGTAACCACTCCCGTCATAGCTTTCGTACTCTGGCACTGATTTCCGCCCGTGCTGGTAGCCGTTACCATTGCTCTGCATCATGTGCTTCTCTCCGCGTTTTCCGGTCGGTCGACGGCGCCAGACAGTCTGCTCGGCTACCCAATGCCCGTGCGATGCCTGTGCCGCGTCTTAATCTCTCAAAGGCGCCCTGGGTATGCAACACGACCAAGCATTCTTCAAGCGGGCGCGGTGGAGGAGTGAGAGGCGGCGGCGGTTGCCCAGGTGGCACTGGTGGTGTGCTGGAGGATCGAGGAATGTCAGCTGGAAATTGGTGTCTGTCAGGCAGTTCGTATGCACGCCGGCGCACGTAAGAAGCAGCCCCCAAAGATGGCACCCCGGGCTGGCGGGCGGCAGGGGTGATGCAGCACACTTTATTGCCAATTGCTCTTCCTCGACGGCCCCAGATATGACCTGCTCAACGCCGACAGCCAGGCCTGCGCTGTACAAGTCCAACGTGCAAATGTCCAAGGAGCGGAGCACGAAGCGTCAAAGAGTGGAAAATGGAAACGCAGGGCCGCTTCTTCAACGGCCGTGAAGGAGCGGAGCACACGCAGCGCAGCGCAGCGCTGGCCTAGGAACACGGAGAGGCGATAGAGTTGCGCACCGCCGGCCGGCACTGCCGTGAGTGAAGACCGCTCATAGGCTCACGCGGCTTTTTCGCGCGCAGAGCCGCCGTCTTTTCGCAAGCACCAAGCAGGGGAACTACCGGCCCCTTTTCCACGCGACTCAGCGTATCAATATCGTCCGCACGCGTACGCCGGCAGACTCGTGATATATTTAAGTGCGGCCTTGCACGCGGCAGGGCTGCTAGTCAGAGCCACTTTCACGCTGGTCAAACACGGCCACTCCCACAAGCCTGCAACCAATCGAAGATCGGCAATGCGAACTGTGAAATATGCCAGAGCTGAGGGTGTCCGGTCATGACACATGTGATCCCCGCGAAGCAGATGCTGTCACATAACCTTGATCATAATTGCAAAAGTAACGGTGCGCAATGATGATGCCTGATCCCCAACGCCCACTACCGCTCACGGGTTCTGCAAAAGCGTGCTGCGCGGAGCAGGGCAGATGGAAAATCACCGGCCGAACCACAAATCCGCACAGTGAAGGGTCGTATGGCCAGTGATCTTTATCGAGCCCGAGATCTGTCCCATCATCCCAAATGCAGGTCCTGCTGTCCAGACGCTGGCCGTTGCACGCATGGTCCATTGCCTAAAATTGAGCTTCATCGCGCTATCTTGGGATCCTGAGTCGAGAGCAACTGGCATGACTGCGTCTCCGATATCCTCATTTCGCGCATCTGTAGCAGGTCGGGCCCGGGTACTTTAGCACAAAGTGTTTCTGTTCAAAAATGCGAGCGATCGACACTCTGTCCTCACGCTCTTCGCAATATACGTTCAGCTTACGTATCATCACCAGAAAACCAAGGCAAAGCCAGCTACGCACTTCGATACTCTCTACGTGATGTAGCACACGATAACATGCAGTTCCCAAGTCGTTGATGGTGACCAGCGTCTAAAAACGCGGGCCATACTCTTCAGTATTGCATTGACCATTCTAGAAGCCCTCTATATGACAACCTTTGAACGCTGCGTGAGCCATCAATCACATGGCAATGATGGCATTTGGCATCATTTCATCGGGATCGTGGCGTGTTCATGGCTACACGCTTCACACATCGAGAGTGCGTTTGCGGACGTTGCGTGCGAAAAGGGCAATCGCGATCGCGAGCAGCTAGTTTCATCGGGGCGAATTACGTTGACTATTTCAACGGCGCACTTGGAGCATGTTGTACGTCTTGTGACCGCAGTGAGAACTGCGCTCTCATTGTAGGACCACTCTCACTTCTCTCCCCGGCTGCTGAGAATTGTGCGCGATATCTGCAATGGGAACCAGACATCATATCAAGCGTGCTATAATAGAAGGGAGATGACGCTCGATGGTGGAATCCGTTCAAGCTATGTCGGTCGTGCGCATACGCGATGTCCTATTCCTCTCTTTGAGAGCGATACTCACTAGAGCGAAGCTGTACAGAAGCTCATACTCATAACAAGCGTTGGAAGTCGATGAGCACGTATGAACCAGTAGAATGCATACTCCGGTAACAGCGTCAATGTTCTGCCGCGACTTCGAACTTGTCGTCCTCGATCAACAAGCACAACTGTGCGGCAACAACTTGAGCTTTTGTCCCAGTAAGATGTCTCGCACATCACGTCCCGGGAAGTGGCCTCTTGAGGATCGCAGTCCCAATACGACTTCGAGGTCAGTGATCTGCATTCCTGATATACGCATGTTGGATTCCTTGTTACACAGCCATGCTGGCGTGACAGATCTTTCAGGTCGTGCTGTTCGAGGGACCCGGGAGGGTGCTTCCCGTGTTGTAGACAAACCTCTAGTCCAAACGTGCACAGAACTTTACCGTCGAAGGAAATGCTATGAAGCCTAATCGAGCTGTAATGTGAGTTGCGGCGTACTGTGTTGAATGGAACCAAGTAGAAGCTTGTCTTGTGATAGGTTCAAAAGTTCTTTGGTTCAAGTATCTTGGGTAATGTACAGCACATCTGCATCTATGCAGTGCCCGGCTCAAGCTGCACATCGTCAATTAGCAGGTGATACAAGTGTGCAAAATATGCACAACTTACTCTCCATGGGTTGCTTAGCTCAAAGCCCTTTGGTGCCTTCACGTTGTCCGTCTGCCCTCGCAGGAAACCTGTAAGCCGCCTGTCTCGGTCCATCACTGCGCGCACCCGTCAGTAGTCTGTCCCCGTGCTACATCTTCTGCCCTACATACTTTGCTTATCCCACTGGTCTACTGAGTGTCGTTGTCTCTTGCCACCATTTTGCATGTGTCGCAGCTTGCTCAAACCCGCGCCCGACAGACCGAAGAACTGCGGAAGTTGTTAGTGGCTTCGTAGTCGGATGGAGTGGGAGGAGCGCAATCGTACGCCGAGGCAGATGGCATATGGGAGGAGTGCTTCGAATGGCACGCCCATGGTGGTGTGGAAGGCAGCGCTCGTTCGTGGTGTGGTCAATGGCGGAACTGCGCTGCTGCAGCAGTCGGTGGTGATGTTGTATGCTGGAGTTGCTCGGCTGGGGCCAAATATCGTGGCTCGTGAGGAAAGGCTGAAGGACGACACTGTCCGCCCTGAGTCTGTCTTTGCTGATGGAACAGGTGACTACTGCCTGGCAGTAAATCGATGCTGCGGTCTGCTGATACAACACGTCTCGCCTGCAAACAGACCGCCGTACTTGCAGTTGCAGAGGGAGAAGGAGCTTGGTTTCACGACTTTTGCGGGAGCCTCGCGCGGGACAGCTGCTTGATCGCAGACGTAGGGAGAACGGTGGGGACTTGAGACACGCATTTCCAGACAACAGCAGCATCAAACGCCATCTCGACCACTCTACCAGTGTCGCATCGCCTCAAACTCTTCATCGAGCCGCAGAACACCCTCCATCGAGCCTGCCAAAAGAGAGCAGCACCGCTTTGCGGGCAAGCGCGGATTAGTCAGGTGGAAAGCAGCGACGACGACAGCGACAACGCGCTCAAATCAGCTCGAGCACAATCCATATCAGCTACACGACGTCTGTGGAACAGAAAACGCGTGCCAAAGCTCAGACATCACGTCCAGATACCAGTCTTGGCGGATGGGTCTACACCTGGCCGCGGAGCAGAGACCGCTGCGCAACTGAGGCCGCGAGCGAGGCGCACAAGCAAAATCACGAAGGCTAGAGGCAGACGGGGAGGTCACATGGGATAAATAGCGGTCCGACAGGCAAGGTGGCTACCATAGTGCTCAACCACGCCCACCCCACCCCGAGCAGGGTGCGCGGCCGTGGTGTTAACTACAAGGCTCACTTCGCCGCCGAGAAGATGGAGCTGGACGAAGACGCCGACGCACCAGGTGAAGAGGAGGTTGAGGAGGACCAGGAGTTGGAATACGATGACGAGGCCGATGCTGAAGGCGAGATCGAAGAGGAAGATCTGGGCTCCGAAGCTGATGCCGAGGGCGAGATCGAGGATGACGACGAGGAAGGCGAATTTGTGGGTGCTGTGAAGACACGATCCAGTCGAACAAGGTCCCGACGCTCTCCAGAAGACGAAGACTCGGAAGGCTACGAGGGAAACCAGGAAAATGACTCCGATAGCGAGAGCTCTCAAGCGGACGAGGGCAGCTGGCAAGCTGCGGACGATGCTGAGGAAGACGACGACGACACCAAGATTGAAGGCGCCGACGCTAATCGCTGCATGTAAGTTGCTTCGGTGCAGAAAATGTGTTGTATAGAACCTCGCTAACGAATACTGCAGCTTTTGCAAGCAGACCGAGGAAAACGATCCCGGTGAGGAATTTGAGGAATATCTGGCGTGTGCAGTTTGCGGCGACAATGGTAAGTTGTTGTGAAGTGAGCGAAGCTTGAAATCGAGTTTCGAGAGGTAAAGGATGGAAGAATTGCGGCAAAGCAACAAATGATATCAAACGTTCAAGGGTCCGAGCACGCGCTGACTTCCGTTCCTGCAGCCCACCGGCAATGTGCCAGAGATGCAGGCTCGCTAGCTGCCGACCAAGGTGCGTACCGAGACCTGAATATAAAAATCCCACAGTCGCATATCTACTGACACGATCTTTTAGAGGCTGCACATTGGCGATGTCAAGACTGCGTGGCCAATGGCCTCGAGGAAGATTTCAAAGATGTGCCCCAGATGCTCTCAAATCGGCGGCGGTCGTCTGCGCCAAAGATGGCCCGAGATCTATTGCCGCAAGCTCGCGGTGGCATCAAGCCTGGATCGCACTCGGTATTTAACACTCTCATACTGCCCGACGACGAGATGGATGGGTCGAGATCGCTCAGGAAGCGCAAGACTCCCTCCGAAGACGTAGATGATGCTCTGCGCAGCAGCAACCGAAAGCGTCCGAAAACAACAACGCCCGAAGACGAGCGCAAGGACCACGTGCCCGAGATCGTTGTAGAGCAGGCTGAAAGCGTCGACGACGACGATGCCAAGGCGACATCCAAGACGCGATCTAGTCGACCCCAAAGGCAGAAGAAAGATAACCTTGGATGCCGGATCGTTCATCGCTCAGACGACCCCAAGAGTATCATCATCTCCTTTCCAGTCACCGTGGCGCAATTCGAGACGATCGAGAAGGATGTCTTGAAGAAGCAGAAACGTCGCGAGCGTGATCGGGCACGACGAGCCCGCAATAGTCGACGCACTGTTACTGCCGAGCCAGAGGACGGATCCGGAAGTGTCTCGACGATACCCATCGTGCAGACGACCATGTACAACAACCCATTCTTTCCCTTCCAGGATCGCAACGTGGACGAACATCAAGGCAAGCCTTATGGCGGGATACTCACAGACGCAGAAGCCGATACAAAAAAGACGTACCCGGACGACACCGATCGAGCGGCTTTCCAGGCTGCGAGGGAGAAGGCTGACGAGGAATGGAAGCAGAAGCTTGCACGACAGAACGGTGAAACGCCTGCACGACCCAAAAAGGCCACGCCCGCGAGCAAAATCAAGTGCATCAATTTTGGACAGTACGAGATTGACACGTGGCACGCTGCGCCATATCCAGAAGAGTACAGCCGCAATGAGCATCTCTACATCTGCGAATTCTGTCTGAAATACATGAATTCGGACTATGTCGCGTGGAGACATAAACTGAAGTGCTCAGCGAGGCATCCTCCAGGCGATGAAATTTACCGCGACAACATCATCAACCCAGACACAAAGCAAGAGACAACCCTTTCGTTCTTCGAGGTCGATGGACGACGCAACCCGCTGTACTGTCAGAACCTCTGCTTGCTGGCCAAGCTCTTCCTGGGGTCGAAAACGCTCTACTACGACGTGGAACCCTTCCTGTTCTACATCATGACCGAGAACGACGAACACGGATGTCATTTCGTGGGCTACTTTTCAAAAGAGAAGCGCGGCATGGGTGCACCTGCGGCTCCGATTGAACCTAGGACGTCTTTCGATGAGAACGCGCAGAGTGCTATTGCTGCCGATAACCAGGCAAGTCTGGAGGGCACAGCACAAGATCCTGCACTGCAGAACCCAGGCAACAACGTGTCATGTATTCTGGTTCTGCCCGTACACATGCGTCGCGGCTTTGGCAGAGTGCTCATCGAGTTTTCTTACCTGCTGACACAAGTTGAGGGTCGAACTGGGTCACCGGAGAAGCCATTATCTGACATGGGTCTGGTCTCCTACCGGTCCTACTGGCGCAATGTTTTGTGCAAGCTGCTGCTTCGGTTTCGCGACAAAGAAGAAGAAACAAATGCTGGCAAGCAGCTTACGGTTGTACAAATTGCCAAGGAGACTGGGATGACTCCTGATGATATCGTCTCGACGCTCGAAGGACTTCGAGCATTGGTACGGGATCCTCATACTGGAACGTACGCACTCCGGCTCGATTACGATTACATGCAAGAGTATGTCGACAAGCACGAGAAGAAGGCGACGATCAAGATTAATCCACACAATCTCTGCTGGACGCCGTACATTATGGGCAGGCCTACGAACTTGTTCGCCATGGGCGAGGAGACGAATCAGCCTATCCAAACGGTAGCGTCCCGGGCAGATGAAAATGCAGAACTGCCTGCGCAGCCAGAAGAAGGCGTGAAACAGACTTTGAAATCAGAGGAGACTGCTACTGATGGCAGCCAGGCGAATGGCGATATCGCCGTTGCGACCCCGACAACAGAACTCCCACCACCTGCGCTCAATGATCTGGAGGTCTCGCCCAAACATCCCAAGAAGACGCCGCCTCCTCTCACGCTCACCCCTCAGACCTCTTTCCTCGTGGACAAACAGAAGAGCAAGGACAAAGACTCGCCCTCTCGCCGCTCCCCTCGCAAGACACCGAACGGGCATACAACTACGATGCACATTCGTACAAAGTCTCAACAGCTCGCATCCGGGGAAGCCACCCCCAATTCCGACTCGACCGGCTCGCAACCCACTTCCGCAGGACCCATCCCACCTTCTCGATTCGAAGTCTTCCCTCCTATTCCTGGCCAGCCGCAAACAGTCAAACGACGTGCGAATCGTCCATCGGCGCGACGAACAAGCTATCGTAACGCGTATGGCACTCCAGCTCGACGACGAAGACCGGACAATAGGACCAATGGAGATAGCCCCTCCAGGCCTAGAGACCGTAATCGAACGTCATCGTCTACCAGAAGCAGAAGTAAGCCTGAGACCCCTGCTGCGGGACCCAGCAGTCTGCGGAGAGGTCGAAGTAAGCTAGGTGATATCGTCACGTTGGCAGATGTGGATCGCATCACCGAGGAACAGGACAAGACTGCAAGCGAGATGGCTGCTGGTGATGATGTTGCCGACGATGATGAGGCTGATGCTCCTGGCGAGGAGGAAGAAGACGATGAGGCAGACGCCCCGGGCGAGGAGGAAGAGGAGATCATGTACGAATGATGATGACGGGTGCAATTGCTAACGCTTGATGCGAGTGCGAGAGTACCAAACGTCCGTTTTGTCGCGTTGAAGCGAGTCGGGGAATTCTATCTGTTTTTGGAGGTTCCGCCAGCCAGCGGACCAGCTTGTGTGTGTTTCTTTTGCGAGAATGACGATCGTGGGATTTTGTCTACGGGTGGAACAGGAGTAGGGTCATGTCGGATGACCCTACGTACGATTGGGAAATGGGAGGATGTGCTCGACAGCAGGATTCTCGTGTCAGGATTAGGAAATCGGCCGGTCTCGGTCGCTGATTGTAATTATACTTGTTCTTCTTCTTCCCATCATCAGAAAAGGGACAATGAGATACCCCGAAAAGGATGGATGCGTTAGATAGCTCTCTGAGGTGGAGACTCAGGGCCCGAGTGCGTGTATACTATATTGAGTAATGGCAATGAAGGATCAGTTTGGAATGACTGCTTTGGGAGTGTCTCTTGCTTTCCTGCATTGTTTCGGGCCTTGTGCTATGCCTGTTTGGGTAGCTATCATGATGATACGAGCGAGCTCAGCCGGTATATGGAGCCGGAATAGAGATGGTCAACGATCATCTGCTGTCTGTCGATCGTTCTGAGGCAACGCGGTTGTGATGTGCTATGGCAAGACTGCCCAACAATTTGAAGTCTCGGAAGGTCATGGCAGAAGATTGAGGTTCTTCCTCATGGTCGTTGATATCGTGAGCGGGCGGAGAGCAACAACAGGACTTGACAAATGAAAATCCCGGTCAATCTCCTACGCAGCTCGATCGTTGATCAAGCGATTCTGACATCTCGGCTGCGAAGACCTCGTCGGTAGGACTTGCAAGGCTGCGCGCTAAGATCAGCCTTGCGAAATCAATGTCATGCAAGTATGTCGCGCATCGTGTAGAAATACATCCACGCACGAGCACGGAGCTTTTCCTTGGTTACGACATGCGAGGTCAAGGAGTATTAGCTGACATTCTTTCCCCATGTAGCTTGTGCCTTCGGAGAACTCCATCCGGTCTGACGTTTGTCATAGTACTGTACGCCACTTCTGCTGTTCTTCGTATGGAACACCGCGGAGAGTAGTCCGCGGCTGCCGGTGAATCGATTTATAACCCCAGTGAACCAAGAGTTGCGTGTTCAAACATAGGTCTTGGTGGAAGCATTGATCCAGGTTGCCGGAATTTGTGGTGGGTCGGGAAGAAGTTGGCTGCTGCTGCAGCTCATTGAAGCTTCTACTAGGAGTTGGCAATATGTGAGCCGCTGTTTGTGATCGTCAAGGGTTCCACGACCTGCTTTGAAGGATTCGGGAGGGATGGTTTTGACAGCCGCCAGAACCAAGGTCTTCTCGCGCGGCTAAGTCGTTGGCGCAGGGGCGGATAAGGTACCACCAGCTGAAGTGCTGAATTTGAGAGCTCGGAAATATGGAACCGAGCACGACCGAGTTCTGTACTGCTGCATGAGGTTCACTTGAGCAAGCGACGTGCAGTACCTGGACTGGGCGCGAAATGCAGCAATTATGTGTGCATGCGGGTCGAGCAACGCATTCGAAGGTTCCTCGCTCTCAAATTCATATTGTGATCACCAATACCTTGCCTCTGTGCTGTTCTCAGTCTGGGCAAGTACTACGATCAGTCTTTCCAGGTCAGTCAAGGCGGACAACGACTTTGTCATCGTTGGCCACTGGCCACCTGAAGTTTTCTGACAGGAGTGACACAGCAGAGTCCCGAAGGCGTCGCCCAGAATACTGCGGGAACTAAGACGTTCGCGCAGATTGGTGGGAGGCCCGTCTGCATACTGTTGCTTGGATGCGTTCTGGGTCTCGTGCTCTTGAAATTCAGTGCGGAAGGCAGTGAAATGGCGGATCATGTTGGAAAAAAGGCAGAGAGTCCAATGCGTACGTGCTCGGAGCTCCACATCTTTCGTAAATTGTCAGCAATTGTTTCATGGCATAACTCACAAAGAATGCGAGCTGTAATTGCATCTAAAGATCAGTCCTCGAGTCGAGTCGCAACGTAGAGTCAACAGAAAGTCAAACGTCCTCGTCTTGTCCCAGGTAGCGTGCGCGTGCGTGCTGACTGCGGACATGCTTGTGACGAAACTGTGCGTTTCTTGTCACAAAATGTGCTAATCAGTCGAGCATTGGGCCCTCTGTGCTACACCATCGAGCGCAGCTCTGAAGGCCTTGAGGATCGACAAATGCTGCTAATCTCATGCTGTACAGGACAAACTGTTCAGCAGCGTGGTCAGTCTTAACGTGAGCACACCGTTGCAGTCGTGTCGCATCCAGTGTACACAGGACTGAAGTATGACCTCGTCGGAGGCAGCGATCGCCAGCCCAAGACAGATGCAGATACTGAGTCCAATGCCAATCGAAGATGAGACCTGCAACTCCACGCGAGGGATGCAACGCGCGTCTCTGAGTAGCATTCGAAACTTCTCCGCATCGCACACTGCAGTGTTGCATTGCTGTGTCGCTATGAGCCCCGTCATCACAACGTGCTTTGATCAAGTGACAGATAGGCATAGTAAATCGGATGGCCGGTGTGAGGTGTTTTGACCATCCTGAAGCCCGATCATGCCTTCTGCAGCCAGGATATAGAACCTTGAGCAATGTGATGTCTGAGCTCATCGAGCCTATTGGAATGGTCGCGCGACGCAGTGAGCTCCACGAGGGCGGTGTCATGAGGCCAGTGCTGCATGTATGCCCTCCTGCACACTCCTCTTTGGGAAGACACGCTGTGCAGCCGCTTGCAGAGACCGAGAGGCCCGGGACATGTCATCCAGAATTCGTCGTCAGTGCTTGTCAGTCAGTGTAGATCACCATCGTAGCAGCGGGCATTGACCTTCCGCTGGACGGGGCAACTCCTCCTGCCAACTTCGCATATCGAATGCCAGCCAAGCCGGAGCGGGTCGTCTCTGACTGACCTCCGAATGACTGTTATTGTGCTGGCCTGATCACTACTGCAGTTGCACGGACAGCGGAACAGCTCATTGCGTCGCCAAGACTTGCCCTCCGATATGTGGTCGTCACTGAGAGCTCCAAGACGCGCGAGCAGTCCGAGCTGGCAAAGGAGGCGTCCGTGTTCTCAGGGCGCTATCACTATCGTGACCTGGCTTGGACTGCTCTGGTGGGTCGTCTTCAGGGCACAAATGGGATCCTTCGACTTCATGCTCATGGATCGCGGTCTTCTCGCCGTAGCGTTGAGAGAGACTTTGTGTGGCTGTGACTAGTTCTTCACATGTCCATCCGGCCAGGCTCGCATCACAGCCACAAGGCGCGCCAGTCGGTGGCAGTGTGCAGCGTCGAGGGCGCGTCGGGATGGATTGCACCGCCCAGAGCAGGTGAAGCGAGCGCAATGGCTCTAGATCGTAGCCCGTCGCCAATCTGAGACAGTTGTCTCTCTTCCGAGATAAGGACACGAGCACGAGCATCAGGCAGTAGCTCGTGCCTGGGGATGTCGAGCCTTCCCATCCCGACTGCACCGCGCGCTTGAGAAGGAGCAGTCCGTCGTGTAGCTAGGAAGCAATAGTCAGCATAGGAGGATGCAGCTATTGATTCACAGCATCAATAGGACGTCAATAGTAGCTTGAATTCGGGCAGTCCTTCCGCCCGTTCATTCGCCTGACGTCTGGTCGCGCTCGAGCACGGACTTTCTGCGCGCCGGGGAGCGCCTTCCAAGCTCGTCTTCCCAGCATAGCGCCAAACTCAATTGCCACAGTATCGTAGATCACCGTGGTTGGTTTGCCTTCTGCTCGGCTCGACGAGAATGCCAAGGCAATTCGTCAGAACTATTGAAATTGAACAAACTGCTCAGGCGCGACCTCGGTGTCCAAATGAAGTCGTGGTCTATATCGCAAGCATTATAACCTGATATTTTCGACTCGCCAAGCCCTGTGCAGCTGAGATGAGACCTGACACACAGCAGTTGGGAATTCCGCTTTTCTGGCCAGTAGGAGGCGAGAGAATGTTTGACGCTTGCTCGACAGGCGGATCACCGCTACCGTAAATTCCAGTTCGTCGAAGCTCCAACGTGCATGCACGCCTTGCGCAATTTCTCAAACCTTTTGCTGGCCCTCACCTGCAAGCGGAAAGTCTATTGCACCACAGTGCAATCGTGACGCAGACAGATTTGTAATGCATGGTCTTTGTTTCAGAGCAGAAGAGCAAAGCGTTAGTAGCAGTGATTGTTTCGGAAGAAAGGCTGAGCCAGTGTTGTTTAATGATGATTGGTATCCAAAAATGTACATGTGAAGAAGTGAATCTGTAGAGGACGTCCTGTTGACCGTACAGAGAGTCGTACAATCATGATGGTTCATGTGCAATTGCATCCACCTCCCTTTTTTTTTGAATGCGCGTCCCATACCACCAACACCTCGCTTCCCAGTGCGCAAACATCGGATCCAAGCCCTCGCTCCCTGTAAAATCAAAATGCTGTGTCGGTTCCGGATTAAGTCACCATATTACCCTGAGTCAACCATGTGCTGTAGCCCCGAAAGCAAGACCGGTCTGATGCAACAGATGGCAATGCGCCCAGCGAGCCATCAAGGCTCTCGCTGCGGTTACCATGGTCGGAAACTACCATGAGTACGTGTTTCCGGATCCTAATAGGCACGCGTTTGCGAATCTGCATATGCATATCCGCCCGACGACTCTGGCGCTTCCGAGCCGTACAAGCCATTTGCCTGCAGGTAAGCTGTGTTGTACGGATGTCCCGGTCCTGAAGACAACGAGTTGCTATCTGAGATGGAGCTTCCCGGCATTTGCAACTCTGGGTAGTGATGCCCATCCGACGATGGCTGGCTCGAATAGTGAGCTTGCTGAGGATACGGATAAGAGCTGCTAGGGTAAGAGTTCCTCGGGATGGTGCTCACTCCTCCTGGATCGCCGAACATGGTGGACTGCTGGCTGGTCGTGGTTGGATATGGGCTTTGTTGTGGTGCACTGACAGTCACACTCGCGGTCGGTGAGGGAAGCGCGCTATTCTGCTGTATCCCTTGCCAACCCGCGGACTGCATACCCATCGACCGACCACCCATACCCAGCGTATTCGGCGAATATTGGCCCCCGTAGCTCCCGTAACCGCGTTGGTACTCGTTATTTCCCATCGCGTAGCGCGTGCTGCTTGGCAGCGAGCCGGCGTAAGTCGAGTTCGGTGTATCTGCTATCGAAGAATTCTGGTACATGGAGCTGTCGTATTCGCTTGAAGATCGATGTCGCTTGACTGCTGGCGACTGCGCTGTAGTGTTGTAGTGATAGTCTTGTACTGCGCCTCCATGCATGGTGGAGTGCACAGAAGGCGATGTGGTGTCAGGTGGAGATCCGTTGTATGCGCGCTTCTGGCCGCTGATGCTCGATATTGCTCGATTGTCCTTGCGCACACGAAGCTTGACACCTTGATCCGAAAATGTACGCGTTAGGTGCGTAGACTCCGACATGCTTCCGAAGTCTCTTTGAGCGACGACCGGGAATTCGGCAGAGTCGATAGAGCCTAGAAAGACGACCTCATCGGTTTCCCTGCACTCGTTAGCTATGTTGAGAAGAGCGACGTCTACAGGGTTGCACTGACTTGTTGGTATCGAACAAACTGAAGCGCAACTTGTACTGGCCCAGCTTCTTTGCCGATATGTCGCCGAAGACGAAGAAGCCTCCATCCTTGTTGTTGATGTCCTTCAATCGGTGTAGCGATGACACGGTCTGCCCTATCAGGAGTTTTCCTGGCGGTTGCTCGTGTTCATCCTTCACAGAGATCAAGGTGACCATCATGAACGTTCGAGGGCTGACGAGCCATTGCGCGTTGTTCGGGTCGTCACGATCGTTGTACTTGAGCTCGATGATCGGCGGAGGGTCGATGGGCTTGCGGTTCTTGGGGTTGTTCTCTTGTACGACCTGTGCCCTCTTCGGTTCCTGTCGTACTTCGAGCCGAATCTGATCTCGCGCCATCATGTTGCGTTCCGCCGAGCCCAAGTCAGGTCGGCCAGACGATTGAAAGCAGTGAAGTTTCCGGTGGCTCGTGTGAGAATGCAACCAGAGGGTGTGAAGATTGGTCCTAGAACGAAGCTCTTGAGAGAGATGAAGGAAGCGGTAGACGTTGATTCAAAATGCACCGAAGCTGCTACGTGGAGGAAGGCGATCGGCCACCCAACTTTGTACGGCGTCGGTGGCAGTAAAGTGGAGGGTTAGGTGGGCAACTGGTGAACCAGAAAGCTTCCAGGGCGTGACTCCAGTAATAGTTGTGATGATGGTCAGGTATACCCCACGTGCAGAAAGTCTGTCGGTGGAAGGGCGTCCAGCGTTGCTCGCAAGTCAGCTGAATACGTGATGAGAGTGTGGGCAACGAGACGAAGGTTTGTGGTTCGTTCCACTCGACATGGAGATTGAGAGCTGTTGGAAAGTCGAGTGGCCAGTTATTGTACAATCGTCGGACCACAGTCTGAAGCTCTGAGCACCTCGTTCGGCAAATGGCACCTGCTTCTCCTGCAACGTCTGTTGCGCAATAATATGCGACTAAATGACCTCTTGCCGCGCCCTGCCGTCGATGCTGGCAGAATGGGGGAAAGATCACGTTGTCGCAAGCCGGGTGCTCGATTCCTAGATTGTCGTGTGGTGAAGCCTTTGATTCCTCGATCGACCACCGTTGCCGCACCCAGACCTGTGGGCGGAGCGTGGAGCGCAGCTGGGTTCCCGGCTCAGGCGCACCCAGAGGGATATACCCGCCTCCCCGTGCGATCGACGAGGCGGCTGTGGGAGGGTCGAGTCCGGTTTGAGGCAGGCAGCGGTTTGGGGAGCGATGCTCGATTGGGGAAGAATGCAGGTCTCAGATGTCAATGCAAGCGGTGGGAGCGTACCAGAGCGGGCGTCGAGAATAGTTTCGGTTTTGCTGTGCTTGGGTGGAGGGGAAGGCCCCACTGTTGACCTGTGCCAGCCAGCCTGCAGGAGCAATCAGTGCTCTGCGTGCGTGCGGTGACGAGCAATGGCCCTGAGATCGCCTTCCTTCCTCGCCTTCCGCAACGATGACCGCGGTTGACCGGGGAGCAGTCACAGCAGCACGCGGCTCGCTCTCCCCATTCACTGCTCGCTGTCGGGCAGGCCTGCGAGCGAGGACAACAAGTTGACAACGCTCTTTGTGCACGCAGTTGCTGCACGCCCGTCCGCTGCAGCGCCTCTGGTTGGCGGTTAGAGTGCAGAAGGTTGACAGCCCGGCTCGCTACCAGCGCAAGCAGGCTATGCACACTCCAATTCAAAATCCGCCTGTGATGAAGAAGGGCAGTTGCCGGATCGAATCGCCGGCTTTCCGCGCGCTCTTGGTCAACGACCTTGGTCAGTCAGCCGGATGGCGCGGTCCTGGCGGGGTGAGGATATGGCTGAGCTGGGCTGCGGTCGTTCGTCCAGCACAGTGCGAGTGCAGTGCGGTGCACAGAAGAGCACGCACGACGAGACGATACAGAACAGCATCAGCGCGGCGAGAGCAGCGCCGGCAGGTAAAGAGAGCCAATTGCTGCACCAGTGACGCACCACAATTCATTGATACTATGGGGAGATCCGCAAGCCATGCCCAAGTGGGAGCTCAGCAGCAGCAGGACGTTGCAGGGGTGATTTACGCAGAACGATGCGCCGGCTCCGGCTGAGGGCTCGTGAGCCGCGAATGAGGATGGCGATGCTGGCGATGCCTCATCACCGCTGCTGCTGCTGCTGCTCGTCGCCATCGTCGGTGTGGCCACGGGCTGCGTATTCGCTGCGTGCGGGCGCCGTCGCTGGGCTGGATGCCGCCATGGTCGATGGTGCTGGAGGGCGTGAGTGATGAGCGAGGCGAGTGGTGGTCGCCAGGCGGCAGAGCACCCCTGCAGACACCGGGCACAGGCGTGGAGGATGAGCCTAGCACCGAGCTGGAGCGCAAACCGGGCTCGCCTCTCCTCTGCCTGGCCACCGAGGCGTCGGCCGCTCCGCTGAACGCGTGAGGCCAGACGGCAAAGAATAGCAACACTTTACGGTGCGTTAGGTTTGCTTGGATGTGCTCCTCGCGCTTAGATCCCGGCAGCATATGCGCCTGACGCACGTCCGCGCGAATAACACGCTGCAATTGACTTTCTGTTGAGGAGACGTCTTGCCTGGGCATTGCTCTCGCCGCCGTCTGCGCTGCCTTGCGTCGAATATACATGTACATGCTTGCCACCGCCCGTCACGTCACATGCGCCGAGGCACCGCAGCCAGCGCCAATGCATCTACGCGCGCTCAAGGACGAGCACCGCATTCGCATGTGCTGCCCGGCCCTGCTCTGCTCTGCTCTTGGCCCACAGCCCAATCCGACGTTGCGTTTGTCGTGCCACAAGCCACGTTTTCGCCGCACGCCAGCATCTATCTTCGCGTGGCAGCCCTGTCTTGTCCAGCGGCACTCGTCGTATCAGCAGCCAGACCATTGGGCCATGTCCAAATGACCGTCAAACTGCCGTCGCGAGTTCTGTCGCTGTTGCAACACCATCTTGTGGCAATAGAGCGGCAACCGCACGTACTGTTGTCCCGCTCCGCAAAGGGTTTAGGCGTCTGGTTGTTCGATGCACGCCACAACTCTATCACGTACAGGACTGTGGCAGCTGATGATCCGCGCTTGAGGCTTCTCGCCAACACTACCGACTAGTCGCCAGGCAGAGCGAAACAGCAGACACTCTCCGCCCAGCGACGGCGTGGACGGTCAGTCTGCTTCAGTGGAATGGTTCCGCAGCCGTGAGGCTCTACATCGGTGTCCGGCTGAGTGGGGATGCCCACGCCTGAGGAACACGCAACAGGAGTACGAAGCAAAAGACGAGACTGCGAGCACTGCCGCAGCTCGCATCACCCCGAACTTATGGCCACGGCATTGTGCGCAAGCGATCCCGATCGATACTTCACGAGGGTGTGAGCGCACCAAGACTCACAATGAACACGCGACTGCCATGGTCCACTCTCGTCGCCCCAGAGCAGGGATTTTAATCTCCCGAAATCGCGCGTCTCAAGCTTCTGGAATGGTTTTGGAGAGACGAGCCCATCCCCCGCCAGCGCTGGCTACCGACGGCATATCAGCGGCCGTGCGAGTATTCATTGCTTCTATTCACTGCATATCTTCCACTCCTCACACCGCGACAAAGTCACCAGTGGTCCCGAGGTGCCCGGTAGGCCGTGGAAGCAGTCTGAGAGGCGCGCGATCTCAATCCTCTGTCGCGCTCGCTGGAGGCGGAAAGCAGTCACGATGTCGATGTCGGTGTGCCTGATTGGCGTGTCTTGCTGCTAGAGGTCGCACACTCGTGAGGAGACGCCAAAGCTCCACTTCACTGCAGCTGGCGGCCACGCGACCTTCAAGGAGTGCATCTGCAACCAGGTTCGAAGTACCACCTACCATGGCTCTGCGAAGATCATGAAGCTTCTCACCACGCCCACTCGAGTGACCACATGTCGCCGTCACCTCAGTGTCCTTCTCAGCGTCGGTGCTTATCTCACGAGGCCGATACAGGCAGACGATGGACGACTCGCAGAATCAATGTCGCACATTGCCATGCATTATCATGGATCTCTGATGGATGCACACTGCTTTTACTAGGTGTATTCATATAACCTCGCAGTTTCACATGCCACCTGGACCGCTGGTTATGGAGCCTTGCAGACACAGACACGACAGGGTGAACTGCCACGTGGGCGCCCAAGATGCCACAACATACTCACGCATAATATATTCGAAGCGTTAGCTACACGCTTGGCACTGTGTCCTAAAAATTGACGAGTGGGACCCACTCGATTCTTCAACAAGGCACATCTCCGCACGCGAGCTTCTTCAGTGGTCGCCGTGATAATTACAGTACGGTGTGCACATCGGTGTAGTCCCTCAGCCCTTGCTACACGACATCTACGCGAAGCATACGCCAACATCAGTCCTCGACAGACATATGGCATTCTCGTGTACTCTACACTCTGTGCGATGGCAGGTCACACCACACGGATCCAGGCAGCTGACAGATATTATGTGCTGTGTGTGCAACACCGCTCTTTAGCTGCTCTGCACAGCCCAAGCGAAGCCATTAACGCGGTTGCATCACTATTCGTCATGTCCTCCACCATGACCAGCGCTTCCAGGCATGAACAATCGAATTGATTCGAAATTATCGTTGGCGTCGCACAAAACTATGCGCACTTGGGCTACTGCTTTTTCTGACAGATGCGGTCAGCCTACCTGCAGGATGCGTTCGTTGATGATGACTGACTGCTCGCATCGTGCCCACTTTCCGCGAGTAACGCTTCGTTCTCGGTGGCTTGCCGGCTCGGGATCTCGACACGGGAATTATCTCTCTATCACCCGCGGACAATCCATGCATCGCATTCCGGTATCTGCGGCACATTCTCGCCAGACTTCTCCGGTGTGAACATCGGCATTGTTGATGAGGATTCTCGTGTGAAGTCACCACGCCCTTTGGCTGCGGCACTGGGCTCATGATGAGAGAACAGCAATCAAGAACGATCAAGGCGTCGACCAAGGTCCGCCATATTCACTGGACTTGTTGGCAGCATACCAAGCTCATCACATTTTGGCTGGTCACTACGGCCAATGTAGATGATCCTTGACTTATCTACCGAGTGTTCTAAGGCTTATAACATTGACAATTTGTGCAGCTTTGTAGCGCCTTGAAAACCTCATCTTTCTCGACTGCTTGCTTTGCAACTGATTCTCCCGAACAGCAAAATATCGCGAAACTTGCCGGCTATTAGAAGCGAAAGCGATGCACAATGCTCGGCAGTAAATCAATACCGTCAGCGGCAAAATGACAACAAAGCCACGACAAGACACGCTCGATTACACCTTGCCCGTGCCGGACATAGTGCTTTGCGTGCTTGCAGCTAGCTGATCGTGGCTTGATCATCGCGATAGCACTGTCCCAGGTATTCATTCGTGTCTCGTCTCTGATATAGTTGAGACTAGTTGCCTCTGAGGTAGGTCATGAGCGTGATCCTCGGGGCAAATGCGATCGGGACGTTTCGCCAACCGCAGCTGCATCAATTCTACGTCCCTGCGGTGATTACATTAGTACGGAGTCTTCAAAATTCCTCGGCTAATACAATAAACGTCTTCAACTCCATGCGCAGCCAGAGTCGAGGTCACTGCTGTGCCGGGTCTCGCCCTCGCAATGATATGGAGACGTCCGTTCAATCACGACAATTGCTGGCGCATCGACTGCTTCAGCACGGAAAGCACGGATCGAGAAAGTACGATCGCAACGAGCGAAGTATTGCTCTGCTTCATGTTGTATTGTTACACCGGGACGGAGCCCTGCTTCTGCCGACTTACGAGGCCACGTCCTCTATTGCTGTGTCTCCTGGACGTTTAGAAAGATGGAAACTCGAACAGCAGCATCAATTACAAGCTCTCTTCTAATACAACCTTACTACATGCCGATTAGATCTTCTGGGGCTTACATGCCCAATCGTTCAGCTGTGGAGTTAATTTGTTCCCCGTATTCTAGAGCCAGCAGTACCCAGAAACTGTTGAAATCAGCATCATATCAGCAGAAGAATATCCCTATCGGTCGCCAAGTGTCAGAGCTCGCTTTCAAGCAAGGCTACGGTGTTTGCATACATCTAGCAATTTGTGCCAAGACCACATAGAGGTCTTGTTGCCGCTCGGCGGGAAGGCCGAGAATAGGTGAAGTCCGATCAAAATATCTATTTCTGGAGCGAGCATGCACAAGAGCGTTTGCGCGGTGCCAGTTACGACTTTGCTACCTGCCGGCGAGTTCTAAGGCTCAATCCCAAACTCTTCTGCGATGGCAAATTCTTTACCGCAAGTTGTGAAAGGCTAATGCACTCAACGTAGCTGACTCAGGACTGTTGAGGCTGGTGACAGGGATTGCACCTGCGAACTCGACTAGGAACCCGAGATCTTAGTTATGTTCGCTGGCGGCAAGCGCAGCATGAGGTGAAGTCGAGATATGCATTGCTTTTAACAGAAGTTGGCATGGGATAGTCCAGCAGAATTGCCTCTTTGAGGCAGCGCGGCGAGAAGGCCGAGACATCTTGGCCAGAGCTTGCATCGCGGCAAGTCTTAATACACTTTTGCTCCTGTTCTTCTCGACCACTCTCTTCGTCAACCGTGAATCGTCAGCCCGTCTCTTTCGAGCAATACTGACTTTCGGGAAGTCGACGTTCGCATAACCCAAATGTAGCCGGACAATCCGGACTTCGGACTCGCAATGTGTCCGCCAAGCAGTGGGTTCGAGCAATCGGAGCGAGGACAAAGATGCACCAGGCCCCAACGGATGATGAAAAGAACGAAAGCATCTTGATGCATCTACTCAACCAGATTATGCATCGGATCTGACATCTAAGTTGCTATATTCGACCTTTCTATACCTCTCACCACGCGACGATCCTGGCACGCTCTTTGAGATCCGTGGTTCTTCGCTCACAACCGATTTTTGGCGTTGTCCGCGTGCCATACGACAGAACTGCATGAGCCACTACAAGGTCATTGTTGAGTCTAGATCTGTGTTACGGGATCGAATCGCAAGAAGCCGACTGCCAACGGCACACAAGGTGAGTGTCGCCTACGTGCTGCACCATACTGCAACATCTGTAGCAATTCGTTACACGAACGCGACTGCTCTTATCGTGACTTCCCCATCATCCCTGCTTCTGGTGTGTAACGCAAGGCTGAAAGCTATACCGGACTAAACCCAGAGCTTCTACCCAGCAACTGCATATGACCTCCCCAGCACTTTCCTCCTCACGCTGAAATCTTCAATATTGCTGCCGACCTGATACTGCAATACACACTGATCGATCATGTCCTCACCTACAGCAGACGCCTATCATCACTGCCTAGATTGCAACAAGAAATGGGCCAAGGAAGTGGCAACTAAAGATCCTAACTTCTTCCCAACATGCTCCAAAGGTCAAGCTCCGCCAATTCTTTGGATCGGTTGCGCAGATTCTCGGGTCCCTGAGACGACGATTCTGAATTGCAAGCCTGGCGAGGTCTTTACACATCGGAATATCGCAAACATCATCAACAGCACCGATATCAGTCTGCTTTCCATCGTCCAGTTCGCAGTCTTCCATTTGAAGGTCAAGCACATTGTCGTAGCAGGACATACTTCATGCGGAGGCGTCGCCGCATCACTGGCCAATACTAAGTTGGACATCCTGGATATATGGCTGCAGCCTTTGAGAGCGTTACGAGAGAAGTTTTCGGACGAGTTGGACGATATGGACGAGAAGGAAAGGGGGACATTTCTAGCGAAGAAGAATGTACAAGCCGGAGTGGAGAATTTGAAGAGGATTCCGACTGTGATTGATGCGATGAGGGAGAGAGGATTGGATATTCATGGTGTGATTTACAATATTGATAAAGGGCTTTTGGAGGAGGTGGATGAGCCGGAGGATGAGAAGTATAGTGTGAGGAGGGTAAAGGTGTTTGAGCGGAGATAGGTCTGCGACGAGGGCCTTGGAGAGTTCACGGGACGCGTTTTTGACGCCCGACATGGATACGCGTTGTGGTTTGGAGACGGAGTATCTTGTCGAATATTCGGCTTGCCTAAGCACACAGCGACGTCAGTGGAAAAGAGAGTCGTGGTATCTGCTCTTGCTGCAACACATCGTATCCGCCGGTGTCCTTGATTTTCTTGAGCCTCTCGTGCAATCTTTCGAACAGCTCGTGGAAGGGCTCTACTGCGAACGGTAGGACCCGGACCCTGGCGATTTTGCGTCACCACGGGGAAACGTTGTGCCGATGTGAGCGGCATTTGGAGACTCTGGCGGCGAGGTTGGAGTAGGTCATTCTTCTCGCTCTCGAGCTATCTATCGCTCCGCAGACCGCCAGCGAGCATTGCAGGGCACACGGGCACAACGACACGATCAGACACGCCATGTCGCTGCTGCTGTGACGCTTGGAGGCTGCTTCGCGCAAGACCCCCAAACTCACCACTCGCCGGCCTCGAGCTTGTCGAGCGCGTCGCATCTTTCGCCCTCCAGATCCCTCTCTCCTTCATTCTGCTCCGCCCCCCGCGGAGCACCGCCGTCTATCATGGCACCGCCCATGTCGAGCCTGCGAAAGACGTCCAACATCATGACCGAACCCAGCCCGAACCCACACTACCTCAATCACAATGGCGTCCCACCACCGCGACGCAGCACCGCCGGCCGCGCGATTCGCACCAATACCACGAGACCTACCAACTACTATGCTCGCCCATTCGGCTCCATGACCGCTGGTATCGACCCAGACGCGAACATGGCCGACCAGTCCTCGCAGCCCGCCGGTTTCTTTCCAGCGTTGACCTTTTTCACTGACGCCATCACCGCTCTGCCGAAAGAGGTCATGAAGCATTACACGCTCATGAAAGAAGTGGAAGCCAAAATATACAATCCTACTGATCAGCTGGGTGATTTGATAGATACTCTCATGGAGCAGCCAGTGCCCACGCGCAAGCAGACCGCGAGTGCTGGAGCTCAGGTGGGCACAGCACAAGGCCTGCTCAGCTTGACCGCCAACAACAGCACGAGTGGTAGCGCCGCAGCGAGCCTCGTGAATGGCATCGGTGGGCGACATAGCGCGCAGCCCTCCATGGCCGGTTCCTTGGATGGTGCCGAGGCACCTGATAGCGAAGAGGAGCTCAAGCGCAGACATCAATACCAAGAGCTTCGCATGCTCACGCACTCGATGCTCGGCAACCTAGACGAGAAGATTGTCGTGCTCAATGAGGTGAATCGCGTCCTGGCAGCACAGAGCATGCGCATTGATTCGGTTATGCCTCACATTGAGGGCGAGATCAGCGAAGAGGCGCGGTTGGGCAGCATGACCCATTGGGCATATAGCGAGAATCGACAGAAGACGAAAGCAGCTGCGACTGGCGCGAACAGGCCTCGAGACGTGGCCGCGACAAACAACCTCGCGGCAGCGGCGGCAGTCATGCACGAGGTGGAAATCGCCCAAGCGAGGAACGATGCTCAGAGAGAAGCAGCCGGTGCTGGTCGCGGAAAAGGCAAAGGCAAGAGAGTCGTGGAGGCTGCTGGCGATTCTGACTTTGACGATTCGGCGAAGCCTCGAAAAGCGCCAAAGGTTGGCAAAGGAAAAGGAACAACAGCTGCGAATATCACTGGATTGGGCATCTCTACCAACGGCGAGCCTGCGCCTGTTAAGAGGAGGAAGAATGCGGATAAGGCTGCTGTTGTGGCGCCTGGCATGGAACGGCAACCCTCAACCCAGAAGGGCGCGAAGGGCAAAGACACGCCGCGAAGCACGCCCGCGATCGACCCTACGGCAGCAAAGGCGAAGGCAACGAAGGCGAAACCTGGTCCGCCCAAGGGCAAGAAGGGCATGCCGGGTTCTGCTCACAACAGTCCAATGTTGGCTAGCAGTCCACTTGCCTCCTCTTTCAACCCAGCAACCATGGAAGCACCTCCCGGCCCACGACCACAGAGTTCCAGACTTCGACAGAACAGCACTGCAACCAATCTTCGTCATGAGAGAGTCCAGGACGATGAAAGCGCGGCGAGTCGGCCCGCATCGGCTGCCGGCAAAGCGAACGGTAATGGCAATGCAGAGAAGGTCAATGGCAGGAGAAAGGCACACGAAACGACAGAAGAGCACGATGATAACACCGGCGATGAGCAAGCTTCAGTTCGCGCGCGTCTCACTCATGAGGTCAGCCAGAAGCTCAAACGTGAAGAAGCAGATAATGGAGACACCACAGGCAGTGGAAATGAGCGTGGACGGCCAACAAACTCGCGCTCTGGTAGTGACCGAGGTAAGAACAGCGGTCGAGGCTCCAAAGTCGGGACGCCGAAAACGGAGGCGTTCCCCAGTATTGGGTCAGCGGCTGTGGCGCGTGTCCGGAGCACGAGGCATTCGAGGCATGGAGATCGAGACTCCAGTTCTTCTGAGCCACAGATGCAAGGAACGAGCATACCGAAGCATAAAAGGAACGCCAGTAACAGTCATCTTGTCAAGCAGCTGGCACCGTTCAACAAGTCGCCAAACCTTGACCGGCACAGGTTAGACGATGATGACGACGAGGAAGAAGACGAAAATGGAGACGTAGCCCGGCCGAATGAGGGTGCCAATGCTGAAGATGAGGCTGAAGCGGAGGCAAGAAGAGCAACGCGAAGATCGACAACTAGGAGGCCGATTTCACGACGCAATACTGCCAACTCGGGCACTCTCATGATGTCGCCAGCGGCTATGAAAGACTCTCGAGAAAGTTCACCTGGTGCTTCCCCGCCACCAACAAGCGCGCGGCTGTCAACTAGGTCATCCGGCCGCAACGATCATACTCGCAGCGAGAACAGCTACAGTGCTGCGGCCGCGCGCATGGACGAGCCTCCTGCACTGGAAGACGATGACAGCGACGATGAAGACGAGGTTCCAGCCGAGCCTGAAGAAGACCTGGACGACGATGCTGCTCGAGACGCTGATCAAGAAGGCGATGATAGCGAGCACGATCCGGATGATCCCAACGAACAGAAATATTGCTACTGCAATCGCGGGTCATATGGCGAGATGGTGGCCTGTGACAATGACAATTGCGCAAAAGAATGGTTTCACCTGGGTTGTACAGAATTGCGAGAAACTCCTGCAGAGGATGACAGCTGGTTCTGTCGAGATTGTCGTCCGAGACCCGGCAGAGCAAGAGGAGGCCGTGGCGGAAGGGGTGGGCGAGGTGCCGGATCTTAGAGAGGCCGTGCTGGATCCAGAGCTCGCCGTCGCGCTCGGTGATGTGCTGTTGCTTGTAGATAAGACGAGAGATGTGAAGATCGGATGAGACTTTAGCATGGCAGCCTAACGAGAAGAAGAGTAGAATAGATATCCATATGACAAGCTCAAGCTCAGCTCAGTATTGGCAATGGCGGCACAACGAGCCTCAACATATGTCGTCTGCGAATGTGTAATCATTCAAAGGTGATTGGTCCAGGACTTTACGAATAAGTGTCTAATGATTCGCGGAGGAGAAATTCACAAGCCCGTCCGCGGACTTATACAAGATTGTGGCTGGTATCACCAAGGAGACGTTGGAACTTGTGGCGCAAGAACTGCGAATTGGCTTTCTTTTGTTCAAAGCTATTTTACGAGAGGCTATGCTACGCCTCATGCTGTGGCTATGGAAGATGCGCCTAAACTAGGAAAGGTGGAATCTAAGACCAGAGTTTTGGTCAGCTTATTGGGAACTGGGTGTAGTTTTCCGATTGATTACCGAACGTGACACCAGCGTAGGGGAAGTGTGTGGTAAGTTTCAGAAACAGCCTCTATGAGTTTGCAGCATCATGCACCCTTTTGGGGATGCATTTTGAGTGAGCTGGGTAGCAAATAGTGCTCTCATCATTGTGTGGTTGTGTATGTGTTGTGATGGGAGGATGAGAAGAGACTTACCGGTTTTGAAATGGGGTCGGTGGGGGAGGTAAGGCCCTGTCGTAGGTCTGTACGCACGTGAAAAGCGAGCAGGTCGGCCGTGTCTGCCACTGCACCGCCCAGTATATGGACAAGTGATCACAGATATGTTATGCGAAGATGAGTTGAGGAAAGGGAAGACGTCCAGAGAAGAAGTGGAATTAGGAAGGAGGCAGAAAGTTTTGCGCACTTCGGCCCGATCCTGCCGCGTACATCATCTCTGAGCTCGAACGCTCCTTTTGCAAGAAGACACGATTTCATCAGCAAATCAGGCAGACAACTTGACGATGCATCGTCGCACACGGCCGCAGCGCATGTTCGGACTTTTATGATGCGACTCTCCGCACTGCGACTGGACCGAGAAGGCGTTGTTTGTTTGGAGGAAGCCAGCCATTACCAACGTTGAACGCGTTGAAGCCTATTTGCCAAGGGGACAATGTCACCTACAGGGACTGTGTCGAAGGACACGCGCAGGACCAGCATACGCGCACCAAAAGTTGGCCACAAGAAGTCGCGCAATGGATGCCAGACTTGCAAAGCACGACGGGTAAAGTACGACCGTCCCTGCCGATTCTTCATTGTCTAGGCATCTTTCTAATCGACTGTTTGATGTTCAGATGCGATGAAAAAACTCCGGAATGCGGTATATGTCTGCGACTGGGTCTGGATTGCACATACGTTATACCGGAGCCGTCAAAATCTCGTCCAAAGTCAGGCAGCAGAGAACCTGCATCGGGCCCGCCTCTCATCGTCTCTCCTGCACACTCCATTTCTCAAGGAAGCCCACCCTCGACTTACGGAGAGCCAGCTGCCCAGCAAGCGACCACAGGCCAAACGCCAGATCCTCTGACCGAAGAGTCAGAGCAACGACGATATCTTGAACTCCGCCTTTTGCACCACTGGATGCTTGCCGTCTCAAGGCCATTTGGAATGACCTCGCCTCCGGCCTGGAAGGAGCTTTGGTATGGGGAAGTACCACAGGTGGCGCTGACCAATAGAAACGTTCTATACGCCATGTTCACCATGACGGCGACGCACCTCCTTGGCACTTGTCCCAATGACATGCCGCTGTACCAAGCGAGGGAGAATTACTGGGTCTGGGCACTTCGTGAACAACGAGCAGCAATCGTCGATCTGGATAATTGCAACACCGACGCTGTTGCATATGCTGCTCTTCTGATCAGTATGAATTCTCTAGCGATGCTTCAAGAGCGTTCAATTGAGCCATACACTCCACCCATCGAGTGGCTAGAGGTTGGACGTGGCACATTCACTGTTCTGCCACCTCCTGAAGCTGTGCCCGAAGGCACGGGCTTGAGAGTCCTCATGGACACAACGGCCAACATATGGCAAGCCAATGCCACATTTGACGCTGAGATGCAACGAGAGTTTGGCGCAATTCTCAACCGAGATATACCTTCGCAGGATGTGTGGGACCAGGAGACTTGTGAAAGTTATGAGACCACTCTCAGCTACATCGGCTCATTCCGCCGAGGCGTTCTCGCTGGCGAGGCCGCTGACATCAATCTACGATGGATCTGCATGTTCCCATTCATGGTTCCCCGCAAATTCGTTGACTTTCTGGTCGAAGGCCGTCCTCGGGCTCTGGTTACACTGGCGTATTTCTTTGCAGTGGTTGGTCTTACCGATGCTTTACAGTATCTTGGCAATACAGGCGACAGAACGACAGCGAAACGTGAGATTTACGCAATCAGAAGCGTCCTCTCACAAGAATGGCAAAGCTTGATGCAATGGCCATTGAACGAGATCGGCGGAGGTTGAGGTCCTGGCATGCAGATCTAGCAATATCGCGTGATGCTCGTCTCCGCGGGCGGCGCTGCAGCACGAAGAACAGAAATCGAAGTGTCGGACAGTTGCGGTATGCTCTGCGCTGCCCGATTGCTTTTGCACCGCCGCCCAGCTCTCACAGAGTTCGCCGACGGCGAGCGAAAGCACAGCCATGATCACTGAATCATGTAGCTGGAGCCGTCCGGGGAACTTAACCATTGCCGTTCATCTGTCTGGACAATGACAGTTGACACGAGCCTGGGATCATAGCAAGTCAGTATACGGCCCTCAAGGAGACAAGCAGTGTCTGTTTGGCATAATCGGTGACCACAGTGACCTGTGGCAGCTTAAGCAAGCGGTATTGGAAGCCACCATTTAATCTATACGATCATCCCAATGCGGCCAGATTTGGGCCGCCCTTAGCTTTTGCATGACGGGATGACTAGGAAAGCTGCAAAAGCATCTGGAGACGATCGACCCTTCTCGGCCCTTCTCCAGTGGCTTATTTGGTCGAAATCATAGATTCTGCACCTCGCGCCACTTTCTTCACATGTTCTGATCGTGAAGCTGATTACGCGCTCTGGATACATGAGGATACGCGCCAAAGAGGTCAGACGAATTGGCCAATGATCGATGATCAGGAATGTTTTCTTCTTGCGCGCAGGCGGCAAGCCATTTACCGATTTAGCCGTGGCCAGTCACCTTTTTCTTACAGAGGTAGCACAACTGTCATCAGTCATTCTATCACGATGTGGACGAAATACCATTGATGTTGCAACGCGGATCGAAGTCTCCGGGCCGTGCTACGTTAGATCGGCCACATTAGGCGCAGGCTATAGCGGCCTATTTCAAGCACTGTCGAGAAATGGAACTTGCCAAGTTGCCAGCACATCTAGCCTACCGAACATTCGCAAGTTGCAGACTAGGTAACATTAGCGGCGAAACTTGCTGCTTGACGCCTATTCAGGTTGTTACATCGCCATCGGATGCCGATGCATGGCTGTGAAGCGGACAACCGGGATGTCCTCGTGGTCCAGACACACATGCATTTCGCGCGACTCGATCTCTGTCTGGAATTCCGACTTGGGCGTTCATGATGGCTTCATCCCGCTCGTGCACGACTGGAGAAAATCGAATCGTCAGCAAGGCGATCTCACAGCGACTGTTCATTTCGCTGCAAGGACGAGACGCGCTTCGCAAGTCAAGCAGTGAGAGGACATGTAAAATTCCTGACAGCAGCTGTCACTTGGTGGCTATGTGGCACATACTAAAGCTAAAGTTGATGCATTCCCGGCAGGTTGCGCACGACGGCAAGCACTCCAAGCCAACGAACGTGCAACTGCGTGATGCGCTCCACCGAAACCGGGATTTAGTACGCAATTCGGGGACCCCCTTCAAGCCCCATTTGTCGTCTTTCTAGACCCCTTCGGTCTCCTCGTGCAGTAGTCATCGAGCGAACGTCGACGGACTCATGCAGCCGACGTGTTCCAATGGATTCTGCAGCACCGCATTCCCATATTATCTTCACGGGACTCAGCGCCATCATGCATGCCGACAGGATTCTGCGTGGCCAATATCGGCTGGGCTGAGCTCGTGTTTGCGGAGAAAAGTGCTCCTCCTGCGGCATAGGCTCATGCATACAATGTCGACTGTGGTAAAGGCTCAACAATGGCTTCCACGCACTCGCTTGTATTACGCTGGCATTGGTCGCCGCAGTGCGATCGCGCCTTGGCCTGCTTTAAGCGATGTTTGCAGAAACCCATTTCGTTCAAAGCCGATTGACGCCTGACCATAATAGGACGCACATTATTCGCCACAGCTACCAACAACCGAAGCTCTTTCGACCACTTTCGGCTCCTTCTATGATAACACTATCATTCGCCAGGACATTACATCGCCTGCATCCCCCTCGCGATCATTCGTGGATTTTCTTTCAACATGTCGGCATGTGCTGCGGAGTGGCTGAAGCCTGACCAGCGTGTCGGGTTTGATCAGGACACACTCCTCGCGACCTAGGAATCAAGGTCGCCTTGGGCTCGTGAACTGTTGTACACAGCGAGGGTGGTTGTCTTCTCCTTGCTTCGGCGCATGGTTCCGTGATTATGGCGTAGTGGCCACACTTCTCCCACTTGATATTGGAGAGATAGCACATTGTGCTCTTGGTAATCGGTTTTCTGACGGCAGTTCGAAAGCTCGGGCGAGTCGTGAGGTTGCCTTTCTGCAACGTCGATTGCAACTGTGCAAATCTTGATCTGGAGGCAGCTGCGATGAGAAGTCTCCTGGAGGGTCTCGGAAGTTCTGTGGTCCTGCCTTGTACTCTAATTCTGGGGCGAATCGTTCAGTATAGCGGCGAGCAAAAGCGAGCGTCGGATTCGGCACTGTTGGAAAAATGGGACGTAATACTCTGCAGTCTTGAGAGATGGCAGGGCGGTGCTTATACGATCTGTCGCGTGCTCTCTGTCGAGCAAGTGCAGCGAGCTGTGTGGGAAGAGCAAGCGAGCTGTCTGCACCTCTGTCCACCCGCCTGCATGAACATCCACGAGTCCATATTGATCGGCTCGGCTGAAGATGGATCGGCACTACTGCCACAACCTCCAATTGAGTTCCATCGGAAGTCTGCAGACATAGTAGTAGAGCTGGACCGTCGGAACGACCCACTATACACACTGCGAACTAGTGTTGTAAATATACGGTACACCAAGGATTTTCTACTGTACGTACGTACACTGTACGGGTACGTACTAGTACGCACAGGTCGAGCTAAGTCCAGGTTGGTATAGTACCTACAAATCTGAGTGAAGGCCCCCACATGCCAGTGGATAATTCGATACCCTGACCTTGTATAGGGTGGCATTTTACGGAGCTTCATCTGTACGTACAGCCTATCAGTCCAGAGAGGCTGTACGTACTGTGCACCATACACGTACGGTGTACGTACGGCTTGTGATTAACAACACTACTGCGAACAACGCACACGAGGGCCTAATGTGCCCTTCGGCGGGTCCGTGAGGGGGACTCCCACCCTAGTTCTGCGCTCTTACGACCCAATGATCTGGTCGATGTTGTTCCTTTGGTCTCTTTCCTCAGCCGGTCTTAGCTCCGATGGGTCACACGGCGTACTGTAGGTTGTCCGAACATGCACACGTCTTCCACGTGCAACGCTTGTTTTCACAAATCTTCTCGCCTCCTCCAACTTGCGAGCAGAAGCATGGCTGTCACTTGATCGTGGTTGGAGCCAAGCCCCACCAAGGTTCCGGGGGGGTTGCTCCTACACTATTGGACCCCGAAAACGACACTCTTGAGCTCTTCGGGCACAAAGCGAAACGAAGCCGTCACATTTACATTGTCGCTGGGAAGGTAATCGATCGAGTGGCTAGGATCGTTGCACTATGTTGCTAGACAACAACTTCTGCTGCTGCACTGCGATGGAACGAAGCCAAAGCAAAGAAAGTGAGCACACGAGGAGCCGGGCTGCTCCGTAATAGACAGGAGCTACGGGCGTAAGTGACGTTTGTCATTGAGCACCTGCAGAAATGTGCAGAAATGGGTAGTAGAGTCGAGCTGAAAGTCTAGGCCATTTGAGGCACTGGCTGCGCCCACACTAATGATACGACACGGCCAAACTCGCAATGAGCTGACGACTCGCCCGCAATGAAGCCGCATCCCTCGGAGAAGTCGACGACTCGTCGATGATTTGTAGCAAGAATGACAAAACACTTGCATGTAGAAAGGACATTGCTACAACAAGAGAATGCAGAATTCCATTTTCTGTCACAGCACGACACAGCGTAGTTCTCTTAACAACGACTGGGACGACGCTCAATGCCCTGCCGAGCCTTGCCCGAGGTTACCTCAAACGACCAACAAGGTCGAAGGATTACACGCAAGTGTGAAGAAAAGGCTCTGCAAGCTTGCATGCAAGCCCAGCAAGCCCAGGCGTCACTGCACCCTGGAGGGCACCGGTAGGAGCGAGCAAGCAAGCAAAAAGCAGCTAGGCACCAGGAAGGAAGGACAACAGGGCAAGCTGAGGTCTTGACTACCTCACACGCCACTTCGATGTCCCGAAAATGGAATGTGCGAAACTGCATCTCAATTTATTACACTTCAAATTGACAATTGTGAGGAAGATCAGCAGTAGCAGCAGCAGCAGCAGGAACAACAACAAAATCCGCAGCAAATCCACGATATTCCCGAACAAATGTCCTCTTCACCTGGAGCTCACCTCACCTCAACTCATTACGAAGGCTGACAGTAGCAGGAAGTACATATCAGCTGAGGAGAGCTGTGGCACACTCTAGAACAACAAAACGACAAGGATGTCTGCTCTTCCACGCGAACGAAAAGAGCCCCAAAACAAAAGTTCCGCGCCTCATCACGCCTCACGGATCTCGGGCCGATGGTTGTGGATGGCGTCAAAGGCCGTCCAACCAACGGGCGGAAAGACGTGGCTGATGATGATGCAAGCAAGCATGTCAGATGGGGATTCCAGGTCCACCGGGCACCGGGGATCGGAAGCCGCTGGTTCCTAGCGACACTACTCTGGCGACACACACACCTTTTTCTGTCTCTGAACTATCGTACAAGTATACTTGGCGATCGTGCACTACTGCTCACCCACCAGCTGACATCCTTGCAAGTCGAGTGCACGCGGACAGTCTTCGGGCATTATGAGGAAAATGACATCCAGTGAGGATTAGTCGGGAGTTGAGGAAGTCGAACTTTCAAAAAGTTTCGAAATGGATGAGGGATATATAATAGCATCGTGGCTATCTCCTGCAATGCGCTAGAAGTACAATTATTCGTAGCACGCTATTACGCAATCATCCTCCCTTCGCTCACTGTCTTCGTCGTACATAAGATGAAATTTGCATCCGCACCTGCGTGCGACTCCGATCAAAGTTGGGTATCGATGATGCGCTTCGAACGAAGTGCCAAAATATGTTGGCAATTGTCGCAACAGTCCGGATCCCTCGGCTTTCCTCCAGTCGTGACAGCGTAAAATCGTAGATTCGTGGTAGTGGTGAGAGGGTTGGATTTTCGACACGGTACTGGAATCCGGACAATCGTGAAGACCAGGTCTGCGCGAAACAGTGGGCTTGCACCTGCTTGCGAATGGAAACCAGCTGTTGGTCTGCATGACCCGATTCTCTCGTCGATTAAGGCGACTGTGAAAGTGCTCTCCGAAGGAGAGACGACATCACCTCGGAGGTGTTTCCATCGCGGTGGGGTGCCTCAAGTTCAAGTTGGCGGCCGTGGTCGCTAGGTATCTCAAGTCATGACATGATCCCAGAATACTGATTTCCGCGGTGTCGTAGGAGTTTCCAGATGTGCTGCCGCTTGCCTCGGTTTAATTTTAACGTGATGCGGATAGTCGTTCTCCCAGTCTTCACTATCACTCGTCTCGTACTGCGTGACCACTGTCTTGATCCACGCTGCTTTACTTCGCACTGGATTGCAGCAACTGACCGGTGACCAATCCATCCCAGGAGAGCAAGGAGACGTGACTGAACGATCCTCTTCGCCTGCACTGCTCGCCGCCCGGTTCTCCTCAGCATGTCGTGCTTGAATGACATGCCACAGCATCCATCGGACCACCCAATTGTGCCCATTGGCGGTCCGCGTAAGGTCGTAGATCCCTCTGGTCTGTCGAGACGCGTTCTCGTAGATGTTTTCCACTTCCCGTTGAAAGGCCAGTTCGGACATTTGACTGACACTGTATGGTGGCGTGACCGTCTTGCCACGTGCCGCAGATTGATCTAGTGACTTGGGATCTCCAAACAGTCGACGCATACCCACTTTGGCTTCTTCCTACCTTGATGTCAGTGCTGAGCCTCGTGCTTCAGATTACGTGCTTCGTACCTTCATCTTTCTATAGAGCATGCGGTGCCGGTAAGCGTTTGCTTGCAGGCCAAGATGGTGGAAGAAGTTCGTTCTGCTGTCATCCTGGGCAACAACCACTCCTGTAGGGCCATTGAAACAGAGGAAATCGTCCAAGCTCAACAGCGAACACAACTTGTTGTCGCTCATCGGTCTGCTCGGAGATGTTGTAGCCAGTATATCGACTGGCAGATATTAAGCAACTCGATAACAAGTTGTTCTCAGTCGCTGTTGTGCTACCCTCTGCCGAGTCAGAAGACGGGAGCGGAAGGTCTGACGGTGCGAATATACCTGACAAGGAGATGACATGTCATTCTTGGGAGGATGGCGATGGATCTGGCAGCCGGGCGATGGGGTCATGCATGTCATATAGGATACAGGAGAGCAAATGGAAAAGTTCGGTCCTTCCATCCACAAGAGCCGTCTAGCGTTCAAGCCGTGGCGAATAAGGCGAGTACCATGTCGCGAGAGCGGAGCATGAGATCTTGGAGTCGCCAGACAAGGCGCAGCTGAGCCGGGGGTGGTGGTCCAGCAGTTGCCGCACGAACAACCAGAGATCTGGAGAACGGAGTATTACCCGATTGTTGGATTAGACTGGGATAACGGCAGTGTTGGCAGGACGAAACAAGCGCCATTGGTTGGAACAGGAGAGCCCGTTGCTCCCGGAAAGCTTGCAATCACGCAGACATGGATAGACGCTCGTTGTATTTGGAAAGGCATCTCGCGCCGCCGCAACCTAATCTGAGGTGCTGTCGCAATTGGTGCGTGATCGCTGGGTCGCTTAAGCACTTTGCAACGGAGAGTCGGCGTTGCAGGCTAGACAGCACATCTGCTCAAGTCAAATATATTGCAATTCGGTGGGAATCCCGGCGCCGGAGCAGATGGAAGTCGATATAAACAGAGCACGCCCGTTGGCAGATGAGAGCGAACGCAGCGTTGTGGTGAAGTCGGTCAGCCTGAGTCGCAATTTCCAGCTTGGACGTCCGCAACGACGAGGTCGCCCGTACCCGCACCTCGCTTGTGGTCCGACGGGGATGTCGCGCACGTGCACGATCGCCAAGGCAGCGATGGATTGTGCGTATCCTGCGTAGGGGAAACAGCGCACGCAGGGCAATGATTCATGCCTAGGGCACTCGGCTTGCTTCTGCTTCGCATTCGGCCACGATCTGCTGAGGGGCTCTGGACGGCAGTTCATTGTGGCTGCTCCGAGACGCCCTGGCGCCGCTGCCCGTCCACATCTGAGAGGATCGACGCCGGCCCGACACGAAAGTCGTTCGCTGCTCGTTTTTGGTCGTGATTCAGGAGCGAATCTTTGAATCTGTCGTCAACTTGCGACAAGCAAGAACTACCGACGGGCCAGGTCAAGGATAGTTGACAAAGTGCGCTTGCGCTTGCGGAAGATCTCTCTGTGAAGCCAAATATATTGCTCCGCGTTCTCGGCCGCTCCCGTCATGGTCGATGCTGGCCAGCATTTGAAATGCAAAGGACAGACGCTCCATTTCGCGAGGTGATGAGGTGAGGTTCGAACAAGGACAATCAAGCGCACCGTCCAGCATCAAGCCCGTGTCAGCCATGAACGATGCAGCGACGAGTCACGCATTGCCTTCCTTCACGGGGAGACCTTGCACTTTCCACGAAGCGACATGTTCACCTTCGGACTTTGATACGAAGCAAGACGCCCGATTCTGGATTCTCGCCATATTGCAGTAACAACCGACTCCTTGACTGCGCACCACGCCGGTGTTTGCAAACGCACGAGCTATCGAAGACCGTAGTATAGTGTATTTTCGCATTCCAAGGCTGTCTAGGAAGGTTGGAACACGGTCTTGGCACTCTAGCTCGTGTCCCGTGGTCCCCATCGAACGTGCTATCAAATCACTACGTCAGTATTTTGTGACCAGTTCATCAAAATCCTCCAAGCCAGTCCACAAACGATCAATCCCGTAGTTGCAATCAAATGCCATCGTTCGCACCACGATCATCTCAAATACAGCGGCAATTATTGAAAGCAATGTCGAGTACGGGTGGCTTGAGCTACTCTGCAACGCTCTCTCAAGGGCTTCCAGCCACATCGAAGCAGTTCAGCTCAGCCTCATCACAAGCTCAACAGGCGCCGAGTAATGATCAGTCATCAGCACAGCGAAGCCGAGGGCAACAAGCAAGCCATATCGACAGGGCAAATCACAGCCAGCCAGAAGCACATCGCAAACGACGACCTTCACCCTCCCACATCCCACAAACAGGAAACGAAGAACAAAACGTCTACGTCCTCACCCTGCTCACAGACAAGCCCCTCCACGAACGCATGACAGACTTACGAAAACGATATTTCCCAAAGAAAATCAACAAACTCGCCGCCCATTTGACACTATTCCACGCTTTACCAGAAAGTAAACTAGAAAGCAAAATAATTCACACTCTGCTAGAAGTGACAAAAACTACTTCTCCCTTTCGCGTTGAAGCAACTGAGCCTTTTCGATTGAAGAAGGGCTTCGCAATCTCGGTATCGAATCAACATGGTGGGAATCAAGCCAAGTCGATTCATCGACAGTTACAGCAGGCTTGGAAGGGAGAGGGCTGGCTTTCGCAGCAGGATGCGGGAGGGTGTCGGGTGCATTATACGTTGATGAATAAAGTGGATGACGAAGGTGAAGTTCAGAATGCACTGGATGAATTGAAGTCGTTTTGGAAGGGCGATGGTGGGAAGGCGGAAGGACTTGCGTTGTGGCGGTATGATCGCGGTTTCTGGAGATGGGAGCGGAAGTTCTCATTTAAAGGCGAATCTGGCTCGTGATATGCAAGTCTCTGTTCTGCGTCGAGAACGAGCAAGTGGTGCGGGATGATGTGATGAGATATGACTAGAACACCGATGGGAAAAGCCCCGCGAAGCCGAACATCGATCCTGCGAAGAGCAGGTACAGCTCCTTTGCGAGCTCCTCGTATTGACGCGCAATACCACCCCGGCCTTTCGCTTCCTCGATCTGTGCGGCATACATGGCCTGTGCAGGGTATCAGTTAGAAGAAACGAGGAAAGAACCCTGTCTGCATTGGACTTACTGCATGTATACCCGAAGCATCGAGTCTAGCGTTTGACTTGTCAACGGACAGGGTGCCATTGTGTTCAGAGATGCCAAAACCCAAATCTCGAAGTACGAGCCTAGCGGCGTCGAGCATTGCATCACCCATGCTCTGAGTAGCGTACGCCATACACAGCCAAAGATGGACCACGTGCAGCATACTTCTAGGCAAAGCTTTGAAGAGAGAGTCGTTGTATGTGCGCTCAATTCCCTTGCAAAGTTTCTCGACCTGGTTGATGATTTCCATAGATGGAGGGCTCCATTCCAGAACGAGATTCTCATTCTGGAGCTCAATCACTTGCTCAAGGAGCGAAGCGCGTATGCTTCGTTGATACGGCGGCGTGTTGACCTCGGCTGTGCAAAGTCGACATGTGCAGGAAAAGTTCCAGCTTCTTCTCAGCTGCTCATGGAACTGCTCAATTGTGTTCTCGGGATTGATGTATCGCATAGTGAGTTCTTCGCCAGCAGAGATGCGTCTGTTGGCTCGCAGCAAGAGCATGTCGCCGAGAAAAGTGCGGCTGACGTTTCCGATGCAGTCGTGGTTGATGGCGGAACTAATGAGCCAAACTCCTGTGCATTTGCTGCCCTCATCCTCTTCGTCCATTGTGATAGAAGATGCCGATGAGGGACAGGAGAAGCCATTTGCCTTCAATACGCTGATCACCTGAAAGGTATCGACGGGGACCACGCCGTCGACAAGAGCGGGGGACGGCCTTGGTTGGTAGTCACCATCGCATAGCTCAAGGAAACGAGCTGCTTGCTTGGGACTGTACAGCAGTTTCTGTAGAACCTTGACGAGTCGCAATGCATGCGTGCCAATTGACATCGTGCTGTCCAGTAGGTTGATGACCCTGCTCTCCTCAGCTTTCTCCTCTAAGCCAGCCACGCAGAACGCCTTTTCACACATGACCAGTTCTCCCGCTTCCAAATCACAAGTCGCGAAAAGTCCGCGGCCTTTCTCACTCGCATCTTTGATCTCGACTTTGGAAGTGAAACTTGCGTGGTCCAGAATTCGCAGCTTGGGATCCTTGCGCAGCTTTTTCGTTATGAGCTCGAGATTGTACTGCCCACTGGCCTGTTCGTCGAGACGAGCCTTCGTACGGCGGAGCTGAGATTGCGCTTCTGTGTCCTTGGGATCGAGTTCCAGGACGTTTTCGAAGAAGGACGCAGCTGATGCGAATCGCTCGAGCTGGTATGCTGCACAACCGGCTCGGTAGTAAGCCTTTCCATTCAACTTCTTCGACTTCTCGTTGAGATCTTTGGTGGAAATCACAGCTGCTTTGGCGTCCTCCAGCGCTGCCTCGTGCCGCCCAAGATACATGTTGGCCATGGCGCGGTTGCGACGGAGGTCGTACTTGACAGTGGCCGCGGCGTCACATATCTCAAGCCCTCTGCTGTAGAATCGAACTGCCTGGCTGTAATCTGTCTTTTGGTATGATTTGTTGCCTCTCTCCTTATACATGTTTGCGCCATCGACAGACAAGGAATCGAGCTCTGCCTCTCGTAGGGTCTTTGGCACGATCTCGTGGCCTTCATGTAGGACGATGATGTTACCCGGGTGATCAACACGAATCACACAGCCACCATCAACGGCGATCTTGTAGTACGGGTCCTTCACTGCCACCAGTCCATCTTTCCGCAGAATGTCTTGGCCGCAATGATATACCACCAAACGATCGACATTTCCGTGGGCGTCCTCGACAACGTTGATTACCCCGTCCTCAATCTTGGGGTGGCCAATAGTGCGTAACACGAGTCGTCTGCCATGGTGCACAGTCTCCAAACACAGGTCGCCGATGGCGATGTCTTCGAGTTCCGCGAGCGGCCTGGTGGACGGCGGATAGATGTGGCCGACGATGATTCGATATGGTTCCTGCAGGCCGTCCTGCTCGTTGGCTTTTCCAGCCGCTTGGAATGATTGCAGGAGCTCCGTGCGGGTCGGCAGGTTTGATGGACGTGGTTGCCCCTTCCGTTCATTCGCCGTCTCGAAAATGTCTCGTTCGCGCTGCACCAACGCAAGTGCTGCTTCGGGGTTCATGTTGTATCAGCTTGGGATGCAGTGCGGGTGGACAAGTGCAGTAGGCAGCGAAAGCTCTTGTAGTTGCGTTTCGTGTTTGCTCGAACGGCAGGAAGGCATGGCTGCGAGTTTCCACTAGCGCGTTTTGGATTCGACCCACTTCGCACAACGGCAACGAAGTGAAGCTGAAAGCAAGAACATTTCAACTTGTGTAGTTGGCCTGTTCTGACAGAGACTCTTCGCCAATTCCAGCGTATTCTTCCTTGATCGCATCCACGTTGACCCGGACGCGGAGACACGATACATCTCAGGACCCGCATAGTGCAGACACATCACGAACTATTACTCTTCGCGCAAGCTCTTCAACTCGGTCCTGAGCACTGAATCGTGCTCTGGTGGCAAGTATGCGTGGGGAAAGTGTGTATCGAGGACATCTTGTGCAGTCATGGGAGATTGATGCAGCCGAGCAGACCATCACTACCCTCCGCGATTGTACAGCTTTCTGTCTTGCCGCACAGAATGGAGCCGAGTGCTACAGCGACGGCCTGCTCTTTTCACGATCCCAAGAGGCGCGAAATCTAGGGGCGATGTCCCAGGTGCTTGTTGTGTCAAGCCAGCCCGTCAGGCCGCTTTCCGTCGCTGTAGCATGACTGTACGACTCGGTGGTATCGGCCGCCGTGCAGTGGAAGCTCCGCGTATTCTAGAATGGCAGTTGGTCGAATCGCAGTGAAAGCGATCTTCAACCCCGGCAGGTACCGACACCTTGCTCGCACTGATCATCAGCAAGGAGACGATTGTTGGTCAGTCCAAACGAACGCTTCTTGTGAGGGCAGTATCGCTACTTCCGCGTAACGTTATGCCACATGTACCTCCAGACTCTTGGTGGAGACAGCGGAGGCTCCTGGGCTCAAGTGCCAGCACGATCCGGTGAGGCGTCAGTAGTATATTGGACTGCGATGGAAACGAATTGACTTGAAAGAACTTGAAGGATAGATGAGCTGATCTCTAGCACACGCTGACGGACGGCAAGACCAGCCGGAAAATCCATGGCGAATTGCAGTGATTGGCTTAAACCTCACGCCCTCGTGCATAGTTCAACCAGGACTTGGCCCACATGAGGACCGCTCCTCCACCTCTCTTGGACCCTGCAAAATACTTTGTGATATGTGGTGAATTACGTTGCTAGTCTTGCACATAGATCCTGTCCAATGGTCCTGTCCCGTCCGAGTTGTCACCAGAGCCTAGTCGTATCACATGTGCCACTCGCAATGAAAGCTGACAGGAAGCCTCGACCGTCTGACGCGGGCATTTCTCTCCCAAGCTTTCCACGTGCGAGTCGACACATGTTCAGGTTGTCAGACCGCCATCTTCTTCACCGTCAGTGATCGAGCGGGCGACGCCATGGAATCTTATCTCGAACGCGCCAGACATAGTGAAGAAGCTAATGAGGCATACTGCTGACTTTGAATTTCCCTTAGGTACAAGGGCTTTGACTGCGTCCATTGCACGTTTGGCTGTTTGGTCTAAGTGGCTCGCGGGCTTCGCGACGGGACTCCAACGCTGAGTACGGCCGGTATGATGCGTCAATATGACGACTGGCGATAAGCCATGGATCATCTTGACGTTGTGTGAAATTCGGAAGCCTAACCGCACTTCAAGTTCTGTTCAGGGCCGACCCTACGCTCTGCATTGCTGCGGCAGCAGAGCACCGAAACTAACATGCCCTCATAGCCTGGAATACCGCGACCTGCGTCCGACATGCTGACGTGCCAAAAGGACGTAGCAGGCGGCACGTGGGCATCCCAGTGGCAGGCAGGATCATTTGGTGCCGGATTCGCGACGGTCATGGAACGCGATCATGGTCATTGCGTGCGCCCGCAGCACGACGCAGCAACAGATCCGCCTCTTGCACAGCACGAAGCACTGCAAAGGGGTCATTGGTGTTGGCCCGTATCAAGTGAAGTATCCGTGCTGCTTCCACCTCGGACCTCGTTGCCAGGGCTGCATAGAGCTCCCTCATGGCGCTCAACTGGTCTTGCATCTCCTCGTTTCGTCGTTTGGCCGCCTCGAGCTTGGTGACGTCGGGCTCGGCGACGTCGTACTCACACTGCAGCCTGCGCTGGCGACAACGGCCACAGAAGGGACGCACGGCGTCGCACTAGACGGCGGGCTGTGAGCGGCATCAGAGCAGCAGAAATTTGGTCGCTTCTCACCTTGACCTTCTTGCTGCGGCACTGGAGGCACGCGGCAGCGACCTGCTCCCTCTTGGGCGTCTTGCCGTCTCGTCCTGAGCGCGAACTGCCCGAGCCGAATTTGGAGCCGGAGGAGCCCGTTGAGTCGGACGGGGTGATGTAGTAACTTTCTGCCATGAGGTGAGTGCGACCTCCAAAGGCATTTTCACCGGGCCGCGGGAGCACTCTTCAATGTCTGACTCGGCTCTGGATTGTGTCGAGCAAGGCGGGAGGCTGCTGCACAGTCACCGGTGTTTGTAGTGAATGACAATTGGCACGGCGCAGGAGCGCGATCCGCTCGTTGTCATTGAGCCGAAGCTTGTGAGTGGAGCAAAGCCAGAAGCCTCCATGCGGCGGCCGTGCAACACGTCGTCTACACGAGGCTAGCAGAGCAGTCTCGCAACACTCTTCACACTTCGTCTGGAGCGCGCGAGAGCTGCACGGCACTCCCGGGACACAGGACACGATCTCACGCACGGGCAGCATAATCATGGCAGTGTTCTAGACGCCGCCCATTCCCTCGTGGTTGTGTCGCTTGGCCCCAGACTGTGTGCTGTGCCTGCCCGCCCACCGGCCATCTTCGCTGCGGGCGTGACGAGCATGCACCTGCGCCGCGGCCACGGCCCAGGCCTTTTCCATCGTTGATGCTCTTTCTGCTGTGCGGTGCTGTGCGATGCTGTGCGTGAGACTGCAATGCCCGGCCCTGCCATGCCATCGATCGTTCTGTGTGACGCTCGCCCGCAGTCGCCACGCCCGTCTGGACGCGCTGCACTGCTGCTTTTTTGACATGATGCCTAACTTACCCGTCGATCCGCCAAACTTTCTTCCCCCATTGCTTGCTTCCTCCGCCGTGTCTTCGCCGCTGTGCACTTTCCTGCACGGTCGCGACGGCTGGCTTTGACATTGTCACTCACACTGAACTCGACTGCAATGCACCGCCACGCCCGATGTCGCCCGAGACTCGCCGACGGCTGCTGTGCGGTCCTCGAGCTGCGAAGTGGAAGCGATTTCACACATCGGAGTTAGCGCCGGTAGCTGCATCCCATCCTCTGCAGCCCTGCAGGGAGCAGAACAGTCGCACGGTACTTCTGGCCATCTCCCGCGCGACAGTACATCGTGCCGGGCACGCAACAGCTCGGGCGCGCCGACAAACATGGTCCGAGAGGCTTACGCCGAGGTGCTGCGCTGCGTCGTCTGGAGTCCGGCGTGCTTGCATCTGTATGCGCTGTCCAGACGCATTTGCCCAATTGAGCTTGGCTGGCCCAGCAGTCGCACTGCCTGCTTCACCTCGAGCGAGACGAGGACTTTGCCGCAGCAACATGCCACTTGCCCTCCCAGCGGGGGCGACATGCATGAGAGCTGCACTTCGCGTCGACACGAGCTTGCGCGCGTTGCCTGGACAGTCCCGGAGGCCGTGCAACTCACCTTGCCCATATGGAGCGACTCCGTCTGAGAGCACACGCGAGCGTGCTGAGCCCCACGCCTTGTCCTCCGCACGCGCGAAAGGCTGTACGCACCATGCTGCCCTTTCCTGCTCCCGAATGTGCCGCCTCCTAGCAGATCTGACCCGTTTGACCCGCAGCCTCTATACCGGTATGTTCGAAGCCCGTCAACAAGAGCGCACAGTCGAGGCTCTGACCAAGTCCAAGGCGTCGAGTACCCCTGTGCCTCTGCATTGTCCCTGCTGTGGGACATCTGCCATACTGCGTTGGCTCGGTCCAGGAGGTCGATGCGCTCGTGGAGATTCCTCATCAACATGGAGACTTTGTGATGCCTTTGGCGTTCCAGTGCCACCTGGCACGGCAGATGTGATGAGTCGCAAGGTGAAGATACGCTGCTTGGTTTCGTCCGCCGATCTGCGGGACTCGCATTGGACGCAATGAACCGCGAGCAGGAGACTGGGAGTACTTTCTTCAGCTACGCTCACTCAGTGACAGAGGTATCGTCCATGTTGCGTTCCAGACATTGTAGCTCGACGGATACTCGCTGCCGATATGTGAACCCCGAGTACGAGAGCCTTTGTGAGTGATCTTTGCAATGCGATTCGGTCGATGCCATGATGGGCTGTACTGGTCTGTTGAGCGGGAACATTCCTGAGGGGATGGCGCGAGCGGGACAATCTCGCTTTCTGGAGAAGCCTTCGTCCATGTGTGAAGATTATCGAAGGTAGGAAAGGTGATAGTTAGCGATGTTGTACTGGCTCAGGTCCCAGGTCATTTACACCGTTGCGACAAAGTTGTGATAATCTTCGGAGGCAGCCCCGGTACATCGCGAAGATGATCAAATGTCGCTAGCCCATCTGGCAGGGTTCAGTTGATCCATCATCGATCGCAAAACAAGATTTAAGGCAGGCGCGCACCCTCTGCCTGCCATCGTCCGCTTCTCCCACACGATCGGAAGGGATGAGCGACACCCCAAACACGATCGTGCAGTCCCTGAACGCAGGTCAGTATCATTGCCACGTCTCTTCGGAAGCTGAGAACGCTGCTTCATCGGCTTGACCACTAGTAGCGGCATTGTAGGAGTCAGAGGCGCAGAGAACGCCAACACGAAGCAAAGACGCAAAGACCTACGGGGCAAGGACGTCTTCTCTATTAACAACCCACCACACCACGGCGCTAGCGAGAGGGCTGCAGATGTGCCACAACTATGATGCAAAGAGAGACGCGAGCCCGAATTGCCTCACGCGCCGGAGGTCCAGAGCGCACATCGGACGTACCTCCATACTCTGCGCTGTGCCATACAAGGGAGTCGCGGCGACGGGACACACGGTAACTTGCATTCGGCAAAAGAGGCGGTCCACGAGCGTCGCCGTGCATTAGCTACATACGACGAAGCTTGCTGTGGCCACGCTCGTCTGCACCACCAATGCTGATTGGCACCAGCGCTCGTGGGCGGCTGTCGCGTCGAGGCCTCGAACCTGGACGCTCCTCACAATTCCGGAACTCTGAGCCATCGAGAGCGCCACATCTTCCCCGTCCACAAAGGCAGCGTCTGTTCGCAGGAAGTGCTGACCACCTGGGGAAGGAGTCAAGTCTGGTCTTGTGCCGCTAGGAAGATAGCAACCATGATGAAGAGTAGACTGTCGCGTAGCGATGAGCGCAGAATTGGCACCTCAACAAACTGCTTGTCAGCGCAGACCGTTACATCGATTACACAAAAGCCTTGGTCATTTCTTCTCAACACGCGATAGCAGGGTTACTTCCTAAGCAGAAGAGATGTTGGTCGTTCTCGACAGCTGGATCATCTCTTGGGGTCCAGATTTTGCAGCTCGCCTGCTGTTGCTCCACATCGCGGCGGGCGATTGTATGCGCTCAAGTTTGCGGGTCGATTGCATGGCATAGATGATCGTCAGCGTGTCGTTGTACATACATATGTTCTGCATGTCTTGGCAATCGGCCGATCTCCGTTCCTTGTCACAGGCCAGCCATTCACGAGTCATGCCACTTCCAACCTCTTGTCGCACATGACGAGGCGCGCTTCTTGCTGTCGATTTGTGACATTAATCAACTCTTGCAGAACTTGGCACAGATGGCGTGGCATCTACAGGTGACATCCGAATGCGAGTTGCTATTCGACGTTCGCGATCTAGTGCCTCGGCAATGAGCTGTCAGCCAGTTCGATTCCATGCCAAGCTCAATGCCGACTGTACAAAGCTCTTCAGCATCAGCACTTCTCCTACAAGTCTCAAGAGTCAATGGACGGCGTCATCGACCCGCCAGAGACTATCATGGCACCCAAGATCCAACCGAGCGACATTGGGACAAAGGTGAAGCGGGAGTACATTGAAGTAAATGGCTGGAAGTGGTGTAAGCGAATCTGAGAGCCCCTCACTTCTACATAGAACAGCTGTATATTGACACAGTCTCTAGCATATCTCGAAGCCCACGCTGAAGGAACACAAAAAGCCGTAGCAGTCCTCATCCACGGATTTCCAGATCAGTCACTAGCATGGCGATACCAAATCCCGCTGCTCACATCTCTTGGCATTCGAACTATCGCCCTCAACTGCATGGGCTATGGAGAGACTGGAGCATCCGATAACTTACGAGACTATGGCTTCAAATCCCACGCAGATGTCGTCGCTGCCATAGCTAAGAAAATCGGCACCCACAAGATCATCATCGGCGGACACGACTGGTAAGACAACATCATTACCAAGATCTTTCCAAGACCAAAGAAACTAACAACACCCATCAACAACAGGGGCGGAGCCACAGTCTACCGCGTAGCCCAATGGTACCCAGATCTAATCTCCCACGTCTTCAGCGTCTGCACCGCCTACGCCCCTCCCACAAAATCCTACATCAGCACCAAAACCCTCGCCGAAACTACAATCCCCCAGTTCGGCTACCAACTCCAACTCGGCAGCGAAGACCAAGTCATCGAAAACGTCATAAAAGACCGCTCCACAATGAAAAAATTCCTCCACGGAATGTACGGCGGTCGTGTAGCTTCAGGAAAATATTTCATGCTCCCCAAAACAGGCATCGACCTCTCAATCCTAACCTCCGAATCCGAAACCATCGCACCAACCCCCTTACTCAACGACTCCGAACTCTCATACTACGTCGACGAATTCATGAAAAACGGAATCCATGGTCCATGTAATTGGTATCGAACGAGGGAAATTAATTTTCAAGAAGATTTGGAGCTTCCAAAGGAGACGAGGAATTTGATCAAACAGCCTACGTTGTATATTTTGGCTACGAGGGATATGGTGCTGACGAGGGAAATGAGTGCGAAGATGGAGAAAGCTGTGCCGAATCTGACGAGGGGAGAGGTTAAGGCTACGCATTGGGCGCTTTGGCATGCGCCGGATGAGGTTAATGGGATTTTGAGGGAGTGGTTGGAGGGGGTTGTGTTGGGTGGGGGGAAGGAGAGTAAATTGTGAGGTTGTTGTGGGGAGGGAGGGCGTTCGACGGGGAACAAGAGGAAGGAGGAAGTATTGTAGGCACAGTCACTCAATTCCATGACATTCCCAGGGTATCATCTCGGTAATTCCTTTCCACCTCTAAAAAAGTACACAAACTTCTGCACACACATACAGAAGCGAGGACATCGCTGTTAGTCCCCAGTATGATGCTCAACTTCACCTCGACTTGATCGTTTGCGGACTCGCATTCAAGCTCGAGCTCATACTCCTCAACTCCTCATCGCCAATCGCCCTCACAAACCCATTCTCCCCTTCCACAAAAGAACTCCCCGCGCTATGATTGGATTCCCCGGTTCCTGATGTAGGTGACAAACTCCCTTGCGCCTTCGCTAATTCTTGAGATGATGTTGAGGGACCAATGACTGTGCGCCTGTTCTCTCTACTCGCGAAATCGAGTTCCGGGATATCAGGTTCAGTGGCATTAAATGGTGGACTGGTCGAGTACTGTGAGCCTGAAGTAGATATGTAGCCGTTCTGTACGGCTTCTTCCACGTCCTCAATGTTCCCATCTTGGCCTTTTTGGAGACTGCTGAAACGTCTGTGTTTGTATTGGCTCTGATCAGGGCTTACGGGCGAGAATGGTCCGAGTACAGTCGTCCTGCGATCGGGGTCCCATTCGGAGAGGTCGACAAAGCCGGGGAATTCTGTGACGTCCTCCTCATTAGAGGACTTTGTTTGAGGCCTATCACCAGCAAGTGTTGCAGCGGCTTCTGCATCCGAAATGAAGCTCTGGGCAGATACTATACTGGCCGTGTCGTCATCCTCGTCGGTTGTGCCGCCTCGGCTCAGGTCTTGGACGACCGGGCTAAACATGCCAGCACGCAGCTGTTGCTGGGCTTCCGAACGTTTTCGAACAAAAGCTGCATCCATCTGGGATTGGAATTCTGCAGAAGGACGTCCAGCTTCGTAATTTTCTCTCCGCAGCTTCATACGTTCCCAATCTCCTCCGAATTGCACGACCGAGGCTTGCTTGCCGTGAAGCACAAACCGTGGTTTATCACGAGTAAGTCGGGGCGTAGCTTCCTCGGACTCCTGGCCTTCAACGTGGGCTGAGCGCACAGTGCTGTCACTCTCCTTGTTACGCCGATGGCGATGCGACAAACTTGGAGTGTGATGATCGCGCAAGGTCTTCTGTAGGCTTCTTCGCACACCTTTATGCTTGCTGCTTTCAGGTGAAGTACCTGGCGCCGGACCGTCAATGCTAGCACCACCGTCTCGCACGACATGAGCATCGGGTATCATCGTCGCTCGTGCCAAAAGCTGAAGCTCTCTTTCATCGACACTGGCAGCTGGCGTGAGCGCGCCGCCATTGCCGGTACCAGAAGTATCAGTCGAGCGAGTGCGAACCTGGAGTATACTAGAAGCAGAGTGTGAATGTTGCAGGCTGCCTCGATTGGCGGGAGGGGATGCCGATAGCAGCGTGCTGCTCACAGAGCCTCGGTGCTCTTTCTCACCCTGGGACGTGTTAAGTTCGAGGGGAGGAAGACGCCACGGTTCGTCTTTCTGTGGGCTGGCAGATTGTGGTGGAGTCGCTGACTTGTCAGCACCTGTCTCGTCCTCGGATTCACGAGTTGGAGGTCTGTTGAAAGTCAAGCTCGATGGGCTTTGCGGTGGGCTCTTTGGCGTTCGTTGTGAGCTGAACCTAGTGAGCACCTTCGGCTTCTCCTTGCGCGCTGACTCTGGCTCGCTGGGCCTTAGCTTCTCGAGTTCGGCAGCGCTCATTCCGTCGATTCTGACGTCCATTGCAAGAATGTCGCGATGGCACTTCATGCGCCACATATCGCGCCGCAGCCATTTGATCGTGGCGTCAGCTCGGCCAGCTGCGAGAACGACATCCTCTCTGGTGCGCGGTGCTATCGGCGCCAGGATTAGTAAATGCCGTGCGTTTCGCAACATATTCTCGAGCTGGCGATTAGCACTCTCGATTTCGCTCTCGATCTCAGCAATCTTCTGCATCATAATTTGGCGTCGGGCTGCCATGACTTGTTGTTGCAATTGCGGGCCGAGACCTCTGTGAGTGACAGTGACTTCTTCGTCATCAGTTTGGAGCGACCGGGACGAGTTTGTCGATCTCAGCCTTTTGATCGATTGAGTGGAATCTTCATTGCCTCCTGTCATACCCCGAATCCGCACACCCGCAGCGCGGAACGCTGCGGCATAATTGATGAGACCGAGCCAGTCGTGTAACTCACTTTCGTTGTCCGCGAGGAAGACCTCTTCTTGTCCGCCGTGCCTGACGAAAGTGAAAGCGTTCTTATGTCGCGTATATGTCGAATCAACCAACGCCACTGCATTGTCCGTTTTGATCAAAGCATCCGGCTTGAAGTCCTGCAAGGGCGGCTTGAAAACTACAGGTGTTCTCGATCGACCAGGCCTCTGCTGATTGATGAATTGATGCATCAAGCCTTTCGCCCAGTGTGAATTACGGAAAAGGTATAACTGGGAACCAGTGAGAATGGCGCCCCACTCCTGCCACGGGCTTCTAGTCTTCTTTTTCTTCGCAGACTTGCGCCAGAGAAGTCCAACTTTGGTAATCTTCAGATCCACAATGCCTTGCTGCGTCTCTGTCGCATTGGTCTGGCCATTGATGAACTGGCTTTCATATGCTGCCGGACGCGATCTCGCTGAGATGATTTGTATAATTCCGGTATGGGTGAATGCGCGTTGCAGATAATGCGGATCGAGCTCGCCTTGGCTGCCACGATAGTCAAAAGGATCGTCCATCAAGATCGTATCCTTGATGGCCGGACGAAGCGCGTCCAGCTTTTGTTCCACAATGAGATTATATGGGTCCACAGGTCCAGAGGGCTTTCTCGAAATGTCCGACGCACCTGGAATGGCACTCTTGAGCTTGCCACCAGACTTTTTCGGTTGGGTGAAATGCAATACGCGTTCGCCATTGATGTCTACATCCTCGTCATAATGTATGAAGGGCGTGTAGCAAATGTTATCGTAGAAACAGGCCAAAACGTCGTCGGAGATGCCTTGGCCGGACGTATTCTTGACATAATCTTGTTTCTGCATTTTGCGCTTGTTGTTCCGATTGAAAGCGTCTGTATGCAGCATCATGATCGAGAAGGCGATGAAATATGCACTATCGGCACTCGCATAGATGCCAGGATTACACTCGTGGTACCGATCTGCAAATGCTTGGATGACACGATCGACCTGCTGCGTTTCTTTGGGCAATTCTGCCTCAAGCAAAAACTTGCGAAGTGACATGTCAATGGGTTCTGTGAAGAAAGGAAACCGCCTGGTGTAGCTGCGTAACACGGCCTGAGCAAATGGGTCTGAGGACTTGGACAATATCCCAGCAATCACACTCCGTGACACGGCATTCTCCAGTCGCTCCAGATACTTCCCTGGCGTGTCTCCTTCTTCGCGCTCAGGAATGACAAGCGCTTCGCGGCTCATTGCGAACGAATTTGATTTGCTTCGCGTCCCTGGCGATCCATGCCGTGGCGAGTACGGCTCTGAACTTTGGCGGAAGCGTGAAAGATTGAGCAGACCGCCCAGACTTGACCGTCCTGCCGTGGAAGTTGAGGTTCGGCCACTCGCCGAAAGAGGCGGCGTCTCTGCATCGTGCCCACTACGCCCACCAAACGAGCTTTGCGTGGAGGACCTATCCCTCAGGCCGAGTCGCATGGGAGGCTGCAGTGGTGACGAGGGATTCGAACTGTGAGACTGAGAAGACGTCTGTCGAAACAAAGTGGTGTCAGGTTCCGCGAAGACCAGCGATCCTTTTTTCGGAGATCCTTGAAGTGAATTCGGCTGGGGGCGCTTGGAAGGAGTCGCTTCGGTGTGCGCTCGTCGCAGTGGGCGGTCAGCCGGTAACTCTGTTGACGGCGTGGCATCTGTTTCTGGCGCAAGCGATTGTGTTGATGCGCGTGGGGTAATGGGGCCGTTTTGATCGTGTTTCGAATCATCTGGAGGCGGAAGTTTCACAGGAAGCGGGAACAGCGAATTGCGATTCTTGTTTCGGCGAGGCAGCTTGAAAAAGGTAGTATGTGTCTGGACAGTATGCGTCGTGGTTGTGGTGCTTCCATAGATATGTCCATCTCCAGAACTGCCGTCCGAGCGGGAGGATTCTGAGAACCTTGGATCCGTTGTCTGAGAGACAGGAACGGCAAGCGCAGAGTTTGAGTGCTCGCGGTACGAGGGAGGTGCACTATGCTGGTCGCTGATGTGCATAGCTGAGAGCCGGTGCAAGTCCTCAAGACCGCTAGTCTTCCCTCTGCGAAATATTGACGACCCCTTCTTCGCGGTCCTGCTTCTCTCGCTCGAATCTCTGCTGATCTGATCTGATGCGCGCGATTTCATGGCCGACGACCTCCTAAACAGCGAGGGCCGCGCCTGCCTCTCCGTGTCCGCCTGCTGCGCGTCGGGCACCTCGTGTCCCATCGTTGGCGCAGTCTTGACAATTGTTGGCACGACGCCGTCAGGAGTGACTGCGGGCACCGGCGGCAGCTCTTCGTTCACCTTTTCCCGCTCCGCATCCAACTTCGCGCGCGCCGACAAATGGGACTCTGAGTAGTTGCGGAATTTCATAAGGCTGAATCGCTTCCGGGACCGAGTGGCAGCATCGTGATCCGTGCTGGGGCCGGCGATGTCATCTGGGTGGAGCTCGTGGGAGAGTCTCGAAGCTGGCAGCGGCGCAGAGTCGACGCCGACGGTCACTGGTCGTGTGTAGGCAGCATCAGGCTTGAGAGATGCGTTCTTCGCGGCGGCAGCGCTGGGAGGAGCGAGGGCGTCATGGCGGGCATGGGGATCCACCACGATGTTATCGGTGCTGCTATTGCTGTTGCTCGGCACGCCCAAGACACTCTGGCGTCTCATCAGCAGCGGCATTCCCGGCACGCCTCGCTGCACAGGCTCTGGGCATTGGAAGGGCAGCGGGCGGAGGTCCCCAGGCTGGCGGAGGTCGGGCAGACAGGCGGGCACAATATGTAGGAATTGAGCGAGGGCTAGGGTGGGCGTCCGGGACGCTGGTCGTGTGGATGATCGGCCGTTGGGTGTTTGTACGACAGGGTCCAGCGGCTGGAGTGCAGGGCTGGGCTGGGCCGACGATACGAATGGAGAGGGTGGTGGAGGCGGCGGCGAGGCAGATTGCAGAGGAGGGGAGGGCCAAGCAGAAGGCTGTATCAGGTGGGAGTGGTGTTTCGATGCATGCACAGCAGAGAGCGGCGCAAGAAATCAGATCATCATGGCAATACGCGTTCCAGAGCACACACATGAATGCGACGCTTCCCCTGAGACGCATGTGCTTCGACTGGCGCGATGCTCGTTACAACCTTCTTTTCCCCCAGCGCTGCGTCATGGCCCGGCCTCTCCGCCAGCTCCGCTCCGCTGCTGCTGACTGTACAAATGCATCTCAGCCTGCTGCGGCCGGTACGTTGACGTCTGGCCACGGAGGTGAGCATAGCGATGCTGCGGCGGGCATCGGCGGCGGTGACGACGCCATCTCACGCTGCACAGGCCTCTCCCAGCTGGTCTGTGAATCTCGCTGGGCCGCCACGCGAGAGACCAACACCCGGCCTTGCACAGCGCACGATCTCGAATAGATAGACGGCTGCCTGATGCCTGACGCTGATGCCGATGCTGATGCTGATGCCGATGCCCCTCCTCCCGCGAGCCGGACAGCAGGTGCGCGCGTGTCTCCTGCAGTAGCAGCGGTACTTGTCCTCTCCGCGCCCAGCCAGGCAAGCAGGCCTGCGAGGCGGCCAATGGCAGCTGCCTGGCCTGTCCCACTTGCATCGCAAACCTTCAACGTCGGTGGCAGTGTTGCCCTCTGCCACGCGATCTCACTTCACTGCGCAATAACTCTCTAGGCACGGCCTTTGCCTGCCTTCCCTCATGACCTGCCACCATGAAGTTCCATAGCGCAACGCTGCTGGCAGTATGCGCTCTGACCATCGCCGCACCCTCTCCCCGCCACGAGCCACAACGACTATCGCGATGGGCAAGCATCAAACAACACTTTCTGCAATCCGTGCTAGGCTTCGAACAATCCAAGGATGAGCGCATTGTGTTGTCAAAGGACGGCTGGGACCGACAGCTGCCAGCACATACTGTTGCAAGATATGGCGGGGATCTGGTGCTGCGATTCAACATCAGCACTTCAGAAGAGTCGGCCAGCCTGGCAGAGGCAGCGGATACGTTGATGCTGGATGTGTGGGAATTCGCGCATGACTGGGTCGACATACGCCTGTCGAAAGACAGCGTACCTCTGTTGCTCGGGTTGCTGCCAGACTCGCTCCAGCACGCGCACAAGCCGTTGATCGGAGAGAAGGAATTGTCCGAGGCCATCATTGCCAACTATCAAAAATCCACACACCGCAACACACCAGCCTTCAATCAACCTACAGGGCGACCGCTCGGTGCCCTGGAGCGCGCCTCGGAAGCCGATACCAACATCTTCTTTGGAGACTTCCAGCCTTTCAATGTGATCGAGCCATGGCTGCGCCTGATGTCTTCTCTCTTCACAACGCACGTCAGACACATTAACATTGGTCTGTCATACGAGGGCCGCAGCATCCCAGCTGTACGAGTGGGTGTCCATCCAACCAACAATGATGACCCAAATCCTCCTCGACGAAAGACAATCCTCATCTCCGGAGGCCTACATGCGCGCGAATGGATCAGTACCACGACGGTCAACTACATCGCATACTCGCTGATCACCGGATATGGCAAGGACCATATGACCACACAGCTGCTGGAGAATTTCGACTTTGTCTTCATCCCCACTCTCAACCCAGACGGCTACATCTACACCTGGGAGACTGATCGTCTGTGGCGCAAGAACCGCCAGCAAACAGGCATACGGTTCTGCCAGGGAATGGACCTCGACCGCTCCTTCGGTTTCGAATGGTCCGCAACAGACAACCCATGTAGCGAATCCTACACTGGTGAATCCCCCTTCGAAGCCGTCGAAGCCAAACGCCTGGCAGACTGGGCCAAAAACGAGACCAAAAACAACAATGTTGATTTCGTCGGCTTTCTGGACCTCCACTCATACTCACAGGAAGTACTCTACCCCTATAGCTATTCCTGCGATGACGAGCCACCCGGATTGGAAAACCTCGAAGAACTCGGCATGGGATTGGCCAAGGCTATCCGTGCCACACATGGTCGTAACTACGAAGTCATGTCTGCGTGCGAGGGCAATTCTGTTATGACTTCGACTAACAAAAAGGTCCACTTGCGGCCTAGCGTAGAGGCCACGGGAGGTTCTGCATTGGATTTCTTCTATCGCACGATTGGAGTGCGATATGCGTACCAGTTGAAATTGCGCGATAGGGGTACCTACGGGTTCTTGCTGCCAAAGGTGAGTTGCTTTGCGATGCAAAGAGATTCAGAGCTGTAAACATTGGGCTGACGTGACATGCTACAGGAACATATTATTCCCGCGGGCAAGGAAATTCTCAATGCTGTGTTATATTTCACTTCCTTCTTGAATGATGTGTATTATGCGTCTTCTGACAGTGGAAGCAAGGCGCCAAGATTGACGTCGCTGGTGCCCGAATTTGAGGAGGCGGCGCGAAGCCTGCTGGACCAGTCTGACATTGCGAGAGATGAAGAAGATGATGATCCGTGGGTGGTTATCGAAGACTTGGAAATTGAAGAAGCAAAGCTTGATTTGAAGCGGCGACGGAGGAGATAGTCTTGAGACTGAAGCAGAACTATGTTTTAATGAAATCAAATTTTTCATCATGCAGCATCTCAAGACATGCTTGCACGGTCTCGAAGGACAATCCGGCGCAACGTAATGCGCTAAAGCAAGACTGGCCACGATGGTATGTTCACAACAAGCAGAAGCGACAGGTGGACCACAAACCACAGAGCTGAGAACAAGAGCGAGGTGAAGCGAGGTACCAGGTTGTGTGGGCAACCTAATATCGAGCTGCATGGACTAAGCTCGCTCCTGGCATTACTGGAGGGCTCCTCACCGGTCTCTGAGCTGTTTTCCATCCGAGCCGATGCGGCAGAGGGGAGAGAAGCTGCTTCGATCAAAACACATGGAATATTGATCCGAGTGCTTGACTCCCGTTTTCTGCCAGTCCCAACTCATCTCTCGCAAGCCTTATCCAACTTGCTCAAACCAGTCACCACTCGTTAAGCTCAAGCTCAGCTATGGCACCAAACAGCAAAGAACAATTGCTGCAAATCTTCCGGCCTCATCAATTCGCAGCCAACGAGGAATACATCGACCTCTTTCACGTCTACGACAACCTATCTCAAACGCCTTTCAAGCTAGGTATCGGCATCCAATGCAAAGATGACAACGACTATGTAATGAATGCATGGAATGTCATCACCCCACTCACAATGGGGCAACATTTGAATTGGTGGAATCGCAAAGCTACACAATTCGTGTCTCTTTACAGCGACCCGGTAGCCGCACAACGTGAGCAAGCAAGGCGAAGGAACCAACCTTTTGTGCCGGGCGTCGGGTCACGAAACGTTCATTCTGTTCGCATTGCACATGTGCGCATTCCTCCAGGTACGGGAGTTTGGTTCTTCTCGCGATCCGAGATGTTGGAGATGATGGCAACTTTCGGCGACGGAGCAAGGCATGAGATGTTTACAACGTCTGCTCCTAGTGAGTGGTTCGTATGGGGACGGGTGCCGGAAGAGTTCATTGTGAATCGGAGGGCGCTTTAAGTGATTGGGAATGAAATAGTCATACTACGTAAATGTCGTGCACGGTTTTTGTCGTGTGGTATAGTTGCGGGACCTGAACTGCCACGGTGGGCTGCCACGTCGGAGGGAATGTTGTCTGGATCAAGCACAACTGCGTCACTCAAAAGCGATGCTAACGAGTTTGATGAGTACGGCCAAGAACATAAGAATAACTTGACACCCTGCAACCCTCTTTGGTTTTGAGACAGACGTTTGAGATTCGGCTAGCTAAGAGAGTATCCTAGAGCACTGCTCAATTTTTGCCAACCCAGAAAAGGTGATCCAAGTAGGACTCCAGGTAGCACAATGCAGACGTGATTGAAGCGATGACATGCTTCCCGCCGCGCCGCTCTCAAAAGGTGTATATCATCTGCATTCGATCTTTCTCAAGCCTTCTGCCTGCCAGGCTGGGAATGAGGTCGTGGAATAGCTGCAAAAAGAAGATGGGGGATTGGGTGGGATATCGTAGGGCCGTTTCGTTGCCATAGCTCGCGAACGCGCTGTTCTTTGACTGGAATGTACTCGATGTAGATGTCGTGGCTTCAAGAAAGCAGAGTCTACTTCTGCATCATCAACTGAACGAACTCATTGTCTGTTGCGGTGTTAGTCAGAGGTCTAAGTGGCACCGTCTGGTGGTGTCCGCTTCTCATCTTACAGTCAATTCTTCCGTCGCCATCCTGGTCAGCCTCGCGGATCATCTCGTCCACCTCATCGTCTGTCAACTTCTCGCCGATGGAGGTCATGACGTGTCGCAGCTCGGCGGCACTGATGAAGCCGTTGTTGTCGCGGTCGAAGACCTTGAAGGCTTCACGGATCTCCTCCTCAGAGTCGGTGTCCTTCATCTTGCGGGCCATCATAGTGAGGAATTCGGGGAAATCGATTGTGCCGTTGTTGTCGGCGTCGACTTCGTTGATCATGTCCTGCAGCTCAGACTCGCTGGGGTTCTGGCCGAGGGAGCGCATGACAGTGCCGAGCTCCTTGGTGGTGATTTGTCCTTCGGTCGAGGTTAGTTCAGTACATTCGCAGAGGGTGGGCGCACATCATACCATCGCCGTCCTTGTCCTGTGTTGCTGTCGTTAGCTCTGCCTCGCGGCTGCCTGATTGTTTCAGAAAACTGTACGTACGAAGAGAGAGAAGGCCTCCTTGAACTCGGAGACTTGCTCCTCGGTCAATGAATCCGCCTATCGCGACCGCTAGTCAGCCATGTTCCGTTTCCAAAGTATTATGCGTGCGGCGCGTGTTGTCGTGCACTGCTCAATGTTCCCGACACGCACACCACTAGTGGGGTATCCGAATTGCGCGTACCATGATGTGTGTGCGGTGATCGCGGGCGTTACGAGGTCGATGTGTGAATGTCGCCGAAGCAGAGGGCGCGAAGATCAGGTCGAGTCGTTGAGTCGGTGGACAGGTGTTGGGTGTGACAGCAGGAGGGGGAGGTGTTGTTTGCTCGACGGCGGAAGTGGGCAGGAGCCAATTCACTTTCCAGGGACTGACGCTCAGCTCATCAACGGTGACTTCCGACACAAGCTTTCCCACGGGCAACGGCCTGCATGTGCCAGCTGCTTCGCTGTCCTATTTCTGTCTGCCCTTCCGTACAGTAGCCTATACCCGTCACACGCCCGACGCTCTGCACATTTCCATCGTCTTTGTCGTCGGCAACCGACATCGCGAGCCGCCATCTCGGGACACGCCCGCGTCACAGTCCATCCCAGCACGATCCAACGATGATGAGAGAGGTCTAAGCAGGTCGCGAGCTTGAGCACTACACATGATGCGCGTCTGTCACCACATTACCACGTTACAATGTCGACGGCGGTAAACCTGGGGGCGTGGCGCGATCGGACGAACCTGTGAGTGGCAACGTGTGCTTGGGAAGAGACCATTACAGCTCACGCCTGTGTAGCTTCATTTCCTATCGACAGTCCTACACACATCACCCAGCAAAGCGATCGCGCATTGCAGGTCCTAGCAATGGCCGCTTCACCGATGCGCCAGACGACTCCGAGCGGGCTGGGCTCATGTCTAATCTCGACAATGATGGAGATGCGGTGATAGAAATGGACATCCTTCCTCCGCGATGGCTGGACATCCAGGACGAAGTGTCACAGACTTTATCAAACATCACTGCGAAGATGAAGAGGCTGGACCAGATGCACGCGAAGCATGTGCTGCCGGGCTTCGACGACGAGAGCGTGAAAGCCAAAGAGGAAAGGGATATTGAGAATTTGACCCAGGACATCACGAAGGACTTCATTACGTGTCGAAATTCTGTCAGGAGAATCGATCGTCTGCAACAAGAGCAACAACAGCAGTCGGGCGGCGCCATCGCTGACGCTGACGCGACCATGGCGAAGAATCTCAAAATGTCGCTAGCGAGCCGTGTAGGGGACGTCAGCACACTGTTTCGCAAGAAACAATCTGCATATCTGAAGAAGATGCGCACACTTGGAGGAATGAATTCCCCGTTAGACAGAGCTGGCACTCCGATGGCACAGAATCCATACAACGATCCGGCCATGATGGAATCAGAAACGGACCGCTCGGCAGCCCAGTCAACGCTGCTGCAAACCGCACAGGTGCGGAGAAGGGGAGTGATGGACGCCCAAATCGAGCAACGAGAACGAGAAATTGAGAAAATTGCGCAGGGCGTGATCGATTTGTCAAATCTGTTCCAAGAGCTGAACACCATGGTCATCGACCAAGGCACTGTGCTGGATCGCATAGACTACAACGTGGAGCGGACGGCAGAGCACGTGAAAGAGGCAGACAAGGAGCTGAAGGTAGCAACCGGATATCAGAAGAGAAGCACAAAGCGCAAGATTATACTATTACTGGTGCTGATAGTGGCTGGCATGTTCATCTTGCTGCTCATAAAGCCAAGGCGAAGCAGCTCCTCGACGCCAGCACCACCGCCAGCGGCACCCGCAGCACCTGTCCCGAATGAACCAGGAGCTGGAACGCCGCCGAAGATGCTAAGAGTAGCAGACACAAATAGGCCTATACCTGGAGAAGGGCTTGATGAGAGACTGTCGGAATGGAAGAAGCGACGACGGCGAGTCGTGGCCCATGCATAGATACCCTTCTGCGAACGAATGAATCAACATTTCATTGAATGGTGCACAGGTTGTATGATTTCGTGTCTTGATCATAATGGTCCCACAATTCCGGATTCTTCGGCTGCAACCTCGACGTCACTCGGCGCGCGCTTTCTCACCATCATCAGACAATTGACAGCTTGAGTGGTTACGGTAAGTCCACAACTCTTCTTCATTCACACTCATTTCACAAATCTGCTGCAATGGCCAAGATAATCCTCGCTATCAACGCCGGCTCAAGCTCAGTCAAAGTTTCCGTGTTTTCCTATGAATCTCCTACGAAAGAACCCAAACAGCTTGCAGAAATCCAGATCTCAGGGCTCACAGCACCACCTGCCAAGCTGAAGTACACACGCGGCGAACATAAGGTCAAGGATCAAGAAGTCCAAGAAGTCGACTCTCAAGAAAGTGCCTATGAGTACATTATCAAGCACCTGACCGAAGATCCTGGCCTCCCAGAGCTCCAACACCGCGATGACATCGAATTCGCCTGCCATCGTGTAGTTCACGGAGGCGACTACGACCGACCTACCAGAATCGACCGAGACACCTACCACCACATCGAAAAGCTCTCTGATCTCGCCCCTCTCCACAACGCTGGCGCTCTAACAATCGTCCGCGCAGTCCACGCCAACAACGCCAAAGTCAACAACATCGCCTTCTTCGACTCAGCTTTCCACTCCTCCATGCCAAGACCCAGCACTACCTACGCCATTGACCAAAATATCGCCCAACACAACAAACTTCGCAAATACGGCTTCCATGGAATCTCCTATCAATTCATCACCCGTTCCGTTGCATCATATCTCCAGAAACCCAAAGACCAACTCAACATCATCGCCCTTCATCTCGGCTCTGGGGCTTCAGCTTGCGCAATTCAGAATGGTAAATCTCTCGATACATCAATGGGCTTGACGCCTTTGGCTGGTTTACCTGGCGCCACTCGATCCGGCGACGTCGACCCCTCACTAATATTCCATTTCACGCACGATGCGGGGAAATTGAGTCCCAGCAGTACGAAGGATATGAGTATCACGCAAGCAGAAGAGATTCTAAACAAGAAGTCTGGATGGAGTGTTATGACGGGCACGACGGATTTTGGGGTGATTTCGAAGAAAGCTGAGGAGGGGGATGAGAAGTGTAAATTGGCTTTTGAGGTTTTCGTGGATAGGATTTTGGGATTTGTGGGGAGTTATTATGTGAAGTTGGGTGGGAAGGTGGATGCTTTAGTTTTTGCTGGGGGCATCGGGGAGAAGGGAGGGCAGTTGAGGAAGGCGGTGGTGGAGAGGGCGGCGTGTTTGGGGTTTGAGCTTGATGGGAAGAAGAATAAGGCGCCTGGGGAGGATGTAGTTGTTGATATTGGGAGTGAGAAGAGTCGGCATCGTGTGCTTGTTGTGCAGACCGATGAGCAGTCGGAGATGGCGAGACAGTGTGCCAAGCAGGCGGATCAATTGAGGAGAAAGTAGTCATTCGACGTGTGATATACGAACAACTTTTCACTGTATAATTTCTGACGTAAATGCTGTCTGCGAGATCAAGCGGAACTACCCTTCTGCTTTTCGCCCAGTTTCATCGCATTCAGCGTCTCACCAGCTTCCTCTTTATACTCCTCCAACCAACGACTCTGCGGCTTTCTCTCATAAACCACGTCTCCCATGGTCCACGTCATCCTCTTCCGATCTGTCTCCCAATCTACATCATTATCCGGACAAATGACATAGAATTTATCTTGACCCATCTTCTGGTACAGGTAGTCTGCGACCTGCTCTGGAGCCCACGCGCCATCTGGTTTAGTTGTGGTCTTCCCGCCTCCCGTCAATCCAGTGAACGTCCAACCTGGCACGAGCAGATGGACCGAAGTCTTGGGTGAAGACTTTGCAAGGTCAAAATGGAGATGTTCGGTAATGGTTTTGATCGCGGACTTGGAGGCATTGTATGCTGGGTTTCCTGGTGGGTTTGTGATGCCTTGTTTAGAGCCTGTGATGATGATGGATTTTGGCGATGAGGAGTTATTCTCGAAGTGTGGAAAGAAGGTATTGATTCCATTGATCACGCCAAAGAAGTTGACATCGAAGATCTTATGGAAGTAGGCAGAGTCCTTCCAATCGCCATTGGCACCAATGCCAGCGTTGAGATGGAGGAAATCGAGTTTAGTGCCGGAGCTCTCGAGCTTTTGTTTGAGGTTGGTCCATTCTTGGAGGCTGGAGACGTCGAGAGAGTGGGTAGTGACGGTACCGCTGGATTGGACCTTGCTTTTGGCTGCGTCTAGAGCTTCGGTGTTGTTGTCAACGAGATGGACGTTCATCGAGTGCGAGGCGCATAGCTTGGCGACTGCGAGGCCAACGCCGCTCGCTGCGCCTGTGATGAGGGCGGTGGCGCCGCCGCGAAAGACTGCTGTGGGTGAAGACATTGCGTATGAGAGCTTGCTTGGTGGGTGGTTGTCTAGGAGAGGAGGCTTGGAGGGGTATAAGAAAAACGGGTGTTCGAGCCATTACTTCTATTACCCCAATGTTCGGGGCACCCCAATGGCTACGATGACGATGGAGCGGCGGCGATAAGGGCTATCTCCGGCACTTGTCGAGCGCGAACACGTCGGCGAAGAGCATGGCGACGAGGAGCCGCGCAGCCTGCACGATGAGTTGGCAGCAGCAGCATACCGTGGTCGAGGGCAACGTGGTGGTGCATTCGCGAGGAGATTACCGTGGAAAGTGAAGCATCGAGATGCAGACGCGAACGGGTTGCTATGGAGACGCGTCGGAGCGTGCATGTTGATTTCATGTGCTAAAAGGCTTCCACTACCCGAGACACGACGCGCTCGAGTGCTAGCGCCCGACGCCAGCTCCTCACGCCTGCATTGAGTCTATCATGTCCACTGCTTGCTTCTTCTAGACGATCCGCGACTCTCGACTGCCATGGCCGACGTCAAGCACCACACACCCGGACACCGTCGCAATGCCTCCTCCAAGTCCAACATCTTGAGATCGCTGGTCTCATCTAAAGGCCGCCCAGCCAGTCCAGAGCAGACCGCCGCCAACGCGAAGCAGGATGAGAAGTCATACAGAGGCCCGATGGGTAGCCGGGGCGTGCTCGGCGAGCGACAAAACAATGTCCAGTCGCCTCCATCTTCACCAAGCAAGAAGAAGGACACCTTGGCGAGGAGCAGCAGAGACAAGACGAAGGACAGTCAAGCCAAGCCACAGAAGTCGAAGTCGTCAACAAATCTCGCCGGGGTCTTTGCGAGGATGAATCGATCAAGCAAAGACCTGTCAAAACAAGTGAATGTGGAGAAGAACAAGGAGAACACTTCGCCCATCGAGCACGAGCCCGCGGCACCGACGCCGATATGGGCCCAGATGGCTACCACGAACCACTCGTCCGCCCAGAGGGACCGTCCCAGCACGAGCAGCAAGCCATCCTCAAACGACCTCTTAGCTGAGATCGATCGTTATACCCCTCAAGTGTACAACGTTAGCAAACAGCGGAACTTCAACGGAACATTCGATGAGCCCACCCTACGACCTTCATTGTCGCAGCAACGACCACAAAGCTATCATTCGTCTAACGGAGAAGGTTTGTTGAGCGCATTGGGCCGCAAGATGAGTGGAAGCAAGTCAAGCATGGAGAGTCGAAAGTCGGACGATTCAAAAAGGAGGATGCAGAAGGCGCAGGACAACAGAGTCTCTTTTGATCGGGAGCGCATTCTGGGACGCTCCGGACCCGATCGAAAAGTGAGTGACGGCAGCACTGAGATCCCTGCTGGCAAAGAGAAGATCAACTTGACGAAGAGGGGCGGGAGAGTGATGGCTGCTGTGGCTATGTTCCAGGGTAAGACCAAGGAGAGATCATCAAGCAAAGAGAAGGAGAAAGAGGAAGCACCACTAGATCCGAAGGCAGTCGATGCGCAGTTCGAGGCAGTGCTAGCCGCTCGCAATATTCCAGAGCCCATGCGACAGAAGATGCGGAGCTTGACCATGAGGGTCAAAGCAGACTTCATTCGGCAGGATCAAGGTGCTGGTAAGAACAGTAGCCCGCTGGCCACAGTCACCAGCTTGGAGAACACCAGCGCTACTCATCACATCACCACTGAGACCAAGGTGCCCATTAAAGACGAAGAAGACAGCAAGTCAACAAAGCGGTCAAGGACGCGGAGTCGCACGTTCACGTTCTCGCGGGGGAAGAAAGAGCAGAAAGACGATGGCTCGCCGGCAAAGAAGCCACGCTCGCAGAGTCGCAGCCGCCCTACTTCAATCATCATACCAAGCAACAATGTTTCCAAGACTTCGCTTACGCCGACGACGCCCACTGGTTCGTATGGGCGACAACATGCGAGTTTGGCCGTACCTGGAGACTACATTGCCTACTTGCGCCAAAACCCAGATCCCACTAGAGTTGAGGTTGGTCGGCTGCACAAGCTCCGAATACTGCTTCGCAATGAGACGGTGTCATGGGTAGATGCCTTCATCACGCAGGATGGAATGCACGAGATTATTGAGCTCTTGAAGCGCACGATGGCTATTGAGTGGCGAGAAGATCACGAAGACCAGCTTTTGCACGAATCACTGCTTTGCCTGAAAGGATTATGCACAACTGAACGAGCCATGGTGGAACTGCACAAGTTTGCAGACGATCTGTTTCCAGCTTTGATCGCTATGCTGTTTGACGATGAGAAGAAAGGCCCGGCAGAATACACGACTCGGACGATCATCTTCAACATCTTGCTCACTTACCTGTCGTCCGACATGAACAAGTCCACGGCAGCTTTGGAAGTCAGAGCGCGGAAAATCCTCATCTATCTAGGAGAGCCCGCAAAGTCGGAGAACGAACGTCCAGTGGACTTCGTTCTGGGCATGCACACTCCTCGACCATATAAATTGTGGTCACGCGAGCTCTCGAACGTCACGCGGGAGGTTTTCTGGATCTTCTTGCACCAGTTGAACGTGGTGCCACTCCCTAAGCCGAGCAGCTCGCATTCGCAACAGAATGGTGTCGACGAAGAAGAACGAAAGAATATTCTCGCCAGCACTTACACACAGCGACACTTTCCGGGCTCTCGTCCTCCGGTACCAGCTGCTCCATACATTGGAGGCGTTGAATGGGATGCTACTACGTACATAACAGCACATCTTGACCTTCTCAATGCAATCGTCGCATCGATCCCGAATCAACACTCACGAAACGCGCTCCGCGAAGAACTCCAGCAGTCAGGATTCGAAAAACTCATGGGCACCGTCCTCCGCACTTGCAAAGAGAAGTTCTACTCGGGCGTGCACGACGGCCTGAAAGCCTGGGTTGCTGCTGCTCACGAAGACGGCTGGGAGACACGCTTCGTCCGCGAAGGACCCTCAGAGGAAGAAATCGTCGAGCAAGCGATGAAGGCTCAAAAATCACCCAAGAAGAGTCCGAAGAAGAAAGCGGACCTGCCACCGCAGCTTGACAATGCTTTACCGCTGGAGCCCCCGAAGTTAGACCTAGGATTGGATCTTAGCCTGACGAAGACGAATGGAAAGATTGATGATGATGATGATGGGTGGTTGGGTTAGGGACTACGGCCTGTTTACGACTCTCCTCCTCTTTCTCGCTCGCATTTTCTCTCTGACACGGACGAACGAAAACATAAAATCAATGAATCGCAACCACAGAATCATGTTGGACGTTAATGAATCAAAAAGCATACAGTAACGAAAACCTTTGGAAATTGGCATGGACATGGGGACCACTGTCATTCATTACGCACTCTGGGTTTCTGGTCGTAATTGATGCGGCGATCGGGCTCTTTTCGTACTTTCTCTCTCATGGCATCGGCGTTGGTGGTTTGAGGGGAGCATGGATGAAGGCGAAATACACAGTAACGAACTTTGGTAAAACTGCGATCGATATTGTTCAATCGAGCCACACTCATATTATGGACTGTTTCTTCTTCCTTGCTCTTCTTGTTGCTCATCTCTGCTTGTACCTGGTGACAATTTTATTGCACTGCATCGCTCCAACTATCGCTCTCCTTCATCACCATCGCTTCTCGGCACCACTACGGGCAATCTCCACAAAGAATGTTGAACTGGCATTCGGAATTGCTCGTGCACTGTTGCATCAAGGAAAATATCTCGTCAGTCTCGTTACGGTAGCAGACCATTAACGAGATATCTATTCTCGCTACGACTTACCCCTTGGTTCTGATCGAGTATCTCGTATCTGCATCCTTGCTTTGGTTGCCACAGTGCTCGGCAAGTACCAGTTGTCGAGCCGGCGGGCTTTCTGCAGAGGTTGTTGATGGGACCTTCTTTTGTGCAGGCGGCCATTGCGCCCGTTGCGGCGAGGAGGAGGGTGAGGAGGTTCATGTCGGCTTGGTTGGAATTGTCTGAGCAGACGGGCTGCAAAATTTGAATGATTCGGAGGATTTGGATGAGAATACTAAGGGAGATGAATGAAACATGAGATGGGACGAGAGAAGGAGAAGGGGGCTAACCACCTGCTTTGGTGACCCACTTCATCAGTGCTGCGAACGACTGGAACGTCGGTCTCCTGCCTGAGCTAGAGTCGGGTTTGTTACGGCTTGGTCGTAAATAGGACTTGGCTTTGTAGAGAAGAGACGGACGCTTCGAACCCTGCTGTGGTTCCTGCCGCAATGGCCGCAGCCTGGACTTTCTCCTAGGCTCCTCTCGTTCGAAGCAGTCCAGTGCGATCGGAAGTCTACGCGCCAGTCTACCGTAGTGCCAGACCGAGGCACCCTTTCGGACGATCCGAGAATAAGTGTAAGAGTAGGTCTCACTTCCACGAGTTAGCTGCACGACAGGGCGATTTAGTTCGTCAGCGGCGATCTTGGCATTGGGAAAGCTGTTCTGAGCTCCTGGCTGGACTTGACAATTCGAGACAGCTTGTGCAAGTTTCTGGTGCTCATCATCTGGCTGTCTGAGTGCAGATCACTGAGCCGTGAAAGCAAGAAGTGTCTTTGCAGTCGAATATTGTCGTGAGTTTCTAGGAGCGACAGTATTTTCCTGCACCCGTACTCGGATGATATGTTAGCAAGTTTATTCGTTGGCTCAGTACAGCAGTCGTGCAGAGATTAGTGATCTCTTAGTGATCTCTTGTGCAAGAACGACAGTCGTCAACCCGAGTAGTGCGGTCGGTTCAAGGCAAGTGATGCCAAGCCAAGGACCCATGTCGGTATGAGGCATACGACAGCTAGGATGCAATATACCGCCGAGCGCTTGAACGGGTTGGCGCAGCTCCTTCCTCTTCCACACACCCAACTCTGTCGACGACACAAGTGTGGAATCTGGAAATATCAACAGGACGCGTGCAAGATGAACATGGTAAAATACTGAGAACTATTGACAGCAAGACACGAGCTCGAACTCAACAGATGGACATCCGCCGCGCCAAGTTCTGGAGCTGATCGATTTCCGTCGGCTCGGGCGTCTGCGGTGCTCTGCCTGGGTTGACGGCGCTGATGATGGCAGGAATGGCCGCCGGATTCACCAGCGTCGTGATGTCGCCCAGTTGATCCTCCTCGCCGCACCAGATCTTCCGCAGCAGTCTCCTCATGATCTTGCCCGCTCGGTTCTTCGGCAGGTCCTGGACGACCACGACATGCTTGGGCGAGGCAAACTTTCCAATGCTGGTGGAGACCTGCTCTTTTGCGATTCTGACAGCTTCAGCATTGTCAATGCTCCGATTCAAGGAGACGAAAGCAGTCACGGCCTGGCCAGTAAGATCATCTGGAACTCCGACAACCGCGACTTCAGCCATGTAGGCGTGCTCTAGAAGTGCTGCTTCAATCTCAGCCGTTGATAAACGATGAGCTGCCACATTAATCACATCGTCGACGCGTCCTTGGATCCAGAAATACCCGTCTTGGTCTCTGATCGCGCCGTCGCCGGTGAAGTAGTATCCAGGATATGGGTTGTAGTAGACATTCATAAATCGATTGTGGTCGCGCCAAACCGTCCTCGACATGCTTGGAATCGGCCGCTTAATGGTGAGGACTCCCTCAATTCCAGGAGTTGCGATCTCAACACCTGTGGCAGGATTGAGTAGAGCGGGCTCCACTCCGAAGAATGGGAGTGTACAGCAACCTGGCTTGGACGGAGTCGTACCGGCCAGAGGCGCGATGAGATAAGAGCCTGTCTCTGTCTGGAAGAAGGTGTCAACGACATGGATCTGACCTCGGCCGACCACATCATGTACCCACTGCCACACGTTCGCCGCGAGTGGCTCTCCCACAGACCCAACGACTCGCAAGCTCGACTGCACCGCGTCGCTTTTGACGTACTGATCGCCAGCGCGCTTGAGAAGGCGAAGCACTGTTGGCGCTGAGTACAGTTGGGTGACACTATGCTTCTCGATGATCTCCCAATATCGCGATGGCGATGGATAGACCGGAGTGCCTTCGTATATCACAACATTGCAGCCCAGCATCAGCGGGCCGTACAATGAGTACGAATGGCCAGTAATCCAGCCGATATCAGCTCCACAGAAGAAAACATCACCGTCGTCCGCGTGGATGTCGAAGACGTATTGCGTTGACAATGCGGCACCAAGCAGATATCCGGCGGTGGTGTGCATCAATCCTTTCGGCTTTCCAGTCGAACCCGAGGTATACAGCATGAAGAGCGGATCCTCAGATGACATCGAGACCGGTGTGAACACCGCAGGCCACTTTTGAGTCTCTCTGGTCCAGTCAAAATCTCGCCCTGCCTGCATTGGCACTGCGCTCATCGTAGCTCGATAGACCAGACAGCTCGCTACATTTGGGCATTGGCTGAGAGCTTCGTCGACAATTGACTTGAGAGCGATGACCTTCCCGCCACGAGCCCCCTCGTTGGCTGTCAAGACAACACGGGCGTCGGCATCCAGGATCCTGTCGCGGAGAGCGTTGGCAGAGAAGCCACCGAATACGACCGAGTGGATGGCACCTATGCGTGTGCAAGCCAGGACAGCGACGAAAGCCTCCGGAACCATTGGCATATATATGGCAACAGTGTCGCCCTTCTTGACACCAAAGTCACGCGTCAAGACCCAGCTCAAACGTGACACATCTCTCTGCAGCTCTTTCCACGTCAAGGATCGGTTCGGACTGCTTGGCTCATCAGGCTCGAAGATGATTGCTGTAGCATTTGGCTTGCGCTTAGCATGTCTGTCAATGCAATTGAACGAGGCATTTAGTCGGCCTTCCGGAAACCAGGCATTGTCGCCATCCTTGAAGCTGCCTTCGTGGACAAGATCGCCAAAATCACGCTCCCAGGTGATCAGCGAGCGTGCTTGTTCAGCCCAGAACTGATCTGGCTGCTCGATCGACTTCTTGTAAAGCTTCTCGTATGCTTTCAAGTTCTGCACACGTGGATGGGGCGAAGACTTTCTGCACACGCATGAGATGGTGTCGCACCACGTGCAACATTGAAAATGCTTACCCGAAGCGCTCGAGCGGCACTAACAGTGCGTCAGAGTGCCTTGCGGCGATGGGACCTGCGTCGCCCATTTTTGCTGAGATGACTCGAATGTTCGATTTTTGATGGTCTGCAGGCGTCTGCCGATTCTCTCAGGGAGCGGAGGTCCCTCTATTTACGTTCACACTGTGGTGCAATGCCCCACGCTCACCTCTCTACTCGGCCTATACCGTCTTTCACGGAGGTGCCGCAATGCGCTGTCCTCATTCGAGAGCATGGCAACACGCCACCATACCCCAATGGTACCGGCGGCCGCAACGAAATAACATGGCAGCTCATGCATCGTACGCGGCCGACGGCGACGGCCTTCGCAATCAAGCCTCTCAATCGACTGACTGCTTTGGTACAAAGCACAGAGAAAGTATGGAGAACGTCTTTCAGCCATTCATGAGCTCCGTGGGCGCGGCAAGCCACAAAAGCTACTCCAAACTTTGTAATATTTGGGACTTTCGCCTAGTCTAACTACGTTCGGCACCTGGCACACTGTATTCCAGCACCCGTTGCAGCTGTCTGGCTGAAGCTTGTCGAGCCATCTGGGCGTACACATCTTGGAACTAGTCGAGATTCTGGCCTTTCGAGCCGGAAGTGGTATGGCTGTCGATCTCGAGCGGCGGTACGCGAGTCTTTATGGTTCTATAAGCGAGCAGACCCGGTCACGCATGGCACTGACTTGGTTTGAAGAGTAGGGAGCCAACATTGGCCTAGAAGCTGATCGCAATGGAAACGGATGCGGCTACAGCAACAGCAGAAGAAAGACACTACCTATCCGGCACATTCTCACATGGTGTACAATGGCAAGCTCCGCTGCGGAGAAAGCGTCTTTGGCCAGTGTCCTCGGATGTACCTCCTAGTCCCGCGAGTGTCGTGCGGTGTGACAAGCAGCGCCTTTGGCGCGACGCATAAACTTTCATGTTGTGGCTGGCTGAAGCTGATAGTCTCACATGGAAGTCTTAAGCTCTACGCTAGAGAAAGGCTAAGCTCTTAGTGCCAAAATGTTCTCTCCTGATGCCGAGTGGCCAGAGAAGCTGGGTCGCAGGGCGCCCATCCACCAGAGCGATTGGAATATATTCCATACCTCACACGTGTGCGTGTTGACCACATTTGCTTGGGAGAGCACGTAAGAACAAGTCAAGCAACTCTTCGCATCCTAGGCAACGACATGTTTCGAAAGGTCTCATGGCAGAAGGATGTGGCGGAGGTTCAGGCGGAGGAGACGCATGAAGGAGAGATGGCAGAGAAACAGTCGCATCCAGCAGTGGTCACATCAGCTGATGGAGCCACTCCGTTGCAACAGTCGCCTGCGATACCAGACATTGCTCACGTCAGGCATCACAGCAATAGTGTTCGGAGAAGCTCAGTTGTCTCGTTCGAGGCACGACGGGGCTCGATTATCCAATCGATCGCCGGCGATGGCAATGTTGGACAAGGGACAATCAGAACATCAACAGGCCAGATGAATCGCGACGACCGACAACGCTCGATCTATTCAATCAAAGCCGCTCAGGAAAGCTCCGAAACTGACATCGCAAGCCTTCACGATGGAGACCTTCCATCGCCCGCGCAAGACTTGCTCCGAGCGCAAACTGCCGGGCAATACAAGTTCACAATCACAGAGCATACTGAGAGCGCCGAGAAGAACGAGAAGACGAGAGTCAGTGTTGAGGTTTCGCCACTGCAGTATACCGAACATATCGCAAAGAAAGAATTTCTGGACGCCTATGCTGCTAAGTATCCTCTGCCAGCGATTCAAAGACGATTCGCCTGGTTTCGATACGGGTGGTTTACAGTGTACCGAAGGCTGTTTGCCATCGTGTTCACGGCCAACATGTCTGCCATAATTGTGCTGGCTAGCCAAAGAGCACGATATAGCGCCGCTGCGATTGGTGTGGGAAGCAACATATTCGCTGCTGTCCTTGCTCGCCACGACAACCTGATCAACGCCGTGATCAGCATCATCCATCTGGTGCCTCTAAGCTGGCCGCTGGCAATCCGCAAACGATTGGGCAAGATTTACTGTCATGCGGGAATCCAGGCCGCTTGTGGAACAAGTGCTGCGGTGTGGTATCTTTACTTCACTGTCCTGCTGGCAACAGATCCAATTCCTACCGCGGTAAAGGAAGGCGTACGAATCGGCATCTATGTCACCACAGGGCTCATCTTTACATGCCTCTTGATCCTCGTAGGCATGTCCCATCCCACAGTCCGAAGTCGCCATCACGACCGATGGGAACAATCACATCGCTACATCGGCTGGCTCTTGACAGCCATCATCTGGATTCAAGTTGGACTTCTCACCTCAGCTTCAGAAACACCACTTTACCGATCACCACTCTTCTGGCTCGTCCTCGGCGTAACGCTCCTCCTCATCTACCCCTGGGCCATGATGCGCAAACGTTCCTTCACCACGACCCAACTCTCCAGCCACGCCCTCCGCCTCGAGTTCTCCCACAAACTCTCCCTCACAGGCCACAACATCCGCATCGCACAATCTCCTCTGTCGGACTGGCACGGCTTCGCCACAATCCCCCGCAACGACGGTCCAAAGGGCTTCTCCGTCATAATCTCCAATGCGGGCGACTGGACACGCTCTATGATCAATGCCGAAAACCGCAAAAACACGATCTGGCAGCGTGGAAGACTTTTCCTAGGAATCATTGAAGTTCCAATGCTGTTTTCGCCTTTGGTCATTGCTGCTACGGGGTCGGGCATTGCGCCTTGTATGGCTTTTATTCAGACGCATCCGGATTGGCCGGTGCGGATTGTTTGGTCGGCGAGGTTTCCGGAGACGACGTATGGGGCGCACATCATTGAGACTGTGTTGAAGGCCGATCCCAATGCGATTATTATCGATACAAAGGAGACGGGGAGGCCGGATATGGCGGCGTTGATTTATGCTGCTTACAAGGTGAGTTGTGTCGTACAACGTGTGTGGGAATGGTTTGAGAGATGCTGACATGAATTGTGATAGGAAATCAAAGCTGAGGCTGTACTTTGCGTTAGCACGACGAAGGTTTGTGAGTCTGTGTCGTATGAAATGGAAGCGAGGGGTGTGCCGATTTATGTTCCGATATTTGATTCGTAGAGATGTGTAACAGGATGAACACCTAGGACTGCCATAAAAAATCGTTCTTGACTCGACGCTTGTGCCATTGATTCCTGCTATCGAACAATCACCGCCTGCGATATCGTAACTTGTACAGATACTATCGTATTCACCCAACCCAAATACTTCGCATGAGCTTTTACAGCCACCGCATCGCCATACTGCAAATTTCGCACCCAATCTGCTTCTCCTTGATTCTCAGAATCTGCTAACCAAGTTACATATTGCGTGATAAAGCCGTTGCTCGTCGTTACATTCCTCAACACTTCTCGCTCATTATGTATGTCCCCGCATCCTGGCCTGACAATTCCAGCTGTGAACCATGTCCAACTCCCAGAACCAGGATATGCGACATAGCCTTGGTCCTTGGATGTTATGGAGAATTTGACAGAACGTATGGGAATTCGCGTTGCTGTGTTCGACGCTATCTGAGGAGTAGTTATGCATGTCCGAGGTGAGTTGTTCACTCGAACGACCATGTAGGCGTTTGAGATGGTGTCGATGTTTTCGTATAACTGGGCATGTCGAATTATGGAATGGATGAGATCTGGGACGAGCTTTTGTCGAAGGAGAAAGGCGATGTGGTAGATTTCGGATTTTGTGTACTGTTTTTGGGATTTGAGGAGAGTTTGTTGCCTTGGAGTGTTGGGGTCGTGAGTGTTAGACGTGTTGCTGCATAGCTTGACAGCAATAATAGTAGCAGTCTCAACAAAACAAGTGATCGAAATTTGAATTTTGCATGAAGCGGACTGCCACTGAGCTCTAGGAACAATGTCGGAGATCATCGTTCAAAAAGCCATTTTTCGCTCTCAAGCACTTCTTCCCTCAGATTGGCGGATCCACCACGATGGTGGCTGCATGCTCAAAAGCACCCAACGGTGCCTCCGGCTAGCTCGTGTGAGCGCAAGCACTAGTTCAACGGGAGTGCCGAATTGCTGCAGGTGCCTGATAAAGCTTCCGCGCACAGCACGCGGCACATTTGCGAGAGGCGAGAGCGCTACTGAAGAGCTTCTCGAAGGCTAGTGTCAAGCCATGGGCCGTCGGCGGTAAAGTGCAAAGAGCGCGGCCGTCGGCGATTAAACATTCGCGCTATGCGCGCGTGGCTCATGATCTTGTTCAAAGTTCGTCGACTTCAAATCATCATATGAAGCAAAAATGTGAGCTTTATGGTGGATGAGAAGTCGATTCGTACGTAATGACGCTCTTCCTGCCTTCCTCGAATGATGTCTTACTGATCCAGAGATGACCTGTCCCTCTCAATGTACCCAACAATGGACGACCTCAAGCTCACTCTCGCCAGTTAGTGCAAAGCTTGAGAACGTGGCTGCATTACAGCGAAAGAAAGATCACATCCCATTCCTGCCCTAGAACGCAGGAACCGATCCTCAAGAACTATCGCGGCAAGCACAAGTCTGGCGTGATCAATGCTGGAAAGAGACTTTTCTGGCTCGCAGATGTGGCTTGATCAGCTGAGGTTTCGTGTACCTTGTGCCTTCTCCGTTCTCCTTCCTATTCAGGAATTAGCGCCATGCGCCAGCCCAGCCTGGTAAGGTTCCTGGTGGGCTGATGAGGCTTGTTGCGGTGCCAGGGTTCGCTGAAAGCTTTTGGTTGATACCAAGCTTCGGGTGTCTGAAAGAGAGGAGAGAGAACAACCGACCATGAAAGGCTGTCGCAAATTGAGCTGCGGTTATTGAGCAGTCACGAATGGGAAGTGATCAGGTTGATGGAGGCCGAAATTGGGTAGCTCATCTGGAGCTGGTTTTGTGAAATTGCCGCATTGAAGCGGAACTTACACTTCCGAGCTGACTTTGTTCAGTGTCGACTTCACTCCTCAAACTTCGCGGGGCCCACTAGCGGCGATAGCAGTACTTCTGGAAGCAGGCATCGCAGCCCTTTGGCAGCTTGCCCCTTCCATCTCGCGCTTTGATCCCGCAGGCAAAGCATAGACCCCAATTCGCGTCGCCATTCTGTGTTGCGATCGCATTGCCATTCTGAATCATGCCATTGGTCTCTTCCACCGAATACTGAATCTTGCTTGTGGGCTGATTGGACGGATACGTGTAATTAACATTCGGCAAATAAATGAGGAACACCGTATTCGGCTCATCGCATCCGAAGAACACCGCACGTTTGTTCAACCCCTTTGCGACAAATTCTGCAACATCAGGTATGAAGGGCATCCTAGTCAGGCCAGCAGCCTGAGCATTCTCATATGTTTGTCGGATTTCTGTGCCGTTGGGAAAGTTGTCTGTTGTATCTGCGCTATTATCATTGGCAATGAGAACATCGATCTTGCGAGCGGGCTGAATGAAGGGCCAGATTGGCACGTTCTGACCTGCCAAACCGCCATCGGCCATAGTAATGAGCTTATCATTCTTCACTGTGGTGCTTCGAGAGTAGTTGAAGAAAGGGTTCGGATAGATTCCAAAAAGATCTTGAAAGGCAGGACGCTTGCTAACGCTGATGATATCCTGCAGGAAGTTGGCCAGATCTGCATTGCTGCTATTAGAGGGCGTCAGAACTGAGCAAGCAGCAACGAAGATATCACTGCTCGTGCCGAAAATGTAACCGATATTGTCGTAGTGCTCGATGCATTTCCCAGCATTGGTCGGTCGGCCATTCGTGAGATCAGATCCCATGTATTTGGTTGAAGCGAATGCAGATACGCCTTGGTCCCAGGAGCCGTACTCGTAAGGCGCAAATTCGTATTGTGTGGCATTGATGGTTGGCACACACTGCCCTTCTGAGCTGTCGTCCACTCCAAGTGCTGTCATAATTGGGTAAGGCACGTTGAAGCTGGTGAAGTTGCTGAAGGAGGTCAGGGTAGACAGACGAATATCGTCACCGCCATCCTCGCCGTAAAGGAACTGATAAGAGAGCAACCGACCCCATGCATCAATAATCGTGTTGTCAAAACCCGCGAGCTGCTTTGCCACAATATCTGTCGTGACTTCGGCGTACTTGTCCGTTCCCTGGAGGTTCGCAGGGAGTAGTAGACTAGCCTGGAACTGCGGCTCCCACAGGCCGTCACGAAGACTGCTGACAGTAGGCCAGTTGTTGCCACTGAAGCTACTCAGAAACCAGGCACCGCCAGACAGCCCGGCCTCATAAGTGAGACCTTGGAAGATTCCGCTCGTGCTGAAATTGCCATCACGACCGTCGAGGGCCTGCACAACGCCAGCAGTCTCCAGCAGAGCACGATAGCCACCTCCCGAGGAAGTAAGGGCAACTAGTGGCTGCGATGAGGTCGAGAACTTTCCCCTCTTCGCGAGCCAAGCGGAAAGGCCTGCATCAGCTTTGGGCTTTCGTGATCGAATATACTTGGATTCGTCGGAGTTCAGTCCACTGGCAGGTCGAACCAGCTGAGTGTTTGGGCAAGCCACGTCCTTTGGAGCATAGTCTTCATCAATAGTAGGCAGTTGTCTGCTGACGAGATCGCCACTTTCATCGCGGACTTCAATGACGTCCACTCGAGGTTGCGGTGCTGCACCAGTCAGTGCGCTTAGGGAAGCGAGCGTGATGAGTAGTGAGCGAAGGGCCATTGTGTATACGAGAAAGGCTAGAGGGTAGGAGTGGAAGGACAAGAAGAAGCCTGTGCACAGAGCAGCGTCGAAGCGGCTGGCATAAGGTGTATGTACAGAATGCACTGAAACCCGCGAAACGCGCGCTCCGGAAGGGGTAAGATCCGTATCACATATGTCCGAAGAGATGCCTCTCGTGCAGCAGGTTCGGGCACAGGCTAAAGGAACGTCGTCGGAGCGGAATCCCAAACAGTCGCAATATGCTGGAGGAGCACAGCCTCGCGGGTCCGACTATCCAAATACCAGTTGCGACATTGCCTGTCGTCCTGTCAATCGGGCAGGTGCAAACTCTATCCATTGCACGGCATCTTGGAACGGTGTCTGGGCCGCGTGTCAGCAGCTGCTTTTGCGAGTGGCCTGGCTAGCCTCGGTGCGATAATGCCAATCAGCCTGTTAAGCGAGGCATCGTGTGCGGAGAACGGCATATACCATCCCGTTCCTGAGCTCACAGCGTGGAGAGGGGAGGCATTGAGGCGGCGGTGAGGTTGAAAGAGCAAGGCAGAGGTGGTGAAGCAAGTGCTGTTGATCGGCGCACGTGGTGGGTGGTGGCAGGATCCGAGACACGCGCACGCAAAACAAACGCAATCTCCATGAGTCGCCAAGCGATCAGTCCAAAACGACCAGGTGAGGTAACCGGGCCAGCGCGAACCTGCCCAGCGCTCCTTCTGCCTTCGTCCCATCTCGCCTATGGGGCAAGTTGTGATATCGAGCTATCGTCAATGTACGAGGACGTCAGAAAGCGCAGCAGGCCGATGCCACGCTCTCTGCGCTGGCTGGCTGCACCGTAGCGAAGCCAAGCGGCTGGCCGTCGACGTCGTCTCTGCTTGTGCGTCTGTCAAGCTGCGCGAGAGCAGCTGTCTCTGCGCCAGCTGTTCCAGCCTCATCTCGTGTTTCTAGCCATCTGTTGCAGATGTCGGCCTGGGGTGCACGCGACCATTTCGCCGACCCTCAAGAGAGAAGCTGACCACACAGCACACAGCGCTTTCGAGCCCAGAGCACCGACATCGACAGTATCGACTTCAGCGACTCACGCCTTGAGTCGTAGTATTTGGGTCGCAGAAGACCAGTCATGGCGGGAGCCGGAGACGGGGCCGCTGGCGGGCTCTTGGACGTGGAGAAAGAGTTGACTTGCTCGATATGCACCGACATCCTGTACCAACCGCTGACGCTGTTGGACTGCTTGCACACCTTTTGTGGAGGATGTGCCAAAGAGTGGTTTGCGTGGCAGGCGACAAACGCAGTCAATAGCAATAAGCGGCTCATGGCAGCGCCATACACATGTCCATCATGTCGCGATTCCGTGCGAGGTACCAAAGCAGACTGGAGGCTGACAGCACTGCTGGAGGGCTTTTTGAAGGCGAATCCGGGCAAAGGAAAGACGGAGGAAGACAAGGCGGAGATGCGGCAGCATTACAAGCCCGGGGACGACGTGCTTCCGCCCGTGGAGGCCAATCGGGCAGATGAGGATAGCGAAGATGAACGACTCGTGGCCGAGATCATGGACATGAGCATGGCTTCGGTGGACCCGGACACGGCACGCCGGCGGACAGAACGAGCACATCGGGACCGGCAACGAAGACGGCAGGAGCGTCAGCGCACACATCGGACGGAAGATGTGTCTCGGGAAGAGCAGTCCAGCAGGTGGGTTGCACAGCAGTCGGAAAGGCGGCAGCAAGAAGCAGAGCGGCAGGTGGAGCATCAGCCATCGCTGCGAAGTCTTCTCAGCAATTCGGACATCAGCTCCGAAGACGTGCAGCAAGAGATCTTGCAGTCCATCTACTCGGAAGGCCTCCTCAATGGCATTGACATCGACAATTTGACGCCAGCGCAGGAAGAAGAGCTCACCGAGAGGATTGCCGAAGCGTACCGAAGGCGACAACGCCATCGCGACCGGTCACGAAACCGCGAGCGAGACAATGCGTCTTCGCAGCCTTCGACCAGAAGAGCCACGAGCCCTCGCACGCATCTCGCTCAGACGCAACAATCACAATCTCGGGCCAGGCCACCCATATCGCGGCCACATTTGTTCGAACAGCAGACGACAGGAGGAGCGGAGCGGCACCATCGCCGATCCGCCAGTGCCAGCAATCAGCACACCCGTCGCAGCGAACAACGTCTACATACCGGCTCGACCGTGAGCCCCGCGGCTCGCTCTGCTACAGATCTCTCCGCGCGACCTCAGGGCGAGGATGTTCGGCGAAGTCAACGACCGAGAGCGTCTTCCAGCAACGCTCGAAGTTCAACAGATCCTCCTCGCATGCGTGAAGATGTACAACGCGTTCGTGCAACTTCCAACACGGTGAGATCTGATGCTCCGCGAGGCAGTGGCGAACATCGAAGCAGAGATGCTCAGCCGCGAGAAGTCACGCAGAGCACAATCGGAACATCAACGACCGAGCCTTCACCAAGCCTCCCGCTCGCTGGACAGACCGCTGTTGCAGCAAATGCTGCCGCACAGCAAGAAACGCGCCCTGCTGCACCAACTTCGGACCCGGCGCCTGAGGCAGCAGCCTCGCAAGCGATGTCAACAGTGAATGCAAGCGCTCCGGTCGCTTCATTGGCATGTTCTCGCTGTCAGCGCCCTAACATTGGCTTCATGCTTCACTATAACTGCCACAAATGCGATTCGGGTAACTACAATCTATGTTTGCGTTGCTATCGTGATGGCAAGGGATGCCACCACTGGTTCGGCTTTGGGCTGGCTGCCATATACCGCTGGCAAAAAGCAGCCGAAGCGGCAGAGGATCCGCGTCGCTTTGACTACCCTCACGTACTCATGCCTCGCAAGTATGTGCCTGCTTCCGCCTCACACACGGACGCGATCGCCACCAGTAACGAGCCTATCCTTCAGGAAGGAGCTTTCTGCGAGGCCTGCTTGACTTTCACAAATTCGTGCTACTGGTATTGCAACATCTGTCTCGAAGGGGCTTGGGGTTACTGCAATTCCTGTGTGCTCCAGGGGCAGCATTGCACGCACCCCCTGCTGGCCATCGCGCACATCAGCGCCCAGAGCAACTCTGACCCTTCTAGAATACCGCTCTGCCTCCCCGTGCCTCATCTCAAGCAGGACTCGTACGTTCTTCTACCAGTGCTGACTGACTGCGATATATGCAGGCAGTCTATCAGCGAGCGAGAGACTCGCTTTCATTGCTATCAATGTAGTGATGGTGACTATGATATCTGCAACGAATGCTATCACTCACTCGTAGCAACGGGGAAAATCTCTTCGGCGAATGGACCAAACGGCTGGCGACGTTGCTTACAAGGTCATCGCATGAGTGTCATTGGCTATCAAGACACTCCGACCCCGGCTGGACCAGGCAAAGTGCGTGTCACGATGCGCGACCTCGTTGGTGGCTGGAGACTGAAGGATGATGCCGCTTCAAGATCCAACAACAGGAGAGCTGTGCCTGTCGACTCTGGTCCCGAGTCACGAGCCTTCGCGATCTGGTCCAGGTGGCCAAAGGAGGAAGACAGGGACGAATTGGCCTTCCCTAAAGGGGCAGAGTTTAGAGAAGTTGAGGACCTCAACGCTGATTGGAGCGTCGCAGTTTATGCTGGCAGAGTCGGATTGGTACCGAAAAATTATACCAGACGACTTTCTTGACCTTGCTTGGCATGCCGCTTTCAAGCAGAGTGCATCGCACGGGCGGACGGGTTGCACAATTGGCAGGCTGCTGACCGAGGGCGGTAGCAAGAGACGTATGCTGTAGCAACGTACCAAGAAAGCATTTCCCCTTCCAGTACAACGCGGAGTTACGCAAAAGAATTTCCATCGGTCGGTGTCAGGACAGACCTCAGAAGCAGCGGGCGTCCTGTCCGTATTGTGTTCAAGTGGCAGTCCCAGCGTGGCTTGAAGTCCCGTGATCGACATTCTTCTCCTCAAGAGCGAGCTGTGGGCGCGGCTCTTGTCTGGTCGGTGCGTGTGAAGCATGGCAAGAGTGCAGTCAGAATACTTTGAGGCCGCGCACTCTACCATTCGTGGAACCGTGAATTGTGCTGGAAAGTGTGGATCCACGGAATGACTTTTCAAATCTCAGGCCACGGGGACGATATTTTTCACACGTAGATATTCTCTGCGCCCCTTTCAACTTCTCTCTCACCTCACTACATCTCTTCCAACCACTTCCTTCCACCATCCATCGATAACGGACCTCACGACAAAAAGGACGAGTATCAGCAGAGATGGCGGCTCTCGTAACTTCTGCAACCAGCATCCTCGGCTCATCGTTGCCAACTCCTCTTCCCTCCCTCAGCGTGACTGGAATCAGTCCACCAGTCTCGAAAATCTCTGTCGCTGGACCCGCTAACTCAGACGTACGACGCATCGTTGAATGCGATGCCGTTCAAACCCAAGTCGTGACCGAGACGTTGAGTCTGGTTCAGGAGAGGATGCACCACCTTATGGCGAAGCACGATAGGGAGCTCTCTGATCCTGCTTCCCATACTCGTCGCCTCCTGGAGCTCTTCTTTGGGAAGGGCCTTACTGAGGAACAACTTGGGTTTATCACAGGTATGGATTTTTCTCTCTCAAGTGGTGTCGCTTTCTCCCGTAAGAGGAGAAGGTCTCTGCTCGTCAGCCTTCCCTCAAGCAAATTTTTGCCGCAGAGACTCACCAGAAATACCTCCCTCTTGTGACCCTGTACACTTGACACTGACTCCATCTTACAGATAAACTCCACCGTGTCATCACAGAAGCCGGGCAGCCAACTTACCACTGCAAAAACAGCTGCCCACCAAATGTAGTAGCGCAATACACCTGGAACGGCAACCGATTCAACGACACGAGAGACAAGAACATCCATTTCTGCCCATCATTCTTCTCCTCACGCAAGGATTTTGGCCTCGAAAAGGGAAGCTGGCTTCAAGCACTGTACGCCATTCACGAGGGTATACACTCAATCGTCATTCCCGAGTCGCCGAATGATAGTAAGTCTCATTTCCCCCCTTCAACAACCTATCAGAAAAACAACTGTACTGACCCCCTTTTTCTTCTTTGCTCAACAGTCGGCGATACTCCAGGCTACTGGTCCGAAACAGGCGCTCAACCAACCGGCCCAGCGATTGTCGCCTACGGCCACATTCTCACAGAGCAGCTCGCCGCGTATTCTTCCGAAGCTGCCATGTTCAACGCCGAGAACTACAGACAATACGTAGAATTTCTCTATGAGGCGGATACTACTGGAAAAGTGCAAGAAGCCGACGGGAAAGTTCACTACGGCGAGCCTCCGGCTTGGACGACGATTTGGAAGGGACATATGAGGTAAGTCTGTGGATCTAACGCTTCAGTTCCTCTGAAGAGTAGGACAAAATTAACACATTATGGTTACAGAACTTCCACAGTCGCACTCGGCGCACCGACACCAACGCCAACAGCAACCGAACAGCCTACAGCTGCGATGTTGACGACTTCAGAAACGACAGCGGCGGCCATGGCAGGGATCGTGTTTAGGATTCCTCCTCGAGTAGTGCCAAAGGTTCGACCAGGAAGCAAGCCACAGTCTTCAGATGCGGTCTCGACAGCAGGGGAACATCTCAAAGTCTGGTGGTTCGCATACGGGCTTGCGGGGTTGGCGGGTTTCATGTGGGTTGTTATGTGAAAGACTGGCAGCACATAAGTACAGACTGTGGATCAGCTCGATAGAGTAGCATCACCTCAGAGCACGAGATTGGGAAAGACGTTGGCAGAGGGTACTTAAGGGACGGAAACAGAATCAGAACGACAGCACGAATGATAGAAAGAGATGAAATTGAAGACCACTTGGTCGGGAACCTGCACTTTGCCATTGATCGTTAAGCTCATTATACATCTCAAAGGCCAGCGGATGGGGTAGAAGAGGATGACGCCGACGAACCAGCGCCGCACGCCCTTTTCCTCTTGCTTTCCCGCCTGCTGCCTTGCCTCGTATTCATGCTGCCGGGGTATCTATCTCGCTGGGTATTCGCCTCTGACCATAAAACACATAGTCGATGCATCCATTGTTGATCATCGGTGTCAAAAGAAAAACACATAAAGCAAAGGAAAGCACAAACGCCCAAGCACCTTCGCTAAACCATTTCCCAGAACGCTCAGAACGCATCGAAGATTCCCTGATGCACAGCAGCGGTCGTCATCATCCGTGAAGTCGTTCCAGTCCGTGACCATGATTCCAAAGCCTGCTTGACGAGTGTTTTTTGACTTGGACCGGAGTGCAAGCATGGTCTAGACTGGCAAGCCACTAGCCAGCCTCTCGGCGCGGACTGTATCGAGATTTGGCATCTCGAGCTCGCGGATCTTCTCATCGAACTGCGCGACTTTGGCTCTCATGCCACTCCACCACTCATTGAACTCAGTCAAGACCTCCTCGTTGCCATTCTCCATGCCTAGCTCGACACGAAGTCTGTCGACAGTGTAGCCCGCTCCCTTCAGGCGTGGGCCTGAGTTGGTGTTGATGTCGTAGAGCTCGGCGCTATAAGTCTTCAGGAAAGTCTCCCAAGCCGCTTCGTCGAATGAAACCAATCCTGGAGTGGAAGGAGCGGTGGAGACATAAGAGCCAAAGGAGCTACTGAAGCCGTCGGAATTGGAGGCGCCGGCGCTGGTAACAGACTCGGTATATGTGGGGAATCTGTGAGGGATGGCGCGTGCGTCCGAGATGGTAGCAGGAGTGTGGTCGGCGTGCACATCTGGTGTAGGACAAGCAGGAGTGTCTGCTGGGGTGAAAGGCGGGGACTCCATACCCACCACTCGGCGCAATGGCAGCTGCTCCAGCTTCTCGAGCCGGAGCAAGCTGGCTGGCAGCGCGATTGGCGTAGGAGACGTTGGAGAGCTCATCGGTGAGGTCTCAGCGCCGACGGCTGCTGACGACTGGATCGACTGGCGACGCGAGAGATGTGCCAGCGTATTCTCAGGATAGCCGCGGTACAAGCTCTCGTCATCGAGTTTCTCAATACGGACCAAGGCAGTGCAGACAGCAGCGCCAGCATATCTCCACTCCTTGACCGCGGCCTTGAGTTCCGAGGGCAAGCGGTCCTCGAGCTCATTCGGAACTGCCCACTCAGCCAAATGGGTGTCGTCGTAGCTATAATTCTCGGCGCCATCGTCTGCCTGCGAAACACGGTCGGCAGCAAGGTTTTTGCGCATGTAGATCTCCTGAATGTGCAAGTCAGAAACTAGACTCGACGCGCCTCGCAGTTTGCGGTGCTCTCCATTCGACATATGTACTTACGTATGATTTCGGCGACTGTGCCCAAGAAGGGCGACGGTGGACGGGCTGGGACTGGGCGGAGGAGCCGGTGCGGGGACGTTGTTGAAGGAAGTCCATGTTGATGTTGATGTTGTTTGGATGGATCGACTTGGGTCGGCTGAAAAGGGGAGTTGCTTTCGACTCGGTTGTGGAAGGTAGTGCACTAGGGAAGAACGGAAAGTCTGTCGCTGATCAAGGTCATCCACTAGTCGAGTGAACGAGTCGAGGGCCGCAAGTGAAGCCGATGAGTAAAAAGTACGTCAGAGGTTTGATGCTGAATATTAGGTGCTGGGACAAGAGCTGCGGTAAGCGAAGGCCGACTTAAATCGTTTCGAGGGCGGTTGTGTACCTTGGTTGAATGGCGCTGCTGTTTGTCAAGGAAAGCGAGCGGTGGTGAAAGAGTGAGTGGGCGCGCTTTTTATCCGTCAAGGAGCGTCGGGAGTTTCGATGCGTTGTTTGTGGTCGAGCTCGAAGTTGTTGTGGAAGGTGGGCCTCAGGTGATTGTGGTGCCGTTTCCCGCAAGTCGCGGCTGGGCGCAGACCTGCACGCTAGTCTGCCGATCTTTCTTCCTATTTCGAGTGAATGCTGACGGGAGGATTAGAGCATCGAAAGCTATGGAGTACAGCGACGCTTCTATCTGTGCGCCACAATAGCGATATTATGTTGCGGCAATGTGGAGCGCTGCGTCCGCTCGTTCAGTGATTGCCCGGGGAAGGACGCGCAAATCGAGGCTTCTCCAGACGCCTCGTAACGTGAACATGGGCAGTGCTGGAACGATCTCCAGAGGTTCGTAGGAGTTTTGATCGATGCGTGACTCAACCTGGAGTAATGCGACAAGGTGGACCCTACGGAAGACGTCGGGACAGATCGAAGTTTCGACTCGAGACAAAGGGGCACCACTTGCACGCGTTCAGAACTTTGCAATAGTCCGCATTCAGGAAATTACGTGACTGCATGCACATCGCCTATTGATGACTTGCTTGCTTCTTGCTGTCCAAAAAGTCACTCGGCTCAGGGATCGTGACACTAACACAGGTCTGTTGCTCAGATCGCCATGGGCTCGAGAACATGTCTCTGATACTGTATCTCTGTGCTTTGTGCGCTCGGAAGCTACTCCAGTCTGAACAAGGAAGGTCAGTAAGTGCAACCCGAAGCTGGAATGTGGCAACCCCACGCGGCGCACAACGATTCGTTTCCGCGAACATGTCGTACGCGTGGGCCACACGTGTAACAGAGTGTCGTGATTACGGCTTACCTTTCGATAAGATGCAAACCAGACTGTGTTTCGATGATTTGCGAAATCTCCCCGGGCTTGAGGGCAAAGGAAGCCTGCTCAAATTCTGCCTGCATATCACCCTTGCCGAAGAAGCCGCTGTGATATTGTCAGCATGTCTGACACGTGTGACTAGTGGATGTCTCGAGGCCGTGGTGCATCATAGCACGAATACAGCTTCGAACCATGGAGATGAGAGGAACTCACAGATCACCACGCTTTCTAGCCGAGGAGCAGTCGCTTTCAGTGACGGCAAGATCGCCCAGACTCGTCTCACCATTCCGGATCTTGCTCTCGTAGCCGCGGATGATTTCCCTGGCGTCTTCCTTGGAGCGAGTGATCTCAGACTCACGCCATGATGATGGTCGGCGTGAGTCCTTGTGCTTCACGAGCAGATGCGCAGCGCGGATCTTGCCGTCCAGGTTTTGCTGCTGGGCACCATCAGCGCGCAGGTTGGCAGTGTGGTATTGACCCATGTAGTGCTTGAGAGTCTCGCTGTCAGTCTCGGCCGGAGGCTCCCAGCGCGACTCCTTGGTGGCCGCATTGAAGTAGTACGGCAAATTCTTGCTGTTGCTATGGCGCACTTCCCAGCCTGCTGGAAGTCCGGTAGCCTGTACGCGTCACCGTCAGCGGGCGCGGACGATGGAGCAGCGCGGCGAGGGCGGTGTCAGAGATGCTCTTCCATACCATGATTGCGATGAATGTGGGGAAGCAAAACGTGATCGCTGAAAGCGGTTTGTCAGGATCGCGCGGGCAGGCCAGATCTCGAGCTTGATAACAAGTCCCTGGTCGATCAGGCTATCTCGGCTGTCACATGCAACAGCGCGCTGGTTCCGGTGTGGACGAGAGGGCAGTAGTGTACGCGGAAGTAAACAGTACAGTCTGGTGAACGACCTGCGGCCAGAAAGTTGGTGAGTGAGGATCGCTCGTGCGTGCGTGCCTGGCAACGCGATTGCCCCGCAGCGGCTCGCGGGAGGGCTTCTAGATTTTCGCACTTTGTCTTTTTTGGAACCCGGCAAGCCCGGCACGCGCCGCTAGTTCTACTTATTAACTACAAGTTCATCCACACCACTCACCTCCACCATCGTCACAACATCGGTCCACGCAGACCACCCACGACCATGTCCGCCTACGACATGAACGGCTCACCCGCGCCCGAGGGCAAGGGCGACGACTCGAAGAAGATCAGCTTTCGCTTTTGCCGCGAGTGGTACGTATTGTCGCGCGAATAATGAATCCACCACGCGGCGGAAACTAATGTGACGCGCAGCTCTAACATGCTCTACCCGAAGGAGGATCGCATGAGCAATACGCTCATGTTCGCCTGCCGCACCTGTCAGTTCAGCGAGCAGGCGACCGCTTCCTGCATCTGGCGTAACTCCCTCAAGGAGGACGTCCAGGAGACGGCTGGTAACGTCGACGACGTTGCACAGGATCCAACGGTGGGTAGCGATTCTCCATCCGATACATACATGACAGAGGACGAAGGCGACGACGACGACCTGGACATTGAGGCGCAGGACTTCGAGCCCGAGATGTGCACCATGTGCGGACAAGAAATCCTGTGTCCCATCTGCGAGCGACCGACCGATGCGCACCTGTCCCTCGAAGTGCCCGATGAAGCAGAGCTCCCGGAAGAGGAGGCCAGCGATGCGGTTGAAGCGGAGAAACGAGAGAGACAGCAGAGCTCTGCTTGAGGGGGGAGGCAAGAGGAGGACGTCTTCACATTTACCAACACTGCATATGGTTTTTCGTCATATCTGGTCGGCGACATGTGCTGACGAATTGGTGTTTCCAGCTCCCGCATGCCGAGGAAGAATGCAAGAAGTGTGGTGCACGAGACGCCGTCTACTTTCAGTCGCAACAGCGAACCGCTGAAACTGGAATGGTGGGTCTTCGCGCTACTTTCCTCGACAAATACCTACTGACCATGATAGGCCCTCTTCTATGTCTGCTGCGAATGCCAAAACGTCTGGTCGACTCTTGACGCTAAGTATGTACAACCTGTGGCAGCATGCCAGCCGACCGATCTACGTACCTTTGCTAACCTTTCGACCGCAACCAGGAAGTAGAGTGGTACGAATTCAGCTTCCTCTTACCACCGCACCCAACTTTCTGACTTCTTCTAGGCTTAGTATCAGGATCGGAACAAATGAAGGCTTGGATGATGAGAGACATGACGCCATCCACATCCATATCAACGACAGTACAATCTCGTCCTGTTTTTCAGGAGAATATCTTGAACGACGCACCAGCAAGAACCCCAACCTTGCACATTGGCAGAGAAGGATTCTCATCGCCCCCGAGTGTCGCGAAGACATCCAGATTTCCCCGACAGAGCGCGTATGTCTCGAGTGTCCTTTTGCGCCCCCCACCACAGAAGCGTCGCAAGCAGCAGCAGCAGCAGCAGCATCAGCAGGAGAAGGAGGACTCTGTCGTTCCAGAGCAGAGAGACAACGATGAACAGTACGGTCTCGGTATTTTCTGACCGGTGCTACTTGGGCCGCACAAATTGGCTTCGCATCAGCTAGCCATGAATGCTTCAGAATAGTGAGAGACAGGGTGCAGCACAGACACGAAATCAGAACTTCGTCAATTGATGAAACTGAAAATTTGTTCATCCTGTCCATCCATGCCGTTCGACTCGACGTGATCGCTCATTTGCGTCCTGTTGTGGTAAATTCGTTTTGTCTGTGAATTCCTCTGCATTGAACTTTCGCTCCCACCAGCTGTGAGTGGTGAGCTCTTATTGTCCCCAAGACAATTCTTCATCATGTCCGATCATCGTACACACTTGACCTCCACCTAGAGTCCCCTGCGCGAGTCTCGTGTACCAGCTGAGATACACAGTAGCATATCGCCCTTTGTGGTTTCGGCCTTGCCTCAATCCTCGACGCGTTTGCGCGGGTACCTGCCACGATCGCAACTCTTTCGAGCCATCATCGAGCATCGACTGCTGGCAGGTTTTTCGAGCAGAGTTTTTTTTTCTCTGGTGGCCTCAATACCACCGCGTGTCCACTCCCTTCGTCCCATCCAGTATCTCAATCCCATATCCTTCTCTTCTCATTCTCCCTCTACAAATGCATCGGCGCCAAACTCAAAATCTTACTCCAGCCCTTCTCCCTCACCTCTCTCGCCACAATCCCGTTCAATCTCGTTCCAATCGGATCCCCACCCTTATTGATTAACACGCAAGCATTATCATCAAATCGCACCACGCTCCCGTCTTTTCGCGCGAATTCTTTCTTCGTCCGCACGACGACTGCGTGTCGAATGTCTCCTCTTCGGACTTTGTTGGCTGCGGAAACGGTGACGCTGCCTCCTCCAGCGGATTCTGGACCAAAGTTGCGTTGTTTTTGTACTACGACGATTATGCGGTCGCCGACTCGGGCCGGGGTTTTGCGTTTGAGGACTTTGATGCATTCGGCGACGGCGGCTCCGGAGTTGTCGATCACGTTGACCATGGTCTGCAGGTGGGATTAGATGAGATGATATTTTTGGTGGATGATGGATGAGGATATGGAGAGTGGATTACCTTTAGTTGGATCATGTTGTCGGTTTTGGGGGCCTGAAAAGGCCTGGAGCCTTGTTCAGCAGCAGAAGGAGATGTGTGTACGAGTATACAATGGTGCACCGTGATGATGGATGGTATAGGTGCGGCGTGCTTCGGCAATGCCCCGTCGGTGATGCATGGTTCATGCGGCTCTGCATGCGCGTGCCAGGATTTGCCGAAGTCGTGATTGGACGCCGGCAAGGGATGTCGAGCAGTCGCCAGCCATCTCTCCAAGTCCGCCTGGCTGTCTTCTCGAGTCCGTGAGCCTCAGCCTTCCCCATCGACACCACCGCACGTTTGCGCCAACAACGACTCACCACGCGCCAACTCTACCTCGCTTGTCCGTTTGCTTGTCGTGCATTTCTGTGCGTGTCTCAGCCGATCGATCAGGAACCATCGAGAATGCGATTTCGCGCCAAACACGTCTCGTAAAGTGGTTCGCGTGGAAAGGCCTAGGAGGAGCGGCGTTGCGCTGGAACTGGAATGAATGCGCGGAGCGTCGCCCTTTGTCGGACGCTCGTCGCATCTTCTTCCTCTCACTCCGGTGACTTGCTGTGTGACGGTCACGCAGTGCCATTGCAGCCATGGCTCGTCAAGCCGCGAATCTCGAAGATGCGCTGAACAAGAAGGGTGGTCTGACACTGTCCCAACTCGCCAACTACGACGACTGGGCCACCGATGCGCTTGTTGACAAGGTGGGTGTACGCGTAGCAAGGGCCATGGTATGCGCAATATTGACTGAGTGCAATAGATTTACTTCTGGTCTCACATCCGCAAACTCAAGGCCACCTATCATGGCAGTCGACATATCACTCAAGAGGAGATGTGCAAGATATTACAGCAGGAAGTTGTCATTAATCAGAATGCTGGCAAGGCGCAAGAGCTGTTATTGAAGACCAAGGGCATTGCAGCCTTCCACAAGGCTCTGCGCACCGAGGATGAACGGGAGCACTTCGTGCGGCACCTGCGGCAGTATATTGATATGTGGCTACCGAGCTGCCCATTCGAAGTATGCACGACCAATCGTTATACCATCACGACTGCCGAAGCAAGCATTGTGGCGCGGAAGAATATTCGCAAGGATACCGAGATCGAATTCCTGCGAGGCATCCAGGTGGAGATGACGGAGCAGGAGGAACGCGAGCTATCCAGCAACACCGACTTCAGCATTGTCATCACGAGCCGCCGTAAACGCCCTTCACTATTTCTTGGCCCCGCGCGATTCGCCAACCACGACTGCAACTCAAATGCTCGGTTGCAGACTAAGGGAATGCACGGTATACATATTGTGGCACGCAGAAATATCGTCGTTGGCGAAGAGATCACGGTCACATACGGCAAGGACTACTTCGGTGAGGATAATTGCGAATGTCTGTGCCACACGTGTGAGAAGCTCCAGCGCAATGGCTGGGATCCGCGTGGTCCCATTATCCATGACGACAGCTCTAGTGAGGAATCCGACGATGAAGAAGAATCTCGGCCATCGACACCAAAGAGGCGCCATACGGACAACAGTGCGTCGAGGAAGAGAAAGCGCCAGGATGAGGCTGAGGACCTTGATTCTAGCTTGATGAGTCGCGGAAGACCGCGGAAGCTTGCACGGCCGGATGATCAGCTCACCGGCAGGAAAGAAAGCCTCGACGAGGACCGCAATGAACGCGATGGCAGGGGTCGATTTAAAACGAAAGACACACCTCCTTCGCGAGGGAAGAAGGGTGCGCCTCGCTCCGCACCAACAAAACTTGGCAAAGTCACAAAGAACAGGAAGAGTGATCCCGACGAACCATTGCTCGAAAAGATATACCGGCTTCTTGGAGGCGTAGCGGATCGCTCAGATCGCAAGCAGCGTGGGCTTTCTGCGACTGATCCGATTGTCATCACGCCACCAGAAAGCTCGGACGAGGAAAAAGAAGAAGGCGCTGATAAGGAGCAAGATGAGAAAAGTGGAGATGAGGAAACAAAGCACGTCGTGGAGGTCAAGGCAGAGATCACATCGAACAATCGAACCGTTATTCGCGGCAAGGGAGGCATGTTTGTGAAGAAGTCTGCACTCCAAAAGGTTGAAGTCGACACTGCAGTGAAAACTTCACCGGCGCCATCGAAGTCGAAGTTGCCCGCGATTGGAAAGTCGCGCAGTCTTTCCAACCTGCGGAACGTTGTCAGCGTGGACGACTCCACCACCGACCTGTACAGCGTGCCGCAGTCACCAGCATCGAACGAAGAAGCAGCACAGAAGCGAATCCGTGGCAGGACGCGGAAGTATGGCGCTGACGCGAGTTCGCCGTCTTCGACGGGAAATGACAATTCATCATCTGCTTCCTCTGGTGCTTCGAGCGCCACTTCTCTGGAGACTTTTGCGAACGGCAATATCGCGCAAGGCATCTGCGATATGTTGACCACTGATATTCAGCCTCAGGAACGAATCACAAAGGTCTCGGTTTCAGAAACCAAGACAAGAGTCAAAGGCGTGTCCACGGCCTGCCTCGACGACGACGAGCGATCTGAGTCGACAGACAAGGCAGAACAAAGTCGCACAGCGCTTCGCAGGAGTGTGCGAGGTGCGGTGGACGGGGCGACCCCACCGGTGACCAGTATCGAGAATGAAGAAGAGGACGAAGAGGGTATCCGCCGCGGCACGCCTCGCACCCCTGGTGATTACCATCTCTGTCGGACTCTCCTCGCTACGACGTACCACCGCTGGGTCGAATGCCGGAATTGCGACGAATTCTTTGTGCAAGAAGAAGCCTTCTTGACACGAATTGCGTGCCCGCGCTGTGAGCGCCACAGTAAACTGTATGGGTACTATTGGCCTAAGACAGAGAAAGAAGGCAAGCATGACACAGAAGAACGAGTCCTCGATCATCGTACGATTCACCGGTATATTGATCCTGAAGAGGAGCGCCAGGAACGCAAAGGACGAAAGACTCTGGCAGAGCTCCTGCGAGATAAGCAGCTCAGCGAGAGCCGGGGCAGCGAAGAAAGCGAATCGCCTGAGAACGTCAAGATCACTCGCAGTCGGCAATTCCGTATCACTAGCAGGCTTCAGGAGCCTACGCCTGTGAGGAGCGATAGCAACAGCAGGAGAGCCAAAGCGAGTTAGGGTGATGATTTATTGTGACAGTACAGGTGTCGCCCACGATGACAAGATGGAATGAAGCATGATTGAGAGCATAGCTGTGAGGAGGAGAAGTGCGGGAGGGACAATTTTCAATTGGCGGCATAGCATTGCGAGGCATTTCCTTCGCGTTGCGCTTTTAGCCCTCATCTTCATACAGACGCTTCCTAGCAGGCGTGGCAAGTCTGGGATGGCAAAATGTGCGCCACGACGCAGCAGCGTTACAGAATAACGGAAGATGATGTACCAATATTGACAATCTAAGCATATGAAGCAGCAGCAGAACACGAAAGCAGCAGCGAATTTTTACCTGCGCGATACCTTGCAAGTTCAGCTGTCGAATCGAGCCTGGTCTAAGATCACCATCTTCTTCGCCACTTTCCCGCGTCACGCGAGGACTCCCACACGAGCTGATCCTGTCTATCTTATGTAGGACAAACATGACTGCAACACAACAGAATACACCAATGTAGCTTTCCGCTCCGCTCTGCCCACTTATCTTCCAGCACCGTGGATTTCTGGCGCTGAAGAAAGAGCGGTCGGCTGATGGCCTGGGAAGTTTCGAAATGATTGATTGTCCTTCCCAGAAAATCCGCCGATCTACGCAGGAGCTGCAGCTTTGCAGGCAACTTTTGTTTGCTTCCTTCGAGACCTTGCAAGAAACCAGGTGTACGGTCGTGTGCGAGGAAGCTGGCCAGCGCAGCGGATGAGTTCTCGCTCACCGTCTGTTTCTCTTCACGACTGGTCTGAGCTGCCTCAGTTTGGTTATCGGCTTGATTGCTTGCTGGGTGTGGCGGACGCTTCGAGTCCGTGTGCGCGTGCCTTTCGGACAGAGAGCATTGCAGTTCCAAGATAACGAAAACCCTCCGAGCGGCAGTATTGTCCAGAGGCATTATTGCTTTTGGGATTGACCAGGTACGATCATGGGCATCCAACCCTCCAAAACCGAACTCTACCTCCCCTCTCAAACCCTTCGCGAATGCCATCCAGATCGCTGCTGGTGCGATCGGCCATATCATCGAAGTAGTCGATACGTTTACGTAGAACGAGGAGGTACGTGGTAATTTACCCCGTGGCGAAGTGCATTTCTTCATGCCAGGCCTTCTATTCTCGTTGCTGATTTTGCTTCGATTCGAAACAGGCGACGGCCGCGAACGCTATCAAGACCCCGTAGACATGTTCTCTTCTTTCCTGATGGGCGCTGGTCCCGCGCCGCAGATGCCATGGAAGGATCCGAGAAGTTGGACTGTGAGAGACTATGAGAAGTTGGGCGAAGTGATGGAAGAATGGGCGAGTAGAGAGTATGGAAAGAATCACGGTTCGAGTAGTAGAGGAGGAGGAAACGGAGGAAGTGGGTATCCGCCTTGGCCGGGGATGACTGGCGGAGGTGGAGGATACTGGGATGGTGAATATGGTAGTGGAGCAGGGAGACACCATGGTGGCAGGAGGAGCAGACGGTGAGTGAAGACACAGCAGAAACCCACTTTGGTTTGATGTGTTAGGTTGCTGACAGTTCTGGCGTGTCTTCAGATACGTCCCCTGGGATCAATTCGAAGACCTCAAATCCAATTTCCACCAAATGGCCGAGCAGTACCAACGCCACATGTCCGAACAAGACGCATTCTTATTCGGCTCAGATACGGATCGAAGGAAAGAGCAATATCGACAGAATATGCTCAATCAGCTGAAAGAGATGATGCCCCAGCTGGCGCAGATGATGTATTCCGGAGGAGGCATGGCTCAGCAGCAGCAGCAGCAGCAATTTTTCCCAAGACAGCAGATGCCAGGAATGATGCCCAACCCTATGATGCCGTGCACTGCTACTGGAGGCACTATGCCCGGGATGGGCATGGCAGGAGTGGCACCTACAGTAGGTTGTGGAATGCCGGCAACACCAATGCCTGATCCTATGCAAGCTGCTGCCATGATGAATGGCATGATGAACAACCCTATGGCGGCCGCAGCTATGCAACAACAAAGCATGACACCAGCTGCCTCCATGCAGATGGGCGTGAATCCAGGTATGATGAATGGTGGTGCTGGGGTCATGCCACCAATGATGAACAATGGTATGATGATGAATGGCATGATGGATCAGCAGCAGCCACCCTTACCACCAGCGAATATGAGCAGACGCGCACGGAGACGAAACTTCACCGCGTACGATGATGGTTTCGATGACGATTACGACGACTTCCGGCCCAGACGAGCTGGGTTTAGAAGACGGAGAGACTGGAGAGATGATGGCGATATGCTTGGCGGGTATACTGGCGGTGAGTACGTAGAACTTTGATCCCAACTGAGTTGCTTGGAAACCAGCCTGCTGATGAGTCAGTTAGATATGCGTGGGCCTAGAGGACCTATGCCTGGTGGTTCTGGGCCTCATCGCCCGGCAGGAGGAATGGTATTCGACGATGACGTCGAATCTTTGCATGCGAACATGGGCGCAGGGCATGGAAATGGACCTCTCAGGGCGCAGCCAACATATCCGCATGATGCGCCCCCGACACATTTGAACGGAGCTGCTACCGCTGCTTCAAACTTTTCACCCCCCTTAAGGAGGCCTGACTATAATGCGGCTGACGCAGCGGCATCAGCAGATGCGCAGCAGCACAGGAGCGCGATGTACGGAGCGGACACAACCTACGCCCCACCGATGGAGGCCGCAGAAGGCATGTACACTCGGATGGCGTTCCAAGCAAGAGCAGGCGCGGCCGACAGCGCTCCAGACATGGAATATGGCGGGTTGTATCCGGCTGCATACGGTATGGGCGGAGTGCACTCTGGCATGGCAGCTGCTGCGCCGTACGCCTCAGCAAGCACTGGACCTGGCGTTCCGACAGCAGCCGCAGGCCCGTCAACGATGAGGTCTGCGATGAAGCGTACCGTCAGTTTCGATCCTGGAGTGCCGACCGAGACACCCCATCTCACTCGACCGCGCCAAGAAGAAAGTGCACGAGGAGAGGCTAATGCAGGCGCTCCACCTGATCCGCGCGACGGACTTGGGAAATCGAAGGGAATCTGAAATTTGCTAGACAAGCTTTCGCGTTCGAACTGCTCAGTCGCTCTACGTGGTAGTAGCTAGCGGTTTTGCTAAATCGGAATCCAATCTCACTAAATCAGAATCTCGGATCAAGCCGGCTTTACGTAGAACTAAGGCAGGCCATTTCGAAACGGAGCACTCTAAATAATTCCCCAGACAAGCGAGGCGAGCTTGCGAGCGAAGTGAGTACTCGGAGCTGCGAGCC